TATCTAGGGAGAGAAATCATTTCTTCATTTCTCTGAAAGAAATAGGTTCAGGCAAGAATTTTTTAATCTCTCACTAATTAGGTGGAGTGAAGAAAAAATACAATTTTTGTTAAGTTTCTTTTATTTGTTTTCCTAAAGGCACTTTATTTTTCCATTTTTGTTTTCAAAACTCCTTTTCCTAGAACATTTTTCTTGCCTTTTTTAAACTACATATAATACAATTTTAACCATCCCCTAGCAAAAACATTTAACTAAATGTGTTATTGGCAGACTGTTTTCTAGCTTTTATAAATACATATCTACAGTGTAGAGACCATAGTCAGTCCAGTTTAAAACTGACTTTCTTAACACTACTGTAGAAAAATATGACCAACAGCAAAAATGTGAATGATGAAATCGTTCTCTCGATGATTTTCCATTTTCCTCTTGTGAATGCTGACCAGGTCATGCAGACCAGTGGATGACAGGAGATCTGTGTTTCTCATTTGTACCAAGTAATACTCATTTTTGCTCGCTTTAAAAATTAATTCCACACAGAACACACATGGCTGCTTGATAGATGAAGCATGACTAATTAGCCACTGCGACTGCTTATTTAAAGTATAGTTCATTTTTCTTCTACATTTGCTTCAGCCCTCTCTCCGTGTCTTATTTCCAGATCAAGGGACGGAAAACTAGAGAGCAGAACAGGTAGTCAGAAAATAAATGACAGATTGCTTCTTTCAGAACAGAGAATTACAAAGAAGCAAAGAAAACATCAGAAACTTCATTGCAGGACTTGCATTAGATCCATGTCCCTTAGCATCAAAGGAGCAAAGAAAAATCATTTACAGTGCAGAAAAATGGTGAGCTCTTACGGGCTAAATGATCTGTCCTCAACGAAAAATTTTCTGACATTATTATTTTCTGAAATACCAAGGATTTGACAAGCCAAGTCTGACAATCAATACCATTTACTCACAGCCTCACTTTCTTCACATTATGGCCATTTCATGGGCATTCTGATGCTGTTGAAGAATATGTGCTTTCTATGGCTTCTGGTACAATTGTAACTCCACATTATAGAGTTCCTGACACCAGGCAGGATACAGATATCATGATAACCACAGAATATTATTTTGTCGTAAAATAATAAATACAAATAAAATACAAATATAAAAATGCTAAAAATATAAATATAGCAAAATATAGCTAATTTAGTGGACATTTCTAGTTTGATAGAAAATGTTATTTTCCAGTGAATGCTGTCTTGTTAAGTGAAAACAGCAGCTTTTGCTACGCACCTGTCATGCTCATGTTACTTTACATTTTGCAGGCTGACAGTTATCAGTAATGAAACTATAAAGAGCCAGCAAAGCCCAGACACCTTAAACATTTTAGCTGCGAGAATAACAAATAGAATCACCTGAACAAAGTCAGCAGATGGAGAGAAATACTACCAACAAATACGGCACCACATCACAAACAAATCAATAACCAAAACAAAATGCCCACCTCTTTGCCCTCTTTGTTCCCGAAGGGTTTTAAAATGCTAGATTTCAAAAGACAGCTCAAACCTATCAAATTATTTTGATATTGATGACAGGTCTGTTGCTTTCCACACGTAGTAGTCCTCAGCTACGCATACATGTGGAATTTGACTAAGTGACTAAAGTGAAGTTTAAGTGAAGTCAAAGCTGTAAATATGGAGGAAGAAGTGTAAAAAATCCAGTTGAAGTCATATGCTAATTTAATTCAGTCTGGCACTCTTCTAGCCTGACAGGTTATTAGTTTCAGTTCATCCAGGACATGCACAATATCAATGACTCTTTTACTTGGCCAATATAAAAATTCACATGCTGTGCAGTGGGAATTATTCAACATGCAGGATGATGGAACACAGCAGATAAAGTTCTCTCTCAATAGTCTAAGCAGGCTCAGTGGAGTGACCTAAGGTGTAATACTGAGACAGTACCGCATGACATAAGGCACAGATGAATCTGTTGAGACCCCAACAGCAACAGCTACATCTGTCAGTGTTACAGCAGAAGAGGCTGAGATATCTGAAGGTCACAGTCAACAAGCTTAGCATATATTCAGAGTAGGTAAACAAGAAGATAAGCAAAAACTAATGCTTGCCAAGTTCAAAACATTTTCTCCTTGGCTCTTGGCCCCTGCTATTCTGCAAATCTTATTCATTAATCTTAAACTTTTTCCATATTTAAAGTTTATCAGGTACATTGTGTGGCCCTACGTATATAGGATGTGGTGATCTTTTTTACTATGTTCAATTTATATTCAAAGAGTGTAGTGTATGAGATCCAAAGTATTCTTGGAATTTAGACCGTCTTGCAAGCTCTGAGAATATTTTTTTGAAAAGGAACAAAAGTGAAGAACCTCTTCTGGGCAATCATATGCTTAATGCATCAGGTACAATTATATAACATGATACATTATATAGAAATTATTGCATATTTTACAACTTTTCTAACTAGAATTACATAGTAACAGACTGACTATGTTTTCATTCTCATTTAATAGCTAAAAACATATTTCCAATGTTTTCTTATCCTATTACTTCAAAAGGAACCTGTAGTTCTTATGTTTTAGTATTGCCGATATCTTTATCATGCTTATGTCTATTTACATAGACAGTATTGGAAGAGAACAATTCCTGTACATCACAGGTCATAGACCTAGATTGACCAATGCATTTTTGTCAGATAATATATTTAAATTTTACAGAAAATACATTTTAAAAAGAACCCTTTTACATGATAAGTAATTTATTCTAAGACGTTATTCTAAGAAGCACCACATAGTTTAACTGCAAATAAAATGTGTCTGAATGTCTTCCTGAACTGAACAATTTGCAAGAAATTACTTTTTTGCATTCATCAAATCTGACAGAGTTTTGTAATTCTATATTAATACAGCACTGCAAAGAATGCATGCATTTTGCTCCTCTGCGTTAATTCTGATTGTCAAGCATCACTAAAATTCAGGCAAGGGAAATTCAGGCTGTTATTTCACACTACAAATGTCACAGGCAAGGAAGTTTGATATTTTCAGGGGTTCACAGAAATTTACTCATTTTCCAACACAATACTTATCACAATGGTGTGAAGTGATACAGTATGTGGAACCCAGAGTGATAGCACAGCGTTCATCTACAGTATCATGTGAAACTGAATTCTCACATCATAATCAGTTTTTCACTCATCAATAGAGATGAACTCATGTCTTGTTTAATGTTGTTAGGATGCACTACAGTCAGTTTAAAATTCGTTTAGTTTGGGGGACTGGTGTATTGAGAAATATATTTGAAAATTGGGACCTCCAGCCAAGAGCTTTTGAGACTTTCTGTAGTCAGAAGGAAGTATGTGGAGCAGTGATTGTCATTATGGATGCATAACTGATACATTTTAGGTTCAAATCCCTTGAGAAAGTAGTACTGATGTACCCTGCAGTTTGCTCCTATCACTCCAGTAAAATACACAAGTCAGTTTGGATAAAGGTATGAGCTAAATTAATTAACATCAAAAGGCAGGCATGCTTCTTTGCTCCAGATCCCCGAATGGTGACTATGTTAAATACCATTATCACTGAGCACTACAAGCAATGTACAGTATTATACATAGAGATAAGTGAACCAATTAATTTGAGTAAAAATCACTGAAAATCCATTAAATATAAAATCTATTTTTTTTAATTTTCAAATGTATTTTCCATCTAAATAGTAATTCACTCTAGTAAAACACAAAGAAAAGAAAACACAATGCAAGTTTAAACAGTCACCTATTTGTAATATTTCAGAAAAACACATCTTAATACTACATTTGCATATGTACAGTACACAAAAAGAAAGCATATATAATTCAAGACATCCCCATTAAGAAAAGCCTAAGAAATCCTAACAGTAGGCATCACTTAGTCTGTGCCAAATTAGCTGAGAAAGTCAAGTTTAAGTATTGCACACTGATAACAGCCACATGGTTTAGTAGACATGTTTTTGTTTCATTGGCAAAATATCCAGCAGGCGATTGGGTACATCTTTGTTTGACCAGATGCACTCAGCTATTAAAATGACTAACCAAGTGAAAACAAGCAGCTGGAGCAAAGGAGCAAGATTCAGTTCCATCAAGCAATAGAAGAACAAGAAAACACAAGGAAAAAGCCTGTCTTGGTGTTTTAACAAGACCACCATACAGATATGATGGCTAAATTTATAGAGCTTCATTACTGCTAATGTCCTTCTCATTCTAAATAAAACTTTTACAGTGTGGTAACATTACTATCAATAAACCACAATATAGGGTGGGAACATTACCATCAATATGCCATTTTCGACAAAGAACACTTGCATTATGATTTATATTCATATTCATTGCCATGTCTGATTCAAAATGAGTCTAGTCAAACTATACTCAAGTATACTGTAGGTCCCCAATGTCTTAGGGAAGTGTAGCTTGAAGTAAAATCTAACCTATAAATTACAACCCAATATACAGTAATTTATCAGTGCAACTGTATTTTGAAGCACTCTCAATTTCCCCCTTTGACAGAGCTAGAAGGACTCGGCTAAGAATAAGAATAAGACCAGAATAAGTAAAGGAGAATACCGTCAAATCACTTTTCAACATTTATTGGTGAAGATATTCTTGTGCATCCATAAAAGTGAACTTCATGAGTTTCACATTCAGTCGTGCTGTATACTGAGGGGTGGCATGTTCATACAGTGGTTAGCCTTGCTGCCTCACAACAGTTGTTCCCTGGGTTCAATTCAGGACCTCGGGTGTTGAATTGAGCCGTGTTGATGAAGTCCATACCCTGGCTTTCTTCAGCAAACAACTGGATGAGACTAATCAGATCTATCAATGAATCCATAAGCGATCTTATTTACAGTATATCTTTTAATTAAACCATCTTTCTCCAAAATGTTATTTTAATTTTATTAACAAAGATTGCATTGTATTAATATAATTATTTTTATTTGACAATAACTAAAACTCACAGTGTTGTCTAGGCGTTAAGTATGTCTGCTTAAAAGACCAAATGTTATTTTCATCAAAATGTCGCATTCGGGCAATGAGATATCTACTGCAGAGGAATGTTGTCAACGTCAGTACTGCTGAAGTGTGCGACACGCCAAGTGTTACAGAGGACAGCCAAATCTAAACAAAAATTCGAAAATTTAGAAAATGTTGTCTAAAGATTTTTAAAGTTTATACTTCTCCTCGTTTTTAGCAATAATCAATGGAAACGACAAGGACGTCATTTTTTTCATTGGTTGGCAGCATAGAAGAGATTAACGTCAGGCGATCACAAGGAATTTCGCCTAACGCTTAGCCCTGGATGATCCCCTACACATTGCGTAAATGCAGCGCTGAAGTTTGCTGTTTCAACCAGACGTGGAAGCCCTACCCCCTGTCAGAGCCCCGGGTGAAGACACAAGACACACAGGACACTCTTCAGCGCACAGGACGGTCTCCAGCAGCTCCGCTTCGCTCTCAAAGAAAGACGACTCAATCCCGCAAACTGAATCGTTTCCCGTCTGTTGGGTTTAGGGCTGTACCTGTCTTCTAAAAACATTTTCCCACGGCACAGAGAGCAAGTCTTCCGCAGTTGATCGAGAGGATCGTTGTTGATTCACTCTAACAACATAGTCTCAAAACTTCTAATGGTTGTTTTCATTGTTGAATATATTGGGCCAAAGATGCTTCATTGTGACCGAAGGAGAGGCTTTGATTTTGTTCTTCATCTGCGAGCGCAGCAATCAGAATCCAAAGCCCAGCGCGATCCCCCAAATTTTCACGCTGTATTTTGATGCGCCTGAGCTCTGTCCACGGGCGGTGGTGCTGAAGATCAAGACCAAGAAAACAAAGCAGGCGAAGGACAGCACCGCGCTAGGAACTACGGTGATCACGGTCACCTTTCAACAGGAGCCAAAGCTAAAAAAAAAAAAAAAAATCAATACATTCCGCCAAACGGAAAGACACGATGCCTAGATGAGAGTCAATCACAAAGACGGTGCCCTCCTCAAGAGCAGGAGGTGTCGCAGGAGCCTGTGGATCTCCTGTCGCTCCAAGACAGCTACAGAAGCTGCCTGCAGACATGCCACCTAACCTCACGGCTTCTAACGAAACCGACCCGTCGCCGAACTCGCACTACAACTTCCCTGCTCTGATCTTCGGAATATTGCTAATAGTTATCATAATCTGTGGCAATCTGCTGGTGTGCCTTAGTGTGTGGACGGAAAAAGCTTTAAAAACTACAACGAACTACTTCATAGTCAGCTTGGCTGTGGCGGACCTGCTTTTAGCAGTACTGGTGTTGCCGCTGTTTGTGTACGCAGAGGTGAGTACGCGCTAAGTTTCTTTAAGTTTTAATAGGCGGCAATTATTTTAGCTGCTTCGTCTAAATCCAAGAGCATTTTAAGAGTGGTTTATCAAGAAAAAATACGTTAACGTGCAGCAATATATTCATAAAATAATCTTCTCGCTGTTATCTTTTTATTTATATTATATAAATTATAATATTATATATTTATTTTAAAAACTAAAAAATATACATTAGAGGGGGAAATATCGTGTAAAAAATTGTGATAAAGATGTTTCAAGTAAATAATGCATACGTTTTACTATTTTTTAAAATACATCTACATAATTACCAAGTATCGCCAGCTAATACAGTAAGGACATTGCACGTACAGTACTGTAAGTAATTAAACTCCGAGCTTATCGACGAATCTGCTATCCAATCCCTGTCGCTTTGATAAAAAAAAATAGCACTTAGCAACGAAATGGCACAAAAGACGAAGAAGAACATTCCGTTCAGAGTGAGGGTCATTTAAGACTAAGCACACTGCTGTGAGTGTGACGATTATTTTCCTGTGCTGTAAAAATAAACACAGGAGGCTAAACATACTGTATGTGTAGACTGTGACATTGTTTTAGCTATACTTGCCAACCATTAAACTAATTTAATTAAACTCTTGGGGGTTGTTCGGCGATTCCAAAAAAAAAAAAAGAAGCGCCCGCCTTTCACAAAACAGCGCTTTTCAATTTTCGTAATTCCCTTTTTACAGTCAAGGCCATGAGTAATACATTGAAACTAGAAACAAAAATAAAATAGATACAAACTTCAAGATAAAAAAGCTTTATGTTGTAAAATACCAATTTCATTTCATTTCATTTTCAATTCACTTGTCAACCACTTGGCTGACTTGGTTGGTTGCAACAAAAAATATTTTTAATTCACCTAAAATTAAATTAGATCTACAGACCATATGTATTTTTCTTCCAGTAATGCATATTAATAAACCGTCTGTATTCAAAAAATATTGAAGAAAATGCATTGTTCATATCTTTAGAAAATAACGTTATTTACTAAATAATATCAATGTATAGACCTCTACCTGTGAAGCTGAAACAATTCTTTTAACACTATAAATGAAAAATCAAGTTATTCTCATTTATTACAATCTTCCTTAAAAGTTACCACACACTAGTGGTTTCAAAGAATGCAAGTGATTTCTGAAAGCAAAACTGAGCCAGAAGAGATGATGTGTTGCAAGGTTAGATTTGCTTTAAGGATCATTGGAAATGAGCTTTCTGTGCAGGGTTGGAGATGCATAATTTTAATGAACAATTGGAAAGTTCCTTAGATCAGAGGTTTAAAAAGCACATTGCTTATTTAACTTGCATGTCCTACACGGAATTAGCTGTTCTAATCAGTAGACACCATTATCTCATTAGGCAGAAGATCATTTTAGTCCTATAATCCAAATGTAGAAAGAGCTACAGAAGGTTATGCTAGCCATGTTCTTTAAATACCCCACGATATTAAACAAAGCCCCACATTCATCACATATTTTTTTTCCATTTAGTAATGAACCAGTATGGAGAAAAACTGGTATTTCAAATGATTATTCTAGACTGTAAAACAGTTATTTCAGGTGCCTTCACTTTCATCTGACAATATGGCAACATTAATTTGATTGCAAATTTAGTAGTGATACAAGCCTGATATTGAGGACTATGATACACAAGTTACAAATTAACATATAACTGCTTCTATCAATGAGGTGATGATGATAAAATATGTAACCATTAAGTCTTTTTTTATAATGTTTCTTATAAAAATGTACATAACATTTCTTTTTTTCTAATGTTTTAGGTGCTATATATCTGGATACTAGATTCTGTAATGTACTAATGCAATGCTAATTATCCAGAACAATTTCTTATGATACATATGGTGGCAATTTCAGCACTAATTAACTCAATGTTTGTATTTGGTCTAGTTACTGAATATGAAGTGAAAAGCACCAGGCTGCACAGATTGGCATTACAGTTCACACCTAGGTCCCAGAAACCAGCTATGTCTGGAAAATCAGATTTTCTTTTTCACTCACTGCAGTGCAAAACACAAGGTGTTCTATTTAAAAGGTCTAATTCACTTTTTTTTCTTTGGAATGTATAATTTGGTTAATTGAAAAATAATGCACTATAAATGGGACATATTTTGATGAAAGAGAAAATAACACAGAATGACATGTCCAAAAAAAAAAGCTGTAAAACTAGTTGTTAATACAGTAGATATGTTTCAGGGCTTCCAGATGGAGATGATCACTATCATATTTGTTGAGGCAGTTAGTCCTGCTGTCTCACAGCACTCAGATCCAGAGTTCAGTGCTGGACTGGAACACCGTTTGCATGGAGATCACATGTTCTCCTCTGTTCATGTGGGGTTTCGCCTGTGTTTGTCCACCTTCCAGTGGCATTTAACCTACATCTCTAAAGGCCTGCCTGTGTTAATGTGCCCTGTGCTGGACAGGTATTCTGTCGAAGAAGTAGAGATACTGTACCTTATGCTTTATACTTCTGATGGCCATGATCCTTGTCAGGGGTATGTGGCTTTCTGTGAATGGGTGGATTATTCTTATTATTTGCCTAAGACATGCCCTTTTGCAGGGTCTTTCAAAGATATGCTTGCAAAACCAAATGTAAAAACATGAGAAAATACATGAGAATGACTTCTAATGTAATGTTTGAATGTGACAAAGCAGTCTCCTGCTTGACTGAGCAGGCCTGTAAAGAGAAAAAAAAAGGACCTTTAGCCTCCCCTCACATTACTTTTCATTGCTTGTGGTCATCAGTCAAGTTAATTATATTGAATCTAGTTTCTGAAGATACTGAAAATTATTAATTGTCTTGATTTACTACATAATAATGATACCTGTAGGACTGAACATGATCAGAGTTACAAGCAGTCCGCTGTGCTTGACTTCCACAATCACACAGGAGTATGAGGCATAGGCAGTATTCCAGAGGAACTGCACATGTGTTCACCTGTCCCCAGTAGGAACAGAGCGGTGATACTGATGAGATGGGCTGAGTAGCAATTGCACAATGGCTTGCCAGTGCGCTGGAATGCACAGGGAAATGTCCATCAGACCAGCACCTTTTTCTTCAGTCTATTATTGTGTGATTTTACCGTCTAAAATGCGTCACATAGCAAACATTACTTTACAATAGAGCATTATATTTAAAAAATGTTTTTACACGTCAGTTTTAATGGCAATGCCTTTGCTTTCTGTCCAGTTTCAGGGTGGAGTGTGGTCTTTAAACGCAGTGCTCTGTGACGCACTGATGACTTTGGATGTGATGCTGTGTACCGCTTCCATTTTTAACCTCTGCGCCATCAGCGTGGACAGGTTTGTGTTCTCCCTTCATCTGCATTATTTTCACAAATCATTCTGGTGGAGCTCTGGCCAGACACACCTCCTACAGCATCCTTTAACAAGCCAGTTGTTATTTTGAATTTAAAAAGCATGCTTATCCTATACAAATAAAATCACCTCATTTTATTTTACATTGCTAACATTTATATTTTATGAATTTGTTCAATTTTTATGGTTATCTGTTTGCAAGAACTATTTTTAAAGTGAAAGCATAAGAAACAATGGCCAGAAAAGAGTCCCTGTGAGAACTCTTTTTATTGAAACATTTATTTTGGCCAGGAGAAACAGGAGATGGATATCTGTCATAAGCTATAAATATAATTTGATCACTTCATACTTATTATAAATAAGTTATGACTTAAATATTGCCTGGCCTTCGCAAATAAATATTGCCATTTTAATTATTTAAATGTTGTAGTGTTTTAGAACAAGCAACCTCGTCATGTTGTTATTGCCAGAACCCTGGCCTCTTGCAATAAATGGATGGAATACATCAGTTAGCTACTACAGTAGCAACCAAATAGGCTCATTGGGCCAAATGACTTCCTTTTGACTGTAACCTGTCTTATGGTCTTTAAATCTCTTGAGTCGTGTTCTTTAGTTAAACACTGTTTGACAAAATATTATTAGTTTCAAACCAAAAGTCTAGTCCTTTGTCTTAGAGAGTTTTTAGCACTCTTGAGAGATAATCTCTCTTGACTTCATTAAACCTATAATACTTTTCCAACATAATTTATCTGCCAGTTTCCTAAGCTTTTAGGCAGTGTCACAGTTCCAAAAATGTACTCCTGTAAGTAAACTTTGTGATGCACAGAGCATTTGTTGTCTTCAGTAATGAAAAAATACTTTCAATCACATTGGTACTCATCCTATCCCATGAGTCAAAAATTCACTCTCAGAGCCTCTATGTCTGAAAGATATGTCTGATCTGGCAAAGGATATTCACATAGGAAACTATTCATGTCAGCTGTCACTTAGTTTTCAGGGCAGGTCACTGTGATTGCACAGTCTGAAATGATGATGGAAAATGACTTTGCTTTTAAACAAAGGTGACCCTTTTCAAAATTCCTTAAGAAAGCCTTACTGGAATACACAACAGCATACAAAATCAGACAAAATGATGAATCCATCAAAATAAAAAGCAAGCCATTATCATGCAGGAGTCGTTGGCGTTTAAGCCTGTATTGCCCTGCTTTGTCGTCACTCTCTGTCTCCAGGTGACATCGTGACTTACTGCAGCAGTAAGTTTGAGATAAATGTGTACCTGTACCAATCCCAGCTCAGCTGATGACATCTTTTGTGGTAACCTAAAGATGTTCTACAGTTTTCCACAAGAGGCTCAAACTAGGCAATCTAAATAATTCAAAATTATTGCATTTCGTTAGGGTAAAAACCCGCTAGGCATACAAAGAGATAATAGATTTCCATCCCAGGTCCTTGGAAGAACATGCTGTCTGTTGGTTTTTTTATTCCAGCTGGGTTCTAAATCACTGGTATTCATTGATAACTTATCTAAAGAGGCAAGTGGATCTATTAAAATGGCAACATGGCTGTGCAGCTTGTGAGCGGTGGCTCTGTGGCTCAGGATCTTCCCCCTGTGGCTGGAAGGTTGCCGTTTCAAATCCCACAGCTGGCAGAGGAATCCTACTCCGTTGGGCCCCTGAGCAAGGGCCTTAACCCCAACTGCTCCAGGGGTGCTGTACAATGGCTGACCCTGCGCTCTGACCCCAAGCTTCTCTCCCTGTCTGTCTCATGGAGAGCAAGCTGGGGTACGCAAAAAGACAAATTCCTAATGCAAGAAATTGTGTAGGGCTAATAAAGTGATGTGATGTGATGTTAGACCTTTATTTTACTTGAGTGTTTTTTTTCCCCCGTCTGTGAATTTTTAATGGGTCACTCCTGAAGGGGGGCAGGTCTTTAACTCTTGATACCAGTTACCAATTCCATTTGATCTATAAAAACTGAAAACTGAAATTTACGAATACCACACATGGAAAACTGAAATCAACTAGCCTGTGATTAAGAACAAGTTTGGGGCACAAACCAGAAGATGCAATGAACCACAAGTGTTCCTTCATGCCCAGAGCTGGGAACCACTGCTCTAGACCTTTATTCTGCGCTTATTAAGATAGAACTAAACCATGCCTAGCCACCAGGATGGTCTTTGTCTCTTAGTATTGTATGTCACAAATAGATTATTTAAAACGTGATGCTTACAATAAAGACTTACTGTGTTTTTATAATTTTTTTCACTATTTTTTATTTTTTTGTTGGTTTTAATTCAGCCCAAAAGAGAGATTTCCTCCTGAATTTCCCCAAGAATGCACTGCACTGGTAAATCTCAAATCAGTTCAAATCAAATCTCTAAATCTCAAATCAGAGTAGTAATAACCAAAAGACACAAAATCTCACTTTAAATTGTACACTAACACCCCCTCTTCTTCACAGGTTTATAGCTGTTTCCATTCCCCTAAACTACAACAGGAGGCATGTTGACCAGAGACAAATTATCCTGCTCTCCGCCACTTGGATCTTTGCTTTGGCAGTGGCTTCACCGGTGATTTTTGGGATAAACAAAGTCCACAACCGAGATCCCACTCTATGCAAGCTGGAGGACAACAATTACATCATCTACTCGTCCGTCTGCTCCTTCTTCATCCCCTGCCCCATCATGGTGGTTCTGTACTTTGGGATGTTCCGGGGCTTGAAAAAGTGGGAGGAGGCGCGCAAGGCCAAACTGAAGAGCAGCATGCAGGCCTGCCGGAAATACCACAGCGGGCACAGCCTGCCTCCCCTGCCACCCCTCCCCCCGCCCATCATCGAGCGTGACCTGGCGGATGTCAAGCTGGAGGAGCTGAGCCGTTACTCTCACCCTGACTGCCCCTTCCCCAAGGAGTACAAGAGAGACTCCATTCAGACAGTGGCTTTCCCAGATGGGAAGTACTGCCAGGCTGCTCCCAAGAAGAAAAGAGCCAAGATTAATGGCCGGGAGAGAAAAGCCATGAAGGTGTTGCCTATTGTCGTAGGTAAGTGCTCTGAGAAGATTTAATCATTTTCTTGATGCCGGTACCTGGGAATGGAGGTTTTCCCATTCTCTTCAAATGGCTGAAGTTCAGAATACTGCTTTAATGAAAGTAGGACTGAAAGAAAGAAGGAGTTCAATTAGGTCAGCATGCGTAGGCAGCAAAGGAACAAGTAAAGGTTTCTTCACCCGAAGAAGGCACCACAGCCGAAACGTTGCGTTTCTTTTCTTGTCTTTTCAGCGTGGAATAAACCTTTACTTGTTCCTCTGAAAGAAAGAAGGCTTGGAAATGAGAACATAAGGGCTGCCACTCATAAGGTTGCAAGCAAGTGGAAGCCATGTAGCCCATCTTGGTTTTTTAGGTTTGAGTTGTCATGCGACTCAGGAGAGAAAACCTGTAAAAATCAGTTCCCTCATAGAAATAGTTCCTTGTTTTCCTTGTATCTATATTCACAAGTATATCTGTTGTATAAATGTAGAGCAATGCAGAAAGGGAGTCATGTCCTTACTTACATATATTAGATAAAGGAAACATTTTCCAGCACGTTGCTTTCTTGTGCGGAAAGGGTTTTTCTATTTTCAGTGCAAAATTTAGTTATTTTCCACTTACATTCTTCCTGAGTTTAATTTGAAATATTTATTAGGGTCTATCACATTTATTCTCTTTGAAATTCTGAAAACTTTGATCAAATGACTTTTACCGTGACCAAAATAAAAATAATCTGTCCTCATAATTCACCCCCTTATGTCTCAGATTAACTTTCTTTTCTTTGGACTTTCTCCAACTTTTCTGTATCTTTTTTATGATGATAATTGTACACATTGTTCAGATGTAGTTTAACAACACATTGCACAGGTTTGAACATTAACTCTCAACAATACCTGTATGTTGTCAATTATGAGTTTACGAACTCTACTCTCACCTAAATCTTTTTTCCTTCATGCACCAATTAATTGTCACCTATGGTACTTATCCTTATTTCTTTCAGACACAAATATATATTTCCATTCAATTTAATTTCACCGTATATGAATATTTTGCATGGCTGCATTGTATCCCAGGAATTTTCATCCCCTTAGAATCATCAAGGATCCCAGATCTATATGCTGTATATACTGTATATCATCTAACCTGCTTTTGTACAACCCTGGTTTTGTATATGATATAATTTGATCAAAGCAAAACTCTAGTTAAGTGTAATCAACTCCTTAATGATTGATCTAAAACAACTGTTAGCAGCTATTAATGGTCTTATTGATCTCTGTAAGAATCGAAAAGCATACAGTACACATCCAGACTTGTTGACTTACATTTAGTGTCTTTGATTAGAGCATTAAGCTACAGTATTTCAAAGTGGTTCATTCTTTTCAACTAACATAGAAGGCACAGTTGCATCACCTTCAGTAGTGAAGACATTAATTAAATAGATATTTAAAGTATCAGCTGTCTCTGTTATTTTATATTATTCACACCTTACAACTATGGTGCACTTCACCTTTTCTTTAACCCTTCTTGAAAATACTGGAAACGGCATTTGGAATTCAATATCGATGTTTATTTCAAGTTGTCTTCGGTGTCTACAGTGTGGTTCGTTGTTTTCAAGAAAGTCTTATTATGTATTAAAGCTGGAACTGTACTGTAGTTCTTTAAGTGGGATAGTATCATTATGGAACAAAAGGTGCATAAATGATGAGGATTCCACTGGACATTCCCAGAGCAATGTGGGGAAAGAAAACCTGGCAGAAAAGGTCAAGCAAGTATGTAGAACTGGCCATTCGATCTCCCGTTTCTCTATTTCATTTGTCATTTCATCTCTTCTTGGCTGACACTATCCCAGTTCAATCCTAAGTGTACTGGAGAAAGATTATACTTTAAAAATATTTTTTTACAGAATTTAGTTTAAGCAAAAACCTTAGAGTTCCTAGAGATTTCCTGCCCCTTTTCACTTTTGAGTTATACCTCCAGCCTGCCTAAAACTACCTAAAATACCATGTGGGTTTTGTTCTTGTGTGGTCTCAGGTGGTCTAACAGGTAAACTATTCAGCTACTGTCAAAAGCATTTTATACGTTCAGAAGAAAATGTCATGCCCATCGATGAGTTACAATAGCAGCTATATTAAAAATAACCTGTAATTGTCAAGCTAAATGTATAAATGGAGCTATCTGTTACAAATTCTTGTGAGGCAAGGGTGTGAAGAGGAAGACATGGGCCCCATGTCAATCTTACAGATTGGTCACTCTACTCTTTCAAGCTGTTCCTACCATAAAATCAAACCTGAAGCCATGCCACCCACAGCAGACTGATGGGTGGATGTTGGCAGGAATAAGTGCATGAGGTGCCAGAGTATCAGGCAATTTCACTGCGTTATCCAGTGTAATAGAACACATTATGTCATATTTTGTTCAAGTGGTTCCAAGACCCAAATCAAACACAGATTGTAACTTATAGGAGGAGAACATAGTCAATCTCAATATGTTTGAATATGAATATTGTGGCACCAAACAACATTTTCATACATCGAGGTTCGTTTTTTTACTAGTATTCAAACTAATATGATATTTCTTTTTTATATTTATATAACATATAAAAAGTCATCTTATGAGTTATGTTATGAGTCATCTTCTTTCTTAGAGTATGATTTATATTCTCAGAGGTCTGGGGTGTATCTGTGTCAGATGTTCTGTAGTGTGGTACAACCACAATATTCCATCCAATAAGATCCTCTAAGTGGGGCTTACTGGTAACCTTGAAAAGACCAGTACAAGAGCATTGCCATTGAGCTAAGCCTGTTAAGCAACCTTCCGTCAGCCTGCAAGCCATGTGTTAGGAAGTGGGACAGACATGCAAGAAGGCAGAAACCCTTTGATAACCCTGTCAAGTAAAAGCTGGGATCTCTGTCGCTGACAAACGCAATTTTACAGATAAAGGCTGAAGTACAGAAAACAAAACAATAGTCAATTCGAGGGCGTGGTGCTATGTGGGTGCTAACACACTTCTCAAAGGTCCCGTTCTGCTGATTCTGTTATATCAGGGTGTTCAATTTCTGTCTTTTTAAAAACTCTACCTGGTGCCTAAGAAACAATAGAGAACCCTGAGAAGTAGTGATTGTAGATAATTATTACATGCTGCCCTTTGACAGATACCATTGTAAATTAAAGAGCTGGCCTAGATAAGTCAAACAGAGCACAACCTTCAGAGATTCAAAGAGCTAGATTAGAATCTTGCTACTTGTAATGTCATCTGAAAGAAGCTAAAACTATATGCAACTACAAAAACACCTACACAATAAAAGTTAGATTATTTCCCTTTTCAACAGATATATAAATGCTATGTCAAAAATTATTGAAACACAATACAAATTCCTTGTTGACTTATTCTTAGACAGGAATCCCAGGTAGCTCAAGATCAAACATTAGGCAAGATCCATATGTATTTAACAGTGTTTTAATAATTGCCATTCTATGATATTAACAGCATATTAATGTATTATAAGAATGGAGACAATTCAATTGTTTGGAGGTGTAATCACACTTGTTTTGCAGAGAAAAATTACATTAATTACTTTAATCTTGGATTATGACATCTTGATATGATATCTTGATTAAGCTATTTAAACAAGAATCTGGTAGCTTGTAAGGCCAAGTTTTTCTAAAGTTTGTAACTAAAAGAAAAATATCGAACAGGACAGTGATTAATGTTTTACTGGAAACTGGCTAGCTCAATTAATTGGATTGGTTAAATGGTTTTTGTTGAGCCTTGTCTTAGAAAATCAAGACTAAAATAGATTTTTTATTAATGAAGACACCCACAGGCTGAACTACTGTACCGCTACAGAGAATCAGAAGTCATGCCTTGGCAAGCTGTGCCTGAGGAGCCTTGTGTGACTGCAGGGCTCTAAAGTATTCTGGGATGTTCTGGGCCTTCATTTCTCCTAAATTCTGAATATAATAAACATCCTGCAGTTTTCAATGTATGATAATAACAGAAAATAAATAAAGCAACACAGTAGGGAACTTGGAAAACAAAAATAATTTTCAAAAATTACCTTTGTGCACTGGTGAAAGACCTACCACGAAAGCTCAACCGTAATGTCGGTGTTTGTGTTTTTATTGCTACTGATGCCTTTTTTACTGAACGAGCAAGAAATGCAAAAGTTGTTTTTCCGTACGCAAGTTCCTAAGTATTTTTATTTTATTTTAATTCAACTAAAAATATCAAAATTGCTTCCCTGATTTGAATTATTTACTTTGCTGGAAATAATAATCCAACATTTTGCCTCGCACCAATTTCAGAATGTACTCTGATTCTCGTGAAGGCTGAAATGATTATGCCCCAGTATACTTGGATACCTTGAGAATGAATTAAACAATCTTTCTAGCACTGCATTAATTAGGAAAATATGAGCCTATTACTACTGAAGCATGACTGAATAAATTGATCTGATAGGGCTGAAATTGTTTTTATTCTAAGATGTTATACTTTCGGATTACAATTTTTCTTCAGTCTCACAACACTAGACAAAGAAAGGCTTTTTTTCCTAATCTGTATCTCATCTAAACCTCTTCTTGCAGGTATAAATAGAAAACCCATTGGCACTCTTTGAATTATTAAGCAAAAGCGAACCCTAGCAAGAGAAAGTTATATTTATAATCTACAACTTCATTTATGACCCTGATGATTCATTTATCTTTCTGCTTCAGGACCGGTTTTTCAAATTTAAAAAATATGGACTGTGTATTTTTCAAAATGAAGATCTCCTTGATTTTGTCCTCTGAAACGAACTTTCCATAATGATGTATGCGCAGCATTGACTAGCATTGGTGCTCAATTCCAGACCTGGGGAGCTAAATACAACACCTCCTCAGTACTGCTGTAAAATCAGTGAAAACTGTGATGTACTGTAGTTATCAAACCTTCAGGACAGTTCATTATTCTTAGAATCCAACTGAATAAAGCAAAGCAGGAGACAAGCCTTTAGATCTTCAACAGTTTTCATGCATACCGTAGTCTTTGACCCTACAGATGATTCAAGCAACAGTGAGGATGAGCTATGGAGTATATAACCTGTGGTCATGTCATAGAAACCTTCTTACAGACACAGACACATCCCAAGGGATTTGCAGTGTCAGCTAATTGATTGCATCTAGGAAAAGCTAAAAGAAAACTCCCTCAATCAGCATGCAGGTAAAACACAGGCTGCTCAGCTGCTTTAATAAGTTTACAACTACAGTACTACAATTTTGATAAAGGAGCTGACGTAATCCCAAGGTTTTGTAAAACACCAAATGTGAATTGGACTCCTAAGTAATCAGATATCGGAACTTGGCTGTGTGTCTAGTTTTTAGGTTATATGTTTCATCAGTGAAAAAGCTGTAATGTAACTTTTATTAAGTGACAAAAATTGCTGTTTCCAAAATGGTAAGATGGTTCATATAGGAACTGATTCTCAGGATGGTCATCTTTAATGTTCTATGATGCTGGCCAGCACTGAATCCCCTCACATTTCTGTTCTCTCTCTTTGTTTCAGGTGCATTTCTTTTTTGCTGGACACCATTTTTTGTGGTGCACATCACCAGAGCACTGTGCGACGCTTGTGACATCTCCCCTCAGTTAATGAGCATCGTCACTTGGCTAGGCTATGTCAACAGCGCTTTAAATCCCATTATCTACACTGTCTTCAACACAGAGTTTAGGAACTTTTTCCACAAATTCTTGCACAGCTGCTGTTAACAAAACATTCTCAACATGATTGTACAGAAAAGCACAACATTTTTGTATAGTGTAATAAAATATATTTCTTGTCATAATACCGTCTCTTGAGTTTTTTCTTGCAGTCTTCTGTTCTTCCACATTTGCAGTTTTAATTTTAAAATGGGCCAATTTATAATAAAACAACAAAGTGAAAAACTAAAAATATCTACAGTCAGTGACCTGCCTGAGAAAGCTTTATTTACAACATATTACACTAATTAGTTTGAGTCAACTAGCTGTACATTCTGGTGGCACTAAGAGATTTTTATATAAATAAGATTTTATATTGATAGGCGTAGTTCCACAGAACTTTCTAACAGCTGCTCAATCATAATGGACAATGAACATTCCTTAGTGATGAAGATTTCACCCTTCTAACTCCTTCAGGAAACAAAGAGTGAGAAAACCCATCTGTACAGTAACCTTCAAAAACCTTCCTTTTGAAATCAAGAGCTTGACCCATTGCAAGCACATTCAAGGTGTCGTCATCAACAACTTTAGATGTGTGCAGAAGTCCTTAGGAGTGCCCCTTAAGTGCTCTCATTTGTCTTTTCCCCAGAGGAGCAGTGTAGAGTAGTGAAGTCTTCCATGTAAGCAGTTGTTTTAAGGATATGTGTGTGTCGGTGTTTGTGTGTTAAAACTTAAAAAGAAAGATTAAATGTTGTTAACAATATGGAGGATTGTAATTGGAAGGAGCAAAACAGCAGAACTGTATCCTAGAATACATGACCCTCAAACAAACACAAGGCAGTCAAAAATACTATTCTGAATACATGCAAGGCAAGGCAGCTGAAAATCACATTATTATCCATTATAACAGTGCAAAGCGAGGCACAAAACAATTTCTAAATTCAATTTAGGACAACGTGTCCCAATTCAAGAAGAACCGCTCAGAAATTAAATACTAAGATGACTCAGTTGGTGTTTTGTGTGTTTCATAAGTGTACTGCTATATTCTGTAATATTTTCAATGGGTTTTCACTTCAAATGAGTCAGTGAATGACTTGAGAGATGCTTCCTGAGCAACACCTGGCTTTTTAAACCACAAGACAATATAAGCTCTACACAAATTTGGGCTTATCAGATATAATAAAAAGCTAAGCTAGGTCTTGTCAATCGTTATGTCCAAGTAAAAGAAAAGAAATAACATATCAAACCATAAGTGGTGATAAATATCAACTACGAATATTGCCCAGTGCAAAAAGGAAGTTGTTACAATGTCGCTAAGCGACATAAAAAACAAGAACTTAGATGGTGGTGCTGCATTCAAAACAGCCAAAAGAAGATGAGATACAACTAGGCAATTGCAAACGTCACCTGGAAAACCAATTATTTTTTTGCTAATATTCTCAAGGTTAATCTGGTATTACAGAATTATGTACAGAACCCCGACGTCCTGGCCAAATTTCCCATTGGCCATAACCAATCATGGCCTCCTAATAATCCCCATCTATGAATTGGCTTCATTACTCTCTGCTCTTCTCCCCACTAATAGCTGATGTGTGGTGAGCGTTCTGGCGCACTATGGCTGCCGTCGCATCATCCAAGTGGTTGCTGCACATTGGTGGTGGTGGAGGGGAGACCCCATTACCTGTAAAGGGCTTTGAGTGGAGTGTCCAGAAAAGCGCTATATAAGTGTAAGCAATTATTATTATTTTTATTATTATTATCGTAAGCTAAAATAATTGTTTACTATTTGCAAGATAGTAACAGGGAATCATTGCCTGTTTTCAGCCTGTGAATCACATGCACTACGCTACAAAACACTAAGGGTCCTAAATAAGATCCCACTTTAAACTCACTTATGTTGTTGAAGCTTTAATGGCCTTGGACTCCACAAAACCAGTTATCTCCCTGGAAAAACAAAGCAAGAAAAATGTGAATTAGAAGCAAACTAAAGCACGTCATTTAGTACCGGCCTAAGATGTGGCATTCATAACCATGTGCCTCTACAGACCAACTGAGATCATTTTTCAAAATGGAAAAATGGTTCATTTACAGTACATTGGAAATAAATAGCAGCTGGAGTGTTTCCAACGACATTGCCGGCTACTCTTTCTCCAGATTTCACAGGTGCTGTACGATTACCAGTGATTCAGACTTATTTGGCTTGACCAGATATAATCTTCATATGAGCACAGGGGAAATGAGGACAGTGAACTCCTCTAACCAATGAGTAATTTCCATTGATCCATTGTTAGAAAGCTGCTTATTCCTCTGAAGGGTAACCCAGATCCTATCCTGGAATCACAGAGCACAAGGCAGGAGTACACTGAGGACAGGACACAAGTACATTGCTGGCAACATGTACTACACAGAGACGTTTGCCATTTTTCCCCACAATGCACAATGCCATAGTTGGTATTTACAGACACCCATCAAGTCATTGAGGCCGCTGTTGCGCAACGACACCAGAATACACAGCATAACTCAAGTGTGCACCATCATTTGAGCAATCCCAGTCTTAGATGACGAGTGAAGTAGTGCAGACTTGCACTAGTGATGTCAGGACATGGGATTAATCTGTATTCTTGAACACTTTTTCACTGCCTGAGCCTCTTTTGAAAGCACTAGGTTTGCTTAGTTGCTGTTCCTAGTTTTAGCCAGCTCAAACTGTAAAGTAATTTGCCAACCCCAATTCTCAAAAGTCTATTACCCAGATATGGGAGTGTCATCTTTCATTACAATCAAAATAAACTCAAGTGTCTGATTTGACCACCTGCCAAAAAAGCACAAGCTGTCTCCTGCCTTTTTTCCCCAACCACATCACTGAGCACCTTCACTAGGAGAGCCATGTCTGAGGAATTCAGAGAAGAGCTTCTTAAAAAGCACGTACAGTATTCTGTCACTGCCATGGCTTGTACAACTCCTTCACAAAATGAGTTAACATGCAAATGGACAAAAGATTGCGTTCAATTCTAAATTTATGATCCAAGATCATAATGCAAAAATAAAAGGCTAGACATAAAAAGATTTCACGATAAAGTTCCCGATGGAAATTCAAATTCAAACTCAGACATGTGCAAGGACACAAAAATGGATCAATCTAATAAATGAAGTCATGTAAACCTAATATTGCATTACCAGTGACGTGCATAGAGGTTCCAATACAGATTGGTCTGGTTTCCATATCTAAAAAAAGCATAGCTTTCACATCTTCTGGCAGCAAATGCTAGATCTCACATCAAAAGGCCTCAATTTCAAGACACTGTTACACCACAAGAGACGGGTGCAGATTTATTCAGCTATAGATGACAAAAGTAATGCATTTGGGGCTGACCACATGACAGAGGTGACAGATATTTGGTGGCTCAGTAAGGCTTTATTCTTTCACCTTATGGTCAGTGAAGAGGTGTCAGTAATAAATGGCTGCATATTTTACAGATATATATATATGTGTGTGTAAATTTTATATATGTGAGTGAGCAGAGCATCTATCCGTGCTTTACTTTTGTGAATCGAACATGTATTCCCTAAGGATAAAGCAGTTTCTGAAAATGGATGGATGACAGGATCATTTTGAGATCAGTCTGCTGACTCTAAAGTGCCATCATACATTTTAGGGGAAGAAAACGGGCAGTGTCAAGAGCCTCTCTCACACACCAGTCTTGGGTATAGAATGTAATTTCCAACTCAGAAACATTTTTCAGTAAGATCCTAAGTCAGATTTGCACTTACCAGTCTCCCTGTAATGGACAAAAGGTGTGTTGTCTCCACACTGTGATTTCAGACTCACTGTACCTGCTTTTGTTCTGATGGGATGGGAAAACTACATCAGCAGCATCCATTTAATTCATTTTGTGTGACAAGAGGGGAATGATGGTGACATGACTTACTTCCGAGGGGTCGTGACTATGAAATTCAGGAGCAGTTAGTCAGCAGTGCCTGTTGGGTCTTTAATTATTCTGATTCAGAGAAACAGGAGGGCAGGTTTGAGGACAGTGCACTATTTTGTGTACAGTGTATGACTGTTGCAAGAAACCACTCATGAACCTGAAAACGACCCCCCTTTCTAATGAGACCTTTAAATGAAAGTTTGTCATTGCTTCTATAACCAACATGAATTATTAATCCTTTTTGAAAGCTTTTGCATAGTCCTGTAATGCAAAACTTTCCCCTTTTATTAAATGCTATCGCTGTACCATTGAAATGATAAAACACATCCCAGATTCTAATTGAAAATCAAATCTAAATAGAAAAAATATATAAATTTGATACCATACCCAACTACAGTCTCTCCTAGATAAAACAAGAAGTCAGTAAGTCATTTATATTAGCAATCACTACCAGAGACTGCATAATTAGCAATCGAAGGCGACATTGTCACAAAGAGGATGGACATGAGTGTGAAAAACTGATCAAGAAGTAAAACTGGTTAAATACAAGGTATTTAGGGGCAACTATATTAATAAAAAGAGTAGTAGAAAAGTTATTTTAAAAAAGTCTAAGATTTGCAGTTACTTTCAAGGGCTTGGGATTATATATAAATACTCCTCCTATATAAACTGTTGCATTTTTAATACTGTTTGTACATCAAACATAGAGATTAGACACAATGGAATTTTCCTTTTGCTAATTCCAAAGCAAGAGTTTTAATTAACAGTATCCAGGAAAATCTTGGCGTTACAAAAAGCTTGATATAACAGTTAATGAAAGTTCAATTAAATCATTCCAAATCGTTAAAAAATGTTTGGTTTCCATCTTGCTATGCTTGTTCTTTAAGTATTCCATTAAGACAGTTGTTGTCTTTTGCATTTATTATCTAAATTATTCAAAATATTGAACACGCATTAGAACACAAACTGAAAATAAATCCCTTGAGCAAGAGGTTCATGAAGCAGCTCATATTTTACAGGGCTTTTTAAATGTTTGTTTTCAGACCATAACACTTTGATGTAATAATATAAAATATAAAATAATACCCCCCCAAAAGACAAAATTAATAAGACACATACAGTGCAACTGTTATTTCACACACAATACAAGGACAATATGTCTTTCCGCTACAAGACATCTTTTACATCAGAACAAGAAATAGGTTTATTCCATGCTGAAAAGAAAAGAAGGAAAACGCAACGTTTCGACTGTGGAGCCTTGTTCGGGCTCATGACACACCTGAAGAAGGCTCCACAGCCGAAACGTTGCGTTTCCTTTCTTCTCCTTTTCAGCATGGAATAAACCCGCTACCTGTTCCTTTGCTGCCTACGCATGCTACAGTACCTACTTGAACTATCTTTTACTCCAGTATGGATAGAGAGAGTTGTGAACTGCATCAAAAAACAAAACTGTTCAGGTTATTAAGCATGCTGTGAACTCTGAAGATGACACCTCTATTAATCAATTCATCAGAAGCAAGCGTTGACATCTCTACATTATTCTGAATAATCTTACTGATATGGCCAAACTGCATGCTTAGTCTGATACTGCACTCACAATTAATTTCTTGTACTATTGCAGATTAACACAAAACTACCAAAAACTTCACTGGGATTTCTCATTGACCTAACACAGCTTTGTTGCCCATTTACTCATCTTAAAAAAAGGAATATTTGATTTCAGAGTTTAACAGAAAAGAGGACAGATACAAGCTAAAAGAAGGACTCCAACCAAGGTCAGAGACAGCAGCAGTAGGCGACGATTGATTAGAGTAGAAATCAGTGGATCAAACTGAGCATGAAATGCTTATCATGGCACTGATTGAAATTGTATGTGAGCAAGTCAACCCACAGTAGGCTTAATGAAACATTTGCTTTGTCCTAGGGCTGATTGTGATGAAACAGAGGGAAGAGTATTATATTCAGGCAGGCACTGAATCCAAAGGTTTGGGAAGAAGCTTAGTAAAATGACAGATGGGTCCAAAGGCAAAGACTAGGTCTCCAAAAGACACTCTACTGGTCATTAATACATTTTCAATATAATCTGATTTTATTTTTTTCACCAATGGTTGTGAAAAAACGTAAAATGACACTAAGAGTTAAATTAGTCTTTAAAGCAATTAATCATAATATAATTCCATTGGGCCTCCACCTGCTCCTTCGAACGGACTCACAGGTTACTATCAATCTTGACAACTTTTACTGACAGGTCTGGCTGCTACTCAGTAAGACTTCACGGAGACCTACGTACCCTCTATTCACTCCTGCTTATATTAATTCATATTGTTCTTTCTGAAAAAAGAACACTTGGATGAGAGTACAACTGCACAAGAACTGTGACAAAATGGAGAGAAGCTTTTCATCTTAAAATGTTTAAAAAGTCCCATATTCCTTCTTTTCTGAAATTCCACATTGTAAATGCTGTTTATTTGTATTTATTGTAGGTTGAAAAACCAAACATTGACCCCCAAAAAGCATTTAGTGTCTTACTGTATGTTATTTATTTGAATGCTATTGTGTGTACTGCAAGGTTTTTCAATGTGCTTTCTGCCTAAGCTATGAACAACCAAGCTCATTAGTTGTGTGGCTAAAAATATCATCTGACAAGAGGTGTCAAATGCTTGCAAGGAAGTTTTACAGAGGTAGTAAGCTAGCATTACACCTTTCTGCTTATATTCAGGCTTCATGGGTTTCAGCATAATTTCTTCTCAATCAATGCAATGAACCATACAAAAGTGTGAACATACTGTGCACTATTAACACTGAAACAAATCTGAAAACACTCAACAGATGCAGTGGTTGCTAAAATACTTTGTTAGAAAATCTTTTTTCATACCTTCTTCAATCTTGCTGTAAAAGTGAGAAATTGCTTTTCAATGTTAAAGTTTTTGCTGACATTAATAGGACATCAGATCTCTCCTGTCTTCAGTGATCTGATTAGAGTGCCTTTTTGTCAATTGCAATAGCTGCATAATATCTAGTCTGGTGTGGGAGCATGCTTATTAGCAGATCAAAGAGATCAGGCTTGAGGTGAGACTTTAACTGAGTGATATACTCTGCTTAGGAGTGGGATAGAATTATGAGTCGCGCAGACACTTTGGGGAAAGAAAGGAATACAGTGGATCATAAAAGGCTGCCTTGAGCAAAGAACAACCTGAATTGGAGGTAAAACAGATACCTGTATACACAGTACAACAACAACAGCACTTTGCAGTTTTCCTCACAAAGGAAATTAAACACACCAAAAAAGTAATTTTGTTTTACCTCAAGTTTCAGACCAAAGAATTAATGAAATACTCAATAATTTAAAAAGTTAATTAAAATTACAAAATGGATGGATGGAAAAATCAGGAAAGATTACACATCCTTTCTTATTGAAAACCTGTATAAAAGTTACTGTATGTTTGCTTTGGAGAACGAATTAAACTTTATGGAAAGCAAAATAATTCAGCATGAACTTTACAATCAGCCCAGTCTAATGCCTTGGGTGATGCTACCTGAGCGATAATGAGAAAACAAGGTAAAGTGGTAAATGTTTCTAGGTTTGGGTCTTGGTGGAGAGTAATTCAGAGTAACAATGAATAATGAAGCATTTTTTCCCCAAATATGTAGACATATTAAACACTTCATTTACAGAAACACATCACAGAGCATCCCAGCAGATTTCTTTAGGCCCCTGCTAACAACTTGACTCCCCTTGTTGATTGCACCCAGCTGAGAACACAGAGCACACCCTTTTAAAACAGCTGTACCATCGATCTCTCTTAACCAGACAGGTGTTCCAGGTTACACTAATCATTTACTTCAAATACCAGCACATTAATGCCAACTTAAACCCTTAAGAGGATATTAATTATCAATCAAAATTCTCAGGTCTACAGCTTGGCAGTTATACTCAACTCAACTTGGCAGTTATTTTGGTACAACTCAAAATCACATCATACAACTCTATCAATTATATTAGCAATATTTGATTTCCACAACATGTACACAATTTAATGGTACTTACTGTTCATTTTATGATTAATAAAGAGCATGCAATGAACATCAAGTAAGAAATTGTAACCTTACCTTGAAACATCTCTTCTTCCACCTTGGCTTTGTCTGAAAGGCCAAAACCTTTGCTCAATCGAAGACTATGAGTGGACCTCAAACACACTGATAAAATCAACTCAATTAAGTTTTTAAGATGCAACAGTGAAAGAAAAAGGAACACCAATGAAAAGTATGGGGAAATGCTCTTCAAACAGAGAACACACAAAAGCTGTCAGAGTTTTGAAGTTACACAGCCATATTATTGAGCCAGGGTTCTCTAATTAAACAACCAGATGCATTATCTCAGATCAATTATCTTCTAGCAATGGAATGAGATAAATGAGCTGAACAACCTCCTTTCATTTGTAACCTTTCTTATGTTCTGTGTTGGAGCAGAGTGGGCGAGACCATGGTAAGTGAAAAATAGTCCAACTAATTGCCACTTGTCAGGTTAGCAGAGTATTGGTGGTTAACAGGAGGACTGAGGTTAGAACAAAGGACAATAATGGGCTCATGTGCAATAAAGTACTTGTAGCTGCATGTATCAACGTTAACTTTGACAGCTAAGCAAAATTACAAGTAATTGTACTACAAGGATTAAGTTTCTTAGTGATTTAGATTGCACTTTTAATTCAAGTATCTTAAACTCTGCCAATTATATTTCATACTAACTGCATGAAAAAAAGTGATGAGAGATATAAAGTCCACAATTCTATCACTGTATTGACTAAAGACTCACATGAGGGTTTTTATATGCTCAAAAGCAAAATAAATTCCTTTTTTAAATTACCTGTGATTGTTTAAAGTCCCAAAACTTCAAAGGAAATCTAAAAAAGTGTCACGTTTATAATCCCTCCCCCTAAAGGGCGCTCAGGCTCTCACACATTTTAGTTAATTTTGTGCACCTGCTCCCTGTTCCAGCCTCCCTACAAAAGCCAGACGCTCACGCTGGTCTGGGCTCTGTAGTGGAACGTGGACACCTGCCTACCACCAAGTTGCCCTATGTCTGTGGCTTGAGGGCATTGACCTCCTATCGGTGTTATGACCAGCTGAGTCCAGGACTTAGAGCGCCTGGTCCCGTTACCCTGTTTATCTCCCTGACCCTTCACCGGCTCCCACTCTGGTTTTTAACTTTGTTGTGTCTGTCTTGGATTGGATCACCCAGTTCTGGACTTTTGCCTGCTCTGGATTTCCCTGGAGTTTCTCTGGAGTTTTTGGACTCCCCTTGGACTGTTTGCCTGGACCACACCCCCCCCGAGCACCTTTGCACCTTTGCCATGCCCCCCTAATTGTCTACCAGCCCAGATCCTCGTTTCCTCCCTCCCTTCCGGGTTCTGCTGTCTGCATAGGGTCCCGAAAATAATTCGTAACAAAAAGGAATGTGCAGAAATGAGAGGTGTTTAACCTCAATACAATTTGAGAAAGTAGCTGGAGTTTAGTGGGAGAAAAATTGTCAGATGGTTTAAAAATGTATTATGCAACTGCTTAATTAGGAAAGTCAACAGACTTGGTAAAAGAAATGCACTGAGAAAAATATTACTGTAAATTGCACATTAAGAACAGGCACCACCACCTCATGGAAAAACCGTAAAACACTGTGATACCATGGGAAGCATGAGACACGACAGCCCAGTGAGGTCACCAGTGATATCAGCAGATCAGGATTAATCAACAGTCCTGAGAGCATCTGTGTGGAAATCGGTGATTATCCACACGCAATTCAGTTAAGGGAAATTTACAGAAACGCTAATCCCATTAATTGATTTGTGCACTTATAAAAAAGGATTTTGTTTAACTAAAACATTGATATAGCTCAAGCCCTGATGACTGGCACAGCTAAACACCATTCTCTTTAATCTCCTTTGCTTTCAGTAGGCCGTTCTCTCTCCTTAGTCACCCTTTCTTACAAACTATTTCATGAATGTCTTTTCTCCAAAAATTCTCATAAGAGACCTTTCATCTTTCCTTTCTAAAATAATTCCCTGAGACATAATGCTCAGTTCATTGATGCGAGAACAACATATATTTGCATTGAAGTTGAATTACTGCCCTGGAGAAACCAATATAAAACATTTTTGGCTGAGTTTATTTCGGGCTTTTGTTCTAGAACACGAAGTATAAAAAAACTCCCTGACCATGTTCTTCAAGTGTTCTTCCAGAAAGTTTTATTTTTTGCAGCTCCTACGTTCTCCTTCCATCCAAACTTTCCACATCCCCATCATCTTCTTTAACTCATATTTTGTTCGATGTTTTTCTTGACTAAACATAGAGAAACAGAATTAAGTTTTTTGGGGTGGTTCTATTTCTAACATGAAATGGTAACAGTGATTTAATCTCCCATAATTCATGGCACCTTTTTTTTGATACCCTAACTCTGAATGTTGCCCTCTAGAAACAATATTCTGCTATGCAGATCAAGTACTAGGCTAAGTAGAAGTCACCCAGTAAATCCATCCTTTGAAGATGAATCAGCAAGGTATGGTAATTAAAATAGTGTTTACAAATGCATACATTTCAGAGAGAAAATCAATGAAAGACATTTTCTGTACTATATTCGTACTTTATGCCTGATCCAAGGCCCATGGTACCTACAATGCTTGCAGTCCTAAATTCAAACTTGAGGCACTGGGCAGTTTTATGAATCAGGTGAAGTTTGCCAGTGTATTATCATGCGTAGTTAGGTTCTTTGACAGTAAATGGCTTTTCTGAACGGAGTACTGTCACTTTGAAAAACCATTACTTGCCCGACATAGGAGACAGCTGATTTTATGAATATAGGTCTGCGTTCTTAAACTAGCATCGATTAATTTACTTGTCCAATTTCATTGTGTACCCTGGAGACACTGCTACAGAACTGATTGGCAGGAGATTAAAGAAATACTTCAGAATGTACAAAGCCTTAAACATGAAAAGAAAGTTTGGATTTTTTCTGAGGAAACGTTTTACTTATTCTGCTTTATTTCACCTGCAGTCTATGTGAATAGATGCTGTTTTTTCTAAATTAAAATAATTCAGAAGAACTGAAATAAGAGATGAGGCCCATGTGATGGTAAAATGTAAAGCATTGAGTGCTGTTCTCAAAGTAATAAAGGGGAGATGTTAAAATTAATATAACAATAAGCCATGAAACTGATGAACAAATACATCATTTTGCAGTTACCGTTACTGCAGAAGGAGTCTCAGTCACTCTTGAGCTTATGTAGACAGAGATCACTCCAAGGTTCACAACTGACCAGGCTGTAACCCAGGGAGAAAAACAGCTGTTCTTCAGGAACATTTACCTTTCGTGAGGCAGACTGCACCCCATCCCGGGAGCAATGCTGACTGGTCCTAGCCGTTACTCTAAGTAACATACCGATTCAACTGTATTTTTGGTATGGAGTTCTTTGTATCTTAAGCAGTGCTCACATGATCTGGTCCCTGGTGAAAAATGGGGTTAGGAAACACTGAGGAGGATATCCTTGACTTGTCACTCAGGATACAGATGCTGTGACTTGCACAGTGCATGAGAGCTTGCTATGACATCAGAGACTTGTCACTTCACCAATCAGTGCCAACTCTCCTGTAAAGCACTGTGGAGCTGATACAGTATCTTGTCAAATGACTAATAGGGCACATTGCTGGAGGACAGTGCATACAACTTCTCATTCTGCCACTGTTTGAGCAGGCTCAGGCTGCTGAGCCAAGGCTGATTAGCAACTGGTGATTTCATAGTATAACTGTATGTTTCATTTATAATTGTACAATCCAAACTAAAAATGTTACAAAGCATCACTGTCAAATAATGATGAAACAGACCATTTTTATTTCAAAGCTTTTTCCAGTTCAGGTTTTCCCTGTTTCTGTAATAGTAAGTTCTGTTGAAACAATGAGTATTTTTTTTTAACTGGAAAACATGTGGTTTAGGGAAAAAAAAGCTATGTAAGTGAATAGTCAGGAACTTGTGCATTTGTGCATATTAAAGGCACACACATTGTACTTGCTATGTGTCAAAATTTGTGTATTCAATCTTTTTTCCTACTACAGCTATAGATGGAATATTGATATAAAAATAATTTAAAAATAATATTTTATACAAAGCACACAGCATACTAAAATAACTGATGATTCTAGATGTTTCATGAGGTGACTCTCTCACACATCTTTCAGCACCTAACACAAAACAGCACCTGAACATTTCACATGACTGAATACTTAAGAACTTCACATTTCAGGCAAAGCACGTTTACAGTAAGTCATGTCTGGGCAACGTGAAGGTCCTCACAGGTCATAAGGGAACAGGGTCCTGTAAGCAGGAATAAGGGTTCTTCATGTGTTCATAGTTCAAACACAGAGGGGATCCTGAGTGGTTCTGCCAGTAAAGATGATTGGATCACAGGTTGAGCCAGACAGATCAGAAGTTGCAGGTTTGAATCCGGGTAATCAGTATGGCAGACATCGGGAGCAGCACCACCAAAGCTGGCTGGGTTTGAGTCAGAGTTCCCTTGATTTGCAACACAACAGAATGTCCTGACAGATCCCCGTTAGCCCTGCATGCTTGCACTGCTCCAGTGACAGACACTTCTTCAGTCCATGCCCTCTCGACTTCAAGGCACTGGAGAGCTTGCAGGATGCATCAGAGGAGTGAGTACTCAAGTCCTCCTTCTCCTTGTGCACGACACGTTTTGCAGCCATGAGTCAAACTGCCTCACAACTGGCAATTCCTGATCAGATGTATATATAATAAGTGGAATTGGGGAATAAAACAAAAAAAAATGTACTTCTGACAGGATCTTTCAAGAGTGACAAACTGATATTTCAAGACTTGGTCGTTTCAAGTGAAAAATACTCCTGTGCTTAGTAACTTTTCTTTTTTTTAAATAAAAAAAAAACATAAGTTTAAATGAAAGCAGTAAAAAATGCATCATGAGATCAGTCCTAATAAGGTAACCCATGAGGTAAGGGGAAGTAAAAAAAAAACAGGCAATGAATGACTCACTGCTAACACTTCAGACTAAATGTTCAATGTTCTCAAGATGACAGATAATGCTCATTTTTCTAGAGCACAAAACCAACACTTCTCTTCTTCAAAGGCTTGTAGATTGACCAGCTGCTAGACTTTTACTTTCTCAATGTCCAGGTCTGTAATCTGAACATCCTCGTCCTGAACAGATACTGTGGTGGTATGCTGGCCACAGATGTGCTGATGCTCCTTCCAGTCCTGGAGAAAGCAAGAAGGAAAGGCTCAAGGTCAACAATCCGGCATCATCAGACAGAAAGAGAGCTCCACCGCCTGAGCAGACTTCATACTTGCTCCGCAGGGACTGAAAGCACAAAGCTGTGGAGTCTTATTTTTGTAAAGAAATGCTCAAATATTATTCTGATCCTCTATCCCACTAAATGCTTTTTAAAATTGAAATAGCTAAATTGTGGAAACTTCTAAATGCAAAGCCACAGGCTAGATTTCAATTGTAAATCCAAACAAATGTCTACAATATTACAAAGTTTTGCGCAATTACATACTTGTAATTTCTAGGAGTATCATGCACCCCTTATTTTCTTCAATTTGATAATGGAAAGAAGTTTCTTCAGAAAAGAGCAAAGATGCACGTTTATGTAGTTAGTTTCTTCTACAGAGTTGCTTTCAGCTTTTAGACGGGAGTGAAGAGGTTCTTGGAACGGAGGGAAATGAGACACAGTAAAAAGCTTCCTTTACCTTTCTTTGGCAGAAAATGGAACAGTAATTGACCTTGTGGCAGCCAGTGCATTCATTCATGGCCTCTCGCCCACAGTTCACACACATTTGCTGTAGAAACAAGCAGAACAAAAGAGAATTTAAATACCCTACATTTTAATCGAACATCAGCTCACCCACTAAGGCTCAGACTTCAGAATCGCCTCAGCCCCCATACACACACGTGTTGGCTTAACACGTTACATTTTAGCTTTCTATTTTTTTTCCTATTTCCTCAGTGTGACATGTTTTTCCAGAACCCTAAATAATGTAGAATATTATAACTTTACAAATGGACAGCATTTGTGGAAAAGAAAACAAACGTAGTGTGGGAGAAACATACAGTACATGATCAGGACTTCATGAACCGCATATACTGATCATTTTCTTCCCATCCATCCATCCACTTTCTAACCTCTTTTTCCAGGGAGCCAGAGCAACGGGCATTGAGGCGGGATACACCCGGATATTTTCTTTCTTGGATTTGATTAGGGCGCACTGCACGCACATGAAAGGCATTACCTAGCCTGGAAACTTTATATACAGAACAACCCCTCAAACCAAAGGTGACTAGAGCAGGGAAATCTGTTGACATCCAACAAGCGCCAATTGGCCAAAGGTGGCTGGTAATGCTCTATCCTGTCAGGCACGGCCTAGTACAAAAAGTGAGCTAAGAAGTAAGGTCCTGCACGACTCACACGCAGCTCATTACGAGCAATACTGATGTCAGTAGAGCTATAAAAAAGGACATTAATTCAAGTACCATCTTCCACCATGAACTGGTTTTACCTAAAAGGAAACAACAAGATAAACTAAGTGTCACACTTATGGGGTTAGCATAGACTTCTTATTCTCCAGCTTAAAATGTGTATGTATCTGAAACGGTTGGTTTGGTGTTTTTAAAAAAAGATGCAGCATACTGAAGGCTGTCCCACAGCAGACAGAGAAAAGACTATCTCTAAAGCTGTGAAGTCACTGTAGTGTAGCAATGTCCCATCACGTTTGAACTGGTTTCTGAAAATTGCCCCACAATTGGACTAATTTACACATTTAATTTGAGCTAAAATACATTGACACAAGTCAGTTTTAGAGTATACTAGAAAACTAAATTTATTAGCACATAAGCTTATTGATCAAGTATCTGTTTTCACATACCATTCTTCTTGAATGATTGCCCTAATTACAGCACAATTATCCATCAATTGCTCAGTCTGATCGGTACTTATTATGAATTTTATAATCTATTAAGAGACAATTAGATAATGCAGTTATCAGCTCAGATACCGTTGTAATGGTCAGCTGTGGAGCAGGATTATAAAGCTTCCTCAAAGTTTACCCAGTCACAAGGCCAAAACCCAGCCACTGTGCACTACAGCAATTTTAGTAACCTATAATAGGGAACAATCTTCCCATGCTGGATTCAAATGGAATGAGGGATTCTTGAGGAAATAAATCTGTAGCTTTTGTACTCTTCTGCACACCTGGTTATTAGTTATTTGCCACAACAATTTCATTATTCAAATACATCAGATTACCTAGTTGCATCCCTGTGTTATAAATACCATTCAGAAGCATTCAAACACAAAGGTTTGGTAGTTGTTCAGGCCAGGCAAATATTTTTTCTGCTGTTTTTCCTGCACATAAGAAGACGTTCAAATAAGGTGCTAAAACAGTGAAAACATTATGCACCAATGACAAATAATAGTGAATTTTATTTTTTAGCCCACATTGTAACTTATTTAAAGGTAGATTTACAAAAAACACCACATGGGAGATAAAAAGCCAGTAGGTTATTATTAGCCTGTTGTCTGCTTGCCTTAATGATGATCTCAGTTTTTACATCTGTGTCCTCTGTAGGCTGAAATGATATTTGATTCTGGAAGGCCTGCAATGAGAAAGGGAAAAAAATCAAGGTGAAAGAGTGGGTAAGGGGATAAATCCAGCTATTTTCAGCATCTGAAGAGGGACACAACCAACTAGAGAAGCCAATTAGAGAGTAGTAGCTATTTCTGAAGAAAGTGAAGAGGGTTTATCTGTTCTCTGGAAGAATATAAAAAAATCCAATTTGAGGCAGACAGCTAGCTCCCAATCGTGATTGAAATGCCCGGCATTATTATGTAGTAAAAAGCAGTAATGCCTTTATTTTTCTCTTTAGGCCCACTGCATTAAAAGGCTTTAACGCCTTCACAGGACCCCGGTGCTAAGCTAAGTTGTGTAATCCTCCTGCTCAATAAGACAAGACTACAAACTCTTGGCAAATATAACAGCCCCACTGAACCCTCTTTATACACTACAGACCTATTTTAATCAGGGTACAAAACCTGACCTCCTACAACTTCACTCACCCATCTGGTTCAGAAGAGAGATCCCTGTGAGCACAAATGATGGACTTAACAGTAGTCTCTGAACTAATAAATCTATATTCATGATGTACACTTAACTTCTCTGCAAAACAAAAGGTCTGTTTAGCTAGTGGCATAAACTCAGCAAATACAGAGGACAGCAAATGAAGAAAAGGCTAGCATGTTTAGTTATGGTAAATGTACAAATAGATGTTGACAAGCTGTTACAAAACAATGTGCATTAAAAGAAAATGTGAAAATATCTGTGATAAATAAATCACAAACAAGGTTTCTGGTAAAAACTTCTTTGATTTTCTGTACTCCATAATCAGTTCATCTGTGCTGGAGAAGATCTGTTATTTAAACTGATTTATATCCTAATCCTGATAAATATGATGTGGCATTCTCATTTAGAGTTTCTAAGCTTTTATGGAGTCAAGCCCTGGCTGTTTTATTAGGCCTTACTTCTAACTATAATATTTATATAGTCATGTCAGGAAATACGAGTCTAGCATTTAACTATCCATTTATCAGCCTCATAAGTCGTTTTTGGAGATGAGGCACCAATTTAATGTGCAAGATTTTTTATACTTGATTTTCCAAGATTATACAAGCAAAAATAAAAAAGTAAACTTTACTTCTCAGTTTTTTTCTAAATCTTGATCTGAAGCCAGACACTTTTCTAGCATGCAGCTTAAATACTAGGTTAGCTGACAATGTTATGAAAAATTCCTGTAAACGTAGCAAAACTCCACTATAAAAATACCACTATACACATACTGTAAGATCAACTGTGGAGCTTTTTTGTAGTTTTTTCTTTGAAACCTATAACAGAGCTACAGTATGTCAACACTAAAATGAACAAATACACTAAAAAACTTTTTGCCAGTGTGACTTCTAGTAAATATTCAGTCATTTCTCTCCTATTTTTTGGAATATTGAAAATGGAGAAACTGCACGTTAGATATTTACTAAGAAATGTACAATATTTATCCTTGTTTTTTTCTGTTAGTGCTTTCACTTTCTGTTTATAACTGGAGCTCAATCCACAAACGAATTTCACTCATTTTAGGTCAATGAATCTTCCTTTGGTTTGAAGACTCAATGGACCACAGCAGACCACTGTGAAATTCACTCTAAAAACTCTAAAATGTGTTTTATCAAAACCAGTGACAATCATTTCAGTCAAAAAAAAAGAAGGAACTGTAGATTACTACATTAGGATCTCAACATCTGCAAATTCGCTTAGTCGTGATTCGGTCTGGCTGACAGGGTCTTGAATGCAAGAAAAGCAGAGCGGGATGAAACCAAGCCGAAGACTGTCAAGTACAATTTTCAAATTAGCCACACAACAGACTAGGATCGTGAGAGGAATCCAGCTAGCAAGCCTCTCCCTGCTTCCTGTCCACATACACACATCTCAGTGGGGTCTTGTTTTTATACTGGAATGAACTCTCCTGGTTCTGTACAGGCGGCGTGAGGAGTGACAGACTGGAGACGACTTTACAGGCTCGCTGACAGTTGTATTGCCTTTTGCATTACAGTGGGCTGTGCTAACCACAGGACAGAGCAGTAGCTATGCAGGCATCCTCTTAGGAAGGATTCATATGGTTTTAGCTGACTGCTACAGTATATGATTACTGTTGTTTGTTGTATTTTAACAATATTAATTAACTTAAAGCCAATGCATTAGTACTTTAGTATCATATAAGGGAGTGTTATTTATAACTTTTAACCACACATAAGATATGCTGTAGTACATTATGTGACAATATAAGACGGACATAGTTATGAAAGAATATGGCTATTCACAATGGTTCTTCACACCTCATGCATTTCCAGGCCATACTGTACATTACTGTACTGTACAAAGATTTTCAACGAGTGTTACTGTGACAGACAGACCTTAACAGCAAGTCTACTAGTGTCACAGAAGAAGCTTTTAAGAGAAAGGAAAATAGTTACAAATAAACCTCGCAAAACAGAGGGAAGATGGTTTAAGGTGAAATGTTAATGCAAATCTTACACTTTCAGCAGACTTTTGCCACCTTTATACATGGCCATATTTCAAGTGACTCTCGGAGGTTCTGTAAATCCCACAGGATCCCAGGAGATGTATTGCTATTTGGAGGTTACTACCAGCAAACCTGCAGCACCCATTTACTGTATTTTATTCAGTGAACATGCAACAGCGGGCCTTCCCAAGCAAGGCAGGACCTGAGGGCACGAGCAGGAATCACACTGAGGAGAATTTGGGGCAGAGGATCCTTTAGGATATGACTACAGCTACAATAAATCAAATGAGCCAGAATGAATGACCTCTTCTCAGTAGTAACGTTGTTTTTTTCTTATGTTCCAGCTGTGTATTCTACAATATTTGCACAGGCGTGACATGGTACGCCTTGGAATACCAATGGGATGGACCCAAATGTACCCAATGGGAACACTTGAATGTTTTAAGCACACACGCACATATATATATGAGGGTGGAATGGTAATGCAGTGGTTAGCATTGCTGCCTCGTAATACTGGGGCCCTGGATTCAATTCCTGGGGTGGTTTCTGTGTAGAGTTTGTATGTTCTCCCCCATGTTTGGGTGGGTTTCCTTTAGGTGCTCCAATTTCCTCCCACAGTCCAAAGACATACTGGTATGTTAATGGCTTCTGGGAAAACTGGCCCTTCTGTGAGTGTGTGCCCTGTGGTGGACTGGCGTCCTATCTTGCCTTGTGTCCTTTGAATGTAGGAATAGGCTCTGGCTCCCCTGTATTGGATAAAGCGGTAAGAAAATGGATGGATATACTCTACTGTACACGTGATAAAAAAAATCATTTTTAGTTTAGAATGATGATTAAACCTTTCAATTAGTCTCCTTTTAGCTCCCATTTTTGTATTATTTTGGGATGAAATTTTAATGTTAGTGACTTAAAACAATGTTGATCTTTACTGAAGATTTGACTTTCCAGGTAAATTACACCTTAACGATATACACGTGCACTCATTTTGATAAGGTCTGGGCACTGTGAACCATGCGCCTTTGCCCCATAAAGGCGAAGAATAAAAAAGATGTCTATGGAAGACTTTTGACCACTTGTTGAACAGTACGTCACCATCAAGACGCACAGATGACGCGCAGGTACCAGATACCAGCTTAACATGAGGACAAAAAGCCTGCGCTGGAGACCGGAGTCCAGGGGGTCTTACTCACGTCTTTCCTCTCCTGCGGCCCCTTGGCTTGCGTGAGGGTCACCTCTCGGCTGGCCAGGCTGGCCTGCTTGGCCTGCTCAATGAGGACCTTCAGCTGCTGCGCCGTGCTGATCAGCGAGTTGGCCATCTCCTCCAGGTACAGCCAGTTCCTCTGCTCACTCACATCCAGGCCGTTGACCAAGCTGGGCGACACGGCTTTGGCCGGGATGGACTGATTCACGGCCAGAGCAGGAAGGGATGTCAGGACTGGATGAGGGGGGAAAAAAAAACCGACCACGTCGATTTTGAAATTGCACCAGAACACCTGTTACTCAAACCCATCTTCAACCCGGAACATCGGCACCGGCAGGACAGACGGTGCAGTTATGATGAGACCTGCGCTTCAAAAGATATTCCAGCGGACCATGACCAAAAAAGACTTCAGACACCGGCCTTAAACCGTCACTGCTTTGTTTTATATTAACCAAGTAGAACATTTGACTGCAGGGTCTGTGTTCCATCAAGATGGAAACTTTATAGATAAAAGAGCTTTTAAATGAAAATAAAAAAGAAGAAAGAACTGGAATTAAGTTCTAGGAATTCCCCCCCACACCCAGTATGAGAGATTTATCAAAGAACATCACAGTCTTACTAAATGCTTCAAAGATCACAGATACTGCAAAGAGGTTCTTGATAGTTAAGGTAATAAATATAAAATAAAGTGTAATTCAATTCAAGATCTGAAAGGACTGAGCTTAAACCATATTTTGTCTTTGACACTGTTACCGCTAGAAATCTCTGTAAGACAAAACCATACAAAACATAAGAAAGGCTATAAAAAAAGAAGGTCATATGGTCCTTTTCAGGTCATTTAAGTTGCTAACAAGTAACTGATCCAAGGTTCACATCCAGCCAATTCATGGAAGAAGCCATCAGTTTCAACAGCATGGTAGCTAGTGGTAGCTAGTTCCAGACTCCCCAAACCCCTACCAAGTGCTGCTGTTGTCAGTTTTAAATGTATGTCTTACATTACACGTCTTAGATTCTATTGGCACCCCCTGGTTTGTGCCTCCCTGCCGATTCTGTACTTTGGGTTCATCAATGCCTTTTTGCATTTTAGGTACTTGAAGCTGTCTTCTATTTTTGATGAAATATTCAATGTATCTGGGATAGATTCACTAACTTCTTTAACAAGTAAGATGAAAGTAGGGAGTAGAAACGAACTACATACAGTAAAGTTTCATTACAGAAAGACCACAATGGAATTGACGTCTTCTGTCACATTTTCACTCAATATTTATTCTACAAATCACCACCTTTAGCTTTTGTTCAATTTGAAAAGTCAAATATCAGTTCCACGACTACTGAGAAACCAGGTTTTATATTGCAGTGTTGCACAGTAAAAAACTTTTTTTAATTTGTATTAGACTTCAGAGGGTTTTTCAGCTACCATGTTCATCAGCAGTTTCTACATCTCCTTACGAAAACAGTCAAAAATATATGACCAGCTACTGGAAAAGCTGAAGTTTTTTACATCCAAGGGAATTTAAAAAATTGTAGTTTTTCTTCTATTTTTAAACCTTTTATTTGCTAAAATGACAAGAGGGGAAAAAATTCAGTGATGAAGTAAAATGGCACCTTGCTTTTGTGAAAAGTGTTTTTATCTGCAGTTGAACAGAGTCCATAATGATTTTGCAGATGAAGTTTATTTCAGAACTACAGGATGATAAGATCAGTAGCAAAATAACAATAACAGTATTATATTCAAAGCAAAATGTAGCCTTGCTAAAAGATGAAAGTAAAATCAAAACAAAAAATAACTGAAAGCCCCATTTTCAGCAAAAGCATCAATGCAAATGTTAACTTTAGCACACACACCATTACTGATTAATTGTTCCAAATATATTTGCATTATTCTTCTCTTTCCACACTGCTTTCACTCTGCAAAAACAATTCAGTGGTGATCTGCAACCATTTTATGTCAAACTAGTACTTCATTCTTGGCTTGCCATTCTTGGTTCCAGGCTTGGCTTCTTCTCACCAGAAATAAGCAGTGTTAGTAACACTCAGCATTGTTATAATAATAGAAAACCCTAGTGGGGCTCTGGATAAAAAACTGCCACTTGTGCACACATTGTAGCTCTAGATGTAGCTCTTCAGTGATGAAGAGGTTAGTCTTGCAAGACAAAGGACCAGACTTTAAGAGACGTTAACATTACCGACTCAGTGTAACATTAGACCAGTCATGTCAGTTGCTGTTAATGAGTGGCACAATCTGGATCAAGCTTCCCTATTTCAGGTTTCCAAAAAACCAGAGCTCTTCCACGAAGAGTGTATAAAATTAAACATTGAGCACAGTCAAAACAGTAGGAGCTACATTTTCATTCTTTGGAGATTTGAGGCTTGAAGTTAATTCATTTAGGGAATTAAGTTAATTAAAAAAAAGAGAAGAATCGTACTTGAAAGAAGGAAATTCCCAGTCCGAGCAGAGATGTCAGAGAAGTTACCATCATAATCAGACGTGATTTAGAAACGAGACAGATTCAGATGACACAACCCATGAAGTCTTCTCAACCTCATCTTGATCTATGAATCATTTTACAGCAATACCCAGGTTAGACACCCGGGGGCCTGTCATCTTCCTGTGATTGAAACAGCTATTTTGAGACCGGTTAATTCCCTTTTCTGAAATAATAAATGACCATCAAAGCAAGCAGATGTTCCTCTCAGAGTTCAAAGGGATACTCGGTAACAAACTAGAGAAAATATGATAACAGGCAGAAGTTAGGTTTTTAAGAGTAGCAAATCAAATGTGCCTTTCCTATGCCTCATGCTATAGTTTTAAAGTCTCAGATTCCTTCAAGTAATTACAACCTAAAGACAAAAAGACCATACTAATTATTAAACACAGGTTAACTAAAGAAGTTTAGAAAAGATGTCTATTTTAAGATCTCCTTACTGTGAAGTGAGAAGGATACAGGAGAAACTCCTGTTTTTTTTTTCAACTTTAATGGATGCAGATTACACTTAATTAAAAAGCCTTACAATAAAACTAGAAACTACTATTAAAATACCAGGCTCTGTGTAATTCTGATTACATCAGCTTGCATAAAGATTGTCAGTTCTTATAATAAGTTATTATATATTATAATAATAATTTTGTATTTAAAAAGCTAAATAATAATAGTATTATAATAATAGTACTAATGATATTAGCAGCAATAATAATAATAATGACTAAATAACATTTACCTTGCATTTTTCCACAGGAATAGCCATATGTACAAATCCAGTGAGATATTACTTTGCCCTTATGGTCAAAAGGCTTTGAGTGCTGTTGTACTCTGAATATCAGGTAATCTAAGACAGAGCTAGAAACTGAATTTGTGCTGCAGTGTAAGTGTAAAATGCCAAAACGACCTGTATTTCCTCAGCTCCAAAATAACAGGTCATGGGAAAGATTCATCACCTCATCAAGCAGCAAGACAGAACCAAAGGGTGGACAAATTACTTTGTTATGTGGAATCAGGCAACAATGATTCATTAGACACTCTGAAACCAAACACAATGCACCCTTGGGGTACACGCTGCCTGAAGTACATTAATAGCTGTTAGGGCACTGCCAGTGATGGATTTCTAAAGCAGACACTGACATTTCTGAGCCAGTTCCTGCTTAAGAAATAAATAAGAAATACAGATGATTATCAACTGATGAGGCTGGGACAGACTGCCATTAATATTTAATACTTGAAAGACAAATAGAAAATAAGACACAAACATACTAATACTGATGCCTATTCTTAATGTTCTTCGGCTCAATGGAAACAAAAGGTGGTGAGGGGAATGCTATTTACTGCAGCATAAAACTGAAATTGAAATCATGTTCCTTAAGTATGATTTTCTCCTGAAATTCTACAATTCCAGCATTGAAATAATCCTGAGGTGAATTACCAGTAATCAGCATATATGTAATGCTTGACGTTAATATTTCTAAAATACCTTAAATATTCATTACACACCACATAAACTAATGAACAAATAAAATAATTTATGCCTTAAGTGCAATTACATTAAAACAGAAAAGAATGAATACATCTCTGGAATGAACTAACATTTTTGCTTCAGATGGTTCAGAAATCCTTTTCTTAGACCTTTAAATAATTAGAAATCATTACTATACTGGTGTCGTATGTACAGCAAATCAACTAGCCTTCTCACACACCCTAAAATAAAGTGTCTGTCTCCTGTTGTACTTGTGCGAACATTTAAACCAGGTTCAAAAACTTGCAAATTACAGAGAAACACGTGGCTGGGCCCTGCTGTTACCACAGGGAAAGTTCAGACTCGTTTTTCACAGCGGAGTTGTAAACGAAGTAACGAGTTTAGAAGTGGTAGAAAAAGTGATAGCATGCACCTTGCGGATTGTCAGATGAAAAGCTTGTGATCAGAACTCAAGTGCAATATTCTAACACCGCAGGGGGGAAGATTAACATTTGCTGTGGCAATGACAGAGACCACATCTTGAGCTGAAGGCTGTACACAAGATGATCTTGGAAAGCCCTAACTAAAGGAGATCTAAAGGACAACCGTAAATGAACAAAAGCCTTGTGCTTGAGTCTTTCCATGCTATTTAAAACCTTATTTAGCATACACACCATCATATATTGGTAAATGTCAAGTGTCATCACTTAATTCAAGATTGCCTATATTTCAGCACTGTCTAATCTTACCAAGATATCATGCAGAGCACTGGATTCTTAACGTGTGAATACTTCAGTGAATTATTTAAAGCTACTACACTCTTTGTCATTATGCACCTTCTATACTTTAGAATTCTTAATGCCTTTAGTCCCTGGAATCTGTTTTTCTAATTGAAGCTCATCCTTGGAAGTTGATATTTCTTTTTTCAAAGGAGATATGATTGGCAGGTTTCCCGATGAACAACTTTCTTAACTATAAACCTGACATACCTCTTTTGATCAGCTGCTCTCCAACAGAAACATTCATTTTCTGTGGGGATTTTTTTAATCATGTGTCCGGTATGACTTTTGGGAACGTGCTTGTCTTGCATTCTGAACAAGTATTCCCAAGTAATTTTCAGTTGATCATGTGCTAATATTTGAGTCCAGTCTATATCAGACAGGCTGAATTTTTGTAACTCTGGGTTCTTTGAAAACAGATTTCTTAATGCTGAAAAGTGCTGGTCAGGGGTGCCATTAAGCTCAGCACTGTTAATTCTGTCCTAGTTTTACAGAAAGCTGCCTAGTTGCAGTACAAAACTGTAATAAATAATTGTTTTTAACAATCAAAAATGTGCATTCCTGCTTTCAACTATTTGCTATGTTTTTCCTGTCTGTTGATAAATTACAGCACCCCCACTTCCTGATGTATTTATGGGGTCATTTGACCCCAATGAACTACCGCTTACTCCTGCAGCCTGATTTGCTGTCGTCCCTTCCTGTCTAAGTCAGATATCCTCAAAAGGGCTTGGTCATTAATCTTTACCATCGTCGCATCTATTCAATGCCACTTATACCCCTGTTTAGTCAGCCATGTCCTTCTTAACATTCATATTTGGTCTTATTTTCACTTTTATTGTACACATCTCCAGCTTCATGGCTTAGTCTCACTTCTGTAGCAGGATGTATAGCACATTTGTAGCAGTGATAGCACAACATTGTTCAAAATCCTTACAAACCTCTAACTGAACATTTTTCCACACCGGAGGAAAAAAAAAATCATAAATGGTACAGAGTAAATTTAAAGCAAATAATTGGAAAAAAAACTAAATCAGCCTCATTGTAGACCCACGCTGCCAAACAGAGATATTAAAAACAATTTATCTACATAGCATGCTGAGTTTATCCTTTAAAGATGATGATGAAACTAATAGCATGTCCAAAACCTATTCTTCAATGCACTTCCCTAGATATCTCATTAAAAACAGACACAAATTCTGTCATCAAGGGCCCCGAGTAGCTCAGATCACAGATTGAGCCCCACCACACAGATATTACAAGTTCAGATGTGGACAGTCATTAGCCAGCTGTGGCTGGGATTTCCCAATAGGTGGGCTAAGCACCACTGAGGTTTGGTAGGCTTGGAGTGGCCAGAGTATCAGAACCCTGGGATCTACCAGATGCCTCTGAGCTAGTAATGTTGCCCATAAGAGCTGCCTCACTCTTTCCAGCTGAATCCAACTCTCCTGTAGACTCTGTGGGGCTGACAGTGTGACAAATAACAGACAGCACACCAGTGCACATTTCAGAGCAACACATGCACAGTCCTCATCCCTCCCATGCTGGTGCAAGAGTCATTGAGCCCAGGATTGAAGAGTGAGCCCAGGCGATTTACAACAGCACGTTCCAAACTGGGCGTGTGTGTGAACGGGGAGTTATACAGAAGAGTCACAAAAAATCTGCAAATACATGACCACCCCATCACACTTTTCTTCCACTAAAGAAAAAAAATGATTATGGAAAAAACGGTGTAAAGCAACTTCTTGTGAGCACACAAGAAATTAAAAGTTAAAGATATGAAGCTGAGAGCATGATTGCTCAGGTACCCCACTGTAACACATCAATAAAAACAGCAACAAAGTGACTGGTCTTGGGCTGCATTACTGTTCTGGATTTCATTTTGGTGAAAAGCACTCTGACAGGCATTAAAAACACAACAAATGCTACTGGTTCCAGTTCTCATTTGCTACACATGTGTACCTCTGTATAATAATAGCTTAAGAATGGTGAACTTAGTTCCTTAGTTGAAGTACATAACTAAACAACGTCATTATTCTATCTAATATCTAATGCATAAGAAGGACCAGCCATTGAAAAGAGATTCTAGTCCAGAACTCCAGAGAGTTTAAGTGATGGGGGAAATCAGGTAGTTTAGAAACCTAGCAGCATGTGACCTTGCTTAACCCTGACCTACTACCTGTTTGCCGTTTGTTGTGGGAGAAAGGTTTATAGACAAAACAATAAGTATTCTTCATTTTTTATTTCAAGATACTGTATGAAGCCCCTAGAACAGTTACAAACCCATGCCATTTAAACCTCTGACAGAGAAATATGTGAAGCCTCACAGGAGGCCATTAGATCAGGCAAGCAAACTGCACTGTACTGCCACGAACAGATTGCCTTTGTCAAACTGCTAGGACTTTGAGGAGTCTGTGAGATAAATGCCAATTCTACAAAGATCTCACGTGTGAGTGGAAAATCCATTTTAGACCCAAAGTGCCACCGTTCCTGAGGGCTACAGCACGCCCCTAATTCCTCAGACCCCTCAAAACAAACCTGAAGCTGGGAGGCAAAATAATGGAGTACATCCAACAGCCTTTTACACTTCCAGTATACTGCTGTTTATGTAGTGAGGAAGAATTTTAGCATTTACCTTTATTATAAGTGTATAAGATAGTAACTATTTGTCCTTGCTAACATGCCTTTTTTACCTAGCAACAGTATGAAAGAATAATTGCAAGCACATTACCTGACCTTTTGATGTTAATGCTATATCCACAGAATGTCTAGCTCAATTTTACGCCTTCTATTTAGATACTTCCTTTTGTCTATAGAAAAGGTAAAATTGCTTCTTAAGCATAAAGTGGTCAATTACAAAGAAGTGTTTGTAGAGAGAAAAACAACTCCTATTATGGAAATTTGGAATGAGCTAAGTGACCCTGAATTTGCTGTATAAAACCCCTTACCTTTGCCATCATCATTGAGAGGCTGCTCTCAGATCTGTATGATTGTATCCTCTCCATGTGCATGAATAAAAGACACACCTAACCTGAGTGAAGAGTTTTCTTCATAGTAGACAGTGCAATACACATTACTTAAAACCTGTCCAGACAACTAGCTTAACATTTATTTTGGGGGACAGATTACTTCAATTAAGATTACTTAATTGGGACTTCTTCAAGATAATACAACTGGACTTCACTGAAAATTATTAGCTAGAGCACTGAATTACAGTCTCCTGAGAAATGGAGAGCAGTATCAAATCTTTCATTCTTCAATTAGAAGCACTGCTTCGTGCTACATACAGTAGGACAGAGTAAAAATGGTAAATAGTTTTTTTCTGTCAGATGTTAACAAAGGCTTGCAATCAAAGGATTCTCACTCACGTGAACAAAGTTTTAACACCTGCTAATTTATTAGAACTCCGATATTCAGTCTTTTCATCTTGTGAAAAATGCTAGTGTCACAAAAGTCATATAGTATAACAGAATCACAGTCTGAAGAAACTAAGGAAGGAAAATATTGTCTTTATGTATGTTAAACAAGGCTGATGGCTATAGTCAGTTGTTACATACAAGGCCTTTGGAACTGTTCATAAAGCAGTTAAGAAAAGTTAACTATGTTTTCCAAATAATGCAGTTACCACTGCATTTTTAAATATAGTATTACAGTATCTGAATCTCTTAATGAGGTGGTAAAAGTCATTACACACAAAAAAAAATTGTTACAGACATGTTTTTAAGTTATTTTATCTTTGGATACAAAACTGATAAATTACTCATATGCATAAAATACTAAAATAACTATCACCATTACGGAACAGAGTAACAGTTCACAGTTATCATAATTTTAGAGCCGATCAGAACATTTCAAGAACCAGAACAAACATCTAACACTATTTACAGCTTTTTGGTAGTCCAGTACTTCAGTTCTGCAGTTCTATTGACAAAATCTTTCGTCAATTGCATTGTTAAGTGCCTTGGGGCAACTTGTGAAAGGTGCTATATAAAAACGAACTGAATTGAATTGAATTCTAAATGCAATCCATTAAGTCAGACCAGTGCAATTAAAATTCAGGAAAATTATGATAATAGCCACATTAGAAATGACTTAATGTTGTTAAATTGCTTAACAGGCTCTTTTATTACTTCAGGGGGAAATGTAACGAGATTATACAGGATTGCGATAAAGTACACAACCACATCTCTCCTCCACATTCTCGCCCAGTAATAGATTAATTCCTGAAGTGAAATTCCCAGGCCGCCTGTACATGTAGCTCACTCATCGAGCAGACATGACAGCAGAAAAACTGTCTCGAGAGCCAGGATGTTCGGTTTGGCTGTCTCGGACCTCAGATGGGGACTACGACCTTGAGGCCACAGACGGACACCAGGAGGACTGGTTAGATGTAGTCAAATTTTGGGACAAAAGGCGAAGCAGGAGGGTACAGTACCTAGCTGTTGACAGGAAGTTGTAAAAGAACTTTGTCATAATAGTGCTCCTATTATGACGCGTTCCCAGCTCAGCGCATCAGAAGACGCTGCTGGAGGTTCTGCTACTTCTACGTCACTTGAACGATGGCAGTGTTGAAGAGCTATGGGACTGAGGGTCTGTCAGTCTTTTTACTGACCTTTCCAGAAAAGGTAAGCATAACAGATAAACAAAAGATAAGATATCCGTTTAGATTCAGTCTGGAAATGGTATTTACAGCCCTTTTATAAATTAAATACAACATTTAGATTTATACAATATATACAAAGTATTAACAGAGTAAAAAATATTTGTGTTTATAACTGATTTATGGGAGGTTATAATACATACCTAAAGACTGATACAACATTTCTGACTTGGATTGTTAAATTGCTAAGGTTTATGTCTCTTATATTTTATATGTCTGTCTTTAAAAACATTATTAATGAGCTTAAGACACAAAACAACGCAATTAAATCACTTCACTGCTGTACAATTGTTTTTCCAGATTTCTTGATGTTTTGGTGGTCTGCTCATTGGAATCCCTATTAAAAATGTGAACAGGCAAAAATGATCCTTTCTGTCATGTGTCCTTGGGTTAGCAGTAAAAAATGCTTTAAGCAGAATGCATGATATATTTCCTCCGTTGCTCTTGGAAAAGTTTTTCAGGCATGAGCTGAAGAGATCTTGTGTCGATGTAGATTCACAAGGTGATGGGCACATACACTTACAAACGCAACTGACTCCCTTGTGGCATGACCAAAACTATCGAGCTGTGCATTCGTCTCCATCTAACATATAAATCTCTATCATAGACAACAAACAGCTGTCCAAGGACTGACAGCTTGAGAAACCACAGCCTCACCTGTTGTCCCAGTGAACACATCTGCTTGTGCTGGGCTCTCGGAAATGATGGTTGTGGTGTCACCTGTGGACGCTCTGTCAAAGGTCAACGTGCCTGAGGTCGTGATCTGCCCAGAAGGTGAAACTGTAACTAAAAGAAAACAAAAAAAGACTATCGCTGCAACTTTAGTCTGCACATCCTGCATACTATATCGTAAAGTACCTTCTGTATCAACACACATTTTTCAGAGAGTGGTCTTTGGTTTGGCAATCACACAAGGAACACGCGCGATAAAAAGTCATTTTAAATTTAATGAAGAAAAAAACTGCTGTTCATGATATAGCTGTGTTATCTCCAGCCCCTAATTTGAAATTAAAACTTGTGATGCAGAAAAATGAGACAAAAGCTTTAAACAATGTGCAGCCGGTCCAAATGAACTAAATTTTGTGTTTTGATGCCAGGTGCAGCGTGCACATTTCAAAATGAAATTAGCTGTCAGGTTCAAGAAAAAAAGATAAGGTTTAATAATTAACTCATCAAGGGAGACTGGCACTTACTTACTCTGTTAACCTGAACTTGTTCTGAACTGGAAACTGGTTCAGGAAACCAGAATACAACTCATAAAGAAGTATTGCTCCATTTCTCTTGTAGCTAATGGGTTTTAATCTTAGCCCCCAGCATAGGACCTGTGCCAGACACAATCCAAACTTCTCAAGGAGCCAAAAGACCTTCCATTTGAATTGCTCACTCTGTTCGGACAAGCCACAATTGAAAGAACTCCCTGTTAGAGATAGTTTGAAGTAGAGAATCGAGGAAATTGAACTGGAAGCTCAGTTCAGTGACTCTACGCAATGCCAGACCGCATATTAAAAACCAAGAAGTAATATCAAGCGGATAAAAAAGGCAGAACAGGAAAGAAATAAAAGACGATTTCAAATCTTTAGCACATTCAATGGGATGGCTCGGAAGAAACATGAGCTTCTTCTCAGAATATTGATTCGCTTTTAATAGAAATGTAGCTGATGTGAAAGCCATATTTAATGGCAATCGGAAACACATTAGCAATAGATGACAAAGTTCTTCTTTCTCCAAGATAATAACCACAGTCAAGACACCTCTACCCCAGGCTTTCAGAAGCTCCTGGGTCAAAATGTTTCTCAATACAACCCCAAAAAAAAACACAAAAAAGCCAATCTTTACAGTTAGAAATATTCCTTGCAGATTTTCACTGTTAACTAGTGAATTATCATCATAGTAGAACTCACCCAGTAAATGCCTATCTCCTTTCCAACATTTATGTTTCACAGAAATATCCTTGAGAAAACAAAGTTATTTTTTTATTGAAGCGGACCCTGACATATGTTAATTAAATTAACCCTCTATCCAGGGAGTGGGGATATTATCTGCTAATTTAATAAATTGTAACTACATCTTTTTTTTATTTCTTAAATGGTTTGAATCCTAGTAACTACTGCTGACATGCATAATTATGTTTCATCATACTGAAAGTGACACACACCTTTGTAATCTCTCTGGTATGATGGGTTACATTAGAATATAAAGTGATGATTATTAAACTGATTCATTTTTTAATATGTCCAGACGAGCACAATTATACAGGATGACAGAATATTAAACCAGTGAAAAGCAGAAAAACACAAAAGATCGAATATATTAGACAGTATGTGTTCTTCCTGCAGCTGGTTTATGGCTGGTTACCCCAAGGATAACTAGTTATTCCTCCTAGTGCATAGCTAACAGTCTTAATTCTTATTAAATAAAATATTGAATTTCAACATCATACGATGTAACAAAACTGTATTCACACTTCAATTGCAGAATATTTGAATGCCAGCAGTAGTTACTGCTTGACAATAAGCAGCAAATCATGAATTCACTCACAGGTCGTCCCAGCTGCTGCGGGGAGGAGGGTGATGTTCTTGGGGGACTGGGACTCCTTCTTCTCCGGTATAGATGGCTGCTCATTGTCTTTCTTCCGTCTTTTGTATGGGACAAACAGCCTTACAGGACCAGTCTAGTCACAAAAAAGAACATATAGACATTCTCCTTATTCTGCCTTATTAATAACCCCACCACCACAAGCAGGTCGGTTACACTGAGCAGAGACTTACAGTGGAACTAAGAGCAAAATACAAAACTTGTGACCTTTGTGTTTCACACATGACATGTTCTCCAGAGCAGAATTAGTTTTCTCAATGTACCGCATTGTTACTATGGCTCAAAGGATACTTCACGCCAGAAAGCTACATTGACAATAATTACCGCTACTAGCGAACATTTTCCAATTCTTATTACAAAAAAGAAGTATCTTTTCGATTGTTCCCGTTTCTATTTTGACACTGAAATATATGTACGTACCAAATGTACTGCTTTGTTCTCAAACAATTTTCGCCTTCACTGCAATAAGAATTATTTTTCTCTCTCTTTGGGCCATGTCTGTCACACAGTACGTTATCAAATTTCTAAATGCTGGCATTCATGAAAGTGAGAAAACAAAACAAATGCTTCGATTCAGCCCTGTGAGCCCTGTGTTAATTTACACATGCTCTATAAAAAAGTCACTTGGAAAATAACTCCCGAATAATAAAAAAGTAGTAAAAAAACATGCAGCTCAAAATAAAACTGCACGAACTTCTACTAGTGGGTTCAACCCCTGTGAAAAATTTTAAACTTCTATTTCTCTCTCAATATACTGTATAAATGTTCATGTGGGTCTGCTACTTTTCCTTTTGGGTCTGCTACTTTTCCTTTGATCTCTGTGTCATTTTTAGGGTGGGTAGATAATCACGAAATCCAATTACCATATTTATGTTCTCCCCTCTCAAAGATGGCCCATCCCCATTCTTGGTGCACTGAAAAAATATTAGACAAGGCGCATAAGGGGAGAGACTGAGCTCGATATTTGATACCTTCACATTCAGAGCTAACGTCAAATTCAAAACTGATTTGACAGTGGGTATGTTAATACGTACTCATTACTACCACAATGAAAAGCTACATGTTTTGAATGAGATTTCTGATTTACACACTGTTAGCACATGAATGAGAGCTTTGAGATAGTTTTACTCTCAGCATTTACACTGCACTGTCTTTGAAACCACCACAAAATATCAAGCAACACATCCATGATAACCACTGTGCTCAAGGTGGACCACAGAGGCCACAGTACCATCTAGTGGATTGAAAAAAAATAAGTCATACATTTTCATTTTCATAAATATGAATGTGCCACAGAGTAACAGGTTAACTTCAAACAGTTATGTATTCATACTTGAACTACTATGGTCTAGGCAAAAAACTTCACTTTAGAAACTCACAAGCAAACAAAAAGAGCCATAGAACAGCTCTGAAAATCCAGGTCCATGTGGCAAAAAGAAATGGAAGTTTAGCTAGCATGTTAAGTGTGTATAAACAGTGTCTTAGAACAGATGGATCATTTTATTTATCACAGTATATTTCAAGAGCTCACAGGTGTGGGGTTAGAATCACTGCAAGTAATAGCTGCGAGAAAAGCCCCCACAACAGAGCAGTGATTTCATTTTTTATATATATATACAGGATGCTTTGGTCACAGCTGATGTCTGCTGCCATATTTTCCAGATCGTAATCTCGGCGAGTCTTTTTCATGAGGGGAAGCATACAGGAATAAGCCTAAAACAGCCGAAAATGAAAAGGGAAAAAATCAACAAATACCCAAAGTCACAACAGGAGCTGAGGAAGGACTGTGGTGACAATAATACTGAGCATCGTTACTTCTCAAGTTGGATAGTGCACCTATTTAAAATGGCTTTACATGAAAAATACAAGTTATGCTCAAAAAGAGACACAAAAAAAGAGTGCTTTCTTGGAAGGTAGTTGAAATTTGAGAAATCCCAACTCCAGCGTTACTGCAGGGTTTTAAAGCGAGAGTGGACTAAGATTGCTCACCAAGGACAGATCATCGCAGCAGGCAGCACAGGTACATGAGGCAGCATGAGGATTCAGGATCCCATCCTAGCAAAACAGAATCGGCCAACTTTATTCCCAGCTTGCTTTATGACCAGTGACAAAAGAAACTCTTCCCACTGAAGAACTAATTCTGATCTTATAAATCCTTCATTTGTTCCTTAACACATCTCACAATAATAACATGACGATTTTTAAGGTTGATTAAAAATGATTGTTTCTGCTTATATTATCCAGTGCACAGAAGAGATTTCTTCATATTAACGGTACAGATGCGAATTGATTTAGTTACAGTTGCTACGGATTTTAAGAATGGTTGTCTACACAAAAATATTCATTTTGTGTATCTATGCAGAACTTTATTACTGCTTATAATCTGTGTTTATACATATAAAAAAATATTAGGCAAATAAAACCTTTTTGTAAGGTTATAATGAAGACTAAGAAAAGTAACAAACAAGAAGATGCTAGTCAGTGCATCTTCCCCAAACATCCTGTTAGATTCTCTTGGTCTTGCAAAAGCCCACAAGAATCTCAAAGCCTCAGTCTGGGGCTGCTATGTCACATATCAGTTTTACCTTTGTCAGACTCGCTCCTCTCACCTGGATCAGACACTGCAAAGGTCTGCCTGCGTAACGAATGCTCCTCTTCCAGTCTTTACTGCTGGCTCTGCCAGACATGCCCTCAAACTCAGTAGGGGTGTACCAGTTATTGTTGTGCTTGATGCAGCGCCCTTTCCCCCCTGTGATGAGGAAAGGAAGCAGGAAGCACTGCCTTGTCACCGGCATTCACTCCTCATTCAGGAAATTACAAACATTACCCATTAGCAAACATTTTCCAAAAACACAGACACTTTAGAAAATGTACTCCTTTGTTTTCAAACAACTAAAAACAGATTCCGCACGGACGCACTGTACGGTTCACTGCAATAAGACTTCTTTCTCTCTGTTGGGCCATGTCTGTCAAACGGTACATGATTACATTTCTAAATACTGACATTTGTGAAAGTGAGGGGAAAAAAAAGAACAAAATGCCTCAATTCAGCCTTGTGAGCTCTGTCCTAATTTACCTATGCTCTGTAACTTGCTAAAAAAAGTCCTCCAAAGTCCTCGGTTTCTCTTGCGTCCACCAGATGTCAGTGAGAACTCTTTTTTCCTGCACAAATATTGCACTTGGCCTATAAAGATTAATGCAATTTCATACCAGTAGCTAAAACGATCAATAAATAATTATTGAACAAAAACTAACACTATATGCAATGCATTCAGGCTATTGTATAGCACTGATGATAAATATGTACTTTGGAAGCCTAAGACAGAGGACTTGAAAGCGTAATTGTTTTATTTTTATTCTTGCACCATATCTTCACATTACAAATGAACATTTCTGTCAGAACTTGCAGGTTCCTGTTACCACTAAAAAAACTTCAAATCATTTCAATAAGCAGACTTGGGGATTTTTAATTAAAGCTGTAGAGTTCTGAAAAATCAAATTTAGCAAGAAAAACACTTTACAAATAATTCAAGAACATAAGAGATGTTATTCATATTTTGAGGCCATTTCAATCTTAAATAAATATGAATTTATTTTGTTAGTTGCAAATGTACATAAATGACACAGGTTTCTTGCAATGAGGCAACTGAAAGCTACAAGTGTTGAAAACCTGAATGTACAGCAGAAACAAATTTACTTTTCTAAAAGGGAAAGTGTCATCACAGACATAAGCATTGAAGGACAGTATGCATGCTTTAATTTAACTAACAGGAAAAGAAAGCAAGTGTCCAAAGACCACTTCTCTTTAGTTCTGGTCCTAGAACTCAAGTAACTTACCAGAGCCCAGCCTGTTCTTATACAGCAGTCCACTGGTGTTTCTGCATCTTACAGGCAGCTCATTCTCATACACAGAGGGGTCCCAGTTATATTTTGTCCCATCTTTCTCAGGACCTGGTGTTATTGGAGTTGATGGGGTCTGCGGACCTTCAGAAGAAAACAAAAAGTTGAAAAACTTCACACAGGGTTTAGAACATCTTTCACAACAAGAGAACACGATTGTCACTCTGGTGAGATTTTGGATCGCATCGTATCCTTCAAGTAACAGCGTACCCAAGACCGGGACACCAGTGCATCGCCAGGCAAACACACAGACAAACATGCACGCGCTCACACCAGAAGCCAATTAACCCACCAGTACTGTATGTCTCTGGACTGTGGGAGGAAACTGGAGCACCCAGAGGAAACCCATGCAAACACAGGGACAAAGAGCAAGCTCCACGCTGATAGCACCCCAGGTCCTGAATTAAACCCAGGGCCCCAGCCACTGCAAGACACAGCACCAATGCAGACCTCTGCACCACCATGCCACCAAGATTTCAGATAATCATCAAATATTTGTTCATGTTTAGGGAGTAAATGTCAAATGTAAAGAGAACAAACTGCTTTATCTGTGGCCCAGGTATTGATTGGTTCAAAACTGGGTTATATCATGTCCTTAAACTGTGACGCACAAGTGGCCAAGCGCCAGTGGGATAGGGTGGACAGACTGCCAGGAGCCTCTCAGATTCCAGAGATACCGCAGCTCTTTCTGGGTCATTAGCTGGCTGCATGCAAGCTTGCAGTGGCAACAATGAGAGATGTGCGCCTTCTCTAACAGGAGATACAGTATCTCTCCTGTAAGGCACTCTAAAGCCTGCTCTGTGTCAAAACACGAATGGCCCTGACAGACAGGAGTGGGTCTGTCAACCCCCATGCAATACAGAGGTGTCTGCTGTAAAGAAATGATTGGCTGTTCAAACTGAGTAGGCAGATACTAAAACAATACAAAACAAAATCAGGTTTATAGTTCTTAAAAACTTCATACCTGGGGAAATCGGTGTAGCAGGTCCTTTCAGCCCTGAAGTATCTACAATGCTACCATCGGTGTGAACCACAATCAGAGTGGCCTTTTGGGTGTTTAGAGGGTCTCCTATCTGCAAGGTAGTCCTTCCAGTCTAAAATACCAAAGCAAAACAATGAGACCTCAAGCTGAAATTGAAATTAGAAACCCTGGATTGTGATAATGCACACTGAGGTCACCTCTGAATCCTTAAGAGGGGTGGTTAGGGTTTGTGAAATTGAAATTGAGCTCTATTGAACTAATTGTATTGTGAAACCCCTGTGCAATGAAATAGACTGTAGTACAGATAGAAAATGGTCCACGAGGGACATTTCCCATGGACCAGAACAGTACATTAACCACAAAGGATATAACCAGAAACTGGTCACAGGGAAGACCAGGATGATACAGTAAGTGAGGAGCTGCATCGCAGTCTGACGATTTCTCCTACAGCAGACTGCCAGTGTTCAGATGAAAAAGACATCTCGAACCATGAAACTAATGAAATACAAATGGTCTTAATTCTTTGCAGCCCCTGGAAGAGCAGTCAAAGAGCTGGGGTAGGTTGATCTGCAGTCCTGATGGTCTGGGTCACTGTAGGTCTGCAGCAGTAATCTCGGTCTGAAACTAGATTCAGTCAGTCTGTGCCTACAGTGATGCCGAAAGAGTACAGCGGGTTTACTGAAGGACGTACCCCAGCTCACACCACTCACACAACACTAAGTGAAACGAGAGGGAGAGTCCATCGTAGTCCGCACAGTTCTGGGTCAGGAACCACCTTACAGTACACCCATTTACCAAGGGTGTCCAAACGCAAATTCCATATGAGGAATTAAATGCGGTCCTGCGAACCAGGATATCCTCAGGTGGCACCACAGAGCACTCATCCCACAGTGCTGTATTCTGTTCAGGGACAAACAGGCGCTCTTTCGCAAACTGTGGCCTCTGCTTCCATTCGTCTCTCTAGGTATCCTCTGACAAGAAACTCCTGTACTTCTGTTAACAATACAGTCATCCTGCTTGTGCAGACCACAAAGTACTTTTTAACACCTCCAATTTCTAACTGCGCAGATCAAGAACTATGGCATTTGAATCTTTTTACACGGTCATACTGTAACGTCGTATTTACAGTGTGTGTGTACTGTACATTACATTAACCACTGTACATGCCCAGGTAAACCTAGGCTGTGAGCTGTGAGGTCTACACTGCAAATATGGAAATATTCACAACTCTTTATTACAAAAACAAGCCACTCAGCTCAATAGAGTTCTCCTTTTTCCAGTGATTCAATCAGAACTGCAAATATAGTATTGTAACCTCCACTTCCACAGTACAGATTGGTAACTTACCTTGTGCAATTTTGTGTAATAGTTTTAAAACAATCTTCTTCACGTCTTTTCAAAGAGGGAATCGCCTTTTTTTTTCCCTTTTCTTAGCCCTCCAGTTTGGAATTACCGATTATTGATCGACGTGGCTTTACCGCTGGCTATCTCAAGCCTGTCCCAGAGAAACTGCACCACCACAGAGGAACTCCTGGTCTTGGTCAGCTCAGACCAGCGATGCCCGGACTACAGGCATTAACCCATGAGTCTGGAACTGCCTTCTGTTAAGTTTTCAGTGATGTGCTCAAGGCAGCTTGCAGAGTTCAACACGAAAGGAACTCAAGGGTTAGTCTTATGCATTTGCTTTAAAATTTAAACTTACAAGAAAACTTACTACAAATTATCACATTCCTTAAATCCATCCCCATAACTCATCCCCTTAAGCCTTTGCTTTTCTTCTTTGCCGACTTTTTATTCTGTGGAGAAAGCTGGAGGCAGTATGCTAGTTGTTTTTGCTAGGGCAGCGTACAGCTGCAGCACCAAGGGGACTACCTACCAGAACATGCTCAGAAATGGAGGCTGCGCTTGCAACTGAAGTCGTGAACACGTTATCTCCTGGACCTGCCACATCTGCTACAGTCACAGTGGTCACGTCTGTGAAACGAAACAAAAACGTAATTAATACAAATCTTCATTTTCTGGAAGACAATTCGCGCTTTGAAAGAAGAATATATAGGCACATCTAATGGTGAATATATACATCAGTAAGAGAGAATCATCTACGTCTCAGAGGCGGCCGAATTGAAGTGTGCAAAAAAAGTGTGACAAAGAGAAGAGACGTTTTCAAACGATAAGGAATTGTTACAGGACGTTTTAGACGGCAACTCTTCTTTCGACACAGAGGAAGGACTTTTATCCAAAGGTCCAGTCACAAAAATGAAAAATCCCTTAATCCTTGGTTTCAACAAACGCTGATGTTTTCTTTCATCTTTTATCTGTATATGACGAAAGGGCTGCTTTAGTCAGATGAAGTTGGTAGGTTACAGGAAAGCCATTGATTAAAGGCGTTGTTGGAGATTTGCTGTGAAAAATAAATACAAAAAATGGCTCATGACATGTGTTTATATTAGATGTAGTCGTGCAAGTAGAGCTGATTTTATATCCTGCACTCCGAAACTTCTTCATATACGTTTACTATTTTTTTTCCGTAAAGATGTTGATCAATCGGTAGGTTCAGGTTTAAGCGTATTTAACTGTACATCTTGGGCGTTTTATGCTGTATGCACTTTTGCAAACAATACAAACCCCGCACTCCCAAACCAACAGCCAAATGATGTGCATTTAATTTTGAATCACGTACGTTGTGTGGACAACAGTAAATCCCAAGTATTTTCTAAACCGTATCGGAAATCTGAGGCTTTGAATCACTCGAGACCTCCGCGGCAGCGCACTGCAGGACGAGGTCTGATTTTAAAAAAAAAAACTTTCCTGCAAACGCCGTTTCGGCCTCGTCTGGGTTCGGCAAGGACTCGGCTCCGATCTCGATGTGCCCCGGTTCACCCATTACTGTCATCGCTGTAACTTCGGCCTCCGATTCAGTATCCGAGTCCTCCCCCTCGCCGGGCACAGCAGCAGCGCTTTCGGGCGCCTCCTCTAACCCGAGCCCCTTCGTAGCCAATTCAGATTCATCCATTTCTCCGGCCACGACCGAGTTAGGCCGAATATGTCCGAGCGAATCCGGGAGGGTAAAGTGTCCACTCTCCCAAACAGCGTAACGGATGATATCCCTTTTTCTTGATAAAACCCCAAATCGACAACGTGTTGGTTCGCAATAGTACGGGATGTTTTTTTTTTTTTTAAAGTATGTCGAGAATAAACAAAGCCGATAGGAAATGGCTTCTTTTTTTTTTTCTTTTTGCGGGATCAAAACACAGGAAGGAGGCCTAGCGAAAATTACCGAAAGAAAACGAGTTTGCACGAAAGAGAGGCTTCCGAGCGCAGCCAATACGAAACACAGCAGTGAAGTGTTGTTTTATTCATCGATACGTTAACGCGCCGAAGCCAAGGAAAATTAGAAGCGTTACAACAATTAATAATCATAACTCCTTTATGTAGATTTGCTCATGCTAAAGAAGTCCAACGTGCTTGCACACAGAAGGGGACGCACTACACCAACCTTTCGGTGCAGCACCCTTCTGCTCTGTGTGTAGGTGACAGTCATTCAGCACCAGCAACCCTACTGCTGGTTGTTCAAGAGTGTACAAGGGTAGACACCTCCTACAGCCCCCAGTCCCCAATCGCTGCAATGGAACATCGTCCTGGAAATTCGGTCCAGATGGAAGAGTCCACCAACATCATTTTCAGCAGTTGCCTGGATTTCCTGTTAGGTTTTGTACCCCAGTGCGGCTGCCAGTAGCTTCTAAGATCTGATGAGAAGAGGCTACAAGTTTGAAATCTTACTGCAGGTTGTTTAACAGGTATGCTATTCAGAGAGTCTCGGTTGCAGACGTGTGGAACAAGCTGTCCAGCCACGCTTTTGAAGGTGATAACCTTCTCTCAAGAAACAGCTGGATGAGCACTTTTGATCAATTAGCTACAAACTACCAAACAAGCCAGATGAACCTAGCTTAAATGGCCTCCTCCTGGTTGTGACTTGAATTACTGCACGTATTTGTACCTTCAGTTGTGTTCATGTCTTTAAAAAAATCTGACAAATATTTGTACCTCCAATGTAAATCTCTTTGGCATACCCCAACTTATAAATTACAATTAAACTCTACCCTATGCATTCTATTCATGATTAGCTTAATTTTAATTATCTCCTTTAGCTCAAATCTCTGACTCCCTACAGAATTAATGTCCATACCATGGAAGATTATGAACTCTGTGAATGCAGAAATGGTAAAATATCACAGATAAATGTAAAGAACCTTCCACATTCTAATAATTTAAAAAGAAGCTAAGTACTACCCATTTATTAATATAGCTAGCCATATCTGGTGCAGTGGACATCATGTGCAAGACAACTGTGCTAGTAATGTTAATTTCTATTTTAAGCTGCATACACAAAAAGCACTAACAATGGCATAACTGTAACAATAAAAACAGAAAGAAACCAGGAATGCCTGACTAAAGAAAACCTCACCTGTGGCATAAACTATTCAATCCTTAATGTTCTTGACCTGAAACTGAATTTATTCGAGATGTTCAGTCTAGACAATTGTGCTTCAGAACCTTTAGCAACAGTCTTCAGTTTTCTGTGATTCTGCTACCACAAAATACTTGTATTTTAAAAAAACTACTTTTATTTAAATTACACTTTCCTTTAGAAGGAGTGTTTAATAAAAACACAATACATTATGATTTGTATTGCAAGCAATGTTCACCACCATAAAAACCCAGAATATTACACATTTTTGTTTCCACCTCACATACAGTATTACAAACATTTGATAAAGAATTAAGCAAGCACAGAACATATTAAGGGCTTGACATTTTACCCTCACTGAATACTCATTTTATTTTTTAAGAAGTTTATTACAAACATTCTATACATTAAAAGGAATATAATCATTAACATGATTATACTCTGAAAATTCTTTCAAGACTGACATTCTGACAAATTGTTAGTCTGCATTTTCAATATTTCAATGAAATAACACAAGGAAAGTACAGTCAATTAAATGCATAGTCAGTACCATATGCTTCATTTGCCTGCTAATGGCAATATTTTTCTTAAGCAATCTGTCATGCTAAAGGAAAACAAATGACACAGCAGACAACAAACATGAACGCTAGTTTCACCATTCAAAAATCAACATTGCTTTGAAGCTTTTCTTTTAGACTTTTCTTCACTTCTCTTTGAGGTTTAAAAATATTATAAAAAGTATCATGTAAGATGTACCTGAAAAACAACTGACAAAACAGTTGGTATCAATGTAGAAACTTGATATATGTTCCGTCAAGAGCAAATAACAAAGCTGATTATGAAGCTTGTTCCATTTTTTATCTTATGTTATGATTATTTGTTAGAAGTCATATGATTGAGACTACTGTTCTGGGTCTGTATTAGTTTATTTTTGAATAAAAGCCCCCATGGATTGTAGATGGCACAGCTAGCAGCATCAAAGATGTATACAGAAGTACAATATTTATTTGTTTAAACCTTTAATATAGCTGCAGTTTGACCTTTTAAAACCTTTTATCTGGAAATTAATTACTGATCTGTTACTAATTAGAATGAATCCCTTTGATAATGGTAAATAGATTATCTGTATCCTGAACTTCTCCAGTCACTTTCTGCGTAGAAACAACAAAGCTGCCTTACTATCTGCGTGTTCAAAGCAGCTGTTCAGATCTAAACCAACTGCAGTTAAATAAGGACTTGTTTAATTTTTCAACAGCCAAAACTGATAATCACCTTTATTCTAACAAAAGAAAAAAGAACTTCCTGATTACCAAAAATAAAAATATCATTATCACAGTTTAGAATTAAAAATTTAACTTAGAAGAATAAATATTTCCATGTAAGTGTATTCTGTAGTATAATAATAACCTTGTGCCAATGCTGAAATATTACAAGGTCCTAGGTGTAGCTGCAAAATACTGAAAAATTAAAGACTTCTGTTTTTTTCTACAGCACACCTTCATTCACCTGCCACATTACAGCAGCTTTAAATTGTGTACTCCCCCTGTCTTAAATATTTTAAAGACAAACCGATCCGCCTCCCTCTTTCACCACTCTAAAAACAACTAGTAGTTCTTCCCATTCCTGATCCGTTTATCATCTAGGATAACTTCATAGGTCATAGGAGTATGTTTTCTGCTGCTCTCTAACCTTCGTTTTCATTTCTTATAATCTTAAAATTACTCCTAGGTACGAGAATATTCCAGAGAAGCAGAAACGCACATGAGGAACACCCACTCCCCACAAACCAAACCACCAAGAAGCATTCTGCAATCAGGATACCAGCAAACCTTCTCATTCTCTTTCACAGGATGAAATTTCACATTTAAGAATGCACAGAGAAATGTTGCTATAATCAGGGTTAAAACCAGAAACCTTTGTTTCGATGTACAGATTATATTGCGTTCTGTGAATTTCAGTTTTACTGGGAAAAAACGGCGGTTTTTCAGTCTTTTGGGGGTGCTTCACCACAACGATCAGAGCTTAATGAGGCCTGTATCATTAGGAAATATTTTCAATTTCTCATATAATTGAGAAACTCATTGCAAACCCCTTGTCAATTAAGGAACAAAACTTTTTCCCTTTGTCCACTTTACGTCTGTGTCCTAGAGACTAGGTAGTAAAGTATAAAAAAAACTAAGACCAGTCCAATTGAGACATAGCACAAAATCTTCCGGTTGTCCCTTCCAGAGCGAACCATTGTAGAAAACCTCTTCACACTTCCTGTCAAGAGCCCTGTGGTGCTCAAAAAGTTTGAGTCCTTGAGAAAACAAAAAGAACGTGTAAATACAGCACAAGTCCAATTAAAAACAGGTTTTAGCTTTTGTAGGAATACATGTTAAGGGTCATGTGATTCACAAAACTCTAAAGTTCTAGGTAGTTAGGAACAAGTGGAATTAATATTTTATTGCTTGTCTGCAAAGAAGATGATTCTGTGTAACAAAATACACCTCAATATATAACACACCCCTGTATACCCACAAGTGGGAGAGAACATGGAGTTTGTAGGCATAAGAATTGACACGACACAAGTGGAATATTTCAGACAGACAAACCAAAATAACTGTTACTAAGACACCTGCAATAGTTGCAAACCAGAGCATGGCTTTAAAACTCTTAACTTTCATGACTCCAGCTCCTATTATTCCTATTATTATAACAGAACTATCAATAGAGTTGTGAGCCCACATAGCTGTTTCCATAATGTTTAACAATCCCCCAAAAATGTATGTAATGTAAAAATCCCCCCAAAAATGTTACTTATCATCAAAGTCATCAGTTTTTTTTTCTGGTGGAGTATATTAAGAGTTCTGCATCATTCAGCTGCAAGTCATTCTTGACCTTAAAGTCAATCCTGTTCCTTTGTTTCCCTTTAGGCTATCGCAGCTACTTTTTCAGTCCTGTCCAGTCACCAGAACAACCAAATAAGGTGCTGCCACAGAATCCTGAAGTTGTAGATGAACAACAGTACTATCACAAACTTTATAATGAACAAATTGCATTCCCAGTCACATTAGCATAATAATGTTTCAAATTCATATCTTATCTTAGGCCCTGCAAATTGCTCTTACCATGCCATCAAGATAGGAATTTTGGTCCTCAGCTTCTTTATCTATTTCAAAGGCCAGCTGTTAAATAAAAGCATAGAAACACTTATTAAGGAGTGCGCAACAGCAGTATCTCAGAGTCCTGTAGTAAATCTTTTGTTTCTGTATGATACGACTGGTAAACTGCATTCTTAGTTCTGATAGTAAAAATGTTGTGAAACAAAGTGAAGCCCAGGTTTGTACAAACACATGAGCAGTGTATTGGAATTCAATACTATTAGAGAATAGTAGGCTTGTCTCTGTATCGGTCTTCTGTAACGGGCCGTTTACAATCTACTTTTGCAAATGAAAACAATGAGATCATAAATCTATTACCAAGTTACTGATAAATGTTTTGGAAAATAAAAAAACGCTTTAAAATCATTTTAAAAACACACATATGCCACAAGGTGTAGTAAGAGGTTTAAATACATACTGATTTTAGTCTGGAGACTTTAGTGGCCAGATTGTCTGCCAAGAGCTTATTCTCAACATCCAGCATCTCATCCACAGCACCAGAGCCATGTCCTTACCACGAGGAAAAACAGCAAGAGAGAAGAGCATCACAAAGTAAGTGAGCACCCGTTTCAAAGCCTGTCTCAAGGCAGCACGAACACAGTTCACAGTGATAATATAAGCATGTTTGAAGACGATCAGACACACTAGAAACAAATTATATAACGCGGAAAAGGAAAACCATTTGAATTAATTATGACCAAGTGTGGGTGCCAGACGAAGCCTTAAAGAAAGCAGAGCTCTGCCCACCCTTGATTACTCCGGTTGATGCCACAATTTAATGATCAGAAACCTGTTTGATACAAACTACTCTGTGTGATCAGCGTTCCTTGAGTAATTTTAAGTAGATTAAACGAAGTAAAAAACCGTCTGAATAATGTTTAGGACGCTTACAGCATGCACATCATCAGCTTAAATGCTGTCTTTATTTTTATGACTCTACTTCGATTCAGCGATGTCTCGTTTGTAACAACTATTATACTCGTTACATTGATCAATTATTAGCTTGATGAAGCATCATAATTATATTTATTTCACTTGTTCTAGTCCAATTTACAACACCTAGTATCCACAACTTTATATACGTTTAACACACTTGTCAAGAGAAACTTTCAGACTATACAACCACACAAAAACACTATTAAACCAATAAAATATTATTTAGAATTGACTACGTGTCCACTTCCTACCTCTATTCCAGTCAGCCATCTTTGTTGACTTCCTTCTTCTGGGAAGAGGGTTAAAGGTAAAGTAACGGAGACGTCACATCCTGTTACATTAATAGGGTAATGTTTGAAAGTAAAAATGTTATTAATGTCTCGTCCATATATAATGCTGATTTTATTGGAGTTGCCCTTTGGAATAAATAGATTGGAACATACATTGGCCTTGTCTTTCAATAAAAAAAAATAAGTGCACTATAAAATAATCCTAAAATATACGCAACTAATCCGATTGTTTCGTTTCTAAATTAAAAAAAATACATCATATTTGTTATTTTCGCCAATCAGGAAGAAAGAAATATCTTTTTGCAAATTACTGTGACAACAAAACAGAGTAAAATTATAAAATCAATTATAATTTAAATTCATTTTGAAATTAAGCAGAACTGCCTAATTTACAATAATTTTGATATATTTGTAACTATTAATAGTTAGAACAAACGCCAGAAGACACATCATCCTGCAGCTCACAGCTCACAGCTGGCAGCCCACTAAAGCTCAGCAGGGTTAATCCTGGTCAGTACTGGGATGGGAGACCTCCTGGGAAGCTATGGCTGCTGCTGGAAGTGGTGTTAGTGGGACCAGTGGGGGGCGCCCACCCTGCGGTCTGTGTGGGTCCTAATACTGTAGTGGGTGCTGTCCTTCGGATGAGACATTAAACCAAGGTCCTGACTCTCAGCGCTCATTAAAGATCCCTGGGCATTTCTCGATAAGAGTAGGGAGTTATTATAAAAAGATATAATAACCAAATATAATAAAAGTTTTTTTTCAGTGTTACAACAGCATAAGAACAGATACAGATTTAAATATCAGAAGCTTTTAGGAAATGAAACAGAAAGGAGTGATATATTTCTTATTTTAGAGGGGTGGTCATCAGGATAGAAATCAACAACATTCCTCAGGCTGAGCAAAGGCCAAGATCTGTATTAAATACAATTAGCATAGAAGAGGTGGTGGAGTCGCAGGGATTAGAAACCCCTAAAATTAACAGATAGGCCAGCCAGGGCCTAATGACATCCTACTAATTGGTTTTAAGGAAAGGAAAGATGTAACTATTAACCCTGTAGTGCCAGATTAATTATGTCATCCCTTAGTATCATCCCTTGAGTATACATCCCTTATTTATATCTCTTTTTTATCCTTATGACCAATTTTCATTTCAAGGCTAGAATCTGAGACTCAATCTTTTATGAGGACCATTATTAAAAACCTTTCTGAAAATCTAAATATATCATGTCATATGTCACATCCATAGCTGCTGTTATTTGTTCAAACTGTTCTAACAAGTCAAGCAAGACAGGCTTAACTAACTGCATGGTGACACCCTGGTTAGCATCGTTGTCTTGGACTGCTGGAGCGCTGTGCTCAGTTTTGGACCTGTGAATTAAATACAGATCATTTATGATACATACTTACTGTAGGTGTGTACATCATTTATATGTGGGGAAGGCAGAGAGTGAGTTAGAAATTATGATTAAATGTCTAGAATGTAAATAAAGTGATGTTTGGGCAAAACAGTAAAACACTTTAGTTTTTGTTTTTGTAGAATATTGTGAACATTTTTTTTTTTTATCAGCACGTTATAAGAACATCATTACTGCTCTTGAATCATTCCAGAGAATGGTGTCCAGATACATTCCCATACATCTGTGAGTGTCATATACTGATAGGCAAAATATTTTTAGTCTTGAGCAGGGAATACTACAAGGGGAATGCAAAATCCTTAAAGGCAATCCAATTGACTTCATCAGATTCAACATTGAAACACGAACCAGAGAACATAAATTAAATTTAAATAAGCAGAATCCTACACATTGTATAAACCCACAAGTTTAATGCTACCAGTAAAGGATCACACTTTCCGCATATACTTTCCATTTTCTACACTGTATTGACCAAAAAGAAGGAAAGAAGGACACATAACAACTGAGAAAATATACAGACCTCTGGGTTAGTCCAATTGTTAATTTTGTTAAGGAGAGGAGTAAAATATGACCTGTTAAGTATCATATGTTTAGTACCACGTACTGATTGGAAAATCAGTTTTTTTAAAAAAAAAAAAGTATTTTAAAAAGTCTCTACAAGTCCTTTGATTCAACACTTAACTATCATACACATAGAAAATCTTTAGGAATTTTTCCCACCTGAGAATTGATATTGAAATATTTTTGTACAAGTCGTAAGAAGGTTAAGTGACTGGCAACTTTGTCTTTAGTATAGTTTTAGCTTAGTATCGTGATTAGTTTCACTCTTTGTTTTGTTGCAATAGAAGTGTTATTCCTTATTCCAAGGGGGATAATTAAATGAGTCGTGTTGTTGAATTCAAATGTAAAAGCTCATCAAATGTTTGTTAATAAGGCTTGTGAATCGCAGGCTCACTTTTCCAAGCACTTTTCTTTTATATAAGACGATTTGTGGACGGTATGTTCACCAGTTAATTGTAAGAATAACACCAGGGAGAAAGAGAAGAGATACACAAGAAAAAGAGCAAAAAAGAGTGCGGTTTTGCAAACCCTAAATGTACCCTTTTTTTAAAACAATGTGAATATGTCTATCTTAACACCTCGCGTTGTATCAATACATCCCCAGCATATTGTAGCAGTATTACACCTAGAGACTTGCACCTGATCGTGTAGAAACAAAAACGTAAAACTACATTTCCCAGAAATCCTTACGCACGCTTACAATCCTGCGTTAATCTTGTTCCAGGACTTTCGAGTTTCAGGGATAAGAGCTGGTAGAGTAAGGTAACGCAGTGAGACACATCAGAATATTACCCAAAGCAAGGCGTGTATGTGGTTGTCAGTTTGACTTGAACAACAATAACTGCGTCTGTAATACAGCAATGAAAATGGAATTCAATGCCATCATAGAAACGATGCAAACAGGAGACCAAGATGCCGCATTGAAGGCACTGCAGGCTTACAATAAGGAGGTATAATTTAGTATTTTTCATTTTTATACGTATTTGGTTAACATCTTGTATATTTATATATACGATTCGTATCCGTTAACCGTGTTTCCATGTGTGGGCTTCGAAATGCAGGGTATACAGTATCTGTGATTTGTTAGTGTGTTTAGCCGACTACCTTCTATTTTTACAGAAATGCATGTTTTCTGTCATTACCATCCTGACATGATGTGAACATCCTAAGTGTAACATATTTAATAGCTTCGATGTGATCTGGATTAGGGAGCCCTGGTTGTCAGCTTGAATGCATTTAATTTTATTGAATCAAACTGCCATTCACAATGGTACAGTTTGCATTTTTAAATTTTAAATGAAAATAATTAGCCATAACAACAGTGTCGCCCTAAAACGCAGGCGTATATTCTTGGTAGTAACTTTTACATTTATTTCTCAGCATTATTTAACGATGATAATTTTACATAATGGTACATCCACTCGCTGGAATACAGTTTGCCCAGGCTATTTTGTCATTGATACCAATGCTTTTGGATAGTGCAATGCAGGCAGAAATGTAACATTATTTTTTATATCAATAATCACCATCACAGCCTTGAAGAACAAAACGTATATGTAATACTTAAAATTATCTAGATCTTTGTTGGTTTTGAGATACAGGAAGACTGGGGCAATGGTCTTGGGCTGAGAGTGCAAGATACAGCTCTGTGTTAATAGTAGGTGTGTAAAGCACCTTCACCATAGTTGCCATTCTGATAGTGTAGCAAACTATTGATTTATTCTGTGCAGCTGTTATTTCAAGTGTAGTAGTAAATATCTTAATTGAAGTCATTATTATTTTAATATGTAGCTCTGGAACCCAAGCTTCACTCCAAGTTCCTTCTAGCAAGCTGAATAATACATCAGCAGGCAACTTTTTACTATTATTTTTACTTAATGTTTTTTGTGAACTGTTTTTACTTATCAGAGTAGGTACTCCATACAATTGCTTTGATGCAAGTACTGTATATAACGGTCTCTGAAGTTGTGAAATCTGGTGTGGAAATGAAGATACTTTGTGTGTATTTTTTGTTTCTCTACATTTTACATGGTATGACTTACAGATCATTTAATGCAACTAGTTATCACTGTTATAATGAGGGTGTAAGAGCCTCTTATACTTTTAGTGCCTAAATCTGATAAACGTTTTAAAGAATATTAACAGCCTTAGAGTACATCAATACCATCAGATACTTTTAATCAGCAAGGAGCTTGAAATCCATAGTTAAGATTGGGGTTGGGCTTTGTCCTTGTCTTTTTCCATCTCTTGTCAAAGCATTTAAAATGCCCAATGTCGGCATTTGTTTATGAATGTATCTACTGAAAAAGGTTCGACCATTCAACTTTGAAAATGATCAAACACAGCGTGAAAACAGGTCAACTATCAATATGATAAAATCTGATTTTGTTTTTTTCCCCACCTTGTAATCTGTATTTTTGTACATGCAAAAATAGTGCATGCTTATATCTATATTAGCATATGTGATATTCCTTTAAACCCCTGATATCACTAATGGTTCTTTCTTTTCATGTACTTTTCATTTAAATCACACTTAAAGATACTTCTGCAACAGAACATTGAGGTAATTCCTCAATACGCTGCCTTTCTTTGACGTGAATGTCAAGGAACTCCTTTCATCCTGCCCAGGAAGTCTCTGGTCTGTTCTGCGGTGCGTGTTGTGAAAATTGGATTAGATCATTGAGCCATGTGCAGCTCAGCTCATCTGAACTGTCCTGTTATAGACCAGTAAGTCACCTGGTGCCTCACAGAAGTCACGTTGACTACATACCCCTGAACAGTATCTCTGTTGCTCTTCTTCTGGAAGGAACGCTCAGCAGAATGTGATGCTGCTGTACTGTAGCTTTTTGCCCCTAGCACATCTCAAACAGCAACAGACAGAACAAGCTGTTCTTTCAGACTAACACCAGCAGTATCCTAAAGCCATATCCTAATTGGGTTAGAAATGTCATTTCCTGTTGCATGTTGATATACCCTAATTAGCTGTACATAGTGTGGGACTACATACAGTAAAAGAGCAAGCATTTACTTTTGTTGACATTATGTGAAAAGTTGTTAAGTTTACATGAACGGAAGACAAAAACTCATCCCCAGAATACTTCCGGCTTCCACTCAACTTTCCTGTTCTACACGATGGGTGTCATGTAGGTTATCTTCCTTGAAAGGTTAGAATAAGGCCTTCCAGGAGGTAAAACTGAGATACCCCCAGACCAAAAGAAAGAATAACATTTTTAAGCGAGTCTCCACGATACAAAACTGAAAAAAAAGTTTTTGGTTTTAGACAATTTGAAGAAGAACAATGCAAAGATAGAAAGTTGTGGATTGTAACAGGCCATACGTAGAAAGTGATACCCACATTTAAACATGATCCCAAATGTAGTCATGATCCCTAACTAATCATTATAACAAAGTAAGAGTTGCAAAAATAATGATTATTTTTCTTTCCTGAGACAAAGCATTAATTTGTAAAACATTCTGCATAATTAACAAAAAAACCTTTTTGTCAGTTATGAGTGATTGCTCTTAATAATGCATGAAGGCAAAAAACAAACAAGCTGTTTTTTTTCCCAGCAGGACATATTTCTCCCATTAGTGGTGTTTGTACACGAAGTTGTTAATCAATATCTATCTTTATTCATGGCACCTTTATGTATGTGCCAACAAAAGTGGTTATTTTTTTCTTCTTGGTGTCTCTCATAAATAATGATGACATTACCTGGATATAAAATGAGTTGCCAAGAATTGATTATATATATTTTTTGTGTCTCTGTTTTAGAAAAGCCAGTGTTTCACATTTGAAGCAGATGAGTGCGAAGAAAGACAGGTATGGTTACTATCTCTTGTTATTCAGTGCAATTATTTAACAGGCTCAGAGAAGTAATAGATTAGCATGCTCTGTCATCACTTTTCAGACTCTTGAAAAGTATGAAGGCAGTGTCTCTGACCTCTGCTTCTTTGTCTTTTTGTCAACTAACCACATTGCTACTGTATAGAGAAATGCTGCTGAACAACAACAAAACCAATCATTTTAATTGTTTACCAGATGAATTAAATAATAAAAATCAAAACACAAGACTTCCAGAAAGCTTTTGTCTTCAATTTAGAGCAAAGCCCCTGATGATTAAAGGAGTTCATTTAGAAAATATCTATCAAATTGTTGTTCTGTATATCAGAAGACATATTTACTAACCTTCAATTTTTCTTCCTTTTCTTGCATGCTTGTTTGTTAGGAAGAGAACCTGGAAGAGGTATAACTGTAGAATAAATAGCAGTTTTAGATAAACTTTTATAGAACCCAGGGCTTATTTTATTTAATATTGTTGGAGAATTGTATAAAGTAGTTATCGAATATGGATCAATATGAACTTATAATGGATATGGACAAATAAGCTGCATCAGGCCACTCTTCACATTTAAAGGCATAGTGAATGATATGGTTGTGGTCATACGAGTAAAGAAACAAGCGAAAGCACCAACTTCCGAACGGGAAGAAAAACATACATGGTCACCTATCATTGTGAGGTGGCAAGTTTAGTTTGTATTGGGTAATAATAAAATAAGGCCTGGGTTTCCACACTCCACTTCAAGATTTCGAAATAGTCAGTTTACTGTCTCTGTACCTTAGCTTTCAAAGTTTTCAAGCAGGTTTGCTCTGTTATGTGTACTCAAACACGGATCGAACAAGCTAATTGAATGTCTGTAAATATTTTCCCCATCTGGCACTGAAAGTTTTTTTTAATATGCGAGAAATTTGCCTGTAACATTTCCTTTTTACAAAGCACCACAGGTTTGTACAACTGGTGGAACTACATTGACACATGCTAAGGAACGCATTAACAACAGCTCCTCTGACGTCCCATGATTCCAGGGGATTATTCCATTTAAATAATTGTTTTGGATGCTATTTATGTCTTTCGACATTCGTACTGGTTTTATTTCAACATTTGTTTTATAAATGTTGGTTTAACTGGTTTTGTTTAACAGTGTCAGTCTTACAAACCAGGCTATGAAATAGGGTAAACTGGACACTTTTACTAAATTGCAGATTTCTAACTCTAAGTAACTTTAAGTAAAAGCATAAGACTGACAAACAAAAATCTGCCAGGAAGTACTCTTTTGTAGTTTGTGACTGGTTTGAAGTTTTGATTTGATCTGGTCTTTAGTATAATAAATATTTCTCTCAGACTGGATCCTTGGTGTTTATACTGTACATGATATACTGTAGATACCCTGTGGTTTGTACTGCACCTTGTCAACAGAGGTCTCCAGACAAGCGTCTCTTCAGCTGGAGGGTTTGTTTTCTTCTAATCGAATTGATCTGCAGGATCTGTTCTCTTGTCCACTGTGTGATGTAACTCTTGGAGCAACTTGAGATTGTGTGATGTGAAACTGTAAGGTTGTTTAGCTGATGCACAAAGAGGCAATGTAGTGTATAGAGCATTTTAAAAAGCATCACACTCAACACTTGAGGTGTTCCAGTCCTGCAATTATACACCATTTTTCCATGTTATTACTACTGTATATTGATCTAAGTTAATCTGCAATATTAGCAGCATTGTAAGGAATTCATTTAGCTGAATACTTCTGGTCTTTAACCAAAACTTGCATTAGCAACTTGTGCTTTGCCACACCCTTCTACCAAGGCCAAAATATTTCAAATGTGGGTTTGTAGTTTTTGTCCTCATTCTTATTCCCTATGTGGCCAGCAGGGGTCAGCTGTTACAGCAGGCTGGAGGATGGGAAAGTGGTGTGGTTCGTTGCCTGACTTATTAGGACACTCGGGCAGATAGCTTACGATGAGGCCACACTGCAGCTAATGAATGTTCTTCCCACCTGACTGTATCATTGGTAGCAGAGTGAAAGTCATTAAGCATTTCCAATTAGCTGATACTCTTAATGAGTCAGGATTTGTTGGTCATAAATGTACCCAATGCATTCTACAGCCAATTCTTCTGTGAAGATAGGGGATCATTCCGCTTAAATTATTTTGTTTTTTGGACGCCTGCTGTGTTAAAACCCCTAATGCTCTATGTGATGTCCCTGCACTGTTTGAAAGTTCTTGCAAATGTTTCTTAAATGGTTACCTATTAGTTGCAACATTTAGTAAGGGACTTTGATGTGACCTAGATAAAAAGCCGCATTTTAATAGCATTAACTGAATAATTTGTTTTGAAATAGGAACAGAAGAAGAAAAAGAAACTTCTTTTTCCAGTGGCGTAAACAGTACAAAGCAAACATGATCATCATTACATTAGAAGTTGTCAAAATATGATAATAATTTAGTTTTTTTTGATCCGAGAAGCTCATCTTTCTGGGTATGAAGGGGTATGAAGCAGAGTTTGAAGTCTGGGTCTCCTTGCCTCTGCATTACTGCAGTCTCAACAGTACGTCTTGCTCACAAAGTTACCATCAGACCACAGAGCCTCCATCTGTGGTCATGTTAATGAAAAGAGCCATTTGGCAACAAGCATTAGTTGTTAGCATTAAATCTTTGTCTGAAACATATTTGCAAGGTCGGTAGCTCCCAAATGTTCTACTGTTTTGACTCTTGGTTCCCCATCGCTGAAAAGGGTGCATGTAAGAGAAACTTTCAACTTTTCCATAGCTTTTCTTGTGGAAGTCTGGTTCAAAACTGGAAAGCAGTCAAGCCTTCAGTACTTCACTCCAATGGAAAATGTACAGTAGCAGACAACGCAGGTTTAGTTTTACTTGTCAGTGCCTCTGCCCCAGTAGTCATAATACTGGTATGCTAAGTGGTGCTCTCTGGGCCTCTGGCACTGTGCCACTGATATCCAGATTGCTTTCCCTGTTGCTGATAAGCTTTTACACTGAAGATGTAAGAGGGTTTACTATGTACAGTATAATGGATCTGTTAAGGTGGTTTGACCTAGAAGGGCACAGGTTTTGGCTGTCTATCTTAGGCCCTTAAAGATATACTGCACTCAGTGGCAGCGGTAGGATTCTAATGTTATACAAATAGAGTGTTTAAGAAATTATACATTTAATGAATGCTTGATCTGGATCTGTAATAATGTTTGTATAACCTTCATTTTAAAGTCTTCCCTGGATGCCAAACTTTATAACTGAGAGGCATTTTGAAGTTAGCATCTTTAGATTTTTAATTAATTGTCATTTATGTTTATATAAATATGTACTATTCATTGAAACTTTAACATTTCGGGTTTTAGGGTTTTAGTAAAAAGTTTAAGATTACTGTAGCTGGTCACCAGCTATACTATAATCTTGTCACCAAGATTGTCACTGGTGTGTTTTTTGTTCCAGCCACACAGTGATTTTTAATTCCTTTTTAATCATGAAGAGCAGAAGAACTGATTATAATCACAGCTCTCCCTGAGGCTAGCAACTCAATGCATCTGCACTCAAATGTGAAAGCTCCTGATGGTGTAACTTCTTCCCTCCACTGCGAACTGTTCATTGCTGTAGCCATTGTTCTGTCAGAATCCAGTGTGTTTCTTTGACCTAAACTGCCATAAAATAATTATTTAAAGAGATAAAGAGTATTTATTGCTATGATTTAATTGTAATAAGTAAAAATGTGTTTTTTACAAGTCAGAAAATAAATAGAAAACTGAGAGAAACACCTACTTGTGCACCCCAAAAATACAAAGGAAGCAGAAGGCAGTGAGTAGTGCTCATCTTTGCTTGAAACAGTAAGTCACTGATGTTGGTGCTGGTTTTCCAGTATGAACAGATGGTGCACAGGAACAAAATGTGGTCCCTCCTGGCTCATCTTTGAACTTGCAGGCAGATTTTGCTTTGATTTTTATACTTTTGCTGCTTACGTTGTTTACGTCTTGTGGTGTAATATTTATCATTTAGCTGTCTCTGTGTTCTGCAGACTGACGATCTTCATATTTTCATCCCTGCACCCTGGAGCTTGTTTGTGATTTCACTGATGGTTGTTTTAGGGGGTTCCTTAGCAGCTCTGTTTATTTCTGGGTCATCAGCTGGTCAGCCCACTCTTGTCTGAATAATTATACCTGTGGTTTCTTTCTTCTTCAGTAGTTTCCAAATTGTTGTTATTGCTATGCAGAATGTTTGCCATGCAGGTGATGTGCTGTGGTTCCGTAATATGGTCAGGTTTTTCATGTCTTTCACTTTCTCCAAAACACCGGTTGAATTGCATTATGTTGATGGGATTGTCCAACAGCAAACGTCTCTGACCGTCAAGAGAGATTTGTCCCCATAGTTTAGTTCCTTCAAAATAAAGAGGTTCATCACTATCAATTGAATTCGACGAGGATGGTAGAACTGAAAGAACTGAACTGATTTTCTAAAACAAAATACTTAGAAAGTCCATAAATAATAGAGTTCGTAGTGAAAATGAGAGTTTAGGCATTACTGTCTCAATACATTTGGGACTGATACAAATATACATATTAGTGAGTTAACATTCAATAGATCCTTTAATCAGCATTATTTCAGGCCCTGAAAAACAATTAGAATTGGTAAATCCAGTTTGAGCTGGCTGGACAAAATCTTAGGATCACTAAGAAACTAACAGGGTAGTGACATGGAAGACTGAATAGCCCCCTCTTGAATGAAACCTTTATTATTATTATTATTATTATTATTATTATTATTATTATTATTATTTATTTTCATCACAGCCAAACCCAGTGACAGTCAAGTCCTTTGTGTCCCCCGCGGAATCCCAGTCGCAGTCGACAAAAGACAAGGCTCAGGTCCTGCCCCTCCACCCTGAGCTATAAGCCGTGACCTTTCCTCGCCGGGCCACGCTGGAGCCCCTCGCTGTTGCCATCTGCACTGGACAGTGCTAGTATCTCCACACTACCGTGTCAATAATAGACATCTCAGTGCCTCTCCCAGGAATTCCATGTCTTTTGCAAGAATGTGGACCAATGTGTTTTAGAATTGTGCTTATTTGACAGTATATTTTACTCTGGCCAAGCATCTGTTGGCTAAACCTTGCTGAATAAGATGTTTTTGTTTTTTTTTACTGCAGAATGATGAATCATAATGATGTCTTTTGTTAGTGTTCAGTGTTTTTTCTCCCTTTACAACTAATCTTATTACTTTTCCGAAAATGCTTTGAGGATTACAAAGCTGGTCCAGATCCCGTTCCTGTGACCTCTTTGTGCAGCTCATCGCGCTTATTGGTTTAACGTGGATTTTGTTGGGATTTTTTGGGGGGGTCCTCCAGAGGCTGGGGGAGCTGGTGTTGGGGTTCCTGGAACGGGACCTGCAGCCCTCCTGCCAGCTGGCGTGCCTGGAGACCATTCGGATTCTGTCGCGCGACAAGAACTGCCTGGGGCCCTTCACCACGCGGAAGGCCGTCCAGACGCTGAGCCGGCACGCAGGTATAGAGCACAGCGAGGGCGTGACCCCCGAGATCCCGGACCTGGACGTGATTGTGGAGGCCCTGAAATGTTTGTGCAACATCGTGTTCAACAGCCCCACCGCGCAGGAAGTGGGCGCGGAGCTGCGCCTTATCGTGGGCCTGACCGAGCGCCTCAAGCTCTGCCACGACCGGCAGTGGACCCACGAGGTGCGCTTCTTCGACCTGCGGCTCACCTTCCTGCTCACGGCGCTGCGGGTGGACGTGCGCGGGCAGCTGGCCCACGAGCTGAGAGGCGTCAGCTTGCTGGCCGACGCGCTGGAGAGCACCCTGGGCCTGCGCTGGTTGGACACCTTTGAGGTGGCGCGGGCCGATGGGAGCGATCCCGGTGTCCCCCTCCCACGCCAGGAGACGGAGCGCGCCATGGAGATCCTGAAGATCTTCTTCAACATCACCTTTGACGCCAACCGCCGCGATGTGGATGAGGTGAGGCCGGACAGAGGGGGTTGCGTATTGCCCATTTCGCACAAGTACCGAGACGATCGCCCGAGCGCTTTCACTTCCTCAGAAACACTTTCTCCATCTCATCGGTTGGAAGACAGACGCCCTTGATTTGAAGAAAGAAAGATCTGATCAGGAAGTAGGAAAGAATTATCGGGGAAATCATGTAGAAAGTTAAGCGAACACGTAAAAGACCGCACATAATCCTTAAGACAAATTTCTAAAGCTGTCTCGTGACACTTTTGTTCACTTTCACACCCTGGGCGTGATCTCTCGATCTGCAGGAAGAAGCGGCGCTGTACAGACGTCTGGGAGCTATCCTGAGGCACTGCTTGATGAGCAAAGCAGATGGTGAGGACAGGACAGAGGAATTCCACAGGTAACAGACTCCCTTTCACAAAGCTACAAGCAAACCTGTTGCTGCTTTTTTCAATTCAAAATAGGCTATATGATGAATACTTGCATTGGATGATTCAGTTAACAGAAGGCTGTTTTAAACTGTTTTAAATGTGTTTCAATCAGCAAAGATTAAACAGAACAGCCATGAACAGAACTAACAGCATTCTAAAATAACCATGGCATTCCCTTTGAGAATGTTCTAATTTACCTGTTCTACTGGCTGTTTTAATTTCTTGCATTCTGGGAAGTTTAACCAGTTTGGGGAAAAAAAAACATGAATGAATGAAATGACAGACAGGACGATGGGCGGTCCTGACAGTTAAGAGAGAGTTTCTGTTTGCTTTGAAATGGCTAGGCTGCCTGGAAGCACTTTTCCATAAACAACATCAGCAGCAGCACCAGGGGAGTTGCAGCTAACAGCACAGCCAACAGCTTCTTTACCAGAGGCTAGTAAGGCGCTTGTCTGCTAAAGAGACTAAACCCTAGCAGCCATCTGTTGGCTTAAAGACCTGCTGTTCTGAAATGAGTGACTTTCACAGAAAAGCAGGCACGGCACATTCGACTAATAACTATCTTGTGCTTGCAAATCATTCTTCACTTAAGTAAATTATTTCTTTGTTGGTTTGATTTTTAATTCACTGATTTAAAAAATCTGTAAATCTGCTGCATGGAAGGCCTATGTAGAAAAAGAAAAAAGGGAAACAAATGGTAAATAATAACCTTCTCCATTTACAAATACAATTTGAAATACAGTTTGAAAAGAATTTGACTGGTTCTGTGCAGGAAACATCTTTTTGTCCTAAAAAATCTAGTGCATTTTTCTGCACTGGAGTACTTAAACTACGCCCATAACTAGTCTTAGTACATTTCTGTGTTTTCATTTTATGTAATTTAATAGCTGACCAAGTTGCATATTAGAATAAGATGTTAGTGTAGGGAATTGAATTTTTGTGACGGTTATAAAAGTAATTAGCAGAAAATTTACATTTCCTTGTCTCTTAGATAAGGAAAGATTGTATTGGGGTATCATGACAGTCTAGTGTCTGGTGTCCCACCCAGGGTGCACCCTGCCTTGCGCCCGTTGCTTGCTGGGATAGGCTCCGGCTGCCCTGCGACCCTGGACTGACCCGTGAAGCAGTTCGAAAATGGATGAGTGAGCAGGGTTATGTGGCAAAGCAGCACCCTTTCTCCTGAAGAACGTTGTGACCCTTACATATTGTAGCTCAGCAGAGTTTCTTGTCAGTTTCTTTGGGAATTCAGCTTATTTTGTGGCATCATTTAATTCTCAACACACAGCGGGAGCTTTATTAAAGAAGCACATTTACCTCGTGAGGATACCCTGTGCCAAGTGACTTTATTCGGGGAATTAAAATCAATGAATGTTTTTATTGCTGCATATGATGCCATACTAAGGATAATTTCATCATGTAATTCTACACGAGACGTTGTGGGTCATATAATAGTGTGTGTTTGTCAGAGAGTGAGAGTTAAGTCTAATGAAATTGTAGAATTGTGCCCCTACACTGTACATCTCTCTTTTCCTGACTTCCAGTCCAATTGCTCATCCAGGCCGTGTAACTAAAGAAGAGGCAGATGGTAAAGTTCTTATTAAATCATTAGATAATGTTACCATATAGTACCACAAGCATAGATCAAAACGAAGATAAGGAGGGGGGTCACAACAAAATTAAAACAGAAAGACGAAAAGGCAAAATAGGCACAGTGCCCTATCATCAAAAATATCACTTACAGCATAAAACATTTTTGAGGATTTTGGCAGAGAAGTAAAAGGCTGTGAATTAGTCATTAATAGAACAATATTCCACATTAGTGAAAGTTCGCAAAATTTTGACTTGGTGCGAAGAATGCCATTGACTTTTTTCCAGATGTCCAGTGAATTTTGCTTTAATTTGCTCTAATTTATCCCACATCAAAAGAGACAGACAAGAGAGTCCTGCCTCTTAAGGGCTAGAAAACGACTCTAGACTACATTTCTGATTAGACAACAATCTGAAGCACATCTAGGCTTAAAGAAATCCAGTTCAGATGTACAGAAACCCACCTTGGCTCAGCTATGATCGAACACGATGCTTGTTTATGAAGGCCGAATTTCACGGTCTAGGATTTCACTTCCAGCATCTGAGTGCAGGGTCTGTGTCTCAGTCACACAGTGAATCTGCTGGGGAACCTGCCCCTGATGTGCCTGGACGTGCTGCTTATGCCCAAGGTCCAGCAGGGCTCCATTGAGTACATGGGGGTTAATATGGACGCCGTCAACATGCTGCTGGACTTCATGGAGAAGAGGCTGGATCGGGTGAGTCCTCCGTTCTGGGGTTAGAGATTATTCCCCTACAGGGACCCACAACCCTGAATTGCAAGAAGAGATTAGAAAATGGATGGATGTATAATTAGCTGTTCATGGTTTTTGCTGTTCTCTGCAATGCGTATTCTTACGTGGGATTCTGTTATTATCTTACCGTCTCCTTGCATCTCTCAGTGAAACTCGAACAACATACAGTAAGCCGAATGGCCTCATCATGCTTATCTTTTTTTTAAAATGAAATATAAATGTTGCTTCTCAAACTTGGAGTTTCATAAAAGGGTCTAAATACAATTTAAATTTAAATTCACAGTTTGTCTCTGTAGTTTTTTCAGTCTTTTAAGCTTATGAGGAAAGCTGAAGGAGGTAAATATGACATATGATGGTGTTCAAACCTAAGGAGGCTGTGCTTGAAAACCTAGGTTGCCTTCCAGCTTACTGAATCCCTCTGAATTTAGGAAAAGGCACCAGTGAGATTTTTTTGCCTTGGAGAGTATCGTGTTTTTCACACGAGAGCGTCTGCAAGGAGCTGCGCTGATTATTTGCTTGATTGCTTGCGAGTGTTTTTAAGGCAGGTATTACAACAGAGACGCATTGCAGATGGGCCCTGGGTATTCAGGAAAACAAACAGGAGCTGGAATTCTCATTAAAAGCAATTTCAGTATTAGCTGGGTTAGTGAATAATTGTCTATTGTACACATTTCTGGTTCTAATACTTTTTTTTACGGAACACAGATTTTCGTTTTTAATGCATCTCGGTATATATGGTCCATTTGAATTAGAATATGAAGCCCTTGTCATGGGGCCTTACTCAAACTGACTGGAGATTCTCATTTTAAAATCTGCTTTAAAACTTGTAAACATTTTTAATATACTATATATATATATCTTAAAGATGACATGGTATAGAGTTTTTAAACTAACAAACTTGTGAAACATTTGGCTTCAAGAATTCTGTACTCAGCACCAACTCTGTCTGTAGTGGTGTCACCTATCTTCTTATGGACAACACTGGCTCAGACCACTGCCAGGTACACAACTGTGCATAACTGTTTCTCCTTTTCTCTGTTACTTTTTCTAAATCGAATGCTTTTCTTTTTGTTAAATGCCAGGGGCACAAGCTAAAAGAGACCCTCACCCCCTCCCTGAATCTCCTGACAGAGAGTGCTCGCGTTCACAGAGAGACCAGGAAATTCCTGAGGATGAAGGTGAGGCCTGCTTTTCTGCTACGACGCCTTGTACTTTGTTAACCAGTGGAGGCACTGTTACCTTGCAGTGTTTCTGGGGCCAGCAGCCACAAATGACTCCCTGTTCAGTGTGGTTAACTGTCATAGCTGTAGGTCTCTCACACTGCCTCCTTCAGCTCAAAGCCATCGTGTTTAGCCTTCTGTTTTTTGGCTGTGCGTCCTGGTAGGTTCTCCCTCCACTGCGCGATGTGAAGAACCGCCCAGAGGTGGGCAGCGCCCTGCGGAACAAGCTGGTGCGTCTGATGACACACATAGACACTGACGTCAAGCACTGCGCTGCGGAGTTACTCTTCGTGCTCTGCAAGGAGAGTGGTGAGTGGAGCTCCACAGCTGGAGCACAGACTGTTATGTATTTGGAAACGTAAAGAAATTCGGTTATTGTACAGTGCCCTGCAAGAATGACCTTATGACCGGGCTGGAGTCAGCCTTGATGCCAGGTGTGCATTTAAAAATATATATTTAATGTTTCCTGAACACTTTCTTGGTTTGGTTTAGATCATTAGTATTTACCTTGTTACGTACAGTAGTTTAACCTTTTTCATCGTTTTTTTAAATGGGGAACCCTTTTGTCTTTTTGTATAATCCCTTCTTAAATTGTACTCTTATCAGTGAACTGAGTGAATACAGCTCTCGGTTAACATCCATATGCATTTTTAATCATTGAGAAAGATATTTGATCTAGGCTCATTGTGATGTATGTGCATTATAAGCCATCCTACTGTTCTGCTTCAAGTGTGTGTTTGTGAACAGTCACAGGTCCGATTTGTTCGGAAACACTGTCTGGTTGGGTTTAACGACCACAGGCTTGGAGAGCACACTCAGTAAGTGCTTGTTTGCGCTGGGACACTTGATATTGACTTTAAAACAGTGTGGTCCCAGTGAGTATCCGCTCTTGCATGGTCAAACTGTGGTTGGCTGTTTCTGGAGAACTGGCCCGGCTGCTCCTCAGGGCCTCCCTGTGTCCTGCGCTCAGTCTCCAGGTTCGTCAAGTACACCGGCTATGGCAACGCTGCCGGCCTGCTGGCCGCCCGGGGCCTGATGGGGGGCGGAAGGAGCCAAGGCAGGTACTCGGAGGACGAAGACACGGACACGGAGGAGTACAAGGAAGCAAAACCCAAGTAAGAGGCACCCTTTACCCATTACGAGCGGAAAAAAGGTCGAGCGAAAAGCCAGACCAGAGCCACGACAGCTGTTCTGGCGTGAACATATCCTGGTTTCTACTGCGTTAAGAGGAATAGAGAGCACATATTCTGCCCCCCGAGCCTGGATGGACCACTAGTCCATCACAGGGATGACCACCGCAATGATGCTCCCCACAGACTTGGAGCAACTGGGGTACAGCACCTCGCTCAAGACAGCAGTGTCTGCATGAGGGACTCGACCCCCACAACCTGGCAGATGATAGCTTGAAATACAGACCACAAAAAATACATACTTTGTATGGTCTGTATTGCATCTAATGTAGTGAAGTATTACTGTTTAACAATTTTCACCATTAATATATGATCATCATTTGTGGTTTCACATCAAACATGTGCCTTGTGATGGTGACCGAGAAAGCTGCTTTCAGTATAAATTCCGTATCTGATTGTGTGATTGATGATGTACAGTCAGGTTTAAAACGGAACCTTAGTCCAGTGCTGAAAAAAGCTGCTTCCGAAAAAGAAGCAGTTCATTTCTGTGAGATTGGACCCTCACCATTGACTGAATTCAGGATGATGTGTTGTAATAGCAAATGGCATTCTTTTAATCAGAGCGAGCAAGCGTTGTGCTAGCTTTTTCCAGCACACTTTGTCTTCTTCGCCTTTAACTCAGAACTTAGTAAGCACATCACTAGAATATTTCATGGCGCATTATGTATTAACTTCAAAGTCTATAAATCGCCTTTAGGTAAATTATTATTTTTTGTTGTTCCTTTTCAGCATTAATCCAGTGACAGGCCGTGTAGAGGAGAAACTACCCAACCCCATGGAGGGAATGACAGATGAACAAAAAGAATATGAAGCAATGAAGTTAGTCAATATGTTCGACAAACTCTCGAGGTAGGAAATTGCACTACTGACAGACAGTAGAACAGATGTCTTTTGAATCATTTTCAAAATTAGCAAACGTTGTGGACAGTATAGAATTTATGCTTTTCAATTTCACAGCTGTCAAGCAGAAGAATCTTTCAATCTTTTTGAATTCTGTGGCCCATGGTGCCTTCCTCGTGCCCTTGTGTGTGATGACTCTCAATTACATTGAGAGGATTTACATAGAGAAACTGAAAACAGATGAGCATAATTTTAGAAATGTCAGGGGGTTTCATACCACATTTGTCAAGGTCTCCAATGTTGGCGTATTTTCAAATCCACGTTGAGAAAACGTAAGGCACGGTATGAATATCAACTACAGCACATTGCATCTGACATAAATTGTCATCTTTTTTGCTGAAGGAAAATACAGAAAGCAAGAGAAAATATGCATTGCAGGTACCTACAGTAAGTTATACATGAACTGTACAGCTTTTAAGTTCCATACCTGTAATCAGCAATTGATGTTCACTCATTGTTGCAACACTGCAATGGGTGGAAACAACAGAAGATTACACTGCCATGCTGTCGAACACGAAGCGTACAACATGCCACTGGTGCTGCTGACAGTTTTTGCGGTCTAATTTCTCTCCAAGCTCAAACATGCTCACTATTGTTTTTGTTCATACTAACCCTGGCCTTTGTCTGAACACCCTGCTCTTCAACATGCTCTCTTTCACTTTCACATTGTCACGTGAAAATAAACATCCAGGAGCACGTTGTTGACTTCTGATGGAAAACAAACAGTGTTTGAAGTTGCTAATGAAGCTCTGTGTGAGACAGGATGGGCTGCAGGGTATTATCCTGATCTCAGGTGTTAGCCTCTTAATCTGATATGCACTGGGTAACATTGCCAGTCAGACATAATTACCAATAAATACCCCTCCCTGTGGATTTCTGCATATTTCAAAACTTTCAGCATCCTCTAGGATACCATGGAAGTATGTCATTCATAATGCAAATAAATTATAATGTGTCACCTCTGGAGTACAAGTCTTTGATTAGCCTGACAGCTCATGTAATGTGGAGTCTGTCACATCCCAGGCTGTCATACACACTGATATGTCGTCTCCTCTTAGATTTAAATGTCATACGCACACCATGCCTTTGCTAATAAACAAGTGCCTGCATGCAATAAGACTGTAGATGTATAGGACCCTCTCTGCAGGCAGTGATGTTGTTACACTGTACCCATTAAGAAGCTCTAGACAATCAATATACCAACTCTATTTTTATTCATTCAGTGCATCTGCTTATCATCAGGTCTGGATAATGTCACTCCGACTGCTCCCTAAGCTTTCTGCACTGACGGCTTGTGCAACTAACACGCTAACTTCCTATATATGGGGTAGCAGCTCATGGGAAAACGACGCCGAATATCCCAGTTTAGACTCAAATCCAGGCAGCAGAGCACATATTGATTTTCCATTCACCGAGATGTTTCCTAACGTTGTCAAATATGATTTATTATTTTGACTTAGATGAAGATCAGGTCCCATTTTAGGAGCCATTCATGCCGAAATCCCGATAGTTCTCACAGCTGTAAATCCTGCCAGCTGCACTGTCCTAGGCAGACAGGGTTGTGTCAACCCGACATTTGGCACCGATGTTTTCAAGTGATCCTCTTATGCAAAAGGCTCACAGCGTGAGGGACAACTGGAGTGAGGGGCAGCTGTCACTCCAGCATGACTGACAGCATGTTAAGAAGGCAGGGTGGGAGGCACTGCTGCTGTCCTTTAAGCACTCTGCAGGGTACAGCTCACCCGCTGCTCGGGGCTGATATATCATTAATGGCCACTATGCAGTTCAATAGCAACCTGCGTTCAGCTGAGAAAAAAAGCCCCCTGAAGCCGATACTGTAGATGAACATACCGAGCAGGTTAGAAACCGTTTTTTTTTTAAATAGGTAAATCCTCCTTTATATGGGCAACATAAACAATTGGTGTAGTCATCCATCCATTTTCTAACTGCTTTATCCAATATGGGGTCACAAGGGAGCCAGAGTCTCTCCGGGCCAGCAGTGGGTGCAAGGTTATCGTCCCGGTCCATCACAAGGCAGGCAGATGCACACTCACATTAAGGCCAGTTTTCCCAAAAGCCAGTTAACCTGCCGGTATGTCTTTGGACTGCGGGAGGAAACCGCAGAACTTGGAGGAAACTCATGTGAACACCTGTGAACATACAAACTCCACACACACATAGCACCCCAGGAACAGAACCCAGGGCCCCAGCGCTAACCTCTGTGCCATCGTGGGCTTGTCAATTAAATTTAAAACCTACAGATTTCATGTTGATTTGCTTTGGGTTAAAAGCTGCTATCTCTCCTTTCAGGGAGCAGGTGATACAGCCTATGAGAGTGGGACCGGATGGCAAGCTGGTGACGTTAGAAGAAGACATGCACAGAGTGGCTGAGCAGAGGCTGTCGTCTGACTCGGACAGCGATGACAACTAACTGGAACCACACTTGATCAGAGTTTGCTCCATACGATACTGGTGCTGTGTAACACGAGCCTGAAGGGAAAAAGACTTCCTGATTCCAGTTCATTGATTTTACCTTTGTTTTCTGGTGTCATGTCTGCTGTACATTGCAGAACCCATTCCGGCAAGAGGATAAACACAAGGTGTTCATTAAATACAGCTCACATCGAATGTTTCCTTAAAAGTGTAAGGAATGGCATGGAGTTTCCAGAAAAAAATTCTGAGAAGTGCTGAAATGCTCGAGTGGTACTTTGCATTTCTGTAACAAGAACTGTGCTCTTTCCTCTACGCTTTATAACTCTAAAAACTCCTGTTTTGGTTATGTCAAACTTTTGAATCTTTGGCTAGTCATTGACTTGTTGCAAAATACAGCTTTGTTAAGACCATGAACTAGCAAATGTTTCTCAAACCTTTCTCAGTTGTGCCTAGTAAGTTGTGTTTTAGGTGCTTAATTCTTTCCTTAAGATTAGGCTGTTCCTGATATGGCTGAAAGAGTAATGTAAAATCAAAAATGTTTTTTCTGCATGTCCGTTAACTATTTTGTAGCGATCACTCCCTCTCGCCAATTTTGAAGAAAAAAGAAACAAAACTGTAGTTTTAGAATCTCTTTTCACAATTCTACCTTGTGCTCTGGCTTCACTCTATTATGTTGTACTGTGTCTAACATTTATGTTTAAGATGTTTAAAGTAAAGAGCAAAAAAAACAACAACAAAGTATGCTTTTTTCCCCATCTCTGAAACAAAGGAACCTTCCTCAGCAGGCTCTGTTCACCTGTAGCACTAAAACCTTTTCACCAAAGTTTTGTAATCTTTTGCAGTTCCGATGCTTAAATGGTCTTGATGTTTTCTTGCCCTTTTCTGTTCACTATAAGGACTTGGCACAATCTGTGACACTCTCTCTCTTCAGTGGGTCTTGCAGGCACGCTGAAGCTGCAATATTGTCATCTCCAAGATACCTGCACGCAGTTGGTACAACCGGAGGTCCCGAATCCTGTCTACATTGTGACGAGCCATGACTCTTCTCCTGATGTACCCAAATTACTATGGGAATTGGTGGCTTCATTTAGAGCAAAAATAGACATCTTCATTAATTTATTAATTTGAAACAAAGTCCAATGTGAAATATTGAAATAAATGTTTTTGAAACCCTCTTCTTAGAGTTGTCCTTTCTGGTCATAATAATCCATTCAGCAAGGTCGAGTATGGCACAGTGAAAGTATATTAAATCCAAATCAAGACTATTGTAAAACCATAGTAAAAGTGCAGACGTTCTACAGTAAATTAACCACAGTAAACTTGAATAAAGACATCTTGACAGGTCTGCCAGCAATTCTGCGACACTCATTCAACATGAATTCACTGTCCTGGTACCATGGCAACATCCAGGATATCAGTCAGCTAATCACTAGTATGAGTTGCTTCCCATGCAGGGGTTATAAATCCAATCTGTACAGATCACCAATAAGTACTTCAGAGCCCAGAACAAGTGAGCAGTGGGTTCATTTAAACACTCTACTGTACTTATGCTTACATTTATACATGTTATATAATATGTACTGTATGGCTTGTATCAGAATAAAACTGAGTACCAGTTTGTATAGAAAATAGATTTTCTGTTAATTTTCCTTTTGAATGTTTTTGGGTGCATACCAAAACAGTGGGAGCAGGTTTCATGGGCCTTAAGAAAACAAAATGGCTCCTGAAAACAGTTCTATAAAAATCAGCAGTTGCTACTGTCTTCATCCAGGTGCTGGGACAGCTCAAAATATACAGAATGGGGTTAGTTCAACAAAACTGTGTAGTTTTGGAAGTCATTATAACATATGGCAACATTCTGGAATTATTATTAATGAAGAAGGATATTCTAGACGTATGACTGTGTTATAGCTTGGCCATACTTCCCAATTCTTTTGGGGTAGTTTCATGAGGTCAAAAATGAAAATACAAAAGTATTAAGTAAAAGGCATTAGTACTTCATTTTTTTGGCAAAGCTCACTGAAAGACAAATTATTAGCTCAGTTTTGCTCAGTTCCTATTTTTTTCTAGTTTCTAAGGTTTTTCAACCAGCATCAAAATGAAAACAATTCAGCCACAGGCCTTTCCATTTAATCTAATCATGCTACCTATAACAAAAGAAATAGGAAGGACATTATAATAAACCAATGACGACTATTAACATACTATATTGTATGTTAAAAACATTGTAGTACTTGAAACAAGGTGATAACACCATCTTGAGAGACGTTACACATCTAAAATGAGGTTTGTCCAGGATCAAATCTGATTAGAACTACATATTGGACATTAAAACTATTATTTTGATATATAAAATAAAACATACAGGAGCTCTATGAAATCAACATGTCCCCATTTGTAACTTCAGAATAGGTCTGTAATACAAATGAAAATGTCCGCAACTATATTTACTGTAGCTATACCAGATTATGATTGTGCAAATACAGTATAATTATGTGCAAAATTCCCCCTGTGCCGAAGTACCTGATACTAATGGTTTCAGCCCGAAGGACTTGCTCCAGCACCAAAGGAATCACTTTGTTCTCTCCATTTATAGAAATGATTTCTCAATGATCATACAGATTGAGGGGGTAAAAATAACGTCAAGTACAAACACGCCGAGTCCGGTTTCAACTCCTTTCTTCCACAGCTGGCGCATTCATGGGGAAGAACTTGAGCTTCTTCATTTCTCCTTCTTCTTACCCATCTGCAGCTGTAAAACACACACAGCAGGCTCAGCTGGTGCCACTGAACCCCCTCCTGGTAATTATTGTCAGCTATGAGCTTTGTGCTGAGGTTAAGCAACAAGAAAACAGAACAGTGATCTCTGGAGCTTACAGACCCCATTAAAATCATGTCTCTGCTTTCCCAAATTAATTCTGGAGTTAAAAGGTAGATTGGGAGCTCCCATCCTCAATCAATAAAATTTCTCCTGTGTTGAACACTTAAACTCTATGGTCCCGATATCACCACTCCAACTTTTGGATGTCATAAGTCATCTGTGAACGGCATTCCTCAGACAGCAAGATACAATAGGCTGATATTTCAATCAAAATTGCCCCCCAGGATTTCTGAGATGTCTAAGATACAGTACAACACCCTTGACCCTTGCAGCTGGTCAAAGAGAGCTTTCTCACCCCCCCAGTCAAGGCAGCGCTGAAGGGCTCAGGACGCCAAACCTGAGGGTCACGAGTTCAAAACCTGGCTGGGATGTTGCTGTTGTACCCTTGAGAAAAATACTGTGCTCAGATTTCTCCAGTGGTTGCTTTGCTGTATGAATAAGTCTCCAGCTTGTCTAGTTGCTATACTTCAGCAATGTGAGCTGTCCTAAACCATACAGTAAGATCACGATAAGCACACATCATCCCAGGTATCTCTAATCAAAGGAAACTACTAAAACTGTAGTTTGGTAGTCTGAAAGGCCATGGTTTTCTACTGGTGGATCTTGCATCTTTGCATCATTCATTTCTCATAAGCCTCATAACCCATACTGCTGAAGATGTTTAAACTCCACTGAACACAACAGAAATAACAAATAATTGTTTCTCCTGTAGAGGCTGACATACAACATGCACTGCCACTAGATTAACATGGACTTCTTTAGTCATCAAGAGATTTCTAGTGTGTTCTGTATTTCCAAAACATCTTCACTCATGCATAATTCTGTTAATGTAATACCCAGTTATGTATAAATTAATCCTTGCAATATATTCATTGCATTTCAACAGAATTTATTCATGAAGACCTTTTCTGAGCCCAGTATGATACTGAACACTTTCCATGTCTCCTCCTAATCCTGCTGCTAAACTAAACTCACCCAAGGCTTCACCCACAGGAATTAATTACTAAAAAAATTATAAACTATTTAAGGACCTATATATTCAGCCACAGAGTCATAAGAGGTGGCAATGCACTACAGAAAAGGACAGGTTACCACAACGTATTTAATGAGTTGTCATAAGATACAATATATCATATTTAAATGTACAGTATGTACTGTTCTTGGATGTAAAGATAAATTGTGAAATTAAATGCACTACATATTAAATGAAGTATATTCAAAGGCTTGGAACTCATACTTAAACATATATACACCCAGCTGCCTTGAAATTAGTCCCTAGCCTTTAGTTTGGTTGTTTGCCGTCACTGCTATTCAAAACAAAAAATATGAGAAAACAGAACAGGTGAAATGCACTGTGAATACAGGCATGACTGCTTAAATTAATGTGAAAAAATGTAAAGTACAAAACGGACATGCTAGTCAAATTTGGAAATTGACATGGCCCAGTCTCAGACTAACGTAGTAGTTCTGGGTAAAAATCTTACTAAGTCATCAGAGATCCCTTGTATTAGAAATGTGCCACAAATAAGAGAAACATACACCAGAAATATCATTCTCTCCTTGTGAGGTTAACCTGCTATACCACTTTCTTCCTCTAATGACTGACTGAGATGAACTGAAGGAATAATGGAGTCTACAGTTCAGCAAACAATTTTGCTAAGAACTAAGCCCTCTGTTAAGAAGCTGAACTTTGGCAGCAAATTGCTATTCCAGTAGGACAATGATCTTAAGATCACATCCAATTCTACAACAGGATGACTAAAAAGGAGAGGATATCAAAACAAAGACAAGAATCGTAAATGTTTTAACCAAGTTGATCTGTAAATGCAACACTTCACAATTGATTTTACCAATGATAATACAGTGTTTCATTTTCCCTTTAAACTGTGAAATGTGGCCCTCACATTCAGGAGCTCATTACACTAAAGCCATACCTTTGCGGTTTCCACGGCAATGAGCTCATTCAGTTCTTCTCCCCAGCCCAGGGTGTCCACGAACTTCTGCACCCCTGTAATCACGTCTCCCTGCTCCACCACATCGTTCGGCCTGGGGGAAGGGTAGGCGAAGGGCCCCACCAAGTCTCTGTTGATGAGAACTCGAGGCACAGAGCTCCGCACCGCACCCGCCAAACTGGCAAAGGGCTCCACCTGCACAGGCAAGGAAGAATTCACACTAAGGGGCACCGAAGGAAGGCTGACGTCAGTATACAGTCGCTGGGAACAGGAAAAACTGGATTTTTTTCAAACAAATTGTCCAGTAACACGAACGCCAATGTTCCATCCATTTTCTAATTGCTTTATCCAATTCAGGCAGCCCGAGCCTATTCCGGGAAGCAACAGGAGCACAGCAGGATACGCCCTAGACAGGAAAATGTTCCATCGCAGGGCACAACAGACACAAACACAGGCACGCGCGCACTCACACCAGCGCCAATTTTTACAGAAGCCAATTAACCTACCAGCATATCGTTGGACTGTAGAACTAAATCTGGGCACCCAGAGGAATCCCACAATAACAGAGTGAAAACATACAAACTCCATACAGAGAGCACCTCAGGTCTGAAACTGAACCCAGGGCCCCAGCACTGCGAGGCAGCTATGCTAACCACCCACAAATATTCCAGCATTTCTGATCATTACAAAGCTTATTATACCAATTTCCTTCATATTTTTAGCAAAATTTAATATGAATATAAAAATATTAATATTAATAACAAATAATATTTATTTATATATTAATAGAAATTAAATGTCTGCTATTAATATGCTATTAAATTAAATATGCTAATATTTCCCCCCGTCCTTCATTTTTCTTAACAGTATACAGTATTCATTTTAGTATCCTTGGCAAGTCACATTAATGACTAAATTAAATTGAATGCTGGCACTAATTTAAGATGAAAGAGGAAACCCTTATAATGGCTTAAATAAAGGATGGGATTTTAAGTTTTTATCTGACTGGTCAAGTCTCCAACATGGAGAGATAGCTCAGTATCACATCAATAATTCTGTACAAGTGTTGCTGTTTGATGGAACAGAAACTGTTTTACCAGCCAGTTCTCAGCAACCCATACAGTGTATCTGGTCTCTCCACACACTACTGGAAGTGTGAGAACAGCATTCAGAAAAGGTCAAACTCTAGTCATTCAGCCTGTAATTATTCTAAACTTCCTCTCAGTTGTGTTATCTCTTTCTGACAAGGGTGTCTTGTTAATTTCATGCAGATTGAATCCATTGACTTTTACTATAAAACAGAAAAGATGTCAGTCTCTGCCTTTTCAGACGGTTTCTAAATATTCATCTTAATTTTCTCAACACGGATACACTTCTGATATTGAACCAGAACATTGCCCAGTTAGTCTATCAGCAGAGTGCATGGCAGAAATACTTGAAGCCCAATATAAGAGATGTAATTATAAACATTAATTTTATTTAGAAATATTAAAAGATTTTTACCTTAGAAAATACTCTTCCAATCTTAACAGGTAGTTTACTTTTTATACAAAGGAGTGGATTTTACATTATCCCCTGAAAAACATATTCCTCCAATACATAAACGGCGTTTGAATAGATGCGGTTTATAAATTACATGGTTAAATTGCTTTTGCTCACCTAGATATGAAATAGTTCCCGTACCTAATCTAGGCCCGAGCCTCGACTGTGTCTGCCCCTCACCTCCAGTGAGGTTCCCATGACGATGAGCAGATCGGCCATAGGGAAGTCAGTAAGGTACAGAAAGAACTGCTGTGGGAGCTCCTCCCCGAAGAACACAATGTCAGGCTTCAGAACTCCCTTACAGCTGGGGCATTTGGGGATTTTACTCTCCAATATTTCCGCCTGACAGAGAGAAGACAAGAAAAAAAGCAGAAAGACAAATAACAAAACTAAAGAGGATGTCAAAATGATTGATTTTCGAAGCAAAGCACACACCACAATGACAGGTTTGTGGCGTGTAGGTTACTACTGCTAGCAACAACATTTCTTTTGGGAGAGATTTTATTTACAGTATAGTGTGAACAAAAGCTAAATGGCTGAACTGTTCATAGATTCGCGGAACCATGTGAAATCACTTGTAAAGCCACAAGCAGCAAACACGGTACTGTGCATCATCACCTCACCTCTATCTTCCCCCAACATTTCTATACCAGCAAGATGCCTGTGCTGGAAGGATCACGACTCAACTTTTGTCATATGCATCTTGCCAATAAACAGGGTTTAAGAGAAAGTCACCCATGCTTTCAGCCTTGAGCGTACTGTTACCCCGACTCTGTGACAGAGCCTCTCTTCAGTCCTTTTCGACCTGGACAAGACTAGCCCTTCAATCTAATCTGCCACTGCCAGGCCAGCCACATGCCAGAGGGACTGCACCGCGGCACATCACCCACTCTGAGAGCCTCCCCCGGGTACGACGTCCGGCACACAGTGCAGGTGGCAGTTGCAAAGGTCCCGTGTGCTTCCACTAGTTTGCTGGAAGGAATACCTGCCACTGGAGAAAAAGAACAAGAGCAAGACCCCATCACAATCTGTCAACAGACCGACGATGGAAAAACTGAAATGGGCATTCTTGTTTTACAGGACAGATTATAAGATGCCCACAAAAGTGTTGCATTGTAGCATTTCCATATTATTTCTCTTTCTTTAAACACTACTGGTTGACACTAGCCTCTGCCCTCTTTGTCACAGCTGTCTGAAACACTCCATTTGTAGTGATCAGCCCTCATCAGGCTGAAAACCAAGAGATCAGCAAATACTCACTTCTCTCTAATCCATCTATGTTCTGGGTGTACATTCTGTGAAGGAGCCCCTTGTCATGCAGGAGCCTGATGAAGAAGTGAGTCAGATTGGGAAGATAATTGCCTGGATAGAGCTCTTTGGCCAGGGCAAAGAATGGCTTTGGGTTGTGGCGAAAATAGTTGATCTCAAATATGGCTTCAGCGTAAGGCAGATCATACTGCTGAAGGTTATCATACAGGCCACTTCCAGGTGATCTGTGACGAAAGTAATAACACACTGAATAACACAAGATATGCACACAGAGCAGTATAAATACCAAAGCTGCCTACTGCTCAAGAAGTGCTCAATTCTACACTTCATCTCAACATTAACAGTGACATAAATCACAATCCAATTAGACATTTATTCATTGTTAAAAAAACTGCAGCTTAATGGATCTTTTCATGATACAAAAATAAAAGAAAGCATCTTTTTTATTCAGTTTGCGTTTCTTGGTGTCTGTGGGTCAAGAACCTCAACAGTCACTACATAATTATACATGTACAATATTGCAACAGTCTGACCCTTCTTTAACCTTGACCAAGCCACTCCTGTGGCATCAGACCAATAGATACCCAGTCAGATGCGGGTTGGCTACAGTGTGCAGATTCCAGTTAGACTACCTGAAATCTGGGATTCCGCTCGGCGTGCTTATGCCAGCCCCAGCCATGACCACGATCCTCTTGTACTCCTGGTCTCGGATGAACCTCGCAACGTCCTGCAGTGTCTGCTGCTCCTGGCTGCCTCCCCTTCCTCCAGACAGGCCTCTTGTGAGGCAGTGGGTGGAATAACATCTCCTGAGAACCAAGACAGGGGGCTCGGACCGAGGCAGAGGACTCCGGGTACTCGCGTAACGTAAAGAAAGAAATGTTTTGTACCGTAGGTAGACAAAGTCCAATATCTAAAGACAAATCACGAGAAACAGATCAAGACAGATACACACAATTGAGCCTTTTGGTTTGGTTCTTATTTCTTGAGTCGCCTTAGATTGGATTTCAGCAGTAAAACATTCCCAGTAGGCCGCCGCGTCAGCATGCGCAGGCTGCAAAGGAACAGGTAGAAGTTTACTCCATGCTGAAAAGAGACACAACAAGCACCTGGAACACGGTGTGTCTTTTTTGTTTCAGCATGGAATAAACCTTCACCTGTTCCTTTGCAAAACATCCCTAGCCTGTATTTTATAATAACCTGCAATGCAAATATTTCTCAATTCTCAATACTTATAATCACACACACCACTTTCCCAGGTGTACTGCAAAAATGCATTTAGCCTTAGCTAGTCCCATTCTACATACAGTACTTTTTGCTTTCGTATTATAAAATGTTTTGGTATTAGAGTTGAGCTGCTGGTGGTATTCATACTGCTTCTACGGGACAGTTAGGTTGGCAGAGTTGACAGCAGCAGTGGAGACCAATACCGCCGTACTCACCGACTACACCATGCTGCCTGGAGCTGAGAGCCGACACAGTCTCGGTGCCAGAAACTGCCCGTCTTAGTTGGTGTGACATCAGCCAGTCTCTTAGACTTTGGACCATGAGGCACTGAAACAGAAAGCGAGGAGGCGGCATAGCCTTTAAACGTTTAAGTATTTGGTTGAATTTCCTACTGAGACACACTCATCCATAGAGGCAGACAGGCACTGAAGGCATTCATTAAGCAAGAAATCCAATTAGTTTAATTTGATAACCCAAAGTTCGGCCAAATTAATTTGTATTAGATGTCCCTATATATGCGGACTTAATGAATACATACTGTAGCACGAATCGAGCGGGCAGAGAGCGCGTCTTGTTCTAGCTAAAACCAAAGCAGTTATTTTTGTTATTTCCTTATTGTGTCATTACTTTTGGGGTGATCTGTTATTTGACGTATGTGTGGAAGGCAGCCGTACCGTTGAGAAATTGCGCATTTAATTTTATTTGTTTTGGACGTGGCATGAATATAGTTTAGATTGACATTCGGGACATTTAATATGTGTTCAGCTACTGTACGTACCTGCAAACTGTGTTTTCCAACGAAACAATACGACAGGAAAATTAAAACCATTACAAACACAACGACACAAGACGTTTACGCCCGACAATGCAACAGTGTTAAGAAATAAAATAACTTTTACCTTCAGACGAAGTTATTCCAAATATTCTTAAACTATGGGCTATTTTGTTACGGACTAAGAATCTAAATAGCTCCTTCAGTGTGGACGTCATTTCTAGTCAAATTAGCAGAACCTCAGAAATTAATGGCATAAATTAAGAGCTTTTACATTGATAGATTCGTTGTTTAAGTGCTAACCGGATACTCTTTTAAATAGTGTGTAAATTAAAACGTCCTAATACAAGTCTTTTCGCAAATAAAAACTGCTTGCATGACCTCTTGACGAAATCATAACCTTTACCGTAAAACTGATAGACCTCGGAATTAGATAGACCTAAGAATTATGCATTACATTTGAGTCTTTTGATATTGATTCTTTACTAGGTACGTAAAAGAGATACGTGTTTTTTTATTACAAAAATATGTTTTATGCATATATTTATGTTATTTTCTCCCTTTGTAGAACAGGAATATTATTTACAACGGCCATATAGATAGAAACGAAGAAAGAATCGTCATACCGTACCATAAATCAGACAATAGAGAAAATATCCATGAGAAAGTCAGGATTACAATTTCGAATTTGTGTTTCAGTGTTTGTTTTAGGTAGTTTGTTGCTAACTTCACTAAATAAACCGACTGAAGTCAGTGAGGTGGACAGGTGCCCGTCCATTAGAAGGACTACGGTAACAATGGCGGTCAGGTCACTTCCCGGCTTGCTTTGCAGAAGCAGTGTGTATGTTTGGAGGGGTCAGGACTCTTCTTGTTGGACGTTTTCACAGTTTGTAACATTGTTACGATTCGACTGTAGCAATGAAGGATGTCATCGGGTACCTCAAACAGCAGCAGAGCAGGAGCTCCACTCCTGAACTGGCCACAGAGTGGCACACGCTGGAAGAGCTGCACAACAAGAAGTAAGAAAAATTCAAATGCATTGATCCAGTCTTTCGTTAGACATGCGCTGAGTCATGTAGCAGAAACCGGTCGAAAGAGCTCATCAGGACAGGCCCTTCGCTTGAGAGTGCAGTGTGAAAATGGGTTTTTAAACTGAAATAAAAATCCATTCTGAATAATGTGTTACCTCTTATTAGTCCACAGTAATGAATCTGAATCGCGGTGAAAGTGTAGCGATACACAAGGGTTTTCCTTGGACTGTACCTTGAGACTTTAGCACAATGATAATGAATCTTCTATAGCTACACTTTTCACTTAGCGACTGTTTAAAATGTAGGTACAGTGTTTTATTAAAATTGTTAATTAAACTACACAGTTTTGTTAGTAAGTAAACTGTTGAAATAGTGCTCGCACGTTTTAAAAACATTAGCAAAGAGAATAAAGGATATTGCAGCAGAGCCACACTCTTAATTACTACAACAATAAGGGACTCTAAACACTGAAGGTATCCCCTATGATCTCAGAATCCGTTAATAAATAGAAGATGACAAATTGTTAAGGTCCATTCATTTTCATCATGCTCGTCTCATAAATAATTGGTGTCTGGTGGTATTTTCCAACTTGTATTTAAGGAAATGTGGGACGGTTTTTAAAGACCCCCTAGACAGGATATTTCACAGCAACATCTGATTAGAAAATGGTGAACAAAACAACTGTTTTGTTTTGTCGACTGTGAGTCTTCTGCTGCAAAACAATGGTGGGTTAAAATATAGAGACCTTCTGTAGCTCTTTTAAATGTACGTTGGATAACGTGCAAGAAATCTTTAAACAAGCAAAAAGGATACTTGATACCACCAAAGTGAGATCTGTATTAATAAATTAACAATATAGATTCAGGCGTAGCCTGCAAACTATATCTGTAGATACAAAAAATTATAGGAAGTGACATGACACCAAAACTGCAGGGAGAGACTAATACTACATAGACAAAGGTGATGTGTTCTGGTGACAGCTTGAAGGTGAAGTTTAACATTTAGAGGCGCAACGGCAATGAGATTTGTGCAGGCAAAAACACACTCGGCATATCGCATGGGAGATTTTGACCTAGAAAAAGCTGTGTTTGGAAGAGATAGTATAGCAGTTGTCTGTCCTTTCCAAGATGATGCAGAGAAGGCATAAAAAAGCAAACAGTATTCTTTCTGTATATCCAAAATGTGCTCTTTGTTTGCAGTTCCACTGCTTAGAATATTGTGTTGTGGTGCGGCGGATGGCTTTGTTGTGCTACCCTTATTGACATTTTATTAATCTTATTTATTTTATTCTTTCCTTTGTTGTTCTGCTTAATGCTAACGTTTTCTAAAAATAAAAAATAAGAGCTGCTAGAAAGGTTTCCAGGATGGCATAAGACAGAGAACTGTCTTGTAGAGGCGGGCTACAACAAATGAAATGGAAAGGTTTGATCATAGTGTATCCAGTAAGGGGTTAAGACAGGGCCAGGTTTGGGTACGGCTTCAAACTTAGTTGCCAAAGCAGGGCACAGCATCAAATCTGGAAACTGAAACAACTTTCACTGATACTGGGCACTGTAAAGACAATTGGTTGAACAATTAGTTCTGATAAACTGAGCACAGATGATAAGAAAAACAGGTTACCTCTGTGCTTTTAGGGGAGCAGGCAGTCAAACAATACTTGCACTTTCACCCTGATCCGGTGAAGCTGGAGATGGCAAACTTTAGACTTCAAAGGTTTATTTCAGCTGCTTTAGAAATCTGCTTTCCTTCCCATGTCTTCAAGCTGGACATGTGGATTTAATTGATCACTGTTCCTTAATAGAGGTGTGTTTGTGTTGCAGGTGATTACTGTACGTGAGGTTCTAATCAGTTCTGTTTCTTTGGAAATGTCTAGGCTGTGGCACCAGCTGACACTCAAACTGACCGTGTTTGTGCAGAACCCTTGCTTTGCTGCTGGAGATGGCTTACTCAAGGTGAGATGCTACGTCAAGGACCAGCAATCTTTATTTCTAAAAACAAGTCGGTTCTTAAAGGACATTGATAGCTCTCCGTATTTCAGTGATTTAACTTTTCATTTCTTATTAAGAATAACAGGATTGAAACAGTTTAATGAAAGGTGATGTATAACTCAGTTTTTCTTTCATTCACAAAGCCACAAGTTGGATTTTCTGCCTCTGTGCTGTTGACTGTGACAGTCCTTAGTGTGGTTCTAATCCACCCCTGTCTTCTTTCCCTTACAGCTGTACGAGAATTTCATCAGTGACTTTGAACACAGGTAAGTCTTGCTTCATCTATTCCGAAGCAGTTACCAAATGTCAGGCTGTCTCTGCACTCTTCAATACAGAGTTTTATCCCCTTTGATATAAAGTGTGTAGAAAGCAAGCATCTCAAAAAGCAAAACCTTTAGAAAGGAACAAATATCAGATGGTACACTGTACAGAAATACAATGGATTTGTTTCCTATTGGGACTGTTAATGTTGTTTATTTTCCTTTCAGAATCAATCCATTATCCCTCGTAGAAATTATTCTCCATGTGGCAAGACAAATGACGGGTAAGAACATAAGCAAGATCATTAGGATTCCACTAACATTCCAGGACTTTAATGTTTTAATGTTCTGTTTATACTTCCCTATTTTCCTTTTTATACCTGACCAATTTTATTTATTTCCAACTGGTACCTATGAACCCCATGTACTACGCTGCATGGTAAGGATGAGAAATTGTTTACCTGTTGCAGTTATTCATCATTTGACAATCTGCAAGCTGCACATTGCCATACAGAAGAGGTAGTATATCTCCAGCTGTCATACGAGCTCATAGAGCCCAGCCAGTCCCAGGACTCAGTGTTGCATGGCAAGCTGAAGAACCCCTAGTAGCGCTTGGTCAGTTGTGGATCAGTATGTGGGGAATCCTGATTTAGAGTTAGCTAACGCCCTAGCTGCTTTGAGCCAGCGACATCTGGAATCTAAGACTCATCCTGTACGAGCACCTCTTCTCCTTGAACTACTGAAAAGACAGCATAATTTCTGTTCATATTTTGGGGGGCTTTTTTTTTTTTTGAATCCCAGTTGTGCTCTTGAAAGCTAGAAGATGTTCCGGTGTCGTAGCTGCAAATTAAATGAAAGGATTCTGCCACTAAACTCTTTTTTTTTTTCCAATTAAGATCCCAATGTTGCCATTAGTTTCCTAGAGAAGACAAAGGAGAAGGTAAGATCAAAGCTCTGAACCAGCTGTGATTTACAAATTTGCATCTGTTACATTCCAAATAAAAGCATGACTAAAGACCTGTGTGCCATTTCTGTGATGTCCTCCTTATTCAGAGGCCAATAGCACTGCTGTTTTCTAAGTGCTACACTGTGATAGGCTAAGTACTAAAGTGGCCTGTTCTTCCAGAGTTCTGAGGCTAGGTTTATGTATGGATACCAACAAAATTGGGCTAAGACAAGGGCTTTTACATAGTAGGATTTTCAACATAAATTCATAGACACCAGGACCTCATAAACAGAACCTCGTAATGTTTGCTCCATTATATTTGTTTCAGGTCAAAAGCAGTGACGAAGCTGTAATTCTCTGTAAGACAGCCATCGGAAGTCTGAAGCTGGAAATAAATGACCTTCCAGCGACAAAGGTAAAAATGGTTACATACAGTTAGTAATTCTGAATGCATTAAAAAAAACACAACACTCCCATTACTGAAAAATAACCTGAGGTACAATATCCTTTCCCTGAGCATTTCAGTGTTTTTCTCTCTGTATTTATGATATTTCAGTTCTTATTTGACTGTGTCAATTTTTTGCAAATAATCATAATTGTAGGAGTACAATTACTGGCACATTGTATGAGATTATTCTTTAGTTTAGTGAATTAAATACTATTTATGAGTCCTGTTGGTTATACCTTTAAATGAATTGATTACTCATTCATTCTGACAAGTGATGTTCTAAGTTATTGAACTCTGTCAGTGTGTTTGTGTGTGTAACCATCCATATATGCTTTGTGTGCAGAAGTTAATCGAAGAGGTTGAAGAAATGCTGAATAACTTGCCTGGGGTGACATCAGTCCATGGGCGGTTTTATGATCTCTCCAGTAAATACTACCGCATCATAGGGAATCATGCATCCTACTACAAAGATGCTCTGCGCTACCTGGGCTGTGTAGATGCCAAGGACTTGCCAGGTAACGTACAGCACCATGCACATTTTTTAGCATCTCTTGACAGAAAATGTAAAACTGAGCTTATGGCAGTAGCAAGTCTGTCATATAGGTGCAGTCATGCTATGTAATATTGTGTGTGTCATCAGAAGTACCTGCAGGTAATATAATGAGGGAACTGTAAGATAATACATTTGTTTGAGAGATGGAGTGCTGTAGAATCTAGACCCTCTTTTGTTAAAGCAGTGAAGTAATAATTTGAACAAGCTTCACTTATAAAAATAAACACTACAGTAGACCAGAACATTTAACAGTAATTTGGAGCATTAATTACATGCTTTCCACAATAGTCTCCAGGACCCTGAGTTGGATAAAGCAATTAGAAATTGGATGAATGGTTAATTTGGGACATAACAAAAGAACTGTCATCACAAAAGGTCTTAATTTTGGTTATATTCTCCAATTAAAATAGGATGTTTTATAGATCATCTTAAAATGTTCAAATATTTAATTGTGGATCCTTCAGAAAATGTGAAGTTGACAGGAAAAGAGGGTGTCATAACATACTGTATACTCTTATTGGAGGTAAATTTGTGTCCAAGTCTTTATCTTCATGATTCTGCTGTGTAATGCATTGTGGTCTTGAGTACAAACTATGAAACTTCTAATATAGCATATTGTCCATGTTCCTGTGTTGTTTCCAATTAGAATGTCATCCCTCAGCATCTTGCTTACTGTTCCAGTAAAATAACTGCGTGTTTGCTTTGGTCTTCCAGAGGCCGAGCAGCAGGAGAGAGCCTTCACCCTGGGGCTGGCTGGGCTCTTGGGAGAAGGGGTGTACAATTTTGGAGAGCTTGTAAGTTAGAACCTGCCTGAAACGCATAGAATTTGTAGCTAATGGTCATATAACTTAGGCTTGGGAAAGACAGGCAGCTCGCAAGGCCAGTTAATAAATAGCCTTCAGAAACTGTTATTTAAATTAGTTGTTGGAGTGAATTAGTTGACTAATCTTAAAAATCAGGCCTTTTTAAGAACATTTATATCTTCACTGAAATTATTTTGCTGGAGAAACTCTGAAATTGCTGGTAACGGTGTTGTCTTGTCCAGCTGATGCATCCAGTACTGGAGTCCCTGAGGAGCACAGACAAGCAGTGGTTGATAGACACGCTGTACGCTTTCAACAGTGGGAATGTTGAGAAGTTTCAGGGTTTCAAATCAGCGTGGGGACAGCAGGTGAGGGTCTTTGTACTATAACCCCCAGGCATGCTTTCAGCAAACAACTTAAATATATATATTGCAACCACCCAGAATAACGTTTCCCTTGGGTATGACGCTAATGGAATGAAACCACCAGACTGATCATCTGAAAGCCTTTGTCTGATTTGTCATAAAGCTTTTCTGGGACCCAACCAGTGCCACTGGGGAAATTGAGGAAGATTTTGTATTCTAACTGGTAGAGTAAGAAACCGAGATGAGAGAGTTCTTTCTCCTATTAAGAAACTGTGGGACTGTGTGGGCTGTACAATAGCTACTTCCCTGACACGTTGGAAATGTAACTGTGGCTTGTTCACAGCCTGATCTTGCCGCCCAGGAGTCCAGGCTGATGAAGAAGATCCAGCTGCTGTGTGTAATGGAGGTAAGTTGTGATGGGGCTGGTTGCGTACCTTTGAAAGAGTGTGTGACAGCTGTGTCGGCTTTTCTCTGATCACCTCGTTAAGGCTTAGAACGCTTTGCCTACATTTGAGTACTAAAAGTTTAGTTTTGCTTTCTGGAAGCAATTGGCATGTATTTCTAAAGAGAAATTGATGTTGTCATGACATGGGTCCCTGAAATCAGTTGTGTGGAGAAGCAGTCTGAAGAAATGCAGTGGAAACAAAATACTAATACTAAAAAAAGCATTCAAAGACTGTTTTTCTATATATCAAATGAGAAGAGTGACGTTTTTAAGACCTAAGTTAAGATTTTAAAGTTGGTCTGTCCACGTGGTGAAGTATAGCAGTGGTTGTAATGATGATTGTTGTTTGTTTTTCTTCTAGATGACTTTTACCCGTCCAGCCAATCACAGACAGCTGACATTTGACGAAATTGCCAAGAGTGCCCAAATTCCTCTTGATGAGGCAGGTTGCCTATTTTACACCCTGGACTATTTTTGAACGTCATGAAAATTCAGGAAACAAAAAGAAAAGACCTGCAGTTCATACTCTGTCATTGCAGTTTATACTCTGTAAGGGTATATGCAGTAGGAGAGCTAACGTGAATTGTTCAGTCACTGTCAAGGTGTGCTTTTTCTTGAACTCTGCAGGAGAAGAAAGTTGACAGTTTGTTCTGTTTAATAGTTGTAAGTAGTACTTATAGGCAATGGTAGACCTGATTAAAAATCCTACAGATGTTTTGGATATGGACTAATCCTCACAGTCTGGTTCTACATGAAGCAGCTTTGCTGTCCTTTTCAAAGAAGTAGATCTTAAATGCTGGAGAACTCTTTGGCAGTGGGACTTTAAACACATTCGTCCACCTTTTTCTCCAGCTCAACTTTGCTGATCTGCGGTGATCCAGTTACAGCTGGAGTTGTGTGACTATTTTTCATTATAAAGTTTTAACTAGTTAGAAGGCAGAGATGGACCACTCCAGTTCTTCAGAGCACAGTGATTTCTGTTAAATCACTTAAATCATAATTGCTAAATTAAGTTCATGTTGTGGACAAGAAGTTACAGAACCTGTCTGTCTCAGGAAATATAGGATGTAAGATGTCATTCTTCAAAAATAGGTTTTCCTTTTTCTTGGAAACATCTAACTCTGTTTCTGCTCCAAGTAAGAATTCAGCAGCTTAATTGGTCAAACTGCCAAATTAGCTGGGTGGTTTTAATACTTCCATTCTTTTTGATAGCTTTACATGTGTGGGATATAATGAAAACATCTGTTCGATTGGATTTTAATTGTAATTGCAATTAATAGATTCTGAGCTCCTAGAAAAATGCAAATCATCTTGTCAAGTTTTTAGTTATTAAACTTTTTCCTTCCTCAGGTGGAGCTCCTTGTGATGAAAGCACTGTCCGTAGGGCTGATAAAAGGCAACATTGATGAGGTGGATCGGAGAGTTCACATGACCTGGGTGCAACCAAGAGTCCTGGACCTGCAACAGGTTAGAAAGGGCAAAAGCCTCACTTCTCCAGTGGCTCTGAGGGTGTGAGCTTGAACTCTTTGTAATTTTCTCTCAGCAGTTTGTGGACTTCAGTATGTGCACCCTGTTATTCTTGTCCGTCAACTAACAAAGGTTACAGTAAGAAAATGCAATACTATAATAAATAGAACAAAGATCAGGTCCTCCCTAGGTTACCTTATTTGCACAGTGCAATATGCAGGTTTGCAGGACAGTGTGCTGAAATACAGAACTAATATACGCAATGCGCATTGAATGGGAATCTCAGCAGCAAAACAACTCCACAAGGAGTACGTAGGTTGTAGGTCTGAACAGAGTGATTTTAAAAAGACACCAGAAGGCGGAAGAACAGGTGACAACAGGTGCTTCCCTCATGAGGAGTCCAGGAAACAGACAGGTACCGTTGAGCAAGGTACTTCACCCAGATTCTTCCAGTAAGCAATCCCCAGCAGTATATATGGGTGCAAATGTAAGAAGCTCTGGATTAAAGCACGAGACAAATTAGGTAGCAGCAAAGAATGATAACCACCAGGAATGGTCATAAACAACGTTCTTGCTGCAGCGAGAAATCAAAGACGATAAAAACCTTTATCAAGGAGTGAGTTCTATAACAATGATTGAGCTGTTATTATTTATTAAATCAATGTTTCAAACGCGCAAGAACAACAGGCTTGGTATTAAAAATGTTCCTGCTGAGATCAGTCTATCAATGAGATCACTTCCACTTCTCACACGATAAGATTACAGTATGTGTAGTTTTAAACTTTTTAGTTATTACCTGCTTTCATTGAAAAATGTAGAATTGTGAATAAGATCAGTTTTGTGAGCAGTACTTTGATTTTATTGGCACTGCTAGATCAGTATGCAAAAGCTTTGACCTGCAAAAATAAATTATGATGAATATATTCACAGCAGTAGTCAACTTGTTACAGCAAACCTTCATGAATCTTTTACAGCTACCATTATTAATAATAAAATAATTAGTAATGCAGAAGGGTAAAGTTGTCCCCACTGTCCAGGGACTGAGGACTCATGAGCTGTTGTGGTGTTTCAGATTAAAGGGATGAAAGATCGGCTGGACCTGTGGTGTGGAGATGTGAAGGACATGGCCATGCTGGTGGAGAGCCAGGCCCATGACATCTTGACATAAGGCAGCTAAGCATCCTGGGAAGATATTGTGTGTTGTCAATAACCTGCATCATGGCATCTTGGGGTGTTTTTTTTAAAAAAAAAACGATGTGGGAATTCTCTCATACAGTTTTTATGTTTTGGAATAGTGACTTTAAGTGATAAAGAACAGCAGCACTCAGTACCAGATAAAATAAGAGGACCTATTCAAGGTTTGTTTTATATAATACTTTGGGTGCCATAATATGGCTTTGTTATTTTTAATTTTTAATGTGTTCCTTACAAAACCATCTTCTGGACCATACTCATTTTTTTTTGTTTTGCATTCTCAAGGAGAATTGATTTCCACAATAGATTTATGTAGTCATGTACTTTACCAAGGACAGCCATATCCTAAACCAGCAAACTGCACAATGTAAATCATCACTTCCCTGTTTCATATTTGGGTTTGTGGAAAGAAACAAAAGCTGCATAAACTGTCAATTCACATCATGTAATATTATTGCTTTTTATACTGTACATGATCAAAGTATCACAGACAAAAACTAATACAGTAACTGAATTGATAATACTCAGAATTACTGGTGTTTAGACCCAATAAAATAAGCCCATTCAACCATGCCATTAATTTTATCTTCATAATTTTTTTGACTTTTAAAAAAAAATGAGTGGCACATCTGAATCGTCATGGAAGATGTTCTGCGGCAGTTGTGCTGAGCAGATTGGTTCATCATCATTTGCTGGGTTTTCATGGTCATCTTCCATTCATGTGTTGAAGAGCACCTTGTTCTCTCATGGGTTATTCAGGCTCTGCATGGTAGTCTGTCATCCCAGCTCCTGTTCCACGCAGTAGGGGCCACAGAAGAAAGCTACCAGCACAGTGATGACATGGCAGGAGAAAAAAATGAAAGAGTTTGTGCACTCCATTTTTAAACTTTTTTCACACACTAAAAATGAATGACCTTTGATCGAAAGATACATTTTTAAAATAGATCTTTCTTCTGTGCCGCAGGAGAAATTTTAATCTTTTTTTAAAGGTTTTAAAACATAAGACACAAACTTTACAGTCAGATGCTGGTCTTCTGAGCAAAGTCATTAGTGTTTTTTTTCCTGCCAGGCTGGGCTGCATTGTCCTGCCCATGCCCAGAGAGGGACACGCCCGATCTCTCTCTGCTCCGGGCTTTTTATTCAATGGAAAACAGTCTGTCAGTTTTAGAACACATTTTCAAAATCAAATAAAATGTATGCATGTTTTCCAAAGTCGTAGTAGTCTGTGTTATACTGTATGAAAGGTGTACAGATCTGTGAATGAGTAAGCAGGTGTGAGCCTGGTCAGTACCTGGATGGGAGACCTCCTGGGAAAAACTAAGGGTGCTGCTGGAAGAGGCGTTAGTGGGGCCAGCAGGGGGCGCTCACCCTGCGGCTCATGTGGGTCCTAATGCCCCAGTGTAGTGACGGGGACACTATACTGTAAACAGACGCCGTCCTTCGGATGAGACGTAAAACCAAGGTCCTGGCTCTCTGTGGTCATTAAAAATCCCAGGGCGATAAGAGCAATTATTATTATTATTATTATTATTATTATTATTACTACTACTATGGTTGGCCTGAAGATGCTACATTTTTTTAGCTCGAAGCTATGAGAATTTTATATCGATAAATCAATAAAACATCTAATAGCCAAATAACTTTTCAAATAACATGAACGTTTACTCCACTCCTCAAGAATGTATGATGACTGATTTCTTTTTTTTTTTAAAGGGCATATACCCTTATATGGAAAAATATTCTTGGCCTGAATATTTTATAGAATTGAATTAGCAGACACCTTCAAATATGTCTGTAAAACCTACTGGACTTCAGGTTTTGTGAGTGCAGTGGGATTATATTAAAATCTAGAGAGCAGTAGTAAATCCCTTTATTTATTTTCTGTAAAAAAAAAAGCTTTAGTATTAAAGAACATGTAAATTGTAATTAGGTAATGGATTAGTCTTTTCTGTGTGAACATATTTAACCTATTTTTTTGTGTATTCATTTCATTGAACACTTTGTAATGTGAAATGTCCAGACAGCTGTAAATATACCCTCATTGGATTACCTGTGCTGTTTAATACCAAAGAACTCTACAAATCACCCTGCTCACAAAAGAGAAAGAGAGATCAAGCACAATCAAGATGAGTTTACTAGATGTTGCAGCCCTTAATGGCTTCTAATCAACCAGAATTCTTGTTTACCTAGTTAACTTTAAACACATAATAAAGATTAAAGCTATCATTAAATACTTGAAACACTTGGCTTTCAGATCTATATTGCTTCATGGGTTTTATACCTTAAGCTTTAATATAACCCCTGTGGATTAAATTTAGTTTTTGTGTAAAGTAAGTCATGCTCATGTACTGCATTATAAGAATGCTTCCTTCGATAGAAAAATAGCTCACATTTTTTGCAAAAATGAAAACCTTTGTAATGCAACTCCAAAGCTTTTATTTTCCATTCACAGAAAAAAAGCTTTGTAGAGTATGCACCTTGAAAGTGACATTTATTAGTGGTGCACAATCAACATCTGGCTCATTTGGAGAGAAACTGTGTCCTAAACTCTGCGGGCTTATGTCTTTTGACATTATTCTGCAGTCCCACCAGGCCAGATGTCCACATTAAGAGTTAGTAGGCTTTTTCTATGGGCGTGACTTTCAAGTCTCCCCAGGGCATGAAGTGTGGGGAGAGCTAATAAAAGTAATACAAATCCATATTAAGAAGCTGAAAAAAAAAACTGCAAGGGCCCTGGGAAAAATGAAGAGACTAGTTTTGTGCATGACCTGCTGGTGCTCAGCTGTCTGTGAGAAGCTGCTGTTCCTTTACGTGGTGCCACAGTTTTAGTCCCTGAATAACCAGCTGCCTTAAGCAAACAATACTGAGTGTATACTAACAGTGTACATGAAACAAATTCCACAGAGGTTTTTCTCAGGAAAATTGTACTCTTTTTTGTAACACTGATGTCGTATTGACAACTTACAGTACATACGTTTTCAACATAAGCTCCTTAACCTGATTAACATCTTGTAACAGACCCCAGCCTTGGCTGGGTGGATGGGTTCTCTACACTGAAACTCACAGTGTCTGTCAACGCAGGTATTGTGGGTAGGTGTGCAGTCTCATCTCTCTGGTGTGTAAGGAGAGTGATGATGTCAGCTGTCCTGCTAGAATGTGGGAATGTCAGAATGATTTCCAAGGAAGGGGTGAAGGTGGGATCCCAGGACTTGATTAATGTTTAATGTTGATGGCCAGATTGCCATCAATCACTATGTGTGCTGCTCTGTAGCACTAACCCATCATGTCCTGCCCATCAGATCTGGACCACTCCTTCAATCGTTGTGAGGTGTCATGACTCATGGTCTCCCAGTTTGTGGCCTTTGTGAAAAATCCCTGTCTTGGCTCCAGGCTCGTGTTTGCAATTTGCTAAAGAACCACAGAAAATCTTCCTCAGACATCTCACAAGTTCTCAGAACAACATCACAAACACATCTTGCTAGTCACCCTACACCAGCCATTATATTCACAATGAAAACCCACAGGAAAATGTGTGTTATAATAATACAGCTAATACACCCAAGTGACTTATCAGGAAGTCTTTGAGAGCTCTAGTGGCCCCTAGTGGCAGGCTGGTGTAAATGACAGTTCACTCAAGGGACAACATGCACCTGTCGTTCACAAATTGAATTGTGTTCGGCTGTATGATCTGTCTTTGTTAGAAATTGCTGGCTGTGAACACCCCAGTGAGCAAAAATGTGTTGAGTTACTTAATCCTCAGTCCTATCGATATCACACGAATCTAAACAAATGGTACACTTTGGAAATGGCCCTTTTTGTTATTTCACTCCAACAAAATGCCAGATTTTGTTGATAGAATACTGAACCTTATGTGGTTGGACATTGGGTAAATAAACATCTTGTTAGGTCACGGATTTAAATCAGGCTTGAGGACAAGTTAGACCAAATGCAATAATGTGTACATTTGTAATGTACAATATAGTACAGCTGCACCATCTTCATGGAAATGTGAGAATGCAGACATCTTAGCTGCTTTTAATTGAAGAATAAATCTGAATAAAACCAGCAGCAAGCAATGCAGCTGTATACTTCATTCAGTAATACAGGGGTCTTTCTAACTCATCACAGGCCATTTTGTGTTCTTAACATGAAAGCAAGCCAATTACAGATGTTGTTACTCTTTCCAAAAAGGCTGGTGTAAATAAATGAATGTAAATCATTTTACTCTGGGAAAATAAGAATCCATAGTGTGAATTATCCTCATAAATTAGACTTACAAAAGGGCCACTGGTTTTAAAAAACTATCAAATTGGGGAAAAAAACCTTCAAAATCAAAATTTTAAAGCAAACTGAACATTTACAACAGTCCGATCCATTAAATCTTCTTTTTATGACTAGCATTTTAAAGCATTACATGAAGAAACGGTTATATTGATAATCCTTACAGCACCAGAAATGTATTCAAAAGAAATCTATTCCTACAACTTTTTTATGTGTTGCTACATATTTCTCCAAAATCTGAAAGCTAATGAGAAAATTTCTTAGATCATTAAACTGTAACATCTCTGTTGCAAAATGGGTTTTAACAAAGATTACTTATCGGCCAGACTCACCGTAGCCACAATAATGTCAATATCCATAGTCCATTAGCTTTTATCGTTTATCACAATGCTTCAGAATTATAAGAGCTCAGGAAATACTGTATAATCTAGAATAAGGACAGGCACAAGTATCATTTAAAGAGATTTTAATTTTAAAGGCTGCTCGGTAAATTCAGCATTTTAGTGCTTCGGCACCTCAGCATCGGACAGGGGAATGCATGAATCTCAGTAAAGCCTGCTGGTCATCACATGGACATCAGTCTCCTCGTGGATCACTTCCGGCGCTTATAGTCGTCCAGGTGAGACAGAATCCAACCGGAGGGCACCAAGATGGCAATGAACATAGCAACCAGCGCAACAGCTTGTTCCTGCAATTGATGAATACGTGAAATCTTCATGCTTTGGGTCCACCAACAGCATACTACAGCAATAGTACCATAGGGACGAAACGAATAATAGTAGCAATGTTTTTAATCAGATGATTGGTTAGAAATCCTCAAATCAAATACAGATATCCTGGAATACGCACAGCAGTTTTTCAAAATATATGAAAGTGAGCATGAAATTATTACAGCAAATCTAACACAGAAGAGATTAAATATAATGTGTAAGGTATCATCAAAATGAAGATTCTCTAAATTAAGATATTGTTAGAATGGCCACCAAGGGTTAAAAAAGATGGAATGATACTTATTATACTTTATCATCCTATATTCATATTACCCAGTGTAAAACTTAATAACTCAATAACTTTTAATGCTTAAGACAATATACAGAAAGCATAAGTATATATATATTAAAATTTGAAATATCCCATATAATTATGTTTGAAGATGATTATGGTAATGTTTGAATCATCATTAATTGGCAGAGGTCTAGCAGACAAATACTGCAAGAATACACTCTCCGTGAGTTAGGTTGCTTGGCATCAGGAAGCACCGAAAGCAAATGCAAAAAACAGGCAACCATTCAATTACAAACTTGCGGATGTTTTTGGAACCACGCAGGGAGGGATCCAGTGTGCTGAAGCGCAATCAAGTGAAAGAGAACTTTGTTTGCGGTGACTGTCAGATGGCCTTTTACTTATGATCTACTGTACGTGAACGGAGTTTCGTGAACAATGGCGTCCAGCGGCCGAGTTCAACGTCTCCTGCTCATTTCTGAAATAAAATTACTTTCCAGAAAGGCAGCAAAAGAGAGCATGAAACGAAGTGTGCAGTAACTTTCCTTCTTAACAGTGTGAGAAATATTAAGAGATCCCATACAACAGGCCAATAAAGTTAAAACAACTTTATCACTTGGTATTACCTAGAATTACCAATTAAAGGATGAAGCTTTATTCTCTAATGGAAAGACAAATTACGCGAATTTATGTAGGGCTACACTTACTGTATATAGCATTCTTTATGTATAGTTTAAAATGTAATTAAAGTATAACGGAGTTATTGTCTAGGTAAAATACCTTCCTACACTAATTTCGTTCATATGACGAATCGTAGGTGATTTTGCACCTGTACGGTCTCCTAACAACCTGTCCAGTCAAATATTCAGTAACGTTATTTAAGAAACCCGCATTTTCACTTTTAGAAGCCAAGTGTTGCTGCTCTCCATTTGAAAATCTGCTGCAGGATACTTACCCCCGGAGTTATAACCTCCTTCGGAGGCTTAGAAGTAATGCTGGCTTTAGGGGTGATCTGCTGGCGCAGGGTCCTTCCGAGGAGTCTGAAGGTATGATTTAACCCCAACATGACTGGATCCTTCGGGCTTCAGAAGCGATTAAACTTCCTTAACAGTTTTTACTTTGCAGGCCGGAGTGCGAACGTTGCTTATTTGCTGCCCGGAAAGTTTTTGATTGACCTTCAACAGCTGCTCGAATTGTTTTTCTCCTCTGCCAAATGTAATATCAGCGGCGCATATTCAGACCCACGAAGGCGAATATGGACCTGCTGCTTTTCAATTGGTTGGCTTCAGCTGAGTTACACCTTCAGCCTAGGCAGTGATAAATCGTTAACCAAGAAGCAGTTTCACTTCTACAACTGCCTGCTACAGTAAACACTCAGATCGCATTGGCTTAATTCTTTAAAGACACAAGTGTTAGTATGCAATCTTGTTAGAAACTCGTAGTGATGTGTTGTACACAAGGTTTAAAATGGTTAAGAAGTATTGTTTCAGATATTCCAATTTTTTAAACCCATAATCTCCTTGCTTTATCCCTTGCACTTTTGTACTCTACAATTACACCTCTTCTAAACACTTTTACAGCTGTCATTGATTTAAGTTATATAGACTATTAGAAAGATATGTTCACATTAAAATTGGTTTCATTGCAATGCTGTAATTCCTGAATGTATTACATTGAAGAAGAATCTCATATGCAATATATATTTGCAAAATGGAAAGACAAGAATTGTTCTTGTTTTAATCATTTTGTACTTGTTGTACTTGCTTTGTATAATTGGGGGGGATAACTACACTACCAGTGCCCATTGCAGGGTCACTTGTTTTATGGCCTTGAACAAGACCTTTGCTTGTGGCTAGTATTCTGATAGAGCTGAATCTTACTGTATACAATACAGTGAATCAAAGTGTTTCTACAGTGTTTTTCTGGTGTTGAACTTTAATGTTTGTCTTAACAGCCATTCTTGCTCTCTATCAGTGGTTAATGATTGTAATGGGGAAGTCAAGTCATGATGGTTGTAATGTGCAGTAGCTTCCTCTACGCTAGGACACTGCAGCTGGCTAATAGCACATAGCCCTGCTCTGAAAGCGCTTTGAATGTATTCTGTGTTTAATTGGACATTTTGAAGCCCATGAAAATTTACATTACTGCATGCCTTTGCCCCATTGAAAGAATTGGCCTCTTTTGCTTATGTTATTCTGCATACAGGTGGAATCTAGGTGTGTCATACAGTACATGTGTTTAGCACAATATTTTCCAACTGATCTCCAAATTCCTACATTAAGAGTACTGTGCACCTTCATTTTGAATGCACCCTAATTTCATTAAGCTTCTTTTTCAGGTCACCACTGAATGTAAGACAACGTAGTCAAAGTTTTATCTGCTTGAATAAATACATTTAATTTAATCCAAATTTCTAAAGAAAGTGTGCCGAAGAGGTTGGAGATCAGATGGTGTTAAAGTGCAGATAGAGCTTTAGCTGCCTCCGCACAGGAATCAACAACCAGACCATAATTAAGGATGACGTCTTCAACTCCCCCCCAGCCTGATTTAGCGTAATGATCCGAGGAGCCACTGCTGCAGGGTGTTGATAAGGCAGAGGGGGGAATGCAAAATGATGAATGCTGGGAATGAAGAGATGATTAGCCATATTTTTACAGTGCGTAGATGAGCATAGTGGAGGCTTAACTCTTGCTTTCTAATTTCCACTCTAACTCCACAATTAAGGAAGGTTTAGACATAAATGAAATCAAAATACTGCTCTTGCACAGAAAGGTGGGAGGTAAATGGCCATTATACTCAAAGTGAAAGATACATTGTGACCACATAAGATACTGTTACAAGGTTTACTTCCAGACTTGGGGTGCAATCTGTGTGGTTTGTATGTTCATGTGGGTTTCCTCTGGGTGCTCCAGTTTCCTCCCACAGTTTAAAAACATGCTAGTTCTGTAGCTTCTGGGAAAATTGGCCCTGGTGCGAGTGTGTTTCTGCCCTGCAATGGACAGGTGTCCTTCTAGGGTGTTCCCTGCCTTGTGCCTGTTGCTTGCTGAGATCAGCTCTGGCTCCTCACACAACTCTGAATAGACAGAAGAGTTAGAAAATGGATGGATAGTATCTTGTGCAACCAGGTCCTCTTTCTTTGTTTGGCACAGTTGTTTTTATTCCGCATCATATTTGTTCACAGCAGAAAAGCTATAAACACACATATTTAATCACATTGGATTCTTTATTAGTTTATATTGATCAAGTATTTTCTTGCCAGGACAGTCTCCATAGGACAATAGCATAACTTACAAAGCAGGAATATATCTGAACAGGACCTGAGAGACATCATGCCTAGGAATGAGGTATTCAATAAGCTAAATGTGCCAACAAGCCAAATGTGCTTAAATGTTGTTTCATAACAGGGTATATAAATCATTATATATTCTTGCTTTTGACACAGTTTTGGATGTTATTTAATAGCATTACAGTTAATGTTCTCTTAAACAGACAAGAACACAAAGTTTAAGTGCAACATTCAGTGTCAATAGAAGAAATGATGTATTACACAAAAAGCAAATTGAAAATAAGTGTTGCAAATTACACTGTACATATGTTCCGTTTGTATTCCACAAATGGATTTACATGAACACATAACTGATCAAGACTGACTGACAGACAAGGCTTATCCACAGAGTGAGGATCCTGAGCAGCAGCAGGTCCACTGGTGATGTCCTTGACTTCGAGCAACAAGACAGAAGATCAGTCATTATTGTTGTTATGCTACTCGAGGTACCGAATCTCTACTTTTTCAGCTGTCAGCATTCTTCTGATGTTTTTATACTCCACTGGCCTTAATTTTTGGTATCCTGCAGTAAAAGCCAAGGGCACAGGTCATTTCATTGGGCTCAGCAGGTGTAGCAGCAGGTCATCTTGTTCTGACACCTTAATTTGTACTGCTGAAGAAAGCTACTTTGTCATCTTTTACAAACAGTGCTTTTATAAAGGCATGGCATTTGTGCAAACAATACATTTTTTCTAGTTTCATACGCTGAATTTTTTGTTTTGTGGCTGCAAGGTTTTGCCATTTCTGATTGCATCTGTATGAACAGAAATGTCATTGAGCACACACTAACACTAAGAGCACCAAAACTCTTCCCTGCATTGCCTCTACCCATTCAAGCATTTTCAGAAGCATTATAAAAGAGGCCATTTAAATTCAAACAAGAAAAAAATCATACAAGCAACAAAGAAATGGCAAAAAATACAAACCACTCATTTATTATCTTGGTTGTACAAGTTAACGATACCTAATCTACTCATATAAAACAAAAGCCTTGTCATTTCATGGAAAATATTTTTTTCTTTTAAGCAAAATCTTTTAATAAGCTACTTGAATGATAATTTCCGAATGATAATTCTGAAATTATTTTTATTGTAGTTGGCTTTTATAAACTGTTTCATATACAGTACACTAATAATGACTGCAGGACATAGGAATGAATGCTAGTAGCTGGAGACAGAATCTATCAGTTCCTCTCAATTAGAAAGGATACCTGTTCCAGGAGTATGAAAAAAAGCTTTTGAAAACTAAATCAAAGGCATATATTTTAATTGAAACACGTGGTTTTAACACAAACCAAATACATCTAGTTATCATAACTGGGACAAGGTTTAAAAAAAAGTACAATGGAATAAGGCGTAAACACATCAACTTCTTTTTACTTTTCAGTGTGAAATTTACAGTATAATGTACGTCAGTTACAAAAGCCAGTTCGGCAGTTACCCAAACTCTGCCGAAACAAACGCGTCAAAACATACCTTTTAGAAGCGCGTTCCAGTTATTCAACCCAAATTTCTCAAATTGATCTTCATCATAGTCGGAAACGTATCTTCTCCCATCTGTAAGACATTCAGTTATTGCGTGAAGAGTGTGCTATTATAAAGTACAGTAGCTGCTAATTTGACTGCACCGTACGAGGAGTACACCTTAAGAAAACCCTCTATCATACAGTACGCAATGTGTTGCATCTGCATGAACTGTGGTTTCCATCTTCAGTCCGTAGGGACCAGAATCAAGCAGATTTTTGTCTCTTGAAATTATCAACAGTTTAAAGCTACGGAAAAAGGATAAATAAGTCAGAAACCTTGACTGGATCAATTCCATACTTCTCCCAAAAAAAGAGCTGGTTATAAATCTGAGGAGACAGAAATTCTTCTGGATGTTAGACGCCGATGAGCATATATTCAGTACATATTTTACTTTTGCATTATTGAGAAAGAAAAGAATATTATATGAAAACTATTGTACATTTGCAGTGCCTACATTGTTCTATGTTACTCTTCTCAGCTGAAAATACTTTGATAAAACAAACATATCCTTAGCAAGCCAGATGCGTGATTTTTTTTTTCCGGTTTTGACAATAAAATAAAAAAACTTACATTTTCCTTTAAGGTACATCATGGACTGTGGGCCCCAGTTTCTAGAATTCATCTTATTCTGTTGAGATCATAAACAGTTTAATTGTTAAGTTACAGTCGTGAAGCAGGAAAGAAAAAGAAGAAGAAGTCATATGCATACCGGTGTCTTTGAAGCTGAAGGAGATTCCATCACAATAAAGATAATCGCAAAAGTACAAGTCCACAGAAATGTTGCCCTGGGTTTCTAAGACGGAAAGAATAGTTTGGCGCGTTTGTTCCAAATAACCAGTTCTTAATGAACATTTTTCTGGTTTATACAGTGGAAAAAATAACTTTTCTTACCATTGCAGCGGAACAGCGAGACCTGCCTGCAGATGTACAAGTCCCTACTGCGCCTGGACTGTGGTGCTCAACAGCTTTTTTTTTTCCTCCACGAAAATGAAACGCCGGGATCTCAGGTTCGATTCTCCCTCCCTGAGAGACGCATCTAGCAGGTCGATCTACCGTGGAGCACAAGGCATTTATATCAACTTGACAATAAAAGCTTACGTCAAGCGCGGACAACACAACATCTGTAATTAAGATAAACAGTCCAGTGATGTGCTTTGGACTTAGTCTTCTGCTCCTCGTTTTCGTTTATTTAATTGTTTAATCAAGGTTTTCCACAACATTGGCTGAAATGTGAATTACGCAATGAAAACCGTCACATCTCAAAAGCAGTTAGTTATTCTGATGAGATAATTTCCAGTTAGTGATGCGTGGTTAGAGTAATGACTTCGAAGGCTTATCTTCTATACAGTAGGACTGGATGAAGTGCATAAAGCCACAAATAAAGATTTACAGTAGTGTTTCCGCGGGGGAAACCCTCGAGTTGGATTTAGGCTTCAACTATATGGATTTCAGATACTTGCGCTGAACGAAAACTGCCTAGTGTGTGAACGAAATGTTTGCCACACAGCAGAAGTAAAAAAAGGATCATCGCTGAACCTGAAAAATTTTTTACATTTAATTTTAATATTAATAATCTTAATTCGGTGTAGAAGGCAGTTATCTCTAGGTCCGTTGAGAGTCTCATAATCGACATAGTCACAGTATGACTCAATTATGATAATATTTTACATCTGGATTACTATACTTCCATTAATCCTTTAGATTGTCAATAAAATAATTGCCTAACACACAGTTTATTGTTGAAGACAGTGAAACACAATGCTACTTTCTTTACATGTGATTTTCTACCGGGATGGAACTAAAAGCTTTAGGAGGCTCAGTAATTATATTAATTTAGAATGTGTGTTGGTGCAGTTAGCAGCAATTATAGTAATAACTGCTTCAGTATGCAAAGAAAAGACTACTCATATTCGCGTTATCTGCTTTCTCCTGGTCCTTTATACATTACTACTGAAATGAAGGTGAATCTAATTACAAGCAGATAATGCTACATTACTAACACGCATCCCAAATGAGTTGTATAATGAATTGGACAAATATTATTTCGCTACTGACTTTTGACATTAATGCTTCAATAGTCTGATTCACCTCCGAACTAAAAAGTTTGAAAATAATTATGGAAGTCCACGGTTATACACAACATAAAAGCAATAGAAGAAGAAATATTTCAGCATTTTCCATCCACTCCACTGCAGTCGTGTAGCTATAAAGCCGGACAGAATATTTCTATGACTACGCCCTATCAAAAAATTCAAGCCCTTTTCTTCTCTTCTAGTCTGTGTTATGGTTAATTTTCATTAAATTATACTTACAATTGTAGAATCGAGGTTCAATGAACGATTAAATAGTTGTACAAGATAAAATTGCCATTTAACGTACAGATAAACTAAACTAATTTCAGACTTGACAAGTGGAAAACAAAACTTGGCACTTTACAGGGTATATGTGCATTCGTGTCTTTTTAAGGTTATAACAACATAACATAAGAAAGGACAGTCAAGACTTAATTTATTCACTAGGAATTGAGGCCAAAGAGACGGCACTAGTTACAGTAGACCCCACATACAGTACAAGACTGCATACAACTCGGCATACAAGCGGAATGGAAGGAGATCAATCGTACAGACATAAGGATTCTCTCAGTATCCGTACCCGTAACTGGTTTTTCGCTATACGTAAAGGGGGGCTAAAGATGTTTGGTTTTCAAGTTTTCAAAATGACCCAAGTAGTTATCTCGATTTAAGCACGAAAACTTTAAAAGGCGCAGCGTCGTATTCGCACTGAAACTGACCATCAAGCCGACGCTGTCGAGGCGGTGGGATGCAGGAACCTTTTAAAACAGAGCCTGGCGTGGTCATAACAAATCACTTTTATTTATAGTTAAAAAAACGGTTCGTCTGGAATAAATAGAGCTAGAAAATAGATTACCTAACAGTTCTACCTTTTTGTTTAAAAGCAGTTGCGCGCTTTGTATCAGAGGTGCACAACTCTGGTCCTGGGGCTTCAGAAAGTTCCGGTTTCCTTCCACCCTACTGTAGCTGGAACTATTTGGACAAGTTGAATTCATACCTTGATCTTGAGAAGCGGGCCACCTACAGTATAAGAGGCTCGTGAAATGAATAGCCCCGTTTGAAACGGACATGGTAGAGTTAATCTTAACCTCAAGTCTTTCAGAATCCTTAAACATAACCTAATGTGCTCACGTGGGAGAAAAACAAAGCAATTTCCTTACCTTTTATGTGAATATCAAGCACCTTATTGGTTTATAACAGATATGCATGAGCATTATCAGTGCTTTGCAGTTGCATTCGAATGAGAATGCAGTTTCCTACTGCACCAACCATTGATCAAATTCATATTCAAAGGGCTTTTTTTGACATGAGCAATGAATTACAGAATTGCCAAAGCAATAACAATTAGCACAACATTTACAAATATTTACAACTATTTGTCATACCTAATGATGAGAAAGGTTCTGTGTACAGTTTTCCTCTGGATGTGAGTTTGCTGACAGTACAGTCATACTTTTCCATCGCCACATGTTTTATTAGACAGCAGTTTCACACATATTACATATTACAAAACACCACAGTGTTTTTAACAATCACAACATTATCTTATGCTAAGATGGTCACTGAACTATAAAGTAAATTATAAAATATGCCTAAGGTAATGTAAGATAAAGTGTGCTGATTTGTTTTTAATATAGACGTGCTAAAAGTGGTAAAAAGATTTGTGAAAAAAATTCAATTGTGAACAAAATATTTAAAATAAAGAACAAGGAATGTTCTTTCAATAAAATAAAATACATCAATAGTTGTAGAATATAAATCTAAAATACATACTCCTGCATCAGATGAACTAAGAGCAAACAACAAAGAACAAAGTTCTTGGTTGTAAGGATATTTTATGGTAGCCCTAGGGATTGAAGTTACCAGATTTTAGCATTGACTGAATGATTTGCGTTAAACACTGACCAAACTCTTCTAAAATCATTTTCTCAGCTTGATACAAAGAATAATCGGCCTTTTCTGCTTCCTCAGCTCGAACAAGGAGACATCGGCAAGTTGCTTGGACAACATCAAGTGTGACACATGAAAGTGGACACCTAACAAAGATATAAGCAGTAACCAAAAAAGACATTTGGTATTATTTTTACACTTTCCAAAAAAAGCAATTCGTGGTTTTACAAAAATAGCATTTCTTTTGATGATTTATTCAATCTTATTGTTACAGTACATTCATTATCTTGAATGTATCTTGATCTTAAATGATTTACAACAAAGACATGTACAGTAACATCATTTTTGAAAAAGCAGAGAATTGGAAAGCAGTTATTTAGAACCCTCGGTTAACCATGTGTCTGTCTTGAGGAGAACAAGAAAGACTTTCAGCACCTTCCCTATATGAGTTCTCCATATCTCAGCCCCACTGGAAATTACTGGAATCAACCCATTACCCTCATATCACAATGTCAAATGAAGGTGATCAACCTTGTGCTGTACATGACACAGTATGTTCAGACTGTGTTTCCTTTTCATGGAGACCCAACATTTAATGTTGTATGTCTTTTTAATATTCTGATTAGTAAGTGTATTACCATATAAATGTATACAACTAAATTATAGACTTAAATTCCTTTAAAGATTCTATTGAATGGTGACACTACCTCTTTATTATGTCTGTCGATATTTTGTAGGGTCTTGTATTTATCTTCTCCCCAAAGCCTGTTGACCCCATCATCTTTTGTTCAGGACAATCTTTATAGTTTTTGCATCCAACACACTTACAGGTAGTTGAGCACATGATCTTGGCCTAAAGGATTTGCAACAAAGACATGTACAGTGAAGTAATTTTCAAAAAAGTAATTAGACAATGATATTTTTTTACACATAAAGAGAAAGGCTAGTTAGCAGGCACAGCATGTGTGCATATACAGTACCCAGAAAATAGCTGATGTATTAATGCATGTTGGTTTACCTCTGTTCAGGAACTTTGTCAATTCAGTACATGCTGTAAAAATACAAGACAATTCAAGAAGATGCTGGCACAGATGACAGGTTACATCTTCTAGTTCAATATATTGAATATGAGCTTGTTTGAGCCCAGGCAATTCTTAGCCGATTGGAACTGTAAATCCCCAAGCAGAGGTGCTGGATGAGCTTCAGTTGGCCGCGGTTTGTTTGGTTTACTGCATTAACAGTGTTAACAGTGTCAACAGTGTTGAAAGATGCTAACTGTTCCATCAGAGATGTGCAGTTCCTGAATTCAGGTGCACCGTGTTTTTCTGTCACGAGGCTACAAAAGACATGTGACATTATATGTATCTTCTGTAGAGGAAATCTCAAGAGTGAGAAATCCCTCCGAAAAAAACAAAAACTACTCCATTGCCACCCCTCTCCCAGAAGAGAAAACCAGAGCACTTTGACAAAACAGCGTGCAAAAGAAAAACCTACACAAGAGGACCCAGAATAACGATGTACAAAAAAATTGGTTATAAATGTACCACTGGCTTTGCAGTGAACCAGGCCTAACAGCTTCTCCCTCAGATTCTCTGTGAATGAAATTATTAGTCTGGGAAATTTGTTGTGACGGTGCAAAGAAACTTTCACACTAGAGAAGTGACTCTAGTTTAAGCTGGACCAACAAAATCTACAGTTCCTTCCAACAGATTTCCTGATATCCATGGCAAAGAACTGGCTTGGTTATTTATCAGTGAATTGGAATTCAAATGATTTTCAGTTGTTGAGATTTAAAAAACCAGGCACTGCAGGACAGCCCAGTTTAAAGGCAGCAGTTGAATAAAAAAGTTTTTCAGTTTAATCTAACATGCTTCAAAGTCATGTCATGTCATGTCATTTACCAAACCGCTTTATACCATACAGTGTTGCAGGAAGCCAGAGCCTACCCGGCAAGCAACAAGGGCAAGGCAGAGTACACCATGGACGGGACGCCAGTCCATCGCAGGGCCAGTGCAAGCCAGTCATACTTGGAGACAATTTGGAGGCCACAGTAAAGGCTGAGGGGGGAAATTAGGCCTGGACACTGGGATAACTCCCTACTCTTCTCAAGAAATGCCAGGGGATCTTTAATGACCACTGAGAGTCAGGACCTTGGTTTAACGCCTCATCTGAAAGACACTGCCCACTACAGTATAGTGTCCCCGCCAGTATACCAGGGCACTAGGACACACACAGACCGCAGGGCGGGCGCCCCCCACTGGACCCACTAACACCACTTCCAGCAGCAACCATAGCTTCCCAGGAGGTCTTCCATCCAGGCTCAACCTGCTTAGCTTCAGTGGGTCACCAGCTGTGAGTTGCAGGGTGATATGGATGCTGGCTGATGCTTCAAAGTGTACAGCCAAATTTGGCTGTATACCTCTGGAGCAGAACTTAACATAAGATGGCCTTTTTCTGATCTAGTAAGCATGTGTAATTTTCAGACGAATTAAGAAATAACCCTCAGCTGAATTCTTCATCTCTCTCTCACCTCATAGCACTCACAGTAGTTCTTAAGGCACCCAGAGCGCTTGCAGTTACAGCCTTTGTTGTGTCGGCCTTTGATCTCCCCATGTTTTCCATTTCCAATCTTTGGCCTAAACGCTTCAGGATTTCTGTCCAGACAAGTCTTGAGAAAACAATAATGAGCAAGGAGATCATGCAGAGCCCCAATACAATTTATAGACAACCCGTTTTTAAAGATAGGCAACACTTGTAAGCTTGATGAATGAACCAAGTGGTCTGTTCAAATAAGGAATCTCTGGTTACTGAAAACTGAAGAGGATATTAGTCCAAAATGACCTCTAAATTACTTAATTTAACAAATTAGCTGTTTAATCACAATTGATCACAATATAATTTGTCTGTATATTGGAATAAAGATATGGAATTATTCCTTATCTTTGGAAAATTGTGATTTAATTGAGACCTGTTGGATTGGAACTCCCAGGACAAGGGTTGGAGATCTCTGTATTAAATATTTATGACTTTATGCCATGGAAGAATCGGAGAACAGCATAGCACAAAGAATTTGCTTCTTCCAATTCAGGGTTACAGGGCAGCTGGAACTAACCGAGCAAGAAATGGGTGTAAGGCAGGGTACACCCTGGATGGGACACCACATCATCACAGGGCAAGACTGAAACATCAGCAATTTAGGTATAAAAATGAAATATTCTGCCTTTTATATGTCATTTCTTTATTCCCAGTTTGTACTTATTTTCTTTAATTAGATGCACATTGCTGTTAAAACTGCATTTCCTTGCTGCACACAAAATACCTTAATGGCCTTGTATCTTTCTGACTCATGTTCTACATTGTTGTAGCAGTTAATGCAGTTGCAGTTACTACAAATTTCTCCATTAGCAAAGCAGTCACAGTACCTGTAATAAATCGACACCAAAACATTTAGTTACTAATGATGATGAATATTCTTTAATGTAATTCTGTCATTTATATAAAATGTATCTATGTATTCTTGCAACAAACAAGGAAATAGGATGTTTTCTATTGTAGATAATACATATACAGTAGCATTCAAGGGTTTAGAAGTATCATATACAAAGAAGCTGTGGAAGACAGTACCAATATGTATTATTAACTGTAATATCTAGATTTACTAACATCATTCTTCTCCTTCATTAGAAGTTGCAAGCATTGTAGAAGAAAGCGTCTTAGTGAGATAGTAGGGTAACATCCTCCAATTACTAGGACGCTTGTGCGACTAGAGGGGGTGTGTAATGCACTGTATGTTGTCTTCATCTTAGTATACTTGCACTCTACTGAGTTCTCTGACATTTTTACTTCCTTTTATTTATTACTATGGGTTTGAAAAGAGACAAATTCCCTTTTCGGTCCAGCACAGCAATCTGGGAAGCTGGAGATTTATTATTTATGATTAATTTTGGTATATTAAATATGACCTTATTTTTTTTCAGACCCAAAGAGACGTTTGGCCATCGGTGGTAAGGTTATGATTCTACAATGTCCATATGTGGATGAAAATGTACAGTATGTCCTTTTTGGCAATTATTCTTTAATATGTTTTGACTTCGTAATTTATTATAAATCTTAAATAGCTGCTTACATTTTAAGACACTGGGACTTAGTACAGTTACAGGGTTTCTTGGATTTAGAATCCCAGGAAGCCCCTGCAAACCTGATTAAACAGAAAAAAAGCATTAATATTATTTAAAATTCTATCATTGTTGTTGTTATTGGTAATATCTGAATAATTCAGCCTAATTCTTACCCAATAAGAGATCTTTCAGACTGGCCTTGTGTGCAAGTGTCCGCCAGGAAGCCAACGGTGTTCGAGAAAAAAGGACAGGCCTTTTGATGAAAAGTAACAATTAATAATGTCTCTACCAAACAAGTGCTTGGGAAATGTGTCCAACTAATTCACAATTCTGTACAAAATTCATCTGATGGCTGGGAGATGAAAGACCCTTCTGAAAATGCACCTCAGTCAAAGGTGTGGCATGGTAATGAAATCATAGAATCAATTTCCATGGATTAGCTCAGACTTTTGCTGAACCACTGGCAACCTGATCTGAAACTTATTTTAGAATGTACAACAAGTATAAAAAAAATAACAATAAAGTAAAATAATCCAAACAATACAAAGTTAGTTAAGCCTAACAGCATAACTCATAAACATAAACATAAACATAATGGTTGAATGGTCTCTGCTCTGCTAATTAAAGTCTGTTCAAAGATCTGTCCAAAAGATCTCTCTCACACACTGCACCTTTTCTGGCTTTGTGTACTGCCATCGTAGATTGTGTTTTCAAGGACTGTCTTCATCAAACTCCTGTACTTCATTACTCAGTCGTGTCAGTAGTAGGAGCCATACTGCATGTGAAGAGTGAGAAGTCAATGCTGTCTAGAAACTATTCCAGTGTTGGCATATTTTTTGAATGTCAACTCAAGCTCTACATATTTATGAAATGATTTACAGATGATCTTTTAAAAGATTCACCATAACTGATGTGCTGTGAAGACAGTGATGTAATTCTACAGTAGCTGTGTTTTCAATTCAGGTATAATTCCTTTGAAATACAAATATATGAATTTATTTATAGAGGGTGACATTCAAACTATGTCCATATACTGTATCACAGTTTTATCTGGAGTTAAAATACTTGGAATCATTTGATGCAACGTTTGAACCTTTTTCTGTAGGGGAACAGACCATATAAAATACATCTGAAAATGATTAGGATACAGTGAAAATCAAGTTGCTAAAAATGACAGATAAAATTTAATAACACATACTGTATACTGTACAAGATGCATCTGTTTATTTACAGTACTTCACACTGCACCCAAGCAAGAGCCGTTGCGTGGACCTTATTTGCAGTACCTGTGGAAAGTAGGAGGTTGGCAGAAAATTGTATCCAAAGCCACTGTTTACAGGTGGAGGCACCGTGCAGCTGGGATGCAGGAATTCTTGCGGTGGTCTGGGGACAGGATGCCCAGCCCCAAACAAGAGTGGCTGAGTGAAGGGAGGACCCATCCTCACAAGAGGAACATCACTGGAATGCTTCTGAAACATAAAGAGAAACAAGCCTGCTGCCAACAGAGCTCTCCTGTAATTTGAAGCCAGATCCTCCTATTGCTATGGAGGTCAATTACTTTAATAATTCATTACAAAATCTTCAGATCCATACATTTGTTTTATATACACAGTTTCACACAGGTCTTCAGATAAATGTGCGTGTTGGCTTTTGGGCCTACCTGTGGTATGTTCAGGCATGGCGTCTGTACAGCATTGGTAGCCACCCTTCCCAAAGGTGCTGAAACTGCTGGATGAGCAAAAAAGAACAAAAGTAAAGCTAAAGGATGATTTGATTTTCTATCACAGAGAAGAAGTGGGCACTTGCTGTTGCCTGAATCTTTAGGGGCTGTACATTAGAAAACTAAAGGTGAGCTCCTAACACAATCGTAAAATATTTGTATGATGCATTTAAATAATTTGTACTTTTATACATTATATATTTGTGTCAACATAAGCTGCATATATTTCTGCACATGCAGGTACACAGAATACATATAAAATATAGCTAAAGATAAAGTAGATGAAGGTAATAAATATAATCATGTTTCATTCGTAATTCATAATTTGCCTATTAGGGTTTTGAAAGTGGTATCAGTTTGGGGAAAAACAAAAGGGTTTTGAGAGGTGATGACCTTTCCCAGCTGTGTCGGTCAGGAAGGGAGTGTACGCCTGAGGTTCTGGGTAGGGTATGGTGTGAGAGTGCTCCACACCATGGAAGGAGTTCATCTGCCCCTGGTTACAGCTGTTTACAACCACCAGCTGCGGTCCTCCCTTTGGGTTACACAAAAACTACAGCACTACCATTTTAAGAAATAACTTAGCGATTCAATGGTTATGACATCCTGTATTATGTTACTCTATTCTTAATAAATAAATAAATGTCATTAAAAGTGCAGATTTTATATTTATTCTGTTCCATTCATATACTTTGTAAAGCCTTGTTTATCTAATGCTTGCGATCTTTTGTGACCAGCCTAAAAATCTAGCAACGTCACAGCTGTAGGTCTTAAGAATTAACTTCTACATCATTAACCACTACACTGTCTCCTACAATTTCAAAGACCTTTCTGATCCAAAAAATAAAAGCCACACCCACAATCAATTTTGACACTCATTCACGGAAGACATTACCACTGAAGTGCAACTATTGCTGCTAATGATCAAAACCAGTTAATGAAATGACCTTCCTGTATGTTACCTTGGTACTGTTTATATTCAAAGCCACGCTATATTATCTAATAATATCTAAATATTGTGCTTATTTTATTTTTTCTTATTTAACAATTAAGGATGTGAACCTTATTGGGTCTAAATGAATCCCATATTTTGTATACAACTCAACTCCACTCCAGGATTTTTACGATAAGCAACACTTTCAGTTATTAATTATATATTTTTTTTGACATTCTTAATGGCTTTTAAAACAACACACTAAAGTTGAATATATGAGCACTTCAGTGATATTCATTGTAAAAAAGCACAGCTGAGAAATCAGATTATGCCAGATCTGGCTAAAGCAGCTCTTCATAAACTTCTGTAAGAGAAGCATGTTGACTTTAAAGGTGTCAGAAACTCACCTGGCACAGACTGTGCCCCTGCTCTCTTGGGTGGTCAAATGTTTTGAGAATAGATGGCACTGGCTGGGTGAGCATCTTCACAATGCAGATGACAGAAATAATCTCTCTGAGAACTTGTTTACATTACAGTGTAATGTTAAGCAAGCAGTATGTTTACAATACAGTATGCGTATAGCAGTTTTAAACAACAATATTAACAATAATGAAAATGCAACAACCCTTTATGTTACAAAGTTAAGGGAATGTTTTTATTAGTCCCCGTATTGCAATATTTTCTCCAATCCACTCAACATACAGTAGGTTACTCTGTAAGTGTAAAGAACAATGTTGTAACATGTTCTCAAGAGCTGAATGGATTGTTTCATTATGGTTACAATTTATCTGACCGCATTTACTGTATAAGCCATTTAAAATTATCCTGCAGAACGCAATATATTAGAAGAGGATCCCACCACATAAACTCATTATATTGAGATATTTGTTTGTTTTCATTTCTTTAAAGTCTGTTTAAAACATAGGACCTACCGGTTGATTGTCCACAATACCTAGGGATCTTTGTACTGCTGTCATTTCTTGTTGAGGAAAAAACTTCTCATATAGCTGCACATCATAAGAAGCCTCCTCTGTGCTGTCAGATGTAATACTGGCAACAGCCTCCATCACTTCTGCCTTGATTTAAACAACATAGTGGAACAGTGAGAACGCAAGACACATTCGGCAAAGCACACCTGAACATATCGTTTACCCTTTGCTTCTGGCACTGCTCTTAAATTTCCACAAGTACAATAATTTTCAGAAAATTCTCTTTAAGAACATCTATTAGAGGCATTGTATTACTGGGACAACATTTTTAAACTGAATTTTCAAAACTTTCAAATACATTTGCTCATCCAACGTCCATTCCTGATGGCCTAGTTTTAAATACATTTAAAAACGGACCCAGGAAAGCTGCAAGCTGGGGGACACTCAAGGTCCAGTGTTGGGTTCCTTTCAGTAATACTTACCGACATCGCTCCAAACTGACTGGCCTCATCTGCAGACCATGTTCCCCTGGAGCAGGGGTTAGTGCCGGTGCCCAGTCGAGACACCACTGTGGGATGGCACTGCGAAGACGTGGTCTGAGAGTGCAGGAGGTCAGAGTAAGGAGGAAGACGCAGCAGCGAGGATGCAGGCTGGCAGTCAGGTTGACGTGCACTGTGAAACCCATAACTGACACCCACTGCCTCCGTCTCACGGCCACAACCCAGCCTGGCACAAACGCTGGCACCCTCTCCACAAGATGACAGTGATGCAGACTGCTTGGACGATGTGCTGTCAACATAGATATCTGAGGACGCCTGCTTTGCAATGGAGTACGTCCCTTCTTTGAAAACGATTTCCTGATTTTTCTGACATTGGTTTGTTTGAGAACAGTCCACGTCTGGGTTGGCAGTCAATTTATTCTGACTCACAAGTTGCACAAAGTTAGTCTGTTCTTCCATGTTTGGCTGCCTGGAGAGATACCTAGATTAGTTTAGTCCTGCTGGTATTTACCGTACAGCGATACAGCTCGGTGGTTGCACTGTAATCTACCATATTTTAAGTTCAACAACAGGTATACTATGGTTTTAAATAAAAACAAATATTAACAGTAAATATAACTGTAGTGGAAATGCGGCACATTACCTCACCGAATTGTGTTAAACTGCTTCATGTACTAATAATTAGCAACTTAACATTTAATAAATCTCCAACTGGAAACCTAGAAGCAATGTACGATCTACGCTCACCTCACCTCTACTGTATGTTGTGGCACCACCACTAAAGCGTAGATAAAATGAATCAAAAGTGACTTTAACTTCTCGATCATTACGTCGGTCATGAAAAAGGGATCACTTTGCACATATAACGATCACAATCCTACGCTGCCGATTGAGAAATACAACAACCTAAACATGAAATAAGAAGCTGGTTCTTCCTCGACGTTTTCCGTAGATATGATTTATTTTTTCGTTTTAAAAAAATCGAGAACTTATCATGACTTATCTATCGAATAAAAGTGAGTTGGGACTCTTTTGTGATTTTTTTTTTTTTAGTTCAATCAAACACCATCAAACCTTTACATTTCTACTTTGACGTCTTACCGGTATTTCTGTTCACAGTCAAACCCTTTAAACGCCAAACGGCGATCTCGCGATTCCAACTTCCTGTCGCAGTTCACACGTGCGCTTGTGAAATAATAAAGATAATAACAAGAGAAGGGAACCATAAGCGCGTTTATTCAGTCTCTTACCAACCCTTTGGAGTGTCGGACGTAATAACGTGTAATAAGGAACAGGTAATAGGTGTATTATTCCGTGCTGAGAAGAGAAGAAAGAAAACACAACGTTTCGGCCGTGGAGCCTTCTGCAGGTGTGGGAATGTTCAATAGTCGATGGAGTTACAAACGGGTATTGTCATCTGTGTTAATATTTTTATTATTCATTGGTGTAGCAAGTGCAGTGCCTTAACAGCATTTAAGACGTTTCTTTTTTTTTTTTTAAATGGGGGCTTTTAGAACTTTTTTGTTTCTGAATTCCTGTCTTTGTTTCGTGGTGAAACACTCGGCAATTAACGTAGTTTGTAAAGAGCTGCCGCTACTATGCATCATAAGATCTGCCCACCTTTTTCAGAACAACAGTACAGGGTTGTCCATGGGGCTTTGTAACGGCGAATGTAAGGGTTCGTGTCTGTGTCTGCGTGAAACCCCAGGTTATCGTTAATTAACTTATAAATCTCATGCAGGAAACGGGGATCAAAACGGGGGGGTGTACCCTTGGTGCGCTGGTGTTCAGGGGGGTGAGTCCGGGGCAAACAATCCAGTAGAAATCCAAAGGGGGAATCCAAAACGAAAGCAAGTCCAAAACCGGGAGGTCCATCCAAAAACAGACAAGATAAAAACTAGAACCGGGTCGGAACCTAAATCCATCCATTTTCTAACTGCCAGAGTTTATTGTGGTAAGCAAAGGGCATAAGGCAGGCTACACCCTGGATGGGATGCCAATCCAACGTTCACACCAGGGCCAGTTTTGCTAGAAGCCAAAGCAGTGTTGAAACATGTCTTCCCCGTTATCTCTTATCCTTTATGAAGACGGAAAGGATAAATGGTTTATAGTTATATGATCCATACTTTTTCATAAATAATTGTAAGTGAAGTGTCTTTAATGTGTAAATATAGATGTTTTTCTTTTCATTAGATTCCTTCAAAAACACTTCATCGTGGAACATTGTTAACAAATGAGAGGAGGCTCTTCCACCCATCTTGTTTTGCCTGTAGCCTAAATTTCAAACAGTTTATTAAAGGATCCACCAGAATTAAATTCAACAATATAGCTAAGACGTTTATTTTGGACTCTTTATGACTATAGTTTAAAGAAATGTCTTCTACTTTCTATCCTGAATGTTTGTTGTCTTAATTTTCTCAGGACCTTCTATCATTGTTGATCTCAGTCTTATCCCCTGGTTTAACATTGTGTATAAATTGTTGGGTTTTTAAAATCTGGATCAAATTCCTACATCAGAGTTTGAGAGTTCTTTCATAGCAGGAGTGAGTCTGGTTAATGAAAGAAATATTTTGCTCATGTAGGCTGGAAATTGAATTTTCAGTATTTAGAAATAAAGTAAAACAAAAAATATTTTTTAATCCGACTGTAAATATCATCATAACGAAATTATAGTTCACAAAGAGCTTTTGTTTTTGTGTTAGTGAATAAAATCAACAGGTGTGGTTATTTTGAGATACTCTGGGTTACTAAATAGTATGTTTCTGTGCATGTTTTTACAGGCTCCTTTGACTAAAGAAGAGAGCATTTCTTCACTCTTCAAAGTGATTGCTAACTTATCTGAGAAGGAAAATGGTGATCTTCTGAATTATGATGGAAAACCCTTGCCTTGGTAAAATGTTGCAGTCGTTGCTTCCCAGCTTTAAAGATTGTATTGGGAAACTGTTCTGAAGTCTGCTCTGGATTGACTTGGTGTCCATTCCAACATATACCCCACTTTGTGCCTCTTGCTTGCTGGGATAGGCCCTGGCTCCCCTGCAACTCTGAACTGGATTAAGCGGTTAGAAAATAGATGCATAGATGGAATTAAATTACATACTGTGTGGAAGAAAATGGTTTTGAAGTGTTGTTTGACATAAATGCATTTGATCTACCCTCAAAACATTTGTGGAAATGAAGAGTTAGAGGCACTCACAATATATCATTTAATTATTATATCAATGTAAATGCCTACTGGGCACTGTTTGACATGAAAATGTACTTTTGTTCTATTTGCTCTAAGTGAGTTATTCAGTTCATGTTAAAATACAACCAGTCAATAAGATTGATAGATTCAGTTCTTGGCCAAGCTGAAATCACTCACACGGACCTCGGGTGCTGCCACCTGCTGGGAGTTTTGAAGAATTGCAGCCATTCTGTGCCATTACACGACATTACAGCCCCATTAGAATAACCGCCAGTCCCGGTGCCGTACTTTGTGCTGGACAGGGGAACACGGTATTTGCACTTCTGTGAATTCTGTTTCATGCTTCTATTTAAAAGACCTTGTTTCTGCGGGCTGTCTACCCCAACTATGGGGCCAAAGCTGTGGGATTGTGTACTTCAACACGGGTATGAGACACACAAGCAACTGCTTGTTTCTGTGGATGTTCAGGCAAAACCCACCCCATGTAGACGCCTAGTCATCTTTAGATAACACTCCAAGGTCATATGGCTGCACAGTGCCCCTGTGGTTCCAGTCACACCAAATTATTAGTTTTTGTCTGCCTCAGAATCTGAGTTCAAGAAGTCTGATTTAAGTGGACTCACTGAAAAGCTAGAAAATCTTTTCATCTAAAGATCTAATAAAGTACCATGTAAGAAACTGCAAAACTGTAAGAGATGTACTGTATATGTTGAAGCACCAGTTATTTCTATTTATAAAAACACATCTTCCAAGTTTTTTCACTATGGAAATCTGTGATTAGAAATGTATATTTCCATCTGTTTTTCATTTTAGGCGCTCATAAGAAAAGAAGTGCTCAAACGTTACTGACGTTTCTCTTCTACCAGTTCGAGACTTTCATGTTAAAAATTAATTTCTCTCTAGTGGTAAAAACTTCTGTGATTCTTGAAAACCAAACGGTTCTAGTTTTAAATTTTGAGCTTCGCAGGTCACTAATATATGATCATACTGTTCATTTATTAAGTCCATCGGTGTGTTCCGTCCTGAATGGACGGGGGGTGGGTGAAATTTCAGTTCCCTGGATTTGAATAAGCTGGTCTGCATGTGTTACTCGCACCGGCACAAGCGCCTAAGCGCATAGCAAACGAAGACGCTGTGTTACGAAATTAAAATTACAGCGACTCCCCTTTCAGTCTGACGTACCATCGGGGGGGGAGGGGGGTGGTGCAAAATACTGAAATACAGAGCTGCGGGACTGCATCTGAAGTAGTGAAGAAAGCAGTGGTTGTCCGCGGACGGTCCAGCCATGGGCGCAGAGTTTCAGAGCTGCCAAACGGTGCTCATTACCGGAGCCAGTCGCGGCCTCGGCTTGCAGATGGTGAAACAGCTGGTAACAGGGAACCACAGACCGCTGAAAATAATCGCAACTGCCCGGGAGCCGGCAGCAGCCAAGGTACAGCAGACGTAAACGTACTGTATTTCGTAAGTGTCCGGATTTCGTAAGTGTGGGTTATTGTAGTAGACCTGTAGAGGCCGTGTGTTGGCGGTTGAGCACTCCGCATGTAAGGGTGGGACCTGCATGGAGACGGATATTATTTCCACGCATGTTATTTTTCACTGTCACATTTCCACCTCACTTCATTCCTTCTCTCTCTCTTTCCTTCTCACATGACCCAGTATGACCGATCGGAACACAAGGAAATGTGTATTTATTAAAGTAAACCCGTCTACAAACTGAAGCAGAGAAGTCGATATACCGTACTGTAACTTAAACGTGCATTAAACTGCATAAAATAAGAACAATAGAACTCCTACTGCACAACCGAATAAAACATTAATAACTGGGCAAAAGCTTAAAATGAGTAACACTTGTGCTGCAAGTGTACTGAATACTGAAATTAATTAGCAGAAGTTGCAGTGCAGGTCGAGTTACTTAACGTTGTAGAGTTACATTTTTAAAGTTAATTTTTCAGCTGGTGAAACTGACTAATTCTATGTCTTGTCTGAAACAGGAGCTAAAGGAACTGTCTGAAAAATACAAAGGTCTACATGTGGTACCTCTTGGTAAGTAAACATAATTTCCTGAGAGAATCACAAGAACTGCTTCTCTGGTAGCTAGAATGGTGCAGTCAATAGTGAAGTCACATAGTTCCATGTGTCTACAATCCCTTAGGGTGTGACTACATGGTTGATAATAGCAACTTTCTCAGGAGGTATAGGAAATGTGGTGTTCATGAATGCAACCAGTTCCACCAGTTCTACAATACTCTGCAGTAATTTGCAAATTTTTTTTTTCTTCTCTGTGGCAGATGTTGTCAGCCAAGGGAGCATAGAGAAAGCCTTGCAAGAGGTGGGGTCTCTGGTTGGAGACGAAGGGCTGAACTGCTTGATTAACAATGCTGGGATTATGATCTCTGGAGACATTGAGACGGTGACGGCTGAAGGCATGATGAAAAACTTCGAAACTAATACTGTGTCTCCTCTCATGATCACCAAGGTAAATGCGTGTGAAGAAATGTGCTTCAAAGTGCTGCATGCTTGTTTAGGTCTTACAAAGCACTCATACATTCAAGTAGAGTTTGACTAAAGGATAAAGGTCTTATTTATATCCAACCATTTAAAAAAATATTGGAGGTCATATTTTTCAGGGATGCTTGAATAATTGTGTATTAACTTTCAACCTCTAGTCAATTAGCTAAACGGTTTTGCAGTAAGCTCTCACACTGTAATATCTTAGAATTGGCCAGTTTCACTCTCGTTTCGACAGTTGTAAGTGTAGGACTGGAAACTGCACATCAAAAAGAGAGACAGACCCACTTGGGTGTGGTTTTAACATATGAATTAGAAAAACGGGCGGTCAGAAATGCCCTTTTATTTTTTTACGTTTCCTTGTTCTTTTCTCCTGTAGGCATTTTTGCCCCTGTTAAGAAAAGCTGCAGCAAAGAGCACAGGAATGGGCATCCACAGAGCAGCCATCATCAACATCTCCTCCATGCTGGGATCAATTGAACTGAACTGCCAGCCGGTGACAGGGTTGAAGTGTTGCCCTTACAGAACATCAAAGGTAGAAGGAGTCTGTGCTTCTAGATGGTCCTAGAATAGTATATTTTATGTTACTGTGAATATTGTACTTTGATACTCCACCTCTAAATTAATTTGTGAGAAACTCACATATAGCTCAAGTATTTTCTCAGTATATATTCTTGGGCTTTTTCTGCTTCCCAGATTATTTACTCTAGGAACTGAAGAAACCTGAAAGTGTGAGTTTTATGTTTCAAAACCCCAGTGAAATTGCCTCTAATTCTTTTGCACAGCCATACTTACTTGCCGTTTCCATCACTTTCTCAGCAAGTTTTCTTTCGTCCTTCAGGCGGCTCTGAACATGGTGACTCGCTGTCTGGCTGTTGATTTAGAGGCAGACGGTATCCTGTGCACAGCCATCCACCCAGGCTGGGTCCGCACTGATATGGGGGGGGCAGAGGCAAGTGTTGTTGCATGACTGGACTTGTATATCTTAAAACTGGAATCTTTGTTTTTGTCTGAAATAACTGTAATGCATTACCTAAGAGAGACCTATGGAAACACAGCCAATGAATATTGGAGGCAACAGTCAGATCTCAGTTACTTCATAAATGATGAAAGTGAATCAAATAAAGAAGGTCTGTGTTGCACGTGGGGAAGACACGTTTTATTTTTTTGGAAAGCCTGGACTGCAGGGGGACTCAGAGGACTGTTGCCCTCACCATGAGTCACACTGCTCCTTGCATGATTGCGGCCTCAGCTGCATTTGCAGGAGAGTTACTGGCTACCGTGCCAGTTTCCTTGGTCCACGTCAAAGTGGGTGACAAAAAAGCCGTTCATGTCCATGAACATCCACCCTCCCGTTTTCTAACCGTTTCCTCCAGTTCAGGGTTGTGGAGGAGCAGGAGCAAGCGAAAGGGCACACAGCAGAGCGCACCCTGCACAGGAGGCCAGCCCATCGCAGGGCAGGCACACACACACACACACACACACACTCGCTCCCGGGCTGATCTCCCCAGACGCCAGTTAGCCTACCAGTATGGCTTTGGACTGGCAGGGGAAACCAGAGCAGCTGGAGGAGACCCCTAGAAACCCAGGGAGAACATACGAACCCCGCACCCCCCGTCCATGAGCAGTACACTTGGAAATGATTTGGACCTTTTAGATATTGGTGAAGACATTTTAAGACTTTCTTTCATCTGCTCAGGCTGAGGAAGCAAGCTGCGAACGTCAGTGATAGTAACGAGGTCCGGGCTGTACCCTGTGAAAGGCTCAAAGTTCATCCACTATCACTTCAAGATGAAGGCTTGCATAGCTTTGTGAAGTGGGGGCAGAAGAGTATAGATGTGTTTGAACTTATGTCTTCTCCCTTTGTACTGCACGCCTCGTGGACAATTCTCAAAACAATAGTACCTTTTGACCTTCCCCCTTAAGTTATATAAAGTCAGAAAGGGAAAATGCTGGCTTTTGTCTTTCACAATCCATACTTTTTCATGACAAACTTTTATTGGTAGTTATGACATCTGTTGTATGTTGCTTTATAATCAAGTAAAACAACAATCCATTCTTAAATGTAGAATCTAGAAATCATCATAATCAATTCGTTGTACACATATACTGTAGCTGTGTCAGTGAATCAAAGTAAAAGTTATGGTTAATTAATGATACTCTGGGTTACTAAATAGTATGTTTTTGTGCATGTTTTTACAGGCTCCTTTGAGTAAAGAAGACAGCATTTCTTCAGTTCTCAAAGTGATTGCCAGCTTATCCGAGAAGGAAAATGGTGGATTTTTGAGCTATGATGGAAAGCCCCTTCCTTGGTAAAAATATCATAACTGAATCTTGCCAAGATTAAAGGTTGTATTGGAAAACTGTGCTTCTGAAGTCTGTTCTTTTAATACCTTGGATGAGCTGGTTCACGATCTGAAATTCAGCAAGTCTGTAGTTTTGAGGTTCCACAATTTTTGTGTAGAAATTTCATACTTATTCATGCAGCCTTCTCAGAAAGAGTAGAAATGTAAAAACGCAAGACAAATCCAAATGAAAAGGATGAACTGTTTTTTAATTGTCTGTTCCATTGCTGGGTTGTGCACTATTGTGTGCGAGTATGCTGAAATGCAATATTAACCTTTGTCACAGCCGATAGCAGCACACCAGCAAAATATCCAAATACATTTCTTCATTTTCATAAGGGAAATGGGATTATTATGTCAGGAATATTTGGTTTTAGAAATGTTTTAACCTCGAATTTTGTTGGGAAAAATGATTTAGATTACGGGACAGCACAGTGACACAGGGGTCAGCATTGCTGCCTCACAGCACTGGGATCTGGATTCAATTCAGGACCTGGGGTGCTGTCTGTGTGGAGCTTGCATGTTCTCCCTGTGTTCTGCTGGGCTTTTGCCAGGTGTTCTGGTTTCCTCCTACAGGTCAAACATATTGGTACTGTAGGTTTATTGGCATCTGGGAAAATTGGCCCTGGTGTGAGTGCATGTGTCTGTGTTTTCCCTGCAATAGTCTGGTATTTATTAGAAAATTGGTAGATATATAAATATGGACTTAAATTACATATTGTGGGTCTGTAGTGAAAAAAATGGTCTGTAGTGTTCTTTGACATAAATGCACATGATCTAGCCTCAAAACATTTGTGCAAATTAAGAGTTACAGGCACTCACAGTATATCATTTAATTATTATATCAATGTAAATAACCTACTGGCCAATGTTTGACATGAAAATGTACTTTGTTCTTTTTGCTCTAAGCGAGTTAGTCCATTCATGTTAAAATACAACCGGATAAAAGTGCAAGGGGGTGTTTGGAAAGAATCCATGTTTTTGTATTCTACAAGAGCCGTGCATGTTAGATGAGAAAAGTGAAGGATGTCACATAATATGTACACCAATTAACTTCTATGTTGAGTATAAGTCCTCCTCAACAGCACATTTCACTACTTCAAATCAAGCTGTCCCATACCTGAGACATGTCACTCACCTCATTGCTTCAAGGCATTCCTGAGATATGTGGTGATCTGAAGTGTCAAATGCTTAGTAATTCACTGTACAGCATAACATCTGGGCATTAGGGCGGAGGAGAGATTACACCCTGCAGTATTCTTTTCAGATTTTGCTTCACAGGACTTCATGTGCTGACTTTGTTAATTATAAAAGTTTAGATACTGGTACTAGCCCAAGTTGTAGATATTATCCCAAAATGCTCATTTTAACCTCTGTGACAGGTCCATCAATTCTGATCAATTCTGTAGTTTGTTTTTCTTAGTAGAAAAGTATGAAAATGAAGAGAACGTAAGTCGTATCTCAGCAGAAATACATACTGGGCACTACATTGTTTTATGTTGAGACCTGCTAATTCATCTAAGTTAAGGAACTCTTCAGCCATGAAACAGGAAAGATTATGAGAAGACGTAATAAAAGTATTCAAAATCCTGAAAGGCAAAATTAAACCAAGGAACTTCCTCAGGATCAACAATGAAACACAGACAAGGGGAATCAGGTCTAAAAGAAGGGGAGGGGCTTAGACAAAGGATTGTGGGAGTTTGTAACAATCCACACCTTCAAGCAGGCTGCCTAGGATATTTCACGAAATAAGATGGATACAAGGTCCTCAGGTTACTAACAACCAAAGGAGCAGATGCTGAGTCACTCTCCCTCTTTTGTAACCTTAAAAACTGCTAATTCAGGATTCTGTGTTTCCCCGTCTGAAAATAAGTTCGAGGAAGCAGAAAAAGAAATGTGTTATTTTGTAATCGTCCTTGAGCGTAAGCATGTGATGTGTGGAAGCCCAGTTACAGCCTCAGGGTCAACCAGCAGTTTTTAATCATCTGACATTGCCCACATTTAAAACGAGAGAAAAGTGACAGCTGACACTTTTGAGGGTTCAAAAGACATTTTAGTTCATGTTAAATAGAAAGAAATACTGTCGACAAATAGGACCAATGCAGTTACCTAGTTTATTCAACAAGACATTGTTTTATAACAAAAAAATCTTTGTCTTGTTAATTTATATTCTTACAGAAAGCAGTAAGCAGATACCATGAAAGAGTCACCACCAGATGGCATTATAAGAGTAGTGTAAACAAAAATCAGCTGGACCACCAAGAGTATCTGAGTTCACTCAAAAGCATTTCAAAGGGTCTGGACTCCCAGAACAGCAGCTTTACACAGGGCAACATGCAGGCTATGGCTGAGCGACCTCTTCTGACGTGAGCGAAGGGTGCAAGTTGTCAAGAGCTCCCATTTCTGAAAGAATGAGGACGAGAAATGCCAACAAAACACCAAAAACATGGCAAAACTTGTCAAGTGTTTCACCCACAGCTATAACCTTTACTATTATAAACTGTCACAATGTGGAAACATTCATACAAACAAACAGGTTGTTATGATTTCATTTTTCCAGTTAAATGTGTTGTGAATGTTTTATTCATTTATATACCCAGCTCTATAAAAGAGTACAAATGTAAGCTGCTTTGGATAAAATTATGTAATAATAATTGTCCTAATGCTGCTTAATTATTATTGTTCATCGGTTTTGCCCCAAATTATGCAAGTCATTGCTTTTGGGAAATTTGCACACTCACACAATATGCTCTGCACAGGTCATGTGGCTGACCTTAACACTATAATTCACTTCTGGTTGCAGCTAGTCTAGAACAGTGAAGTCCTAATTACAAGTGATAATAATGGGCTTACCTTTCAGCCTCAGGTAAGTCAGGAAGTCAATCACAGTACGTATTACATTCTCATCGCTTATTCTTAGTGAACCTGCAAAATTGGATAAACTTGTTGTGTGAATTGAAAAAAAAACTGCTGAGCAGAAAACTGAAAATGCCCTGTCAGTATATCGTGTTTTGCTCCCGCTAACTGCAATGGTATACACTAACTGGTGATGCTTCAACTGAATGGAGTCCTCCACATTCCGAATATGCCTGTTCCACAACAGAGGAATTACAGGCTTTTTAGTAAAACTACATTGGATTGTGCATTGGAAAAAACAGCCTAATGTACCAACATGTTGTTACACATAAGGGGCTACGAAACCAAATAAATTTCACGAAGTGACTGATCGGATTAATCAATAAGTAAATTAAATAATCATAACCCCCCACTTGTAAATTATTTTGTCAGGATGATACCCATGTGGTTGGTATAGTTAGGGTCAGAATTCTTTGTTCTTTGGCACAGCTTAGGTAAAAAGAGTAATAATTCAGGCACACCTAGTTAAATATATATTAGCAATGACAGTAAACACTCTAACCAACACAGAACATAAACATACAACACTATGTCACACTATGTACAAACTTTCAAATAAGGTATCCAGAGGCCTAATGTCTTAACCACCCAGACTGTTACCAATTATTCAAACTCTTATGTAACACCTACAAAAGACAAAATAAGAGATAAGCTGCCTTCTCATCTATATGGAATACAACCTGCAGTTAAACCCTCACTCTGTAATCCCCAGATGCCACCAAATGAATGGGAACCTATTTCTCTATTCTAAAATTCACCCACAAACCAGGAGAGGCTGTTTTTAACCTACGGATTCCTCACACAGGAAATCGGAGTTCAGCAAGCTCTCTTAAGTTCTGAACACTTAGCTCCAATCTGGTTTTTAAGGGTCTGATCTGGAACACAGAACACTCCCCCCACCTCTCTCTTCTTCCTTTTGATGCCTTTCACTGCTTCACCAACCTCCTATATGGTGTCTCCCTGTTGATTTACCCAGAACTTAACTAAGGTAAATCTTACGATTTCTTTGATCACAGAATCTGGACCCCTTAAAACACAATCAAACATCCCCTTGCCTTGAAGTTGGAAATGTTGACACCAGATGTTACCCGTTGTATGGAGATTCTCAGAGACACTTCCATAGCCACCTATAGCTATAACAATATGTTTGTAGTTCATGCACGTTAAAACTGTGGCCAAGAACAAATAGTTACCGAACATATTTCTTTTTTAACTCTCGGACATTTTCTCGTATCTGAACTGCCTCTTACCTGATTTGATGTCATCCTCCAGCTGCAGCTCACGTTTGCCGGCAAGGCCATGCTTATCGCTGAGAGAACGGTGATTGTCCACTGCATCTATGAAAACAGAAGAAAAGACACACAAGATTTACGTACTGTGTATACTTTGGAGTTTAAAACCATAGAGCTCCAAACAAACCTCCTTATATGCACATGCCAGTGCTAGTTTAAGGAATATGTTTAATGGACTAATTCATTCCACGTGTTTAGACAATCCAAATTAAGGTTCTTGAAGTTAACACTCCTTATCATATGGATGTAAGTCAGTGTTATTTTATGTGCAATGCTCACAAGTATATACAGTTGTTATAAACCAGTCCTATCACAGTCCTGGAGGGCTAGTGTGCTTCTGCTGGTTTATGTTCCAGCTCAGCACTTAATGACTTTAATCATCTCATTAATGGCGTAATTAGACCAACTTAACTATTTCTCTCCACTCTTTAGTCGCTACTGCTTTAAAGAGACATTGAAAGCCTACAGAAACACCAGCCATCCACGACCAGGATGGAAAATTACAGTCACTTTAAAAAAGAGAAGGCTCTCAAAAGGTTAAGTAGTGTAATATACATGAAGAAGCAAATTCTGATCTCTTGGTGCTCTAGCTCCTTACATAATCATTTTGTATTTTAGTTTACTAGTGATAAATGGAAACACAAGCACAGACATGAAAAATGCAAGAAATCTTTTGTATTGTCGTAGGCTTGGAAAGGGGGAACTGAAAGAAGAATGAAGCTTCTCACCAGGGTTTACTTACAGTATAAGCACGTTATTATGCAATTAGTCATGTTTTTGACTGCATGGCCACCTAGTGTTAGTCAAGGAGATTTTCTTGGTAGGTCTGTTTTAAGTTGTAAAAATGAAACACAGCGTTGACCCTTGAGTGAGCCTTATTAGACAGCAGAATGAAATGTACAGAAAGGCCAAGCATGCATGCCAAAGTTTGTTATTTTATAAATCAGTTCTTGCATAAGCTAAATTCTATCCTTCAGTTTATAACTCCCCACCGGTTACAGTCCGTTATCTGAATCCAATGCCAGCATATCATGCTTTTCATTGTGATCACTACATCCAGTTCAATGTTTTATTTAGTTTGCCTGCCAAACCAGAAACAGTCAGTCTTTCTAAAGAATGAAGAAGGACAGAGTTAACAACAACAGTACATACTGACTTCTTTCAGCTCAGGATGGCCTGCAAAGGCTACTGGAAAGATCTCTCACAGACTGATGCAGGCGCTCAGTCAGTTCACCACGCCTAGCTGAAGGAATGACAGCCTCGCTGAGGATGAGGCTGACCGAGCCCTCACCCCCACTTCCATAAAGAATGAGCCTGGACGCTGCTCAAGGGTGAAGATGGGGTGAAGGGAGGGATGGGAGAGGGATTTGTAGGGAGAGGATCCAGAGAGGTGAGATAAATACACAGAGGACAGCAGACGCAGGAGAGATTAGAATCTGACCTCCTCCCGAATTTCTGTTAAAAGCCCAATTTGAACAAGGATTGGGGAGAAATCAACTAGTATTTCACCGGCTGACATTCAATGCACTTACAACTGCCACTTAACTACTTTGTAAAACACGGAACTCTCAAAATGGATACCCTGTATACTTCTAGTCCTTAGGGCGTGAGAGGTCTTTCCAGAGGTCACTTTGTGCTGAAATCGGTCATTTGTTGTTTCAAATATAGACAAAAATAACAACAGAGGAGAACACAGAACACATAATAGGCAACACAGAAAAAAACTATAACCAAGGAATTAAAGCACATATAGGCACTACTGCTTAAAGACTGTTGGCATGTTCATTACTCTATTAGCTTTTAGGTTAACAAAAAGTAAACCAGAGCTAATATTTTACATGTTTAAAAAAATAACATGACCAATAAAAATAAATTGTAATGAAGCATTTTGAAATAATTTCCTGATGTCTTTGAAAAATTAGAGGTCTTATTCACATGCATAAACACCAAGAAAAGACTGATGAATTTCTATGAAAAAGGCCTTGTTTAGTATAATATCAGATAATTCTATTCCTATTTAGTCTTTATACATGAATGTGTTGTACCTGTTTCACCCATCCATTTTCTAACCGCTTCATCCAAATCAGCGTCACACAGGAGCCAGAGCCTATCCCAGCAAGCAACAGGCACAAGGCAGGGTACACTATAGACGGGACACCAGCCCACTGCAGGCCAGACACACCGACACGCACACAGGATGAGGGACAATTTTCCCAGAAACCAATTAACCCACCAGTATGTTTTTGGACTGTGGGGGGGAAACGGGAGCAGCCGGCGGACACCCACATGGGGAGAACCCCACAGGGGGGACACACAAACTCCACACACACACACAGCACCCCAGGTCCAGAACTGAACCCAGGGCCCCAGCACTGTGAGGCGACAAGGCTAACCACTGTGCCACCATGCCACCCTAATACTTTTTTTAGTGTTTATTCCTTGTGAATATTAACAGGTAACATTAAAAAACACGACAGACGACATTTCAAAACGTGATGCCTCAATCGACTTTAGTAACCTGCAGAAACTATCTTACATTCACCAAGCGGCTCTTCTCTCCCCCTTGCACTGGGAGAATCCTTTATCTGTATAAGGTGTTCAATACGACCTGAAACAAAGGGATGATGGCATTTTACCCAGTCTTACACAAACTGGAACCTGACCTTCCATCATGTAGGTTCCTAGGAAGGGTTTCGATGCAACTACAGCACACTGACATTCACTCTGTGCAGAGACTGGGAATGCACAAGTACAGATGTGTGTTGCATTTCAAAGCAGAGCGGAATGTGGATGACACTTTCATTTCATGGAACTGTTAAAGTTGTTAAAATAGGTTTACCCTTTAAATGGGGAAAAAAGAATCACGGGCATTTTAGTTGCATTCTTCTTTTCAAAATGCGGAAGACCAGCGTTTATACTGTATGTGGGAGGCCAGGTCTGGCTTAGTAATCATGCTTGAGGTTATCTATTTTTTTGGCAGGGACAGCTTTTCAACAGCGGCATGGAAGAATAGGTCATTTATTCATGTGTAATTTCCAGAATATCGAAAAAAGAAAAGAATGAAAGAAATCTGAAGGATTATATTCAGGATAAGATACTTGCCGCTGAAATGGTAAAGAAAAAAATCATAGCTATTAAAAGGACAAATAAAACCATGCTCGCAGGTGGCTCCAGGTTTTTCATTACGTAGCAGCTCCTAGGGGGAAGGATGCTATATTGAAATATTTGTGTCTGTGACAAATAATGGAGTTTTCACTGAAGTGATTTTCAAACAGTGACTGGTTATCCATGTTTAACAAAAGGTTAGAGATGGGGAGTAAACCAGTATACAGATATAAGATATAACATTGTCTTCATCAATCCTGAAATTTCTTCTGAATTTAATTTTTCAAAATTAATTTAGCTGCATCACTTTTATGATGCCGAATTAAATTCTTATTTAACTGTGAGATTTTTAATGTGGCTGATGGATACTGGATACTATTATTATTTGGCTCTGTGGATGACCTTGACTGGACATTACATGCTTCATTGGAAAATATAGGTAAAATTAAACAATATTTATAACTAGCAAATAACATGATTTCCAAATTATATGATTGGGTCACATTTTGAACATAATGAAATAGGAGAGCTGTAAGTTTAAAATCATAAGGTAGAGGAGTTGGACACTAAGTTTAATAAACACACTCATTATTAACTTGCTTGCTCGCTAATAACTGAATTGAAGATAAAAACTCAGTAATGCTTTCTATTTATTTTAATACAGCAAAGAAATCCTTTTGTTGGGTAAATTCACACTTCATTTTTACCCTGCATTTCAAATGAGTGATACATAAACATAACAATTAAAACAGAAAGTCTGTATGTATAATTTAATTTGGTATGGCTTCCTAAGACAACAACTTTGAAAAGGAGAAACAATTAAAAGGAAATTTTGATCTGCCGATTGTTTAGTTTAACTGATCTAGATCATTTTAATTGCTGGCCAAACAAAGTGAGTGTTTTTATTACTCAACTAATCCCTGTTTGAATTAATTTCTATCTGAAGTTGGTTTGATTTGTGAAAATGGAAACACATTAGATTAGGGGCTGCAAATGCAATTTATAAATGTTTTAGACATGGAATATATTAATAATGTATCAAAAGAGAGATATAAATGTAATAATAACCAACCTTTTTTGTAGCTTACTTGCATAACAGTAACTAAACTCTGATTCAAGCCTGACTAACAGCACAAAACCTAATCCCATGGTTATTTGCAGAAAGTAGTTTCTTTCATCTATAATACCAACAGCTGACTTACTATCCATTTATAAAGTGTAATTTTACAACCTCTAACCCAAAGTGTGATCACAAAAATAGCTTTTACTCACGAGGCCCCAGTAAATACCCGGCGCTGTTCAGAGTCCAGCCTCTCTTTTCCTTCGCCTTCAAGAGGGAGAAACAAAAAGTCATTTTTGTCACAAATGGAGATAATGCAGCAAGAGCCAGTTGCTGCGTAGCATCATGAACAGAAACATAAGTGCAATAAAAGAGTAATAAAACATTACAGAGTCTGCAGACAATTTAACAGATGTCGTGTAAATGCGCCTCTTTAGCACAGAATGCCTGGATATTATTTAAGCACAGAAATGAAATCCAGGATCATGATGCAGCAGTGCTATACACCATACCACAATACTGCCATACATGCACATGATTCTACTGACTGTATTAAACATTAAACATTACTTATCTGCTTATCTAACAATATACTAAACACGTTCTTCTAAAAGAGAAATGGACAGATTGGCACATAAATCCGATAACATTGTTTGTGTCAAAATGTTTTCCTTTTGAATAAGAATTAATTCCACTCAACTGTGGAGCAGCCAGAGAAGGACTGGCTGGAAATGACCTTGGTGTCAAGTAAATCTGTACACCAAGGAAATGAATGTGATCAAATGCTCTTTGATATGAGGATTTGCAGCAGCAAGTGGTCTGTGTAAGAAATGTAAATGTGGTTGAGTAAATCAACAGGCGTCTGGTTGTATTAATGGTTATTATCCGCTGAAGTGTAATGCTTTGTGGAAGAAGGTAACCTACAGTTTCTGTCCACCTCTTCAACAAAAAGTTACCAGGCTTTAGCCTGGCTATTCACATGACATAAGAGAACTGAACACAAAAGCTTTTCATTAAACCTGACCATCCTGATTCATCATTCTTATTCTGTGTCAGATTTGAGCATCAGTCTCGAAGACCTGGACTGCTGATCTCATCCTTGTGATGCAAAAGCAGATCGTAGTATTGCACAGGAAAAAGTTCCCCACTTACAGTATATATAATTCAATTTGTTTTCTAAACTTGGCTCTATAATTACTTGCCAAGTCTCTATAAATGCTATACAAAAAATTAATTGATCTTGTTCATTGCAGATCCCTCAGTGTTAGCTCCTCAGAAAGATGATTTTACCTGCTGGAGGTAATGCATTCATTTTAAAAATTACTTTAATTATGTGACAAATTATTACTGAAATGACATATCTTCAGGAACTCATAATTAAGTTATCCAGATATTTGCCTACTTCTGAGTGCATTGACGGAGCCACTGATATTTAAATATAATCCAGCACATTTCAAGCAAAAGATCGCTGACATATTAACGTGACTATTTCATAACAGTTTCTGTTGTGTCACTCTAGGGAGTAATAATATAGTGGAAAATCAAGATTGGGCCATATACTGCTGCATGTAACAAATTTAATATACGAGTCCTAACACTCTCTATTAAAATTAAAGGCAATAAGCATCTTATTATCTCGTACAGTTGTATTTTGTCCATTGCAAAGCAACTACATAATTGCTGCAGGAAGTTTCAAGACGCAGGTAACATTGCAGTTAATTAGCATTCAAATATTTCTTCTCTGTAAGATATAATTGTTCTAATAAAAGTCTAATGGACTTGCTATTATGAGCTGCATACGCTTCAGAACAATTACAATAACAGGATAATATTTCTCAGGTGTCTAAATTTCCTACAGATTAGTTGCAATCATGGGCAATTATTGCGTTTTAAGAGGATTTTTTAAAAGCTCCCTATTCACATACTACTACAGTATAACTAAAATACTGTATTGAAATATAGTGCCAAAATAAAAATAATGTTTGACTGCTTCATCGAGGTCTAGAACAATGAAGTTGTAAGGTGTGGTTTAATGAATTTAAGTTACATTTTTGCGAGACAGTGTAATTTTAGATAATATAGACAAAATGAATATTTCTCTTAGTTTATATCCCTCGGCAAGTCACATAGACAACCAGGATGCAAGGAAGCACGCAGGATGACAAACCAGTATCAGTCAAGTTAATGAAAAGAAAACCTTCTACTTGCACAGGATAAGCTCCTCGGTAAAACGATAAATCGGGAGCACATTTTAGACAGCATACTGCATAAATAATTATAACAAAAGAAAATCTGGAAGAAATACCGAAAGAACCAATCCAAACGTCTCTGACAGGGTGGCACACAGTACAAGTGATACGCAAAGAACACCAAAACACTTCTGCATCTGTAGAGAAACAGGGGTGGAAGAGTTTAAGACTCACACATCAATACGCTTTTAAGCTAAAAACTTTCTCTCTGGCCTGGTGTAGTTTTAAACAGTATTTAATTATTTTACACAGTATCTTCAGCCTGCAGTGCGGCAGCTAGGATTATTCGTTGTAATATAAATGTCACTTTCAGGACTTTGCCCACTTCATCGTGAATTAAGTACAAAAACAAAATAAATATTTGTTCTCAGTAATATTACTGTAGCGAAGTACATTACGATGTTATTTGGCAAAGGCAGATGTTTCTCCAAAATCTCGCTCGATGCTCGCTTGGCTGCGAATTTATTGTTAATTCCCTGAACCAGTACAAGATTTAAAATCTTACCTTGAAAAGTTTGCTACTTGTAAGTGCCTCTTTCCAGAAATCAGGTGAAGAGTTGGTTTGTGGAATTTCAGCAGACAGTTAATAGAGAGAGAAATGCGAGTATTACAATATATTTTCTTCCATTCTGCTCTCGGTGCCGGGAATTTCGGATGGAATGGGTAAGGTCTATCGGTGGCTTTTATTTACCTCTCCCCTACCCCCGCCAAGAAAAATAAACTGATGTCCCCCCAGCTTCTCGGGTTAGACGTCACCCCTAATTTCCTCCCGTTCCCCTCCCATCAGTACATGTGGATAAGAAAAAATTGCTGCAATGCAATTATGTTCTCATGGAAGTGATTTAAGAGCCGAAGATGGATAACAGCCGGATAATTGCATTGGGTTAGCATTTGGCTGTATAGAGCTTACCTTGGGGGTAACGCTTACGCGAGCTACGGTACCTGATTACGTCACGTATTACAATAGAGAAGGAAAAGTAACTCGCGGGATGCATGACACATAACACGTAACTTTCCCCGTGTTCAACGGCAACACAAAAGAGTACGGGAAAACAGCAAGGTCTACATTCACCTTAATTACTCTGGCTAAATTTGGACTTATGGCAGGATGCGTAGGGGTCTTCTGATCGTCACTGGCTTCATTAAAAAGTTTGTGCATCAAATCCCACGTGATGAAACATCGTGACATGGAGACATGAACCGGTTTTTAGAGAATAGTGTATTCTGGAATAACAAGCAGCAATAAAATGCTTGTGAAAAGCCCTTCTCAATGGTGCTGAGCACAGTTACAGACGCTCACAAGATCTAAGAAGTTGATCTGTACAGCAGAACAATTTACTGTCTATAATGCTAACAACTTAATTAATCATTTGATTATTAAATGATCCTGCTCCGATTAAATACATTATTAAACTTTTAAAAGAGAATATAATACGTAATACGAATTAAGTATATGATGAGACTCAAACCTGCCATTTACAAATGCAATAAATTGAGAAAATGATTACCTCGAAGACTATTAAGTCTATCTGGTAGCTGGGGAACTGACATTTTGTTGAACAGAAATTTGGTATTTTTAACGTTTGCTTTGGGCAAAGCTGATGTCCAGTGGGCCTATCCCTAAAGTCCGAGTATGAACTGCCCAGACGACACTATACGACTTGATGAATTTTTAATAAAATGAAACGACATATCTCATACAAAAACATCTTTAAAATGTTTCTATAGCTGTGTCCCAGTTCTGTATTTAACGCTACAGGGACCTAAGGAGAAATGTATATAGAAAAAGATAAATGTCTACAAGTTACCTATGGGTTATTTCCCTGAAGGACGATTGGTTGTTGTCGATTGTAACTTATACAATGCTCGGTAATTATATCATGGGCTGTAAATGACAGCATTAGACTTAATTATGAGTCACATTAATTAGGGATAACTAACACTAGGCTAACTGGTTCTATTCAGAACACCAGAAAAGACACAGAGGATTGAGAGGATCCACTCATTGTGTTCAGCTGGTTCCTTTCTCTGTAGTTCAGCCAGTACCGGTTAAACTGGGGTGAAAAAGCAGCCCAAGGAAAGGAACATTACAGGGTAACTAATCTAATCTAACCTAACCTGCCTGGCTTTGGGAGACTGGATGAAATTGCTGCACCTGGGCTACCAGTGCTGCCCATACTGAAATAGATGGCACTATGAGCCATCTGCACACACTTCCATTGTCCAATGTAAATATGTCCACTGTTCACACAACAAACATTATTTTGTGGACTCATGCATAAAAAGACTAAGTGTATTAAATACGTTATTATTATTGTCAGTCACCTCATTATGTTTATTGAGAAAATGCAAAGGCTCTTTCACCCTTGTTGCGACTGCAGCTGTGCAGTCTTCAGAAGTAATAATTTGCACTGTTTATATCAAGGTAATACTTAGGTGCCTAGACTGTCCTTTTTGGTTTAATGATAAAATACTTTCCTCGCCAACCCCTGTGAACTGATACCAGTTACTTGCTTTTGGAACAAAGCTGGGTTCCAGCTAATGTACCATCTACTGCCTCCCAATCTTTAGCCTCAAGATTTTTTTCTTTGTCTGACAAATCAGAGAGGCGTAGCACGATGCTGAAGGGGTTCGTATTGCTGCCCTGCAGCTCTGGGTTCAAACCCTTGTGTTCTATGTGTGTGGAGTTTGTATGCTCTCCCCATGTTTGTGTGGGTTTCCTCCCACTGTCTAAAAACATACTGGTAAATTAGCTTCTTGGAAAATTGACCCTGGTGTTAACGTGTCTATATCTGGACTGGCGTGCCATCCAGGGTGTATCCTGCCTTGTGTCAACTGATTGCTGGGATAGGTTTCATCTCCCCCGCGACCCTGAATTGGATAAAGCAGTTAAATGAATGAATTAAATGGGTGACAGAGAGCGAGACAGGATACCCCAGGCACTGGTTTAGACACTCAATTCCTCTACAAGACAGCACAAAGATGTTTTACACACCAGGTGATTAGTACAGTATGTTCAAGATTGACATTTGTAGCAAAAAAGTTTGTGGTGGTGTTCATTTCCCTCACATTATTAAGCTAAAACACATATTATAAGATCTGAGATATTTCATTTCATCCTGGCCTTCATACCTGGGAAAGTGTTCAATGAACATTGTTTTAGAGTAGGCTAAAAGCAGAGTTGAATGCCTATTAAAGCTCTCACCAACCCATTTTTCAGATAAAGGACTCACAAGTATCACAAAAGCCCACTTCAACGCTCTGATTTTTATTCTACATACACTTATGTTGGTTTCATTCCCTTAGGGGTGAAATACTGTGTCGCGAAGCAAATGTAACTCCGGTAACAAATACAGTAGAAAGAAAGCACCAATAAAATACAAGATAGAGTGGTGAAGCATATTATGTGAGGAAATCGTCGTATGTTCTTCTGAGAGCTCTGCGCACTGTGTGATCTTTGTGATAAAGCTGTGCTCTCTGGCGCAGTGTCCTCTTCCTGATCTTTCTCACAATCCACTGGGTTTGGGCTCACTTTCTCTGCCCCCTGCATCCCTGCTGCACGCGCCTGAGCAGAGCCGTCCCTGCTCACCACTGCAGCATTCTGAACATCCTCTGCCCAGCTGCGTGGCAGACTGTCGACTCCATCACAGGGCCCTTTCAGTGCTGCGCCTTGGCTGCCTGCTTTCATGTGGATGTTGAGGCTAATGCGAACACATTCGTGAGACCTGTCAAGCAAGTCACTGGGCGGTGCACTCCTAGAAAGAACTGCAGCACATTAGCATCAGCCAAATCAATGAAAGGTCCATTAACATGATATTTTATACACTTTATCCCATAGTTCCAGGTACAACACACACAGACCATGGTTACTAAATGACATTTCATATCTTTAAGGTAAGTGTAAGGGAAGTGAAATTACTTAGATCAAACTGACTTCTTCTTTCAGAATTAAAGTTACCAAAAAAAACAGTCCTGAAGGTGTACAGAATAAGGAAAACGACAGTGACATTTTTTTCAGATAATCCAGAGCTTCTGAAGAAGGCTCCACGGGCGAAATGTTGTTTTCTTTCTTCTTTTTTTCAGCATGGAATAAACCTATTACTTGTTCCTTTGCAGCCTTCGCGTGCTGACGCAGCTACCCACCTGAATTTTTTTCAGATATTCTGGTAGACTACTTATACTGTATTATCATTAAAAATATAAAGATAATTATCTGGATACTATCGAAATATGTTGTTACAGCAACCCAAAAAAACAGCACTGACTCAACAGTGCTGACTACAATGATGATAAAGTAATTACCTGTGGCAATCCTTTACTTTTGTTCTCTGGTTTGTGCACCCTCTATAATCGTCAGTTACACTTGAGTCTAGGGGACTACCATATTTACTGGTTGTACAAGTCTTGTCCTTGAATACAATAACTGTGTGTTCACCACCATATGCAACCCATAGGGCATCTTCCCCAAAGTCGCGCCCTAAATGTGCTTCATTCTTGTGCGCGCAGGGTTCGTCTCCCGACAGAGGCGCGGCCAAAGCCCGAATTCGGTGGTCCCCAGCGATCCTGACTCGCCGTCCTCTTAAGTGCGCCAAGTAATTGGACAAATGGTCAACGTCATCATCGATCATTTCGTTAACTCCCCCTATATCCACGCTGACAGTGGACAGCACTTTGCTGAGCTCCTGAAAACACACAGACACTTTTATGAGTAAACGAAGCTCCTAGTAATTTTAACATGTGTTTCGCTAGTACCTGGGTGCAAAAGGTTTGGTGCGCCGTCTCATCAGTTATAAAATCTGGCAAGGTGCAGCTTACCCTTAATTTTTTTGCAACCCCAAACCGGTTTTGCCTTGTGCGATCGACGCAACTACTTCGACTCTCCGAGACTTCCCCAGACTGCTGTGCTACTCTAGTCTCACCGCTTGGTGCCATCTCCCTGTAAGAACGCATGGCATTTGGAAAGATGTTAAAAACCTTGACAATCTGGCTTGCAAGGTCAAAGTTGAAAGGTTGTCTTGCAGGAACAGAAGTGACAAATGCTGGACATATGCGTCGCACTGGCTGTACGCGGATGATGCACTTGCTTGTGCAATAATACCCCCCCCCCAAAACATGCATTTTACGCACAAACGTCATCCACAAAACGTGGTAAGAGTAGAGCAGTCCCGTCTCCATCACTAAACAACCAAGTGTTTGATGTGTATTACAAGATAACAAAAATGTCGAGTGTCGCTGTCAGCCACATGACGTAATTAAATCAGTAGAGCAGCACCTTTTCACAACTCGGCGGATTTGGGTGCGTAAATTAAGCAGACTGTTGCATTACACGTTCAACGAAACGGGGGGCAATCGTGTACTGTAGCTTCAAGCAAAACCCTATCGATGTAGCCTACAGGTACATCGGCATCACAAGAGGGCACACGCCGAGCGTCCACAATGACCATACTGATTTAAAGTGAGGAAAACGCGTACTGTAAATGTCCTGAGAGGAAAAAAACATCAGCTGTTTGGCGAGCAGCCTCTGCGTCACGTTTTACGCCCCGCCCGCGCGGGGGGGCGGTTGAGCCCGTTTGAACCCGGGGTTCGGGTGACGTTTCCCGAAAGCGCTTGAATGGGCACCTGGTGCGCATCTCTGACAGGTGCCCGCCATCCCCGGGAGGCGTTTTGTTTTCCCCAAACGTGTGCTCACGATGGAGGAGAGACGGTAGTGCACGGTAGCCCGTCAGCCGACGACGCCGAGTTAACGCGCGACTGCCCGGGTCGGCCCGGGTCCCGTCGGTGGTCTCCCGCGGGTCACTTTTATTTGATGTTGTTCATTTTTTTTTTTTTCACCCAGCGGAGCTTTTGCCCGTTCTCCTTTTTCATGAGCAAATTCTAAAATCTGGTCAGGTTCTTAAACCGTATTTGTATTCAAGGTTGAAGCGGCGGAATGGGGTATACGAACGCGAGTCAGGGCGGAAGAGGCCTGCCGCCTCCTGGTGGGGGCAGCAATAACACGACTTTAGCGTCGCCGAGTTCAGCCATGTCTGACCATTTCCACTGGGATATGTTCGGCTCCCACGACCAGCCCTTCATCCTGCTCGTTATATTTGGATCCTGTATCTGCGGAGGTATTTTTCTTTTTGAATCATTGAACACATAATCATTTAAACAGGAAGCGGGCTGTCAGCATCTGATACTTCTGAAAACTATTCCTTACATAATCAAATTAAGATTTGCATAAACATTATAGGGGCTGTAAGGTGGCGACAGTGGCTAGTATTGCTGTCTTGCAGCACTGGGCCTCTGGAATCAGTTTGAGACCTGGGGTGCTAATCTGGGTGGAGTGTATGTTCTCCCTGCGTTTGCATGGCTTTCCTCCAGGTGCTCCTGTTTGCCCCCACAGTCCAAAGACAGAGCAGTAGGTTAATTGGCATCTGGGTAAACTGGCCCTGGCATGAGTTTGTTAGTGTCTGAGTCTGCCCTGCGATGGACTGGTGTCCCACCAGGGTGTATCCTGCCTTGAGTCTGTTGTCTGCCGAACAGGCAGCTAGTGTTAGAAAATGGATGGTTAAAAAAGTACAGATGTTATTGATTGCAATGAATCTTGCCAATCATTGAAATGCTGGACTATTCCATATTACATATAATAGTACCACATGGTATTGATGAAATACAGGTTACACACTGCTTAACTGTAAGAAGGGCTTTTTCCACTCATTCCTAGCAATTATCAGGACCCTTGTGCAGAAGGTGAAGCTGCCCTATACTGTGGTTTTAGCCATGTGTGGTATCATTCTGGGAGTGCTGAGCCTTCATTATAAAGAGGTTTGTATGTTAGCGCTTTGCTAAATTAAAAATATCTACCTTCGAATAGAATACTACTAAGATGAAGTTCGTTTGGAACTAGTTAATACTAGTCCTCATTAACATACTGTAACTCACCTCTTCTCAACCTGTTAGGTTGGCCTACAAACTCCCCAAACCACTTTTCATAAATGTTAACCTAAAGCTAACTAAATATTTTAAAAATGTAAAAGGAATATAATTATTGTATATTGGTGTTGTGAGTTATATTTGTATATTTATATATTTTTTTGTTACCAGGTTAAAAAATATACACATGAAATAGCTGACATCAGCCCAGTGCTATTAATCCACACCTTTATGCCAGTGTTAATATTTAGCACAGCCTTTGAAATTGAATCTCACATGTTTTGGAAATCCGTGTTACAGGTAAGAAGCTTTGTATCCTCTAAGTGAAATTGGACAGTACCTTTTAACAAGTGAAATGAAAATGAAATTAAAACTTAATACCTACCCGAAACGTTTTATTGAATTTGATGTGTTTTGCACTTTTCAAACATTATTAGATTATCTTAATGTTGTGTCTTTCTCAGCATATCTGAGATTTTACATTTTTGATGCTGCAGACATAAACATCTTGATAAGGTAAAAACTAGAAAGCATTATTTCAATTTCTTTACAGCAAGCAAGAAAGTTTTTTTTCTTGACATTTTTGAAGAATTTAGAGTTTGTTTAAAATTCATTTATAATCATTTGATGTTCCTACTATGTATATGGCAGGTACTACTGCTGTCTGTCCCAGGTTTTTTAATTTCTTGCTCTCTGACTGCATTGCTTGCTGTCAAAATCTACACCTACAACTGGAACTGGTACATTGGAATGATGTTTGGAGCCATTGTTGGGAACACAGACCCTATTATATCTATTTCTTTGTTAAGAAGCATTGGTAAGTGATTTCTTAATGTACAAAACTGTCAAAACAAAAAACAATCTGCAGATCTGCATCACAAAGAAAGCACCTTTTAAGAAAAAGCATTAGTAGGAAAGAGATCATATTTGCTTTTCCTTCCTTTCAAAAATATCCTTTAAGTTTTAAGAAGAGCAGATAAGCAGAGGGATTTCTGCAGTGACTTGAGTGTACATTGTATAAAGAAACGCAGTAACACATTCTGTTGGGTTTTCTATCTCTTTTTAGGTACCGCAAAACCTCTTATTCTTCTAATTGAAGGCGAGTCACTATTTAACGATGGGACTTCCATCATTATATTTGAAGTGTTCAGAGATCTTGCTCTCGATTTAGCATATGGTAGGATATAATTCTTTGATTTCCAAGCATTAAAACAGTTACTGCGTACAGATCAGCTATTCAATTTTAATTTTTTAAAAATATTTCTCCCTCTAGAATCCCACCTTGCTGTAAAACTGGTTTTGAAGATTTTCGGAAGTCCCCTGTTGGGATTCATTGTCTCAAAGATCATAATGTTATGGCTCTCATATATCTTCAATGATGGATTGATTGAAATAACGATCAGTCTGGCAATGACATACATCACATTTTATGTAGGTAAGAATTGTTTCTACAGTATATTTATATCCTGTATTTAAAAGAAAACCAACAAATGCATCTTTTAGACTGTCTTGACTTCAAACAACCGTCTTGGCTTTGATGCTTAAAGGATTTAGAAATATTACTTTGATGTAATGAAATCATCATCTTATAAGGCACTGGCGTGCAGAAAATTATAAAGCTGTATTTAATATGCAGAATGTTAAGGATTGTTTTTATGCTTATAGTTTTCCATTTATTTTGTATTCCCAACCTAATAGTCACCCAGCATATTTGGAATAATGCTTTTTATTCTGTTTAGCTGAATGGCTTGGAATGTCAGGAGTTATTGCAGTTCTCATAATGGGACTACTTTTGGAAACTGTAAACTTCAGTCCAGAAATTGAAGTATTTCTCTTACGGTCAGTATTGGTAATAGCAATAGCAGTATTGTTTTAAAAAACATTTTATGTATGACATCTTTTAAAAGTGTGTTTTAAACTGATTGCATTCCTATTTAAATGCTTTCAGATTACTCTGATGGGTATTTGAAGTATAGTTCTGTAGTCTATTCATATATTCAAAAACAATCTTCATAACCAAAATCATATAAGATGGAACACACATCAGGATGTGACCGGTTTTAGTCAGAACATTTGTTAATGTAAGTTTTATTTCAACAGCTTCTGGGAGATGCTGACATACCTGGCCAACACTCTCATATTCATCATTGTTGGGGTAGTGATAGCTGAAAAGTCATTTCAGCACCTATCAATTAATGATTTGTTTTACATTTTTGTGCTGTACTTTGCACTCTATATCATAAGGTAAGTAATTCCTTGTGCTTTTCTTTACAAAATTCTAATTGAAATTCCTATAACTTAAAAAGATATATTGACCATGATGGAATTTCATGATTGCAGGTTTGTTATGATAATAGCATTGTCTCCCATACTGTCTCGCATGGGCTATGGGTATAACTGGCGATGGGCAGCAGTTAGTATATGGAGTGGAACCAAAGGAGCCTTCAGCCTGAACTTGGCTCTCATGGCATTTCAGTCAGATGGGTTTGATAAATTCACTGTTCAAAACAAGGTAAGGTCTCCATCAGTAGTCTATTTTAAACAATTTTATCAGCAGCTTGAGGTCTGAGTCTGCATTAGGCAATGAGAAAATTTCTATTTTGTGCGACAATGGTCCAGTATTAAGTCATTGTGAGGCTCCCACAGTGAGTGCCATGATCCATTTGAGAACACACATCTTCCTGCTGCATTGTAGCTGACTTACCAAGTATACAGTAAATTATTTAACCTCCAATGACTCCGGTCCGAAACTAAAGCCATTCTGAAATGAGTTGAACTAAAGTACAGCTGCAATGTGAGCCTTGACAGAAATGAATTCCCAGTCAATTTTCAACAATTACTGAGGCATATGAGAACTTATATATATACTATACTTAATATTCAGAAGACACAAGTCCTTCATCAGCAAGTTTTCAATGAACCTCGGTGCCATCAATGTGGGCATAAGATGTCTGGAGACTGCAGAGCACGTCCTATGCCTTGAGCTTTATTTTTCATACACTGACAAAGAAATCCTGCATCACCTGAAATATGCAATGGCAGCCTTTGGTCATCTGAAGAATTGGGTGGTCGTGCATTGCAACATTACAACTAAAACCTCACTGATGGTTAGTTGTCCCCCTGAAGTATAATACGTTTAGATTCGAAAGAAACATCCAACAGCTTAAAAATGATTTATATATTGGTTTAATATCAAACCATGAAATAGCTGTGGTCCAGTGGATCCCAAAAGTGCCGCATAGAGTTGAAAGACTGCTTTTCATTTTTTCTCATTTTAGATTCTGCTTCTCACATCTGGAATGGTTGTTCTTACTCTTTTAATCAATGCTACCACAATGACATGGTTACTTAGACTCTTGGGTAAGGACTTTGATCTGGATTTTATTGTATTGCAGTGAACGTTCATTCACAGTATCTTTCAGTTAACATCTTTCAAGCTTGTGGAATCTTCTGAAAACAATCACTATGATTTCTCAATGCTAGAAGCCATAATCATCTTAATAGACTTAAAATTCTGCTTCATATAAAGTCAAAGTCAGGAGTCTTGGACCGCTGTTTCACACTTACTGTTGTTCATCATTGTGGCATATCCAACTTTGGCCAGTGAGACAGGTGTATATATATTCACATTAGCTCTGAACTATTAGAGTATAAAATTGTGAAACTTGTATATGTACCATTTCCCAGAAAAAATATCTGATTCCCTAATGAAAAGTGGGTACAGTATTTAATTTTCAGTGCTTATCAGTATTCTGGGGGCTTTAATTTCAGTATTTCATAGGTCTGTGTGATGTCTCTGCACCAAAACGTATGGCAATGTACAGTGCTGTGCAGCGTGTGCAGGAAAGTGCAAATTGCACCTTTGCAATGCTAAAAATGGACAAGTTCCTTGCTGATGCAAATTGGAAAATGGCAGAAGACGCAGTCCAGATTGATGACCCATACAAAACAACAGATGAAAAAGTAAGTATATAATAGTCTACACAATTTTTTTTCTATAAATACCTCTTCCCCTCATACACTTCTGAAATTCCATTTGAAGAAGATATGAGCCGCCAGCAGAAGAGCGAGCTGAAGTGCCAATGGGCTCACAGTGACATCAGTGAGGGATTCAGTGCTCCAATCAGCACTGCATCTTCTGTACGTTTCTACAGAGCCTTTAGCCTGTCAAGTAAGATAAAGGGTTCTAGGTTGCTGAAGTCTGAGTCAGAGTCATTGCTGTGAGATAAGATAAAAAGACACATTTGGCAATTCCTGTTACGGGCAAAGCCGGACCTCGTTAATTACCAATCAGCGTTCCGCGCACGACTCTCGATTTAAACCCTATTCAACCCGCACTTCACTGCTGTTTTCCTGAGCTCTTCCTCCTGAGCCCGTCAGCAAATAAGCCCTTCTCTTGCTCTGGATGGTGACACTGCTTGCCTCACCGACTTCGACTTCGTCTAGCCCCTTCGGATTTGTTCGCTCTCGTCTATGGAACTGACCTGCACAACGTTCTTCCTGATGCTCCGGTACAATTCCAAATTGGACAGATCTATATTAAGATATCATTATCAAATTCAAAATTCTAAATTTAGAATTCTATTATTCTAAATATTGTCAAATTCTAAAGACGTTTGGAAACAGGAAAAAGTAGTAGGAACATTTCTTGGTAACGCACACATTTCAATTGTACACTTTTTCTTTTTGAAGAAAAACATATTGGATTCCTATAACACTTTTATAACTTCTACATCAATGTCTATTATATATTATAAAAGAGAAGGGCAACTCCAGGCTTTGAGTGTTGCAGAATCCTCTTACATTTATTGCCTTCCTATCTTATTTACCTACTTGAGTAAAATATTTGGATAAGAAATTAAATGAGTGCTGCTGCTTATCCCAGGTCTACTGATTACAGTACCTGATCTCCAATTCTAGGATCATTTAAATCTATGATTTCTGAAGACCTTTGAAAAGAATTTTCAGTCCCTTCAAACTAATAATTAGATCAATTAGGTCACTGGTCCCTCCAGTACAATATTACTGGTTTATCACTGGAAGAAAAATGAACTATTCTTCTCTCTCCCCTTCCCCTTTGTACGTGGTGCTTCCAAACTGTTGAATGACAGTATATAGAGCATAAGGTATATATTAATGTTTAATGTGTATAGTTGCCGTTCTATGATATTGTTACCGACATAACATTGATTGAATGTCCATTCTGGATGGTTTGTTTAACAAGGTCAGCATTGAAGAGTTCTCCCCAACAGCCAGAACAAGCAAGTGTCCAGACTGTGAGAAGAACATCCCCTGCGATCCCTCTTCTCGTGAGATGGAAGACATGATGGAGGAGGCTCGTATGCGGATTCTCAAGGCTCAGAAGGTGAGTACGTTCTGTTGAAGCCAAATTGACACAGAAACACTTAGCACTACCCAGTGCATTAAATCACAATACCCTAAAATTCAGAGTTATTAATGGAATGTGCCACACAGAGAAAAAAAATGGTCTGATCTTACTTACTGTACCTACACAGTTACAATGAAGGAATGTCCAGATAATATTTTAGTATTTTTAGGAGGATCTGGTGTGATCCTCCAGATTTGTTGTCTTATGTTCCAGACTATACAGCTTCACTCCATGAGTATTGAGTATCTTCTTTTGTCCCCTTTGTTCACTTGAGAACAAATCCAAGACCAAGATGAACCAATGAATAGTTGACATTTGGGCATTTAAGTCAACACTTATCACAAAACTCTGTGAGCTTTTCACACCAACAAGCTATGCTTCAATCATTGAATACACAAGCAGAGAAACCATTTCAACTAGTCTTTCAGCTGCTTAATTGTGGAAATAGTGAGTGAAGAACAACTTCTTAACGCATCTCTACCATCACTGAAGCCTTGCCAATAGAAACATAAAATAGGAAGTGGGGAGATGGGGTATGCAAAAGGTTGTGGTAAGCAGCTCCTGCCATACTGATCAAGGGATCTCAGTGGTCTACAATTCTACTTGAAGGTTAATAGCTTATTTGCTAGAACTTCCCCCTAATTTGAACAAACTAATTATATATTACTACATAAAATTATGTGTTAACCTTGTAGTACAGAAATACAATATATATTACCACTGTATTGAGAGAAACATTTTGTTTCCTGTAATTATTGTGTAGATATACAGTTACACAGTTAAAGTGGTAATATGATTACCTTCTAATAATAATAGATAAGTATAGAAATCTAATCATTCATAATAAAAAAGTGGTACACTTGGTACGTAATTAAACAATAATAAATGGTAGAAATTCTAAGGACATTGTGTTTCATAAAAAAACAAGCCCTCTGTAATATATAACATGCAGTATTAAACCTGAAAAAAAACTTGTTTTTCAGACTAGTTATTGGAGGCAGTACAGCTCTGGGATGTTGAACAGAGAAGCTGCCCGTACACTAATTAGCACCACAGAGAGCATCACTGATCACAGAGGAAAGTGAGTGCTGCTCTCTTCATATCTGTAGGACTAGTAAAATCTGTATTTTTCTTGTTTAGCTTTTTGATTTGAGTTTATTGAACAGTGTTCAGTTTTTTACATAGACTGTTATAATCAGTAAACTTTGGTTTAAAGGTTAACAGAACATCTATTCTGTGTTGCAACTTGAGAAGTACTAAATTTGCTGATGGTTTTGCAACATTTTTGAGTTTTACAACAGACTACAAATATCTGTGGAATCAGGAAATAGTAAGTAACAGAAGAATTAGGATTCCTGAGTCCACAGACATTTGGAAGCTTTTGGAAAAGTGCTGTGAACATAACAACCTGAATATAGCTCCATGAGTTAATTATTTTCAGTTGAGCTTGAATAACTCTTGAATTCATAAAATAATTTAAAATCTAAAGTTGTCATTATCTTTTTCACAGCAAATTTGCATGTTTATATACAGTTAGATTTCCTGTATCTACCGTACATATACTTTATATATGAAAATACTAAATCTACAGTTGGATGGAATACTGAAAGTAGTATCTAGTAAAAATAAATTAGCAAAATGTATTAATAAATAAAAAAAATGTTATCAGCTATTAAAAGAAAAAAGATATGAGTTGAGACATCTTCACACTTGAAAAGAAATTAACTTTTTCATCTAGGTGGAGTAATCCACTTTTATCAGTATAGACATAATCAATTTCAATTATCTAATTCAACCATCAAATAATCAAATTTAAATAATTTAATTATTTTGTTCAAACATTTATTTTCAGGTCATGTTGAAGCAGTTATGAAAGGAACTGTTTCTTTATTTGTATTTATTCTCTTCAGGTTCATGACAATGCAAGATGTGAAGAAGTTTTGGGAATTGAAGGGGTTTTTTGTCTGCCTTAGAAGGCGGTTGGAGGATTGGATGTACAATGTCAAGGTCGACAAACTGAAGCCTTCAAAGTACATTTATTTTTATATAAAGTTTGTATAATTCTGTACATATATTATTCTAAAATATCTGTTAAACTTATGCTACATCTACAACAGAATAAAACTGTTTTCTGAAAAATGTTAATTTGACTCAGAGCATTAAAAAATAATATTTGTGTCATTTCAGATATTCTGTCTTAAAGAAGTGCTACCAAATTGTGTTCAGTAACTCCTTTGATTATTTTATCTACATCCTGATACTGCTGAATCTTTTCCCCATTATACTGGAATATATCCCAGCAGCGATGGTAGCATATGATAAAGAGCTCAGGATTACCAACTACATTTTCTTCACTTGCTATCTAATAGAGGCGGTATTTAAGGTACTGACGACTTTTTTCCCCAATAGACGAATAATAAAAAAACTCACAATTAAAAGGATTGTTTACCATATAATTTAATTTCACATTTGAGAACCTAAATATCTTTGGCAGATCAATTTATTCTGTTATATGAACTACTTAGGATTTGACAAATGCACTGGAAGAGCTTTTTAAAAGTAAGAAGTGCAAAATTAGAAAAAATGGTTATAGAAATATAGTTTAATGAGAATATGTTTGAAGTTTGTTTTTTAAAGTCTTCCATAGTCCTCATATGTAAGTCATCAATGTACATACTTTATAGGATATTTATATGTTTACACATACACATGCAAAGCTAGACTTGAGTTTTTTTAAATGTGGTACTGTATATTAACCAATAATCACATTCGTTTTGTATTATCTCTCACCACTTAAATAACTGACTGCTTTTTTTGCTTTTATCAAGGCATTAGCCATGAGACGGGCATACCTGTTCAACCACTGGAACCAGTTTGACTTGTTTATCATTTTGATGGCAGCAGTTGACATCATTATTGATCAAGTTTTTGGATTTGTAGATCTAAACATACACATGATCAAAATTGTTCGGGTGTCTAGGATGTTTCGCCTCACCAGAGCTCTCCGCTTGGTAAAGGTACGTTACAGGTTACAGGAGTTGTACTACCGTAAGGTCATGGTAAGGACTGGTAGTCTGCGTTCAGAATGTTATTGAATTTGAAAGGCACAAATAGCTTGTGCCATTCTGAGATCAAATCTTAAAAATGTCACAGTATACAAGTAACTAAAATACACAAATCAGCTTTTAATCAAAAACTATATTATATAGAGCTATGATATCCAAAAGCCATTGCAATAGTTAGGCCCTGTGAATCTGTCCCAGCAGTTGGATAAGACAATTTGATATTGTAACAGTTTTCCAAGGAGTTCCAGGGTCTGTGTTTTATTCCTGTCCTGGAGGTCTTACCTGATATAAAAGAACATCTGCTTTACTCTTACTTAAAAAGATACTACAGTATATATTGATATATTGTAAAGTATTGTTTCTTCCTAGTAAACACTTTAAATTCTCCTCATAATTTAATTAGTTGTGCAGTTGATTATTAAGATAAGATCACTTTATGGGCCATATACAATCTCTTGCATTAGGAATTTGTCTTTTGCACATACCCCGACGTTCTCTCCATGAGACACACAGACAGGGAGAGAAGCTTGGGGTCAGAGCACAGGGTCACCCATTTATGCAGCACGCCTGGAGCAGTTGAGGTTAAGGGCCTTGCTCAGGGGCCCAACAGAGTAGGATCCTCTGCCAGCCACGGGGTACAAACCGGCAGCCTTCCAGCCACAGGTTCAGATCCTTAGCCACAGAGCCACTGCACCACCCATTGAATATGCTTAAATATTGATTCCTCTTTTAGATATTTGTTTAAAGTTTTTGCTTATTGGCATATGAATTGATGTATGGTGAATAAAAAGCAGATGATGTATATATTTACCTGCACGATAACGAAGGGCATATTATCAAAAAACATTTAAAATGCTAATGATTTTTTCCTGCTCTTCCAGATAATGATACCAAGACTTATTGAAGTGTGCAACAGACAAATACACAAACAGCTTAGTTTTGGTTATGACATTGGAAAAGGATATGTGGTAGGAGAGGAGGACATAAGCAAGATTATCGATCATATTTCTGAGGAAAAAATAATTTCACAGGTGGGAAATTTTTAGAAAATACCGAAGCACTTATTATTTTGTAAACATTACATTTGAAGGTTGGTGCAGTGATTAGCATTGCTGCCTCTTAGCCCTGGGTTCAATTCCTGGAGAGCTGTTTGTGTGGAGTTCTCCCTGTATTTGCACTGATTTCTTCTGGGTTCAGTGGTTGCTTCCCACAATCACAAGACGTACTGGTTAATTGGCTTCTCAGAAGATTGGCCCTGGTGCGTGTGTGTGCCCTGCGATGGATTGGCATCCTGTCCAGAGTGTATCTTGCGCAGTGCCTGTTGCTTGCCGGGATAGGCTCTGGCTCCCCCCATAAACCTGTACTGGATAAACAAATTAGAATTTAAATCTGGATCAGTCAGAAAAAAACGACTAAAATTAATCTTGTTAAATGTTTTGCTATTGAATAACCATTTTAGCATTACTCATCATTAGGTATGATGTATACTAATATATGCTGTATATATATTTCACATTATACCACATTCAGTTTTTACCATAACCTTTACCAAAGCTAATGATAGAAGGCAGCATAACAATTAAGTACAGCAGTGTTAGTCAATGGTTTTTAAGGTGTTAACTGCTTCAGTGTTTTATTGAATACATTGTCTCTTTCAGAAATTAAAAACTATACTTGAGAAGAACAGACAAGAAGCCGTCAGGGAGCTTGGTAAGAAGATAACAATTAAGGAAGAAAATATACCCATATGTTTTCATTTCTGGTGTTTGTTCTCCTTGTTTATTTTGTACAATTTGAAATGTTTTGTTTTAGCTTTTGTCTTTTAATCCAGAAACTGCAGTTTAGCTGTGCTTGATGGAAAATGACTGCCCTCTTTCTACCAATTTTTCATTTCATCTCGTGAACCAAATCAGTGATGCTAGCTAAACATTTACAAACCTAAAATGTGATACATGAATTATCTGTCATGTAAAGTTGTTTATTCCTGTAAGGTATGTTTTTTTACTTGGGGTAACATCTTTAGCATACTGAAAGGAGCTTGTGTAGTGAAGAGGAACAGTGTCGAAGTATATTACTGAAGAAGAGAATCTACTGTACTTCTTCTGAACTGAGTATCAGTAGTTCTTCAGTTGTGCCATGTCATGTCATCTTAGGCATAATGATAACCTCTTGGGTGTCCTTATTATTTAATGGGTTTCTCTTGCTTTTTCAATCTTGTACCAAGCATTTAAGAAAAAGAGCCAGCATTTTACTGCTTTTAAAGTAATCATCATGTGTGCATCCATCAAAGAAAATAGGGCACTGATTACAAAATATTAACAATTAGGTCTGAAAGTAAGGTAAGATAAGTCTGAAAAGACTGGGAATGGAAGTATTAGGCCATTGTGAACTGTTAAAAGTCAGAAAAATGGCTAAGGAGTGAGCTTACATTTCGACATGTGGGATAAAATTTCTTCCCGTCTGAATACAAGAGCAGAACAGTTGGATACAGTACGGTAATCATACTGAATGTACCCAATTTCTCTAACTCCCAGTAGGTGCCACTATTCTTTGTGTGAACCATATAAAATTGATGTCTTTTTTTCTGAAAGTATATTACACTGCTGATTAACATTTAAAAGGCAGCTCTTTGCTGACCTACAAAATACACCCTCAAAGACCTGAGATAAGATTACAGCTTGCCCTTTCTATATGGACATTTTGCAAGCTATCAACTGTTGTTTCTTTTTTATAACAAATACTGTATAAAGAACACAATCTTGTCAATATCTGGAGATAGGCCATCTATAAAAGGGCTTCTATGTAGGACTTTGGAATGCAAATAATCCCCCCATAAATGAACTAAATAGGTTGTAGACAATAATAACTTTGCAGCCATCATTGATAGGAATTTAAACCCACTAAACAATCGGGGCTTGCATGGCTGGGAGAGAAATGAGTTCTGGGATTTGGATTTAATATGTAAAACAACAACCCTTTCAAGTGAATCAGCAGTGAATATGACCCAGAGGGTACAGGTTAAACAATAGGAGATGTGATTTTAGAAAAGAGAAACTAAAGCACTTTTTATACAAAAGTTTGTGGGATTCTGGAACATATCTTATTTCTTTCAAGAGATGTCTGGAAGAGATCCTTGGATCAATTAGGTGCTAACTATCAAAGATGTGCTGAATTGCTTAATCTCATGTATAAGATTTTTTTATTATTTTCAATTGTTCAAATTTACAACAAGAGTGAGTTTGTTTGTAAATGCATATTTGTGTTTTAAAAGTACTGTAGTTTAAAATAAAAGCTGTTATTGAGAATGGTAAATACATTTGGTATGCTTTTACAAATATATTTGTATTCCCTTTTAAGATACATTTGAAGTGTTATGTGACAGGAAAGCAAATAGCTTGGTTTTGCTGTGTATTCATACATTATTTGGCACTGTCAGAAAGAGTAGGAGCACCAGCCTTGTGTAACTACACTGGCAAAGCATACAATCATACCAATCATAACAATTTTCTGGCAGACAGATTTCCATATTGTAGTGACTAAAATGGCTGGCAGGATCCTACAAAAGGTATCAGAATAAAGGGGTGAAGGTGACTTGTGAGCTGAAATGTGATAAAACATCAAAAATGTGGAGAACTACATGTAATAAAAGATAGAAAGTGTAAGTATTTGTGAAGAATTCTATAAAAGATGGACAATTTATGAATGCCTCATTGCAGTGTTTTTCTTAAATGTGAACACATTCCAAGAAAAGTCTACTCATTCAGAATAATTCCTGCTGCCTTCTGAATGAAGTTCTGCTCTCTTGCAAATAGAATTTTAACAGAACTACACAAAGTAATAATATGCCTTGCTCTGCAATGAAATATGACTTAAAGCTTGTCTAAGTTAAACGATAAGATGGCTAAAAACTAAGCCTGTATGTTATATATAAGCTAGAATGTTGAGCTGCTGTTTTTCAGGCTTGCTGCAGCGAGACCATCCAGAGATTGCTATCTCTGTGAAAACCAGACAAGCAATCAGAACTGTTCTAAACAGCGAGAGAGATACAATTCGTGCTCTAATGTCTGGTGGCCTTCTAGATGATCTTGAAGCATCAAAGCTTGAAAAGGTACATTCTTGCACTCTTGCACTGCTTTTAAGGGCCACATACTATGCAGAAGCAGATACAGTACATATCATTTTCAACATAGAACTCATCGAAATGTCGAAATTGCAAAAACAAAAATCAGAGATGATCTAATGTAAAATTATAATAGTCTTTTGCAACATTGCATATTTTACAGAGATTCTGACTTCTTACAGTACCATAAATTTTCACTCAAGTTCACCGAAATAATACCGTCATCCTGTGTCAAATAAGTTGGTGTTAATGTTGTTAATCAGTGTTACAAAGTGTTTCAACAAAATTATTTTTAGAATGTATTTAACAAATATATTTAAAGGCTCAGTTTAAATATTCATTAAAACATGTTTTTTTTCCTTCGAGCAGATGATTGAATTAAAAATGAAAAAACTTATTAAATTTCCACCATCTATACCACCACCAACAGCAGAAGAGCTTCTATTGAATGTGTCATGGTTAGACCAAGAGAAGAGCCAGATACAGTTTATCAAGGTATTGGGAATTCTTATTTCATGTTGTTATCTGGTGTGTTTATTGACAGCATTGGCAAATGTATGTAGAAAACCCCAGTGGTTATTTAGTCAGATTTGCAGAGTTGCAGGCAAATAAGTATGTTTCCAATATTTGTGTTTTTAAATCAGAAGTACAGTATTAGACTCAATTTGTGGAGGACCTGGTGTTTTCTGTTTTTTTCCAACCTAATATATAAAAGTTGTAATTAATTTTTTAATGTGTATAGTTGTTATTAAGGTTGTTTTTTTATAGTTTTTGGACAAAATTTGTAGTTGATTATTCATAACCTTCAGTACATTAAAAGTTAAATTACCTATTAAATTAGGTGCCTGCTAAGAAGTACTTCAGTTATGCAGATAATTAAATAATTATACTAGCTATGTAACTGAGAGTTTGAATGGAACAAAACCAAAGAAGAACCTAATCACTGCAGGAAGTGAGCCCAGTTTTAGACCACAGCTCTGCATTATAATAGTTTAAACAACTACAACTGGTATTTAGTTACTACCAAGGACCTGTATTCTTAGTGAGCCTAAGATTGCAGTGCATTTTTGCAGAAAAGGATTTGATAGGTAAGATATGTTTTAAGTATTATAATTTTACATTTCTTAATGTTGTTTAGCATACTAAACCTCTTGGTAAATAATTTATTTTTATCATTTCAGAGCAAAGCAAAACTTCTTTATTTTGACTATGGTGATGTTATAATTCATGAGGGAGAGGTACCTCAAGGAATACACCTGATTGTTTCCGGGATGGTTAAGGTAAATTCTTCTCCTTTCAGTACCTGAGTGGCATTAAAAATGCAACAAATGCTGTTGTTTCCACTGTCATTTTGTTACATTTTTAATTACTCTCAGTATGTATGAATCAGAATATCAGTAGTATATTCTTGCACAGTGGAAAAAAATAAGAAAAGGAAGCTTCTTGGTATCAAGTTTGTAAATAAGTATTATAACTGTTACAATATCTTGTAGCATTTTTAACTACTGTACTTTCACAAGTGCTGTAGAGAAATCTAAAACTGTACACTGAAATAGAAGAGTTCCTACTTACTGTAAATTTGACTATTTACAGAAACATCAAACAATGCTGGGGAATTTGCACTTTGTGTTTTCGTTTTTACAGAAGTAATTAATTTTAAAACATTTTCCTAAAGGACACATGTGAAATGTTTATGGGAATTCTAGCATCTGTATTCAATATGGATATATTAAAAGGTAGAGTACACAAAAATGAACATACAATAATTGTTTATCAGAAATATTTAGCTGTCCTCATAACACCCTCAATAAAGAAAGAAAATTACACACGTTATTAAGCCATTCAGTATTTGTTGTGAAACTTGTGTCAGCACCTGACATTTTTTAACTCGGATACTACTGTACTTCATAAGAAATCCCCATTACTGAAAGATATGTCAAACCTATCTATAAATTTGCTAGCATAGTAGTTTTAGATTTTGACAAATCTGATAACTATTGGATATTTTTAGATGATAAACACTATATATATATTTTAAAATATAATTATGCCTAAATAAACTAATTCTTAACTTAGGTCTCTAAACTAACTTGCCCTGTACTGACATTGTATGTCTAATTTAATAACATGTAAATCCAGTTATGCCTGCTTAGCTAATGAAGTAAGAATACCTTCAGTAAGTGATCTGTTTTTTGTCAGGGTAGTGCTTAAAAACATTGCTTTGAACAGACAATTATATTACATTTGTTTATTTATTTTGCTGTCTGTGGTTGGTCTTTAAATAAAGTATTTATCAGGTAAAAAGGTCATGGTTTGACACAGAGTCCTTTAGTCATCACTTCACATTTAATAAATCAGAGCCCCTTAAAAAGTTAAGCCTTACGTAATGTTATTCAGGTTAGACTTTCATGACAGGACCTTAGAACATATGAAAGATTACAAATGAGTGGAAGCCTTTTGACTCATCTAGCATATTTTATTGTTAGTAGTTAATAGATTTAAAGATCCTATCTATCTGTGAATTGAAGGAAGCTGGGGTATCAGCTTTGACTGAGTAGTCGACTTGACTTTTATTTTATATGAGTAGTTTCCCAGTTCTTTGTGTAAAAAATGTCTCCTGTTCTCTGTTTTAAAGGCACTTCCTTCATGAAAAATAGGGGACAGAAACTAGTTTTCCATTTCTTTTCTTAAATACATGATTCACTGTTGATTCTGAAGAATGCCATTGGGTTTAATTTGTCAATGCCTAGGAGGGTTTTAAAATCATGAAACAGGTCCTCTCTAGTCTTCTCAATTTAGGACTTAAAGATCAATTTATTTCAGAGTAGGACATTTTTAGCAGCAATATTACTTTTGAAATGTGGTGATAAGATGTGTACCCAACAATCTAAACAAATTGTACTAGTGTAATGTACTGTACATAATTAATTTTAATTCAGAACTTTTAACCATATATTCTAGCATTTTCTTTTTCTTTTTATTGTTTTCCAAAATGGTCTAGAAGATGGAAAAAAGCAAGTCAATATAAACACTAAGGTCTTATTAGGTTTATTAGCAACACTATCTTCTGCACTTGTCTGCATTAGATATCATCTGCAATGTGTTTGATAGGTCCAGTTTTTTGTCTGAATATTTTGGAATATCCTTCTATAGTGTCTGTTAATATTACTGTGCTCAAGTACTGTGTAGTTTGACAACTGCTCTTTTTATACTATATGTAAATCATTTATACAAATTAAGAGTAGCGGTCCTAATACAGTGCCTTCTGGTACTCTACTAATTATGTCTCCCTTACTTGAGCATTCACCTTTTTAATTAACATGCAAATACGTTTTAATTGTGTCCTTTAGCACACAATGTCTTCCATTGGTTCCCATACCATCACTATTCCAAGTGTAAATGGCTTGGTTCTGCAAAGCTGTTCATGTGCATTATGTATCTCTGCTTATAATCAAAGTTATTAGTTCAGATTTAGTTCTTGGTGGCATCCAATGATTCTGTAGTGTTGCTCTCTCAGTGCCTATATTTAATGCTGTATTTCTTTTATCCTAAGTAACACCCATTTGTACGCATTTATATGCAGTAGCTGAGTGAAGTATCTTGCTCAAGTGACAACAGCAGTACCACATCCAGGATCTGAATTACAGGTTCCAGATATGGTTATAGACCCCAACCATTACTCCATGATGATTGTTTTGTGAAACTTAACTGAAAAGAAAAGTTTTTACAATAGATTACAATCAGCTTGCTTTTCTGTAATGTCTCCTATACCTCCAAAATGTTTCAATATTTTTCACACAATCAGGTTTATGTTTCTGATTCTAAACTTTAATTCACAATGAATGAGGACACTCAATCAGAAAACGTGTTATAAATGTATTTTTGAAAGGTTAGGCATAAAGGGTTTTGTCCTGCTACCTTGCCAGAAAATCAGGTGGTTAATTTTTTAATTAACAAACTTTTAATAAACTTCCCATAATCTTTCATTTTTATAGAACTATGTTGTAGTGTATGGCACTATGATATCCATGCATTGTGCATTCCTTTGCACAATAACTTTATTTTACATTAAGGAAGGATGTTATTGTTATTTATATAGACAAAAGCACTGAAGGTCCATTGAGCAATTTATGTTAGATGCAGGATTTTTTTAAAGCAGAACTTTCCTTCATCACCATTGAAATAAGGCTTCTTCTTTAAACTTTACTCAAGTACACACCTGTAGCTATTAAACTCTTGATTCAGAGTTAATTATATCTCCTGTCTGCACTCCAAGACTACCTCGAGATAATACAATATTTAGTCACCGTTATTATTATGTACAAATTACTTTTGATTAGCCACTTCGGTGCACCTTATAATGGAACTTTAAAAGGGCTATTTATGCTGGAACACAGTATTAGCAATTTTAGTACATTACAACGTGACACTGTAATTATGGGTTATTTTGAAATGTAAGGGATAATAACCTCCTCTTTGTAGTGACACTTTTACTACCTTTTTGATCTGCCACTTTAATATCAGCATTAACAATTTAGGACATTTTCTTCACTTTTGGTTTGGTGCCTGTGCGGTTTTGGCTTTGACTGTAAAAGCACAACATACTCTAATTTTTCAAAGCATAATATGCATCTGGAGTATTAACATTATATCCTGAGGTTTTTTTACCATCGGGTAGATTTTAATTCAGCATTTCTCCCAGTTGGTTTTCCCCAGGTAACATATCTGTATATAAAGCCAAATAATATATGCTCTAATTATTAAAATATTTTTGCTAGTGTAAAGTACCAAGAAATATGAAGAAGCCAAAGGTTTATATCAATGATATGATTTAAATAGATATAAAACTCTCCACATGAATACCACTGGACTTCATGTTCTTCTGAATTGGGCATCTGATGTTTGTTTGTTTGTTTGTTTGTTTGTTTAAATCATAGAATAAAAGTATAAAAAGAAAACAAAAATGCAAAATAAAACAACTGTACCTGTACCTCTTTACAATAAATAAGGAACACCCCCCACAGTGCAATACAACAAGAAGCCTCTTGCAATTCAAGCATTGAGCGAGTTGAAGATTGAATTTGGCAGTCTTTTTAAAGAATTGAATAAAAGCACATTGGTGGTTCCTTTTATAGGAAAATTAATTTGCTAATATAAAGCTAGAAAGATCTGTTTGCATTGACAAAGTGAAAAGATTGAAAGACAGTACTAAACTAAGGTAGAAATATATTTCCCCATTTGATTTAAAAGTAATCATATTGAGTTTGCAAATTTGCACTTTTAAAATGATTTTTCTATAGCTCTGGTTGGATGGTTTTTCCCTTCAGAAAAATTGTAACAAAATAGAAACGCCTGCATTCCAAAACTAGGAATGTAGCAAAGAGCTCCTGACTGAATTGTTATCTTTGAAATGCTGGTCGTTTTCCTGTTTACTGAGTGATTGTAAAAACATACTGTATATCAGTACCTAAACATCCTAGCATCTGTTCCTCTAAAATGCACCTCTGTAATCTATTCCATACACTAATAATTGACTTTGTAAAAAGTGTTTCCTAACCTGGGTGCAAACATATTTTTAGCTAGGTTCCATTCAAGTTGCTGTGTTCTGTTTACCAAAGTTGACACAGTTGATCAAATAATGATGTATTAAGTCAAGAAGGCCTTATTATTGAAAACAGATCACTTGTTAAGTGATGTATTGTAACTTGAGTTAGGTACGAAGGACAGTTTGGGCAGGGGAATCACGTTTGACAAAATTCTCCTTCTACTTATGTGCAATTTCCAACCCAATTTTAAATAATTGTGGAATCCGAAGGCTCTCTCTTGATCACAGGGATTTGCATAGTTTTCCTCACACTTTCCAAAAGACTTGTTGGCAGCGTTCCTTGGTGTCAGTATCTCTAAAGTGATCCACTTCCAATTTGTGTGTCCTTGGTGGGGTATCCTCCTTGGCTACTGTGCTGGGCTATGGGATGCTGAAACACTGTGTGTGCCTTTATAATTACTCATATCCCATGCTAAAAATGAGCTTGCAATATTTTTAAAAGTCCTTTTAAGGGAGATTAATCACAGGAGCATTTGACACACAGACCACTGAGTCATGTACAGAAATTACAGAGAGAATGCATGTTAATGTGTTGTATCAAAAATTAAGTTGTTCTTTTCTTTGTTAATCTATTTTAGTATGACAAGGTCAGAGTTATATTATTCCTCTATGTATTCTGACTTCATTGATGTCATAACCATGACTCTAAATATCTGGGTGTTTTACATAATCATTATTTAAAAAAAAAACAATCTGTGTAGTTTCAGAAAATGTACTACATTTCCTCTACAAAAGGGAAGACAAGGCATTTGCAGGAAATGTTTTTCAGAAGCAGTTTTAACCTATTTAAAACTGTATTATCAAAGACACAGACATCATGAAGCTGAGATCTGATCCATGTTGAAGTGGTTATTTTGATCAGATCAAGGGATGCCAGTAAAATCACTAACCAAACCATATATTTAACTAGATAAATCCTTAATTGAATACATTTACAAAAATACCTTGTACTGTTTAATTTAGTTTTCTTTAGTAAAACTAGTTGTTCATAGATAATTATATTGTTGCCATTTTATATTTTATACAGGGGAAGACCATTAGGACATTATTTTACAGATTATAACTGAAAGTATAACATTACCTCAGTAACTGATACCTGTAGATAAAATTATTTTATTTTAGTTTGAGTCATGAAAGAGTCCATGTTAAGGCAAATAGAAAGTGTTATACATAATATAATATAACAACTATTTCAATGTGTTATAACTGTACTCTCAGTAAACACTGCACAGGCATTGAAGTTGTCAATAAATGCTGTGAAGAAGGCAGTATATGGAGGATCAGCTCCATGTGCTGAAATATTTTATTGTTCAAAAGGAAATAAATGAGGCATATGGGAGGGTAGACATTGGATTATATAGGGTTGATTCAACAATTTACTACCAGCTGAATAATTGAAGTGTTTGCCTATTAATGTTGATTGAATTAGTCAAGAATTGCTGAACGGTGTATAGCTGTTGCAAATTACATAGCTCCTTGGTCATGGAGTGAAGAAAAAAGTAATATGTTCTAGGACACTGGTTTATTATAAAAAAATAAAAAGTTAATTTAATAAGAGGAAGTGGGTTTATGAGTTGGCAGGAGGAAAATGGCATCCTAGAATGGAAATATATGGCAACTCCACACAAACACAAGTAAGACTCATCTATATAAGAACACAAAATGCTTTTTAAATGCTTTACGCTATTTATTGCTTTTATTTATGTGCAGATAACTAAAAATGATGCATACATATTCTGCAAAGAACCTGGTTATATTAATAAAGATAATACCATTTGGTATTCAGCTAAGTTAAAATAATAAGGCTAATTGACAACAGTCATCATTTGCAGTGATTAGTCATCTGCAACTAACATCATTATAAATTCAGATAATTATTGGGTTTCATGTCTGTTCAAAATCACACTGCTTTCTTTTTAAATATCATCTCCCCACATAATCCTTATTTGTTCAAAGTAACTCAGCATTGATTGTAAAAACTCTTTGTTAGCATGTATTGAATATGATTATTCCCTCATAAAATGCAAGCTAATACAATAATTGTGTTGAAACTCAGTGGATTTGTTTCCTGATATGATAGCTTTACAACTCACTTAAAAACTGTTTTTATCACTGAATTGTATGATATCCAATTTAGTTGTGTATAGTTTTTAGTAATTTAGTTATGATATCCTGCACCTTGTCAGTTTTGGAAAATGCCCAATTTTCTTCTGCACTTCTTGGCTAGAACAGACATTTTAATGAAGACTAAAGACTGATGAAACAGCACCAGCTCAATGTCCAGATTTTAATGTCAGAAGAGCAAATTATGCTCAAAGAAGGGACAGCCTGTGCCTCTTTTAACCTGATACCATGAGAATACAATTCATAAAGTTTACACTAAAGTTCTGCTCTCAATTCTCTAAAATTCAAACTATAAAGTTTTATTTCTTTACTTTCACCAGACTTTATATTAACAGGATTCAGCAGGATAAAAGACACCATTATCTGTACCAAATCAATGTTTCCTATTAATAAAATAATACTGGGCATTGTCTTGTGGATTTTTTTGCTTTGTAGATTCATGGAACTTCTCCAGACCTTGGGAGCAAGCAGAAAATTCAGTCTCAAGACCTCTCTGAAAAGGATAAGACAAGAACCACAGATTATAGAAGCTGTGGTGCCATTCTGGGAGAACTCAACTGCTTAACACAGAATGTAATGGAAATGACAGTAACCTGTGAAACAGCAACACAGGTACGTGCCTATACAATTCAGTACGATTTTCTGTATCTTTACTGTGCTCAGGGCTTAATGCGATCATCTGAGCGAGCCACAGGAACTACACACATGAAAAGCCTGCAAGAGCTGCACGGTTTATTTTAATGAGAACATAACAGATGACAGTTGGTGGCAGACTGTTACACTACAATATGCTTTAATGTTTTCCAGAGGTGTAAATTAGACCTGCTGGTAGAAATTCTAGTGAATCATAACTTACTCAGATTTAATATGAAAAATAATTCTGAAAAACCATATTCTTTTAACAACAAAGGGTGAAAATTACACTAGTAATACCCTTTGATACTTATCTTTGGCCTACAGAACCATGAACTCAGGTCTTAAAATTGGTCTTTGTAACCATACCAATTCATTTGTCAATAGGCTTGATCAGCACTGGTTCAGTTAAGCCATTTTTTATTAGCTATGAGTTCTTACACCCTCTCACTTCCTTCCCTTCAGATGTGCTTCATCTCCATCGACGCCTTGTATGAAGCCTTTGATTTGTTTTCCGAGTTTCCTTCTCTGGAGTATAAAATCTGGCATGCAGTGGCAGTGAAAATCAGCATTAGTGCTTTAATGGAAAATATCATCTATCAGGTAATTACAAGACACGAACATTCCTTTCTTTCTCATTAATAACAAAGACTAGGCTATTACTATTACATTATGTAACAAAGGTTACACAATGAGCAAAGGGGGCTGAACTGCATCTCTGCCCCACCCCTGAGTCAGTCATGAATGATCAACAACTCAATATGACAGCAAAAACATTTAATCAATACTCAAAAGATATATATATAGTATTTTTATAAAAACATACATGCAAAGCATTATAATTTTTTATAATCAATATATTGCTTAAATATAAAAACATTTCAGGGATGGACATACCATATGATCTGCACTCATCTGGCCCGTGCATATATAATAGATGTTGAAATGAACAGCAGGCTTGATGTATATGAAGGGAGCATGGAGGATGTCATTGTAGTGTATGGAAGCTGTGATGACTGCCACACGCAACAGTCATACAGTGCTCCTGCTATCATCTCAAGAACAACACAGCAGGTAATATTTTCTTTCAGTGCATGGGCTCTCTCACAGAAAAAAAGATGTAGGAGCACTGGTTGACTTCTGTAAATAAGGTTTTATATATTCAATTCATTTTACCATACTGTGTGATTCCAGAATCAATAATACATCCTTGAGGAAAATTGTTCATGGTTAAGTCTGATCCCCTAAGTATACATTTTTTTTTAAAAATGTTAGATTGAAGTAGACACTTACATTTACTGGATTAGGCTATGGAAATAAGAGTATCTAGGTCTTGGTAGCATTGCAGTCATCACACAATGTTCTTTTCAGTTATATTACAGTTCTTAACAGTATCCTCTTGTGCAAAAATAACTCCCATTTGGCGATAAGCCCACAAAAAACATACCTTAGTATTTTTGAAATACCTTTTACTGGCTTTAGGTTTCAGATATCATTACAATGCAGATGTGAGAATCTATCATGGTACTGTAATGATAGGTTTTAAAACGTTGCTTGTATAGATCAGAATATACAGTGAAGTTTTTGATGTGAGCACCATCTATCGCCATTTGTAAGTCAGCACAGTATGATTTATACAAGAATAATTAGCTTTAAAAATTCACCAGTCATATGTCTTAAAACCAGTTTCATAAAGTTTTCTCAGAACATGTGTTCTGTCTGTTCTAACTAGTCAAAACATTATGTATGCTTCTTAATTATTCTGTTTTTAGTCATTTCTAACATGGATGCACAACTGCGTGCTAAATAATAACTTTTATTTTTAACCCATTTCTTCATTTTAATTAAGGTCATAGGAACAGCTAATTTAACCAAACTATTGGTTATACCAAGTGCAAATGCCGATGTGAAAGAGACGAGATCAGACCTTCAGCGGCTGGACGCTGCTCCATGCTTGAGGCATGCAGTACAGCGGAGGGGTAACAGTCTCTAATACTGTACAGGTTATAGACAGAACAGTAAACACTACTAATATATTTACTTGGGTTACGATCTGGAACATGGAGCATTGATTTTAATAAGAGTATTGAAAACTGTCGTAAAATTGACCAGTTTCTGTTGACCTAGCATGAATCAGAATGTTTAACATTTGGTTTCACAGATCCTAGTTATCACTAATACCGGTCTACCCAGTGCCAGGCAAGCTCGTTTTAGACTACTCCTAATAAGGGTCTCCAAAAATGTCATTTTCTTAGAATGACAGTGATTTGCTTTAATGTAAGAGGCACACCTGAGATCACTACAGCTGCAGAAGAACAAGTAGAATTTGATTTCATACTGAAAAGCAAAAGGGAAAACCATTTTGGCAGTGAAGCATTCTTCAGGTGTTGGGGGGAGGAGAAGCAACCCCACAACTCTCAAGACTGCTTTAGGTTCAGCCAGAACTCTTTTTAGTATACCACAGAAGCATTAAGACATCAATTGTCGAGTACAGATGTCTATTCCTGTATATAGAGTGTGCCTGTTGGGTTTTTTTTAGGTTGGATAAAACTGCTTATAATCAAACGATAGTTGATTATAAAATCTATGCTATAGTATAAAGTATAAACTATCTTTATATGTAACTTGAAATCTATAATATCATTTAATGGTTATTGTTTTTGAATGCTCTTAAGAATGTCCACAGATCAAAATATGGTTGACCATTTTATCCTTCATTTCCTAGCAAGTTTTGTTTATAAAAAATTTGGTGATCTTTGACAGCTACACTCTGAGCTGTCATTCTGGATAAACTGGGATTTTGAGTATCTTTCATTTAAACATCTATTTCAGCATCCAGAATGGATAAGGCAGGATTACTAAATGCAGTAAGTGTTCTCAATTTTAAAGTAATCAAATATTTTAACTTAGTGGCTAGCTGCAAAACCAAAAACAGAATATGGTATTTTACTATAAAGCAAACTGAAGTGAATAATGAGTAAAGACTAATTGTCTGTCAAGGTAAAAGTTCAAGTTAAAAAAACAATAGAATTTAACAGTTATCATTATTGGAACCCAGCAGAATCAATTTGGTAACATATCACAGTTGAAATTGGTGGTTTTATTTTGCAAAGACAAAATGCCTTACAGATCTTGCTGAATTAGTAACAAATACAAGCTTTTTTTTCATATTAAGTCTATTCATATTATATTAAATAGAAATTTAGCACTAAAGCCACTAACTTTACGCAACAAGTCTGATGCATACTGGGTCCGTTAAACAACAGGGAATATTTAAAAACAGCTCTCAATGCCCATCAGGTTATTTCAGAAGAAACTATTCCTGAAAACAGCTTGACTCATGCTACAATGACTCCAGGCAGTCCAACACAGGCCAGAGGAGGAGGAAAATGATGGAGATATCTAGGTCAAAAGCTCTGAAGCAGGTGTACAAGACAAGATGGAAAAAAACAGATAATCCTGATGTTCTTAATTCTAGTTCCCATGTTCATTAAGGTTTTAAGTTTCTATTTCACATTAAAGTCAAGATATAAAGAATATTTATTGTATTTTACTGTTTGTTCTTGTTCATGGTAAAAGGCACAACTACTCAGATTTACAAGAAAGGATGGAAAGTGTGCAGGAATAACTTTTTTATGCCAGCAGCCATATCATTCTGCAACTTACAACTGACAACCCACTGAAGCTCAGCACGTGTGAGCCTGGTCAGTACCTGGATGAGAGACCTCCTGGGAAAAACTAAGGTTTCTGCTGGAAGAGGTGTTAGTGGGGGCCAGCAGGGGGCGCTCACCCCACAGTCTGTGTGGGTCCTAATGCCAGTATAGTGACGGGGACACTATACTGTAAACAGGCACCATCCTTTGGATGAGATGTAAAACCGAGGTCCTGACTCTCTATGGTCATAAAAAATCTGAGGGCGTTTCTCGAAAAGAGTAGGGATGTAACCCCGGCGTCCTGGCCAAATTTCCCGTTGGCCCTTACCAATCACGGCCTCCTAATAATCCCCATCTATGAATTGGCTTCATTACTCTGCTCTCCTCCCCACTGAGAGCTGATGTGAGGTGAGCGTTCTGGCACATTATGGCTGCCGTTGCATCATCCAGGTGGGGCTGCACATTGGTGGTGGTGGAGGGGATCCCCATTACCTGTAAAGTGCTTTGAGTGGAGTGTCCAGAAAAGAGCTATATACGTGTAAGCAATCTATAATTATTAATTTGATATGCAGTTATAACCGGGAACATTTTTGATTTCCCTCTTGATAGACCTGGCCTCCAATTAGAAAGCCTTGTGGGAAGGTGTTGGCTGTTTAATTACTCAGGGAAAGAAAAGTTGTTGATCAATGTCGTTGCAGTGTGTAGTTTTTCCTTTATGAAATACTGTTTTGCAAAATAAAATCAACTGCACCATGTAGACTCTAGCACCATCTACTGGAACGTTCCTGTAATTAGCATATGCTATTATCTTCAAATAATATCGGCTAATAATACACATTTGTTTTTCATGTATTAATCTGAAATGTGAGGTAGGCAACCAGAAGCTCCAAAGGAAAACAAAACTAGAATCCAGGGATTCCACAGAACTAGGGTTCTGAAAAACCCCATTAACTACTTTCCTTTAAAAAGAAAAAAAATCATCAGGTTTTAGTAACAAGAAAAACAGTGTGGCTCCATGCAAGTGTGAAATCTAGTGTTTATCTGAATAGGTAGAAGCTCAATTTAAACAAAAGAAAGCTCATCTGCATATTATCCATTCATATCCTACAGTTCAGCAGGTTATAGGCTTTGTGATTCATTACTACAGTGATTTTTTTTTTAAAGCACTGAAATGGATTTTATCTAATCTTGTATCAGTAAGATTAGGGCTTGCAGTATGCTGTCAATTTATTCAAATACAGTTATTGAAATTAAGTGTCCTGGAGATGGTATACTATGCAAAGTTTAGCCAGCAAATGAATCATACATGAGATCAAATCTTCAGGGGAAATTAAAAATAGCCAAACAACCTACATACCTACAGGAGCTTATAATGGGAGCATATAAACTCCACATAGACATGAGAAAGGAATCAAACCTAAGTACTCTGTATACGAGTACCACATAGTATGTCTACAAAAAAGACTACCTCAATTCACAAGCCTGGGTACTCTTAGCTCCCATATGGACAAGAGCTCCCTCTTCAGGGCTAAAATAAAATAGCAATTTAAAGAACTAAAAAGTATCACCAGTTGTCTACTGATCTGTTGATTGCTTGCTTAATCACATTTATGTATAAATCATATGCCAATAGCCAATGTTATTTTCTGAAAATAAACCAATGTGTCTTTCATTTGTTGCTTCATCAGAATGTTAGAGCAGAGCATAAAATGCTTTATTTTCACACTGCTTAATTTAGGCTTCTTTTTATAAAGCCATAGTTAAGACACTCATGTTGACGCTAACAAAACTGAAATTAAAAAACTCTCAGACTTAGCTTTTCTTCTTAGCTAGCAGGGTATGGCTAGCTGTCATATTAACAACTATATACTGATCTTGCCATTTCATAAGTTTTAAAAATTATCTTGAGTACAAAGGCAGATTGTAAATGGTTAAAATAAACACTAAGGAAAATGTGATCAATTTTAAAAGTTCAGTTACTTAATTCTTTGGCCCTCCATCACAAAATAATGAAGGAATAGTAGAAGTTACCCCAGATATTTAAAATGAGTGGTACAAATCTACATTTTAGTTTGTGATCAGACAGAAACCTATAACTCCTATGTACACTACTTGGTTGTAAACAAAAAAAAAAGTTCCCTTATAAACCTAAACAGCTTTTAAGAATAAATTTGTGCATGGACTAAATATTGAAATACCTGCGTATCCAGTCATGCAGCTGCCTTCTGTTGCCATGCCACCAGTTGTCATGACGGGTAAGAGGAAAAGGATGCAGCATATAGCATATCCAGGCAACTCTACAGCAGTCAAAGCCATGACAGAAGTGAAGTGAAAGTTCATCAACTTCTGAGAATGAGTCACTGCATTGCCAAATACACAGAAGCTCAATATAAATTAACTTGGGTTTTCTGGTGTCACCTGAATGCCACAACCCAACTTAGACTTGTCAAGATCTTATATTAATTTCAGTGCAGAAGACATTACATCCAGCGTTCACAAAGACTACTTAAAATAGGTGAAATAAAATTAAACAGACACCAAGCAGATTTTCTTTCAGCAGTGTTCAGGTATTATAGCTGTATTGGTTCATCAAATCATTATCAGTCCATAAAGAAATTAAACAAGGTACATGAGATTGCCTGCCAGAGGCTGAGCTCTTAGAATAAAAATTAAAACACACTGCTGATGTAAAAGGGAAATTTTTAATCCACCTGAATTCTGAATTTCTGGCACTGACTGCTTTCTCATTTCATAATATGCAAGATAGAACGTCAACGCAAATATCAGGGATATATCAACTATTATTCATAATATGTATTCCTATGGTAAAATAGAACTTCTTCCAGGTCATTTAAAAGGTATAAAGATTGACTTCAGTGAATGAATACACAATCGTTCAGAGGACTTGCAGTTACAAGCCTTCAGCAAGAGCTGACACCACTCAATAGCTACAGTACGTGCATCTGAAACCATTTTCTGGGGTTTTCACCTGCAGGGGGGATGTACAGTTTAATCTTGTGAAACAAGAGAACAAGCGTATGGCTCTTTTAGTAACATTACACATTATCAACTACTTCTCAATAAATAAAAGTTAAAAACTATACCAAAGGTTTTCAAATCTTGCTTATGTTTAAAGGATACAAGAAACATTTACAAATAATACCGGTAGCAAAAAACCCTTTGTTGAATATTTAAAATTATACTTTTCTCTAATAATCAGCTTAATAAGGAAACAGACCAAAATAGGTTGCAGATTAACATATTCGTGGTAGCCATTGTTTTAACTTGGAAGGAAATTAAATATCTGATTTTGTGCAAGAGGATACCCTATCAAAAACTGCTTAATTATTTGGTCACACCAAGTATTCCAATTGGGATGTTCACTTAGATATTTTCGGTTTCTGTATACATTTTTTATAAAATACTTTATTCATACAATCATTTTAACTATAGCAACATGACTATTAACTTGAGTGGCAAGATATCAGACAGATCATAAGAACAACAGTATATAAACAAATGCAAAAAAGTTCTCTGTATCCATTAGAGTCTTCATACAGTTCGAACTTTCTGTACAACTGTCTGTAAAGTCTTGTATGAATATTGCTGGTCCTGAACTGGTGAAGTTAGTGCAGCAGTGGCTGGCTTTGACTGGCTCTGGTGGTGTGCCTCCAGTGAACCCTACTGGAACCCCCTGGATAAAAGCTTCTCAGACAGAAGCAGGAAACTGGCATCACATCAAGCTGGGCCATTAACTGCAGCCTCTGGTGAAGGGACACGTTGATCTGTTCTGAAAAACAGAATTTTGCACTTTGTGATGTACAATTTGTATCTTAAATATTAAGACCACCTCATTTCTAAGAAGAACCAAATCATAAAATGTCATCAGAAAGTCAAATAGTCAAAAGTTTTCCTAAGGTACAGTGTACCCACATTGAACAGAAAACATAAAGGACATTATATTTAAATTAATACTTGTGATATGCTATAATTACATTAATGGTTTCAAATTTTTTAAAGTGGAGAGTATTGTGTAAATGAATTTCTAGAAAGTCTCAACTACACTGCAGCATCTAACTCTCCGTTATGGCAGAGAAACTGATGCCTAAGTCCATACATGTTAGATCAAAAGCAGTGTTTAATTTTTAGGACTTTGTAACAAAGGTCAACTAATTTTTTAAGCATTGCTCTAAAAAATTTAATTAGTAGTCTGAGAAACTATAAAACCAAGTGGCTAGCCAAAAGTATTACCATAGAATATACTTAGACCAGTTGTTTAGTTTATGTACATTTACCAACTCAAAATACAAACTACAATTTTCACTGAAAAAAATCTCAGCTACCACTAATCAACAAAAGGAATTTCTTAATTCAAAAGACTTAACCTAAAGATTATGATTTAAAACTATTGTCTATGTTAAGCCTAACAGCACTTAAAACATACATGGTAGTAAAAATGGCATTCTATACATAGAACTAAAAAGCTCAACAGAAGAACACCATCCACTCCCATTGTCTCATAATGGGACTTACTTGGCTTCCTCCATAGCAGTTACTTCATCATGGGGACCATTTAAAGTTTCATTTGATGGAGATTTTGATTTCTCCAAGTGCTTTAAGCTGTTGAGAAAAAGACGTAATACATCTCACAGAAACCAACTTTCTAACAGCTTGGGAGTAAAGGACATTACTAACATCAGTGGAATATTAATGAGAAACCCTGAAGAGAACAACTGGAGAATAAGGAAATGGAGGCAGTCCTTCCCTTTCAAGAGGTCACAGTAATGAGCTCTGTACAGCACGCTTACTGCCTCACAGACATTGCCACAAGCACACAGAAGGCTGTAGGGGTCACTGTCACCAAGAGTCCAGGTCAAGGAAGACCACACTGCCCATAAAACTGTCCGAATGCTACCGCTTGTGGAAACCAAGTCACAGCTGGGTACTGACATGACACAGGCTCTCACAACAATCACAGAGCTTAAACTGGGATCAGGCAAGGGCCTGTACTGGTGGAGTCACTCAAAAAATGGATTTTACTTAAGTTTATTGGGATTGGCTCATTAATTTCTGCACACTTAATATGAAAACCATCTATAATGAAGTGTGAATTAAAATAGTAACAACAGATTTTAAAGCATCAGAATTCTTGGAAAATAAAGATAGGAAAAATGCAAAATTATGCCTTCTAAATGTTAGAAGGTGTTGTATCACTTTCAAATATTAATAGCTTGAAATACAAATAGGAAAGGAAACTACAAATTTGTAATACAAATCTAAAAAATACACTAATTTGACTTCTGAAACTCCACGATTTATACTGCCAGAGTTACTCAATCAAAATGCTCTGCAGCTTGTAAATACTAGAGGGAGTCAAGTTATACTAATAATTATTTCAGAGATTGTATTACCTCTGCTTCTGACAGTTACTGGCAAGCTGTGGTGATGTAGGAACACTCTTATCAGTCTCTGCAGTGTCTGGAACTGCATATTTCACAGACGCATCTTCAGAGGTAGACAATTTTTCTTCCTCACTACAAAAAAAAGAGATGCCTATTTGATGACGAACTACACATCAACAGTGCAAGTTTCTAACTTAAAAAATGAACATGTATCAGATGCATGCAACATGGAAATAAAGGTCAAATTAATGCAACAGAACGGTATAAATAAATGTGCCAACTGCATTAACACAAATGAGTATAGAGGTCCTGAGAGTTCCATGAAACATTTTCAGAAATGGGATGCTTGGCAATGTTTAAGTAATGAGTTACCATTCCGGATTCTCACCTCAAACATTCAAGTAAGATTAGTAGAAATGTTTAAGCATATAATTTACTACATAACAGTAATTAAGGGAACAAAAAGATTTTACACGAGTCATTAAAATATCTGACAATATTAAGGCATAAAGGCTAGTAAGGAATCTTGCTTTTAACTGCAAAACTCTATAGTATGTAGGAAGGAAAACCTGATAAATTACTTTGGTTTGAAAAAATGTTTTCCATACCTTTAAAAAACACCTCTTTCAGAATGACATCAAAATAGTTGATGTACATTACCTACCTAGTATCACAACACTCAAAAGATCTTAAAAGTATGCTAGCTTTACATTTAAGAAAACGCTTCACTTAAAATGAGAAAGTCTTACCAAAGAATAATGAAAAACAATGTTAAAACCAAAACACAATACTTAATTTTTAGATTTTAAAACTCAATGACATCTAGAAAGACGGGTAATATGAACACTTCTTTCATTTTATAAGGGGAATGGTTGCCACAGTACCCCAGGAGTGGACAAAGGGGTTTATTAAATATAAATAAGCCTACTGTTAATGTGTAGGGCACTGAGCTACCATTATTCTTCTCCCTAACTGCAACCTAGCAACAATTCTATGCACTGTAACTTCAGTTTGATGGAACAAAATCTGACGTTTTCCAAACCGAGCAGAATAAAACAAATGCTTTAACACTGACAAAGCTTTGCAATGTTCTTTATCTGCCACTGGGATAGAAGGGGAAGGGGAAACATACAGAAGGGGAAAGAGAGGGAATGGGTCCCACAGAAGTCAGCTGGGCCTTATTAACAATTATCTGTCTACACTACCTACACTATAAGAAAATAGAAGAAACATAGCAATATTGAAAAAACGACAATACCCACAGTTCACATTTGAATTTGAAAAACATGCAAATGGAGATGACAGACTTGAAGTGGCTGACATGAAAACATACACAGCGTGTCCCTTATTTGCTGTACATACCGAAAGGATTTCAACACTCTGAAGCCACACGCACGCCAAAGAGAAAGAGGAAGCTCATGTTGTAAGCGTTGCAGGTAAAGAACGTTTCCATACAAACAAAAACAGATTCTCAGCCATTGCTAAAGTATTCTGAAGGGTTCATTTTTTGGTCTGTGGTCGTATGAAAAAGTGTTCACCAGTTTATATTACTTTGAGATTTGCTGCAAAGGTATTAAGGTAGAATAGTAAATAAGACACTGAAGAAAGCAAGAAAATTGAGATGCGACTTCTTGATTTTACAATAATGTATTACACAACACCCCCATACTTTTTTACGAATATTCTCCTTGTGATGATACTACAAATCACGTGATTTTTTTCCCCCACATTGCGAATAACAAAAGCCAACTTTAATGCTCCAAAGAAGCAATATGAAGGAACATTTTGAAACCTCCGCCAAATGTAGAGTGAAGAGGAAGGCGTCATACGACTCGTTTCATGTTGAGTGCCTCCATCACCATCTGCTAACCAGTATGTGTGCGAGCCAGCACAGAGCCTATGCAGTGAAGTGGAGAGATGCGTGATACAGTTCACTGCGTTTTCCTTTATATGTTTGCTATGGTACACTCTCTTACTTTCCATAAGAATCATATTTTGGTTTAGACTTCATCATGGACCTTTAAGGTGTTAAAAAATGAAAACTACAGTGTGTAACAAGCAAATGAAGTGGTAACTGTAGAGTACTTTACTTATAACTAGGTAAGCAGTTTTTTAAAATTAAAAACAAACCACAGTATGAATGGTTTTTTTTATGGAAAAAAAGTTGGGGTGACATTTTTGGGGACTGAAAAAAAATCATTTCCATTATTTCTTCATGGAGGGAAGAAATTGCTATACAAAAGGGCTTCTGGGAACAAATCACGCTCATAAAAAGTGGTACGGGAGTGGAAAAAAATAAACATTAAAAGCCAAACCCAAGGTCTCCTGCAAAGGTAGTCTTAATTTGAAAAATATAGAAACATAAAACTTCGAAGAGTTGCATTGTGTAGTCAGTATAAACAACGTAAATGTTTTCTCTTGGGTTACAGTAATCACAACGTTACCTTTTAAAAACAGCAGTTTCAGTTTTGGCATCTACAGTAAGGCTGACTGTCTCCTTCATCGAGCCATTGGTGACAGTCTCCGTTATTCGGTCCTCCTCCTCCTCTCCATCAGAACCTGCGTCCATCTTCGCACTGGGTGCTGCCTGTGGGTGAGTACTGTCTACTGGCCACCTCTCCATTTCTAGAAAACAAAGCAATGAACAGGACAATGAGAAAATAAACTGGATTGTGAACAAGTTTTGAAAATGTAGTGGCAGTTTAAAAAAAGCATCTTAAGAAACCCTTATTTGCAAAAAAACATCCATTCCTTGATAAAACTCTTGATAAAATCAACAAGAATTTACTGAAAACTGCAAAAATAATACGCCATTATAGCAAAAATAATATGCTATTATATAAAAGTAGGTGAAAATAGTTTCAGCATGACAAGCAATACAAAAGTTAGCATTCACATCTGCACATCTGGCCAGAAAAGTTTGGAAGTGACCATAATAAAAAGCTAGCCGGGGGAGGGGAAACACCAACCTTCTGGTTGTGCCGGCAAATTCACACCCAGGGGGTCAGCAGTCTCCGAACTAGTCTCCATGGCCACTGGGGAGCTGCTTCTTAAAGGATCTTTGGGGCTTGAATAAAACCAAAATATAATCAGGCTTACACTGTGCCCTGCAGGAGAAAACACCTTAAAATTCACCCACATTTCACCTCCAGGTCAATTGATTAAAACCCCCAAAATGCAAGTAGAATAATATGCAATATTTTTGGGGAAAATTGCTTTCAGAATACAAGCTTTGCGAAAGGGTATCTGCAGAGTGTTTGACAAGATATTTTACTCAACAGAAAACTTTAAAAAACGCATCAGAACGTACTGCATACTGTAAAGACGTGGAGAAGTTAAGTTTTAGATGTAAAATATGTGAAGAATGCATCCAACAGGCTAGATACATCTATAATGAGCTGGAGGAATCTTACTGCATCAACACCTATTGGAGTAATTATCCATCCCGCAGCTTTAAATGGAGGGTTATATTCTCTGTTTATGTAACATTATATATGAAATAATTCCCGGGGGGGAAACACTACAGCTGCACTGACAGCATGTGTCATGAAACGTACTTTTACTCAAACGTTTGACTACTTTTTAGTTTATTTCAGTAACGGGTTTGAATAAAAGTAACACCCAAATAAAGCAAACCGGAGTTTAGGAGATTAAGCACTTAACACACCCTTCAATGTATTTTTAATATTCCAACTCTTATTGGTCAATAACGACACTACAAAAAAAAACTTTCTAAAGTCACATACAGGTTTCTGGAAATTTTATTCTGACTTAAATGTAAAGTTTTCAAAAAAGGGAAAAAGGCATCGACCACATCAAGTGCTAAAAAACATTTCACACCTTATTTCTGGTGAGAAGTCAGTGAAATCTGCCCAACCGCCTTCTTTTCCTGATATGGGCTCACTTGAATTCCAGCCCTCAGAAGAGCCCACTGTCACTGGAGCTGCAGACTGAGCCACTACTGCAGTACTTCCTGTGTCCATAGGTATATCATCAAAATTAGCTGTCCACCCAGGGGCTGAAAAACAGCAGCAACATCCACCTCTTCTAAAAATACTCCACTACAAATTAACATATATAAAAAAAACTTACTGGCTCCCCTATGGTTTTATAAAATCGGAAAAAGAATCCAGAGACACGACAGACACAATAATGACCAATTAAGGACCGATATAGAAAACAATAGCATTCCTAAAATGGCCAAGTACTGCTTTTGCCTCAGGACTAACCATAACTAGGCCTGCTCATTTGACAGGCACTGTGTTACAGTGGTATTAATGACAGGAGCTATCAGTACTGATGAAGACAGTCAATTCCATTGAACCAATGAGCTGGGAGACCCAATACTATAGGAACATGGCCATAGTTATGTTTTGGTCATTTAGAAACATTTAAATAGAAAAATGTACTAAAGTTTACCATGAAAGATACTTTAATAGGCAAGGCCATTTTTTTTACTGTTAATCATATTAAATTACCTTCATTTGCATCAACTTCCATTCTATCATCTGAATTTGTGTTTGGAGGTTCAAATGGATCTCTTTTTACATCTTCTTCTTCTGAATCTGTACTTTCTTCACTATCAGTGCTGCCAGAACTCCTAAAAAAAGCAAGACAAAATATCATACGTCAACACAGTTTGAACCTAGATAAGGTCTTGTGTCCTCTTCCAATGAAAAATACTGATTAGACAAGGTTGAGACATACCCTTCCCAGTTGCATTAATGTACTGCAATTGTAATTAACATAGTAGTTAAGCTACATTTTTCTAGTCCATAACACCATGATGTGATAGTGGTCAGATGCTCCCTCATCTTTAGAGCTTAATTAACCCATTTTTCCAAGTGTTTGTGTGACCTCCCATTTTTTATTTTACTGTTCCGATTTCAAAACAAAAAAGGGTTGAGAAAGCAAACCGCATGATCTGAAGTTGATCAAATTCTTGTACAATGCATTACTATGTCCATATTGAGAATAAAGTACAATTTTGGTCTCTCGCAACAGGTCAAGAGAAGAGCAACCACAGAAACTCCTGGGCTAGGGGGGAATATCCTACACGGACAAGCTAGAAGAACAGAACCTTCTTAGTCTTTCACTAGAACACAGACTATAAGGGACAAAATTGAAGCATTAAATATCCTCCAAAGGCATAAAAAAAGTCAACCCAGTGGAGTGCTGCAGAATGAACAGTGAAACACAAACTAAAATGAGTGCACTAGTGTATCTGATGAGTGCAAGAGGAACTCCATTTAAAACTGAGAACAAGGGACATTTCTTTACAGAAAGGGGAGAGCGAGTATGGAATAAACTGCCCTTGTAGTTGAAGCCTATATCCTTGCTTCTGTCAAGAAAAGGCTGAAGAGGTCCTTAAATCAATTGGCTACTAACAAGAGGAAGTCATTTGGCCTGTTTGAATCTCACGTTATCCTATTCTATATTCTTAAACATAATTCATTACCTGGGACGCCTCTGAGATTCTGGTGCAAAAGTTACATCCTTTTCATCCCAAATATCCTCTTCATCAGATCCAGCATCCTCAAACTGCTGGATTTTTTCCTTACAACATGCCTCAAAAAGAGCTATGTTTGCCTGTCAAAAAAATTGACAATATATCACACAGAAATCTAGTAAAATAAATCAAATCCTTTTAAATCCATTTAAACATAAAATCTGAAAAATATTATCTAATGGCACAAGTGATCTAGGGAAATTAACTATTATTAATATTAATTACTATTACTTTTAATAGTTTTGAATAAACATCAGCATGCATTACATTTCTAGTCACAAAAACTAAAAGAAATACTCACACTTTCATTTGTATTCAAAGAAAAATTGATGTCTGATATTCTATCAAAGGGAATACTGCAATAATAAAGAAGGCAACATTTAAGTAGGCATAAATTTGAAAGATTCACTATACTAACTCATGTGACATACTCTCAATCTCATTAAATTAATAAGAATATAGCTCGAGAGTTCAGAGAATAGGACAGTGATGTCAACCAGCCACCCTCATTTTAGAAAATGAAAAAAAAATACTCCCACCAAGACCAAACCAACCAGTGACATTTTGATTTAAAAGAACATCCACCCAGCAGTGCAGAAAAATACCATAAGGTTCAAAAGATTAGGGCATCAGATGCAATTACCTCCCGCTTTCACACATTGGAATCCTATGATTTTACAAAAGTATAATGCATATCAATGATACGCAGACAAAGCTTGTGCATCTAGTCCTCAAACATGTGCCAACAAAGCTAGCAGGGCACGACTGAAATATTTACGTACAGGTAGGAGATACATAGCATACGGAAAAAAGGAAACAGTCCTGGATAGTTAATCTTGAATAGGATAAGAAACTAAATGGTCCAATAAACCGAACATTTACATCAATGATCTATCAAATTAAACAAACATTTGTAAATAAATCAATGTATTCAATACATTTATAGACCATTTTGTGTTCAGTAAGCAAATATTCCCCATTGAAAATACCCAACCATGAAAACTAAATATATATAAAACTGATAACTAAACTCTTCCTCCATATTTGCTTTGGTTTAATAAGTGACTATGAAAGAAACTCAATTTTATGCAAACATGCATTATGAGTACTCACTCCACGACATCATCCTGATCTGCAAACTCCTCGTCATTGAAGCCAAACTGCTCAATAAAATTGGACGTCATTTGTTGCATCTGATAATCAGAAAAGGCCTGGCAAACCCAGGACCAACGATAATGATATAGTCTTGACACTACAAAACCTTTAATATCTCAATGAAACAGTTAATATTGAACAAAGTATCAAATCAGCAAATGAAAAGGACTCATTTACAAGACAATTGCACTATACATACAATTATGAATGTTTGAAACAGACCAGCAACAATTTGTAACAACTTTAATGATGAAAAATATGAAAAATGACCTTTCCCCGTTACAGACTTACTTGTTGTAAAGATGAATCCTGATGAAACCCACTTTCCTTAAAGTCAACCTCATCATCACTGGATGAATGAATATGATGTGTATTTACCTGGTAACACAAAAAGAAATATAAAACATCAGAAGACTGCTTAAAAGTAGAAACCCATAGCTAAAAATTACCCAACTAAGCTATTTTTCAAGAAACAAAACATTAAAAAATGAATTACTACAAATTAATTCATGAACAGTTCCCTACAAACCAATGGGTATACAGCTCATAATTTGTACTTAGATTTTATTTGCTTAGAAAAAGTGTTTCCAAGTTTAACTGCTGTATAAAACTATTGAACAATTTCATGAAATGTACAAAAACTGAATTGTTGGCTCTAGTTTAGAAATTTATGTAAGCAATTCATTCGACAATACCTAACACTTAGGTTGTAAAGGTCACAATAATCTTAAGTAAGCATATTTTTAAACCGTAAGGAAAGCACAACTTAACCTGAAAAATACTTTCACCAAGCATAATTTATTTCAGCCAACTGGCGCAGACACAAAAAGCGAACCATACAACTTTACTGAATTTATACAGCTTCAAGAGAAGGAAAGCAGGATCCATTTTCAATGTCAACTTACTAGATCTACAGTATTTTTCTTATTTGTTTCTGCTAATGGACCAGATGTAAATGCTTCCCAGCGTTCCCTGACATCATCTGGTAGGTCTAGATTAAAGACAAGAAAGTTCAGTGTATTATAACACTCATAACGTTAAACATGAACCACAGCAAAAATCCTAAAGGCTGCACTCTAGGTATGCACACTATTCCAAACTTTGAAGTGAATGAGTAAACTAACAAGCATGAAGTGCAGCTAGGTTTCTTAAAATAAAATGTAAGGGGTTAGTCAATATATGGTACACAGACCTGCTGTAGATTCTAGTGTTAAAGCTCAGCTGCCTACCACTGTCTACAATAAACTCTTAAGGTACGTCCAAACCACAATGTGTTACTGAGGTAAATGCCACACACTGGGAAAAAAAAACTAAGATTCAAAGCAAATCCAATAATTCAATATTGACTGTATATTTCATGTTTGCCTCAAATACAGAAACAATTTACCTGAAATAAGTTGCTGTATTAGTGCACTGTTAGGCCCCTTCTCGCTATTATGCACAATAGAATTGGCTATCCTAGTCAAGTGGCCCATGTATCCTCTCCGCCTTCCTCCTTCTGATCTAAAAGAAGGAATTACATCATGATTAGTTTCATCTCTTGTAATCAACCTTGGTGAAACATTAGATCCAACTTATGTTTTTCAAGCCTTAAAACCTATTTATTGCAGCTTAAAAAAAACATTGTGAGAAAAGTGATAATTAAAACAGGTTTCAAATCAAAAGGCATGGAAAGCTATCAAGCCCTCAAATTGCCTCAATTCTGAAAACAGTAAAGTTCCAATCAGAACAGTATGAAACCCTAGAGTGGGAAAGAAAATACTTGGGGTTTCACTTGGTCACAAAATGGGAATTTAAGGATATAGATCACTTTCAAATCATTTGGTGCTTTCACTTTTACTAACCAGTCACTTCCCAGTTCTGCGTACCTCACCCCTGCCCATTCATCAGCAACCACTCCATGTAATTAACATCTGTTTTTGTTTTTAGTGTTTAGAGCTCTTGTCATCAAGGACTGCTTTCTCCAAGTTTCAAATCAATGAGACATTAATTATAAACATCTCGGTTTCCACATTAATATCGCTATTTAATATTGAGAAACATGCCACATGAATAGAAACGACTCGTATTCAAGGCTAAGTTTTACATTATTTCAGACAGCAGGTGCTCATGAAGACTAGAAGTGCAGCAGATTTATCTACTGGTACAGTATGTTTATGGTGACTTAGCAGTGCTTGCACACTAACCCTTCCCCCACTGTGAACTGAGACCATGGGCACACTTGTTAAAGACTAAGATACTTCTGTAATTAGCATTTTTAAAACCACAAAGTATCGGCATTACATTGTAATTCAAGTAAGACTGGTTTCCATGGAGTTATTGAGGCCAGATGTACCGACCTAATAATACACATATATAGAAATCCTGAGGAGGCGGGGCACCAACAGCTGCGCTTAAACCCACAACAAAGCTTAAATCAAGGCAATCCAAATAGGTTTTAGCGTTCTTCTAGTGTTCAATCTGGTGAAATTTTGTGTTAATCAGTAAAAAAACAAATCAGTTTTATTTATTCCTAAGTGGTAGCTTTGGCTGTGAAACAAGTTTTATAATACTGCTGGTAGTACGACTTGGTAGTCAGTTGGCAGTGAAGACCATGCTAGTGGATGAATAAAGCCAGATGTTATATCCAAGTTTAACCACTCCAGAACAAAGACAAACATTATAACTCAGGAAAATACAACTGCTACCTATGGCACTTGGAAAATGGCTAGCAATATAGACAAATGTAATAAGGGATTTACAGATTAATCGTGGTCCTACCATGTAGTATTCAGTTCTCATTTCATGGTTCTCAGTTTCCTGTATAAGGATACTTCTGCTTGGTCCAACTGGAACTTGGAGTATGACAGTTCAGGCCAAACCAACACCCTTAAGCCAGGGTATCATAGTCCTTCATCGGTCCTACATTTACCTCCAGCAGTTATAGTCTCAATGACCACCCCTTTATACGTTAAAACTAAATTAATTCCACTACTTACTGTTCCTTCTCGTTCGATTCCCACGCATCAAGTATTCTCTGTAGTAACTGGCATTTCTGAAACAACTAAAACAATGAAACAAAAGTTTACTACAGTGCTTTCTTTGAAGTATAATTTCAGCTTAACAAAAAAAAAATCTTTACTCACATGTTTTACAAGGACATTATCCCTGACTTGTTCTTCACCAGCATCTCTGTTGATTTCTGCATTTTCATTTTGGGCTGGCGGGATTGCTAGTATCATTGCAGTGCAGATTTCTACTTGGAGGTGAAGGAAATTATTCCATATGTATTTAAAATACATATCCTAAAGGTAAAATGAGAGAAAAAAAGCTGATAAAGTAAAAACTAATATTCATTAGTCCCCTTATTTTTATTTAATAACACTTAGGGAACTGTGGCAACTTCTTCCCAGGCAAAACTAAGTACAAACTAACTTTCAGCGATTTTTATCTAAAACGGTACCACATTCAAGCAGAAACTGACCTTCAGACCCATGTGGAATTGAAAAGGAAGCACAATATGAAATACAAAAGAGTGAAACATTTTAAGAAACCAAACTGCACAAAGAAACCTCTGACTTACAAGTATGACTCCAACAGTGTTAAGATCAATCAGCTCCAAGTTTATGATATGTGTGTTTGTCTGGAGAAGGCTAGCCACTAATCTGACCACATTCAATCGAGTGTTGCCAACAGGTGGATCTAACACACCCCATGTAGTTTTCATGACATTTTTCTGCAAGAAAAATAAAACAGGCAACAATATGAAGAGCTTTCTGAAAGCATGTTTTCCCAGTATCCCTGCAAACAAGATAGGCGTTTGTAAAACTTTACACAAAAGACGTTCTAGCTTTCTGCAAATAGTTTTATTAATAGATCCAAGTGGAAATGTCATGCTTGGACACAGAATCTTTAAGTAAACAAAGACTACAATCACAGATGGCACTGGAAACTAGCTTGTTTCATACATGCTATGATAAGACGGCCTATAAATGACGGAATCAATCAGACTTAAAAAAGGAAACTCTTACAACAGGAGCAAATACTGTCTTCATCTTATAAATACCAGCACAACGGTTATTATACATGATACGTAATACAGTTACAGACATAGTAAATACATATTTAAATTGTATAGGTGGAAGAAATACCAATACGATTTTAGAAATAGAAAAAAGACTTTCAGAATATGGTCCTCATTTTACTAAAAACTTAACACACAGTGTTAGTACCTTTGGGGGCTCAAGCAGCAGTTGGTGGAAGTGTTTCAGCTGCGGCCTGATGGCTTCTAAAACACTCTGATTGACTGAAAATGAAGGGTGATTCAAACCAGGAGGGCAAATCTCTAAATGGCCTTCAAAGCTACAAGACAAAAATAAGTTAATTTCACCAGACGATTAATACAAAGATAGTCTTAATGCTTAAAGTATTTTTTTTATTAGATTTTTAGTTTTAATTTTTCTTCCACTGCCCAGATTCAACTTAAGTGTGAACTGTACCGGAGAATCATTCATGCATACTGCAGGACAAGGCAAACATTTGGCATTGCCTTGGAACAATGTTTGCCAGGCAATGGAGCCTTAAGCCTCAAAATAAAATATATTCTGACATTTCAGAAAATAGGTTCACAGAACACAAAACAATCAATTAAATATGAATGGCATAGAAGTAAATCACTGCAACTGTTAAATTCAAAACAATGGTTCACACTTACGCAGGCCTGCGGGTCTCAAAAAGTGTCAGAAGTATCTGGATAACACTGACAATTGCAGATTCATTTTTTTCTTTGTCGAAAATGTTGGACAGTAACTGCTCAACTGTTTCCTGTCTGGAATGAGAGATTAACATCCTTTGCACAAAGAGGGAATGCTTCAAAAGTATATAATCCAATCCAATACAAAGTATACCCATATAATTTTATAAAACTAAATATAAAAATACTTCCATAAAATCATAAAAGATACAACTATGAACTAGTTTTCATTAGCATTTATACAGAATTTGGAAAGTGAAGATTTTTACAACATTAATATTCAAAGATTTTAGCAGATATTTGGTTTTCTTATACTGACTGACACCATACATGGCCTATTCCCTTTGAAATCCTTAAATGCCCACAGGTGTTGTCCATAACTGAATCACCCAAATTTCAGAGCAGCTCCTCACAGTTTTAACAAATTACCACAAAAACGGCAATATCAGTCACTATGCAATGTTTTTCTAGTACTTCATTCTCCTGGCTTGTTTTATATTGCTGCCTCTTAAGGTGAAGTTAAGCATACTTTTCCAGTGTGGCCAGTAAGGGATCAGGTTCTGTGCAGCCCTGTACTTGGAACATCTGGTCTCTGCTTAGGCGAATTATTTCACATAGTGACTGGGATGCATTTGAATGCCTCTGAAAAACAAAAATAAACAAGATTTAAATAGGGCACATGAAAAATAATTTTACTTAAAAAGTTGGGGGAAATCACTTGCGCAAATCATAATGCAAAATATATATTTGTTACTAAAAGGAAGTTTTCATTTGAAGTTAGCAGTGCTGATAAAAGGATAATAGGAATCAGATATACCAGTGGTGAAAAAACTCTATAAAAAGCAATATAATCCAAAACAAAAAATAGCAGAGTTAAAAAAAACAACATCAAATCAGTCTTACATCTTCATCCTGATTTGGCTGTACCATATCTACAAGTCGCTGGATAACCTTCTCTTCGTTCAACCACTAAAACCAAACAAATAAGAACAAATTAATACGAAATATCAAATAAAAATGGAGATTCATCCATGAAGAATGTTTGATTTTATATTAAGCTCTGACATCAAACAGGCCCATCTTCTTTCACCATTATTACTGCTAAATTTGGAAAACATTTGTAATGGGTTCATGTATATTATACTCCACCATAAACCCAAGGATGTACACCTCTCAATTTGGCTTGAATGGTTAATAGCTTTATAAAACACCCATATTTAAAAAGCTTTTTAAAAAGGTAATGCATCTTTTGTATTTTAAAATACTTAATTTTAAGAAACATAAAAATAAATACATAAAAACACAAAAACAAAAACATCCATACAAAACACAAACAGCAAATAATTGCTTATACCTTTTTTACACTTTTCTTAAGAACAGTCAAATATATGATAGAGGTAATCCAATCACTCTCGTATGTGTAAAACAGACAGGGATATGTACAGTGCTCAGTCTTTTTCAAAACATTCAAGAAAGGCACTGTGAAGTCCCTGTCCTACAAAATAAAATCCTCACCACTGTAATTGAGGAGATCATCTAATTGAGTCAGCCCTTGAAACAGGGCACAATGAAAGATTTCCATTCTTTAACAACATTTGTTTGGCCACAATCATTCCAAACATCAGTGCTGATTGTTCTTTCATTGTTAGTTTGAGAGTTGCTCCTGAACAAACGCAACTATTTCAGGATCTGGGGGTATATTTTTCCCAAGCAATTTCAAGTACCACTGAAATATTTCTATCCAAAATTTACATCATTCCAGACAAAGCCAGAAAAGATGTGCAAGAGTGTCACCAGAATACCTGTAAAGAAGAGGCTGACGGACATATCGTTTCCAATTTAGTTTTAGAGAAATGAAGTCCGATTATGACCTTGTGCAGTATGATCAGATGTCTAACATTAATAAGAGCAACTTTTGTGAGTATGGCTCAAGCCATTAGAATTCTCATTGGCTTTTCAATGAATTCTGAAAAATTAATTGTAACACTAACTAACCAACTGATCTGAAAAGGTTCACCTGTAACATTAAATTCATTAATCGCAAAAGTTTATAAATTTAAATTTCCACTCACATTTAAAACATCTTGCCTAAGTTGCTGTGGTTCAATGCATGTCAGCATCCTGAGAAGCAAGTCCATAATAGCAGAGGTCCCTATATGCTTAATCATTAAATCCACAAAGTCTTCTTTTTTCCGAAGGAATTCCACAATCTAAGATGGAAAATAAAAACTTTTAAAACGCATGACAAAAATAATCCAAGAATGACAAAAAACTTCCAACAATCCTCTCAAATGCTTAATACTCTTAATTTGTATGAATAAAAAAATAAATTAACTGCCTGTTAACAAAAAAGCACAATGTTCCCTTTAACAAGTGCTTTGCTAAAACGATCCTTAATAAAATATCACAGACTAGGTTACACGAATGTTGTTTAAGTCAAATCCGATAGAAAACAGAAGCCAAATTAAAGATCTCTGTAATCTTCAAATAAAATTAAATACACATACTAAAGAGCTGCACGCATTAATCACTAATGACAAGATCTGGGATACAAATTCACACCACCACAAATTATAAAACTGTTAAGATTTCCAAACTGGATGCTTACCTGTTCTGGTTTTCTGCTGATAAGAATGCTCAACACCTTACTAAAAAAGCTAGCCAATAAAGGGTTAAGAGGAGACTCATTTTGTAGAAACCCATACAGTTTCATTAGTAAACTTTCATCTTCCCCTAGTCTGTCATTGACTTGTGCCACATCTGAAGTTAGGAGTTCACAGGATATGTTTGGATACCTGAAATTTCCAAGAGACAGTCAATAGATAAATACAAGCCCTTAAAATTCTCAGCAAACAACTACTATAAATAAACTCAAGCAGCTAGAATTTTACTACGGAATACACATTTTAAGCTTGTAATGAAAAACGTAGACAGAAGATTTTCTTTCCAACCACTGTCAAACCATGTCTGCTAAAACTGTACAATGGAATATCAGTGATAAGCTTGGTCCGCCACCCAGCAACCTAATCTCAGAGGAATAAACAAACTCCATTAAACCCACAATTTAATTTTTTTTTACATCTCATTCCTAATAAAATTAGAAATAACTAGGAAGGGCTGCAACATTGCGGACAAAAAGAGGTGAAACTCAAATTACACTGCACATTCAGCTTTCCACCCCCACCAAAGGAATGTGCTCAGCAGAAACTGACACCCTGAATCCAGGAGGATGTAGTACAAAGTGGACCAATTCTATCCCCTCAATACTCTAACCACAGGCATGTCGTATCGCCAGAAATAGGTTATTTTTCTTTGCTTTTCGGATTTCAAAAGGAACCACTAGAATGTACATACTTGTATCTGATCTTTTCATCCATGTCTTCAGAGGGCTCCTGTGTTATAAAGGTTACGAGATCCTCCATGCACTGTGGCTTCACCAGAAATTCCACCAGCTTGCGGTTTTGAGCTTTACACTCCTGCAAGACATCCTCCTCATCCATAACCTCCGTGAGAGTGACATCCTCCTTCTCCAGCAGCGTGTCTATATGGGATGTCGTGTGCAGATCGAACTTCCAAAACATGATGTGCTACTGGAAGAAAAACAAAATAACATTTGATCAGAACTAACACGCAAACTAGGTCCCCCTTCACATTAATATACAACAACCAGCATAGTTAGGGCCTAGTTCAGCTTTGAAAGCTGACTTGATTTTAATTATTTATTCACTGGAGCACTAAGACGAGCACCCCCAGTGACATCCGCAATTGTATTTCCCCCTGCATTTTTACTGAAATCTATTCCCAATCCACCATTATCACGCAACACCGGAAAAACTGTGAATCCAATTATACCTTCAATATTAACATTCCTTAACAAAAGCATTCAGTAAACACAAATTAGAAATACTTACCTGGTTGAATCAGTAACCTCAAAGAAAAATATTAATCAAAAATAAAATGTTTGTGTTCTTTTTGAGATCTTGCCCATTACAGGCTTTCCAAGCAGCAGAAACAGGAGAAACCCTTTGATATACCAGACAGAAGCAGCAGAGAAATCAGCATGCACCTGTAAGACAGAGGCACAGAAGAACTCATTTCAAAATTATTCAGATACTGGCACTTTTCTTAGACATGACAATATTTTAACATTACACTTTAAAGAAAATTATCCCACTGACAGATATTAAAACCATAAGGCCTAAAAATGTAGACCTTTCAACCTATTCTGATTGCAGACACCTTTTAACAAAATTAGAGAAGCATAATTAAATAATGCTGCTAATTATTTTAAAAAGGCAGTACTACAGCACCTAAACAGTGCAAGAACTGTTAGATCACATCCTTTGTGCCACGTCTACACCGTAATACATCAAAGACTAAATATTTCCCTTTTGTTTATAGGGATTCTGTAGAGAACCTCATACGATCTTCAGATTCCCAGTCCACTTAAAAAAAAAAAAACACTTCACCTAGATATTCATCAAAAAGCAAAACAACTGCTCATATTATGGTCCATATTGGAAACTTCATACAAAATGCAATTCAGGAAATAAAAATACCTATTTAAAACGTAATCCAGAACTTTTAAACACTGCAATATTTTTTTGTAAATCCTTGACAATTGGATCAGACACTATAAATCAAACCTCTTAACAGTAAGCTAATGTTAGTGAGTCACTTAGAATTAACTTTTGTTATTCTCCTTCAATGAACGTGTGACTGTAAAAACTTTTTTGTACCTGCCACTGAACTACAGACATATCCTTCACTATAGTACTTAACTAATGATTTAAGAAGGTCAAAACAGTTATCAAGAGGCGTGTATTGCACCCAGCAAACATAATTATAACTAATTTAATAACTGAAACCACTCAAGTATCAGCAAGAGACAAACCTGAAAGAGCTCAGCAAAATATGCACAGTGGACTTAAACCCATGATTTAGTGTTAGTCATTCTTTGGGTTTGCACTTCCTTGTTGTGACATCATAGCTATAGAATGCTTTGACACCAAAAAAGAAACTGAAGCCATCCTTCCAAGATCCTTGTGGGACTCAAAGCAAAGCATGAATAGCCAAACTCTGCCCCTCCAGAGGTAAAGGTACTCTGACAAATGAATGTTATGTACAAATTTACTACAAAAGACTAACATTTATGACACATGTACCAACCTGCAGTACCCTGATAAACAAGAGTAAATTACTACAACTCATTCTAAAAACCTTTGGCAAATTGCTTAACAGTATCTTCTCAAAAAGAAAACAATTTTAAATGACTGATAAATTAACCATATCTCAGCCAGTTTTACCATAATATTTTTTCTCAGAATCCCCAAAAGATACAATGTTTATCAAAACAAAAACTGAATAGGACTGCCAAGCAGGACTGGGTATCAATTTTTTTTACGGTAGTTAAGTGATGCAGCTTAGCTTTTCAGCTCTGTCTTTGGGAAGGCAACCAAAAGAATAAAGCAAATACATTTATGAAGGTGAAAGGTGACAGGAGAGAAATCTGGATTTCTCCTGGCCTAGTTTTCTTTCTCATGAATGGTGGAGAGGAAGGAAAGCTTTTAATAGATTCTTCAAGGGGCTGGGCTATGCATAGGTGCTGGACTTGGTCCAAAACCTCACAATCGTAAGACGAGCAACTGCACCTCCTAATGTGGATATTAATGCCCTACTGGACTAAGCTGCAACTTATAACTTTGATAAAAAAAAATATCCCACTAAAAAATAAACTAAGAAATAAACTTCCCTTTTTGGTTCAACAAACATCATTATCCAAACATTTGCTTCACATTCACCACTCTATTAGTGTACAATAATGCTTCACGTAATTTACTTCTATTTTTTATGACTTAAAAGTCATTAAATTATTTCAGAATGCAAATACTATAGTAAATCTGTACCAACTACCAACTTGAATTCTGGGATTTTAATTTCACTTTTTTTGCAGTGGTATCAGCAGAAGAAAGCAAGCACTTGAACTCATGACAGATTAAATTAAAAGTAAAGATGAACAGATCACGACGCTGCTTATTAACGGGTGTCCAATCGTTAGAAACTCCAAGACAAACAAATGACAGTTCAATCTAAAAAAAGGTATAACATTTATATTTCATCAAACCAAAAGAATGAAGAGTTTTGCTCATCTTCCATACTTGGCTGTCACATGGTGTGAGATCACCACTATCCAGTCTAAGAGACATGAAAATTAGGCATAGTGACTGGTGATGCAGAAGCTAAACGACTTAAGAATTAGGGGCAAGCCTTAATGCAGAATGACGACTCTACGCATATTATGTTTTCCACTGTACATTTTGCAGGCCCTTTTATAGATTCTATTAAAAACACTAACTGTAAAATGCAAACGTGAGTGGGAATCCAAGACATCTGAAGCACTGGTACTCAATACCAGTGCTGGAATACTATTGTACCTGCTGTGTTTTGTTACTCTTGGGCCCTTTATCTCCAGTGCTAATTACCTGTAACCAATCTGCTTACTGATTTAGACTTTTTCTGCATTCAGTCCTTGATTTCAGAAATGCCATCATCACACATCTCTTCATGCAATCTCTTCTCAACCTTTCAATTAAGAAATCGCTCCCTTATCTCTGACTAAACATCTATAGGCGATCAACTGATCGACAGACACGTGGGACCGAGACTATCTGACAACTCCCAGTGAGTCAGGATTTTAAAATAATTAGTCCGTGATCAACACTTCCCTGGACCAAACTCCGAGGAATCCACACACAGGTTATCCAGGACCAGCACCGAGAGACACTGTAAAAATATATTTTTAAAACCAAGGCCTGAGTGCAATAAAAAGCCTAACAAAAAGCAGAAATGACTGGCAGCTATAAGCACGTTTGTGATTAAATGCCCAGCACACACAGGGGTACTCCATGACCAGGACTGAGAATCACTGACCTAAAGCTTGAATGTGATTTGCCTTAATAAGGGACCACTACTACTCTACTAAATCATAAAAAGACTTGCATACAATACTTCTGCAATATAGTCGTCATGTTTGGACAACATTTAAAACGCCCAACATCTATATGCAGACGAAGCAGTATCTCAGCAATTATAAAAAAGTTTATGCTACATATCTAATCCTCTCCTGTGGGTACGACTTCATTTTCTCAAAATACTATGCCAAATCGGCGCAAGTAACTATATTGTATATAAACGTATATACACATAGACAGTAATTTTAAGCCAGAAATCGTTTCGCCAATTACAAAACTGACCATTGTGGCGAAAACAAAAAGGCACATAATGCAGCTAATGTGGAAGTCCGGTCAACTTTGTTACACGATAAAGGAAGTATACGACCAAAACACTGCTGCAAAATGTTGATGTTGGAAGGTGGGTTCCTCATCTGTCAGGCCCAAGCCTTGAAATATTCAAGTCCCTAAGCGTTATTACATTCAGCAGTGTGGGTTCACGACTCGTGAACTTAGATGTAACATCGCTAAAAAGATTTAAACCCCCACACAACTAAAATGACACTTCGAGAGGTGGAAATAAAAAGCGAGCAAACCGGAGCGATGTTTTACCCAAGTTCGCGTCGCGGCGGGAGGCAAACCGGAAAATCGCCGAATCAAGAAACTGAACTTCCCAAGCCAGGGGCAGATACCCGCACCAGCCGAGCTGGAGACGGATAAACGCGAAAAGCACAAACAGACGATAACACAGCCTGGAAACACACTTCGCGATTACGCCGAGCCGACGGGGGGGGGACGGACAAAACACGAACTTGTCAACCGGCTTTTTCGGCACGCTTTTAACACGAAAGAACCGGAACAGAGCCGGCACAAAGCATGCACACAAACCAGACGAAAGAGCCACACGGCCACAGTCGCACCCGTTCTGAAACTTAATAAAAGAAGAAAACAAACCCCAACCACTCTGACTCTGCAAAACAGCGGAGTTGCGAACTAGTCCTCTCTGACCAATAGCAAGAACTGCATGGACTACGTACCGACAAACAGAGGGGAAATGGCGACCGCCAGGCATGTAGCTTTTGAAAACGTTTTTGCTACGAGCGTTTCGGACATAAACCGCGAAGGAAACGGGGAATCGTATTTTAAAAAAAAATAAAATGTTTACAGCAGGCGGGAAAAATAGATAAGACCATCTACCAGGACCTTCCAAGATGGCGGATCTATCAACTTCAGCGACCCCTCCCCCCACACATAACTGCCACACCTGCCACTCAAGCTGCCAGCGCGTCTGTGATTGGGCTAAAACGACGTCAGTCAAGCTCAGCCTCCCTCCATACAGAAGAGCGATTTGTCGAGCCGACTGTCAATCATATTAACAGCGTGACGCGTTACGCACACTTCTCTCAGGCGTGATTGGTTACGTTTTGCAGACGGCCGGCACTGCGATAGAAACTGCGGTCGACGTTTGCCATTTTGGTGCCTTTCTTTTTGGAGTTCATCGCGACACGGAAGCGTGGTGTTGGAGCCAAGATGGATCCAGTTTCACACTCGCCTCTGGGCGTTGTAAGCTGATTGGCCGAGGCCGTCGTCAGTCAAACCAGTATCCCGCACGACTCAAAAGGAAGAAAAGTGAATCGCTCCACTTTTGAGGGTTTAAAACACTTCGCAACTTTGAGCGGCCGTGAACTGCACGGCGGCGCTCACTCACCGAGAAACTAACGAGCCCGCATATCGGGGCGAAAATGTCTTACTGTAATAAAATATTGCATCAGTCGCCCTACCTTCAACGCCCCATCCAACTCGCTTTCGGATTCGCCGCGAACGTTTTTCCTCAGTTGTTTTCAACGCCTTAGCAACAATGTGACGTCGCTATGATTGACATGATTGACATTTGCTGCGTCCAATCACCACCTCGGGATGACGAGTACCGGCGAGCCCGATCGCCAATGGTGTGAACGGAAAAGCGGGTTTTGTTGTTTTTTTTTTGACTGATACGGGCCTCTGTCTCTGAGTGCGAGCGAAACTGGTTTGAAGTCAAGTCAGCTAGATGGGTCGGCACTCGCTGGGTCTTTAGGGGGGTTATTTGGTATAGTGAGTAACTAGCCACACACAAGATTAAGTAAAACTATTAACATAATGTACCATAATGAGCGCAACTGGGAAATAATAAAAAAGACGTGTAAATCTCATGAAGCCTGCGAAGTTCTGATGGAAAAAAAATACTTAAATTATGATTTAACCCAGTCTAATGTCTTTAAAGAAGAATACCAGATAAATCTGTCAAGTAGAGGTTTAAGACAATTTTGCATGTACATATGCAAAAGACAAAAACACTCCAATACTATTAAGATTCAGACTCCCTTAAGGAACTGACTTCTCTGTGTACTGTATACTGTATATCCTGCTGTCTTCTAAGCTGTATCTTTCAGGTTTAATCTTTAGAATCTAGGAAACCAAAACGCTAACAGAAAACAGAAAGGCAATTGCTCGAACCACTGTTGTGGTAAAACATTTTAAAGGCCACCAGCTCCATAGTTAGGTGCTGAATAAACATTTTATGCAGTTAACTCCTAAGGGCAAAGTTTTTCCCTTCAAATTGCACCGAAACACAATGACCACCATAAAGGAGAAAGAGAACCTTTCCTAGGCAATTATCAGGGTATGTATGTTGTTGAGCTCTACTTTATTATACCTCTGATGAGGCAGCTTCAATAAAGATGCAGTTACAGTCTCATGACTGAACATTTTTATATTTTCAGATTGAACCTCAATGGCTCCGGCTTTATTGCCATACTTGATGACTATCGGGTCCTGAAGACTGGGACATATTGAACTGCAATCAGTGGTTGTACATTTTGCAATCAAAGTAATTTGTTACAAATGTTCAGTGCCAAAGGATTACAATTTATTTAATAGAACATGTCGGTTGCTGAATTTATCAATAGCTTACAGGTGTTCCTTTAAAACAGGCAATGAAGCTGGTTGTTTCAGGACCGGGTCTGGAGGTCCCTGTTATGGGGACTCAGAAGAAGCATTACTGTGATACTCAAGTATCAGGGTTTACCAGCTCCTGTCCCAGAAGGCTGGTGTGTCAGGAGGTGTTTCAAGTCTCTTGAAAGCAGCTGTGCCCGAAGAGCTAACAGAAGCTTTTAAACTGGCCCATTAAAGCCATTAAAGCAATATTGAGTTGACTCAGGTTTGGTGTTTAAGAGCTCTGTTGGACTGAAAGCCTGTAGACACACTGGTCCTCCAGAATCAGGGTTCAGGAGCCCTGGCACACAGTAGTATATGTCAAATATATGATCAACATGCATTAGGGCACTAGGGAAAATTAAACGTTAACTACAAAGCATTGCCACAGGTGACAAAGGTGTTTCTATGTTCAAATATATTTCTTGTAATATTATCATAACTCTTTAATACATGTTAAGAACATATAGAGATATTATTTCTCATAGACATCCCTTCATGTCTTCAATCCTTCTTGCTCTGTCACTAAGTAGACTTAATCCTATATGGAAAAAAACCAATGCTTTGGCACATGTAGTCTGGAGGCAAGAAAGGAGTAAGTGAAATCTTCAATTCGGTCTCTGGTGAACAGTGCCTTCATCTCTGTTGCAAGTGTCGCGGGTGGCTCTGTGTGTGTGAGCAGCCAAGGCTCGTACACCTGCTGCGTGCAGTATCCTGTCCCCAGATATGAGGACTGAAGCGAATCAACACCCCTTGGCCTCAGGAGGGGGCAGCTCTGGCTGACAGCAATGTGGCCTGATAAAGTGAGCAGTTTCCGCGGACAAATAAAGCCTCACACATGCGAGGGAGGGCTTGCAGCACACGGGCTGTGATAAACAGGACTGATCCGACAGAGCTGACAGCTGCCACATCACCTGGACACATGTGACTGCTGCCTTCATGAAAAGTGAAGTCGGAAAAGGGCGCTGGACCTAAAGAAAGGGGGAAGTGTAGTGGTCACAGACCAAGAGATGAAGCCATTAGACAGTGATGTTCCACAGTCCTATTGCATAAGGGCATTCCAGGATCTCCCTGGAGCTGAAAAGCAATTCCGTTTGCTGATCTCTCAGCACTGTTGCACTTGCTTTGTGTGTGTTGGCACTAACTACAGGTGCACAGATGTGCGTCGCTTAGATTTACATTCTGCGCCTGTGATTTTCTTGGTGTCCTGTTGCAATGGTACGGTTCTCTGGGTAAAGAAAATGGGCAGGTCTCCTTAACAGCTTGTTTACTTGATTACACTGCAACGCTGGACAAAGCTACATACACAACAGTATGAGCAAGAGCACTGAAGAATAAACCATATAACACTGAAGAAAGGAGAGAATAATCACACCTTACTTGTGTCTTATGTGCGTGCGCTCTGCCAGTTGTTTCCCAGGTGTGCCTGGATATCCCTGTCTTCTTACATCCCTCAGTTGTTGAAATGGGGTCAGCTGCAGTGTGGTGTACCTCAGTGTTGCTGTAGCACACTGTATACTGTGCACACCATAATGCAGGGCAGGAATACTACAGTATGTTCAGAGCAGCGTAAAAAACAAGAACTGGCATCTGACCCTTAGATTATGTGCGGATCAGAAACTGGCGGATTACAAAACCGTCGCTAAGATTTGTGTGCCAATCGCAGCTGTGTTAATCGTTAGAAGCCTTGTATACATGCATTGTAGTGTTGTAAACACTGATTAAATCCAACCCAGCTGTCTGGTGCTGTATTTGCAGTCCTCTAAGGCATTTGTGTGTTTGTGTATCCCCCTCAGACAAGGAAGATATTAAACTGCCTTAAATACAGCTTCAGCTGCTCAAATCATTTCTTCTATAGATTCCAAAAAAACAGCATGTCAGAGGACATCGCAGATGAAAACTACAGCATGGCTTCATTGCATTTCTATCATTTTCAGGTCACAATGTAACAAAACACTCTCTGTTCTAAGTGTTATGATATTTTTTTAGTAATCTGTTCCAATATGCACATTTTAATTAAAATAATACATTAGACTAAGCAAAAATATATGTTTGAAAATAAGTCTCCTTTTTAAAGTAAGCATCTGGTCTAAATATATATATATATTGCAACGTGGTTTTATGGCAAGCACTATGTATGAAATATTCTGGGTCCTCTGGGAATTCTGAGTAGTGAATTCTTATCCAGATGAAATGCAAACCTTTCCTACTTACCTTTGTAACAGCTGGTTAAAATCAAGACTGTCATTTTCACAATAAGTCAGGCCTGTAGAGGAGAGAGACCCTGACATTTCCCTATGGGATTCAGCTACAAGTACAATGCATCATTAAATTTAAATAAGTATTCTTGATTATTGCACACCTGCAGGAACAGTCTATTCATTTAGTTATCACCCTAACCATTTCACACACTATCAACGTACAACTATTAAATACAGTATATTCTTTTTTACGGTAGATTTATTTTTTGTCTTTGAGTTGAATCCAGAGATGGTTGTCCATAAAGCCACAACACCATATTGTTAATAGATTATGCTGTGGATAACACGGATCTGATTTCTGATTTCCATCTCTGTACCATGTGATAAAAACAAATGCGCAATTTCCACAAGGTGAAAAAAGCAAGTGAGCTGACAATGGTCTGCTGTTCCTGTAACATACAGTAGGCTTTAGTCCTGGGGCTGATGCAAGTGTAATTAAAACGTATATAGGATAGCAATTTGAGGAGTGCAATTGGTAATGAAATCTCTAACTAGAATTTATACAGTATCAATTAAAAATGTACTGAGGGCCGCAGCGGTAATGTGGGTTATAGTGTCATCTGTGCACTGGTGGAAGCAGGCCAGGATTACAGAAAAACACAAAACAAAGTGCTGAATGATACTTTTGTTTGAACCACAAGGGGTTTCCCGATACACAAAACACTGTTTCCACGTTGCTATGCTTGAAAAGTCTTCACTCCTTAAGAATTTGGTGGTATTCTGTGTCCGCAGTCAGAGGTCTCCTTTATGCAATAATCAAATGCACTTTAGTTTTACTTTGGCTTGCTAAAGAGCTTTATAATAATCCATAAATTCGCAATTTCTCCTAGTAAACAATCCAGCTTTGTATCCAATTGATATATATGATACATTCCATAGGAAAATAACCTCTCTTCACTAGTCTGATACTTAAGTGAAAAGTAATTTGTGCAACACTCATCAAGAAACATTTTAGAGTTAAAATGTTATAGCAGAAAGAGTTTCAATCCTTATAAATAAGAGTTAAGAACAACAGGCTAGAAAACTGAAGAAAATCAAGGTCTCTTTCTGAGTAAAATGTTTTTATGTATGGTCATATATAAATTCTAAAGTCATATTGTGTCCCTAACCATACAGGCCAGCTTCGAAGTTTAAACATTTCTTTATAGCTAAATATTCTCTAGCTTTTATGGAGATTATGGTGATCTGCCATTATCCTCTTCCAAGATGAGGCAATGTTAGGAGGCAGTCAAAAAGGCCAAGAGATATGCTGAAGTGTAGAATTCAAAACAGGGAAAGTGGTGGTAAGAACACAGCCATCATCTTTATTTATATATAATTATACTTCAATTGTATTTTTTTTTCCAGCCCAACAGAGATCCTCACAGATGAGCTGGCACTCAACCCATGAAGTAAACCTTTACTGGAAGCAAATGCACTGTCTCCTGGGCACGTGCTGGGCTGTGTTAACGTGTGCCAGCGTGACAGCGCACGAGCAGTGGAAATTCCACTCTGTCTGCACAGCTCCAGCGCGTGCAGTAGCCTCTCTTTCAGCTCGGGTTCTTCAGTGCAGCCCTGGGGGTCTCTTTTCTGCAGCTCGGTGTCTGTTTCTCAGCACACCACGCTCCTGGGCCTGTTTCAGCCTGTCCTGTTTATTTCCAGCTCTGAGCTGCTGCAGTGCGTATGACGCAACAGGTTAGGTGTCTATGTACAACCACATACCTGTCTAGTGCATACTAGCACTGCACTTTGTAGCATAATTTAGGACTCAAGAAAGCACATTGCTGGCACTAACAAAGAGGTTTATTGCCACGTGTATTTATCCTCAGAGGTTAATCAGCGGATGTGGATTTATTTTAATTTAGTGATTTTGTTAGACATGATGTCCTTTGCAGTAGAGTTAAGGTGTGGAGTAGTGACTAGGACTCTATACTTGTAACTAAAACACCATGAAGTCATATTTCATATTTGAGAGCAGTACTTCACTCAGGTTGCACCAGCGAAAGGCCCTGCTGCATGAATGGGTAAGCTGCTTTGGATAAAACTATTAACCAAATTAATAATTGTGGATTTTTTTAATAGAGCATAACACTGCTCAAAGAACTCAATATCCCCACACTTGGCAATGGCCAATAAAGTGTGCATGTCTGGATAACAATAAGTTAGCATTCATATACATGTTTAGTGCCATACATTTTTTTATTCCTATCAATTACACACAATTGTGGCAACATAGTACAGTATTTTCCAATAGGTTCACTGTAAAATCAAGCTGTGGTCAGAATATATTGTACTTATGTAGTAAAAAGCTCTATTTATGGGGATATAGAATGTGGCATTATTCAAAAGAACAGAAGTAGACAGTGTAATATCAAGGTTTAACATGACAAAGTAATATAAATCTGCATAGTACTTCTAAAAACTTAATAATGAGGAGAATATAGAGATTTCAGCCAAGGAATAAAAAAAAACAATTTAATAGAATTTTCTGAAAATTGTCCATGAGGGGGCAGTAGAGGATCGTGTATGCTGTCTGCCCATATCAGAACCTTTAAAACAATGCAAAATAATTCTAAAATGTAAAATCACGAGCCACAAGGGATTAGAAATGTATTAGAAGGTGCAAAGAACAGTCACAGAAATACATACAAATAAATAATAAATATTCTTATTGTTTTATAGCGGTTTTCTGGGCACTCCACCCAAGGTGTGTTACAGGTCATGGGGATCCCCTCCACCACCACCAATGTGTAGCCCCCACCTGGATGATGCACCAGTCCTCTCACCACACACCAGCTGTCAGTGGGGGGAGAGTAGAGTGATGAAGCCAGTTCAGAGATGGGGATTATCAGGAGGCCATGACTAGGATAAGACAAAATGCGTGGATGATGTGAGATATCCAGGGCTCAGAGAGCAGTGAAAAGACACATGCTTGCCTAGGTTCTGGGAGAGGCATAGGACACAAATTCACAGGACAATTATCTCCAACCTCAGGTAAAGCATGCATTGCAAATATACTGTAAAGCTCGTAATGCATCCAGCAGGGGCCACTCACACTACTAGCCTGCGACTTTCGAAGTGGACTCCCTGGTGACCAAACCTGCCAATGATAAATGTTCCATCCAGCCACTTTCTTACTGCTTTATCCAATACCTGGTCATGGGGAGCCAGAGCCTATCCTGGCAAGCAATGGACACAAGGTGAGATACACCTAGGAGGGGATGCCAGTGTATTCACATCGTAGGGCACACACACATTCGCACTAGGGCCAGTTCTCCCAGGAGCCAATATACCTACAGTACCAGTATGTCTTTACACTATACTATATAATATGTATCTTTTCCAGAACACTAAGTATAGCAACCCCCCTAGCCCATAGATATGTGATATTGGACGACTTTTACTAAATGTATGCTGGAAGGTTATGTTTGAAGTCTTCTCTAGAATGTATGATCCTTTGAGATTCCTTAGAAGATGGATTGTTCACAGCTGAGTGAAAAATAAAAATGGCAACGTTTGCAATCACAAGAGGCCGAAAGAATCTGAGATGGGTCATTTTCGGCCTATGATTGAAGGCTGAAAATGGCAACAAAGCAGCAATAAACCATCCAGATGTTACTGCCATCATCATAAAGAGTGTCTGCTTGCATGACTTAGATCAGATCAACAACTGCTAACTGGGGCCCACATAATCTTTAGAGCCATTTTGAGAGGAAAACAAAACATGATAGTGGGTTTGCTGTTGGGGTTAACATGCATACTAGTGAGTGAAAGTACTCCGCACCTAAATATGTTAAGAAAATTAAATGAAATTGAGCCTCTACTTTATAATGTTAGAGATATTAGCCAATGACAACACCCATTTTAAGAGCAAAATCTCTCCCTCTTCTCAGTGACCTAAGCGTAGAATAAATGACTAAAAATAGAATATTTATAAATAGAAGATAATAGAACATGCTCATTTTACTTAAAGGTTACTTATGTTTGCCTATTGTTTTTTTAATCATCACTATTACCTAGTTTTGTTTATAAAGGAAAATCTTCTGCAAGAGGTAATATGAAGGTAGTAGTAGAGGTAATAGTCATGAAGAGAGTATTTCAGCAGAATAATTAGTCAGTGTATATTGCCGTAAAGGAATATCTTTTCAGAATAAAGATAACAGCATTTTAATTATCATAAAGAAATTATATTTGCCCACTTGGTCATGTTTTTCATATTAACTTCTTGAATTTGAGAAACCTATCTTCTATGTGATAATCGAATCTTACCTGTTTTTCTTTCACATTACGTTTTTTGAAAATGTTAAATTAATGGTGTTGTGGAGAATATTTATTTAGCACATGGACTTCTGCATTTCCTTAGCATAATAATAAGACTATTCATTTTGCACCTAAACAAGTGGTAAACAACAATTCTTAATTTAATTTTGTCTTTAATGAGTTCTAAATGAATATATTTTAAGGATTTGTAAATGAAAGTCTTTTATTTCTGCTATAACCACAGTTCAATTTCTATCAAAAAGGCATTCATTTTATAAATGTTGCGTGCAATTCCTTAAAATAGAACCTTTATTATATAAAAATTGCTATAATACAAAAGTTAACAAAAGTTGCAAGATTTTAATTTACAAGGCTTTATACATGAAATACAAGGCAAAGAAAAATCATACAAGAATCAAGCTAACTCTTGGTCATAACATGAAATCTACTAATGTTGCTTCAATGAGAGGTATATCTGGTGAAGATTTTAGAGTGATTGATGATGGCTTCACCATCTGCTTCACAGCAAGACACATAACTGTTAAAATGGAGGATGCAGTTTCAGGCTATGTTCTGCTAACAAAAATGGTACATAATTAAAAGATCTGATTGAACTATATTTAAAACTTGTATTGCTTTTTTCCCCAATCAAATACAGGTTAAGGAAAAAAGCAAAAAAATGTTTTTCCTTAATTAAGGAATTATAGAAACAAATACAAAAAACTTATGCTGTGGAAAAAAATGTATGATGATAACAAAGTGTCAGTAACTTAGAAATAATGAAACAGGTCTTTAGAAGACCCAGGTTCCATTGAATTTGGGAATAATAAGAACCATTGATTGATTTTTTTCACAAGGAGACACCCCAGTTTCGTGTTTTTTAAGTTCTTTAATTCACCAAATACCACTATCTTAATGAAGAGAGGGTTTGTCTTTCCTTTTTGACTATGAATCAGGATGGACAGAGCTACAGTATGTGTTTTGTATCTTCTTTGATTACAAACTGTTGACTGTTTGGTGTGTAATTTACTGGCACCCTTGCATGTCTAATCAATTAATTACAAATGTCAAAGAAAAAAATAGAATTTTTGAATGAGGGTTTTAAGCTGCCTGTGCTGCTTTTGCAGGCATTTACAGAAACACATTTCAACAGTTAACAAAATAATTCCAGTCTTGATAGATATATAGAATATTTGTATTTTTACTGGTAGTTTAAGGCAAAATAAAAAGTAATTTTATTACTCTTTATTACCGAAGAAGAAAAATGCATCTTCTGAGTTGGCAATTTAGGTTATTCTGATATTTAGAATATGCTTTTGTGAGAGGTATTGCAAAGAGCTTTTGTTTGGGTACACCATGTAATGGATGTCAAAATGTTCTTTATCATTTTGCAGTGTCATGGCCAGCAGTATTGTAAACATTACATAGCCTGCTTCTACACATAATCATCATACAGCCATCATGTGCATGTAGCTTTTAGAAAGGTTTAAAAATAAGTGCTTTATTTGGCAATAGTCAAGAGTTTGCTTGAATTTGCCAAACACATATTGATTTCAAGGCTCAACCACACTGTATTAAAAACATTGATAACATGCCATGCATTTCTGTACAGTATCATTGGTATGATTCAGACATTAAACAGTTTTAATTAGAATTTTTAGAAAACATTTTAAATGGATAAAATGAATAAAGTAATCACACAAACTATATAGAATTATTATATTCACATGAGATCTTTCTCCTCAGTTATTCTTTTAATTAAAACCATAATTTAATTTCCACTTTCTGTCTCTGTGCATTAAAAACTGATCTGGCTACATATTGTAACCCACCGCATTGTAAAATTGCTACTGCAATTAATAGTCACCATCCATGTGTAGATTTTTGGGATTCCAGTAAAGCATTCAAGAACTTGTTTTTTTTATGATCACATCACAAATACATGAAGTTGACAGTAAAAAAAATGAAATGATAAGCCTGTCCAATACTGCCAACACATTTAAAGTCAGGCTAGAGAAAAGTGTATTTGTATGATTCCCAAACTGAAGAGCCAAAACATGTTTTAAGCACATGGCCTTACTGAGAACAAAGTTACGTAAGCTAACGTAAAAAAATCTAAACCATTAAAAGACCTCTCTCATTCCCATACCTACAGGGTTCAATGCAAACTCTTTTCTTCTACAAAAGGGAAACATTTTTCTGCAGAATATAAAGACCTGACAATACAATAGCAACAAGACAATTCTATACAGTTTAACGATCCTTTCCACACAATATAATAGTTACTTTTTTTTTCTTTTGTCACCTCTATTGCCTTTCAACTGAAGCCCATCAAAATGAACCATGCAAGACAACACAGTGTGAAGCTTCACTGTATAGCTTTCAGCTTGGTAATCGTTGAGTAATGGAATTTTGATCAAAAGAGATGCATACAAAACTCTGCTACCTGAGAATTCCTATCCAGAATTCCCCTTTCAATGATAGATCAACACAGATTCTATCTGTACTTCATAACTAGGAATCCTATTGTACAATTATGTGCCAAAACTGGTTGACAGATAAAAAGCCATATGTTCCTTTTCAGCATTCAAAAAATTTGTTCAGCCAAACTGAACTTTCAAAAACTGCAACATTAAGAGGATTGTTTTCTCTGGAACAGCACACTTCATGACACCAGTTATTCTCAAACAGGAATACACTATGCGAGTCATATGAAAGAAGAGCTAAAATGCTGTAAAGTACATTTCAATTAAAGAAAAGAAACACTTCTAGATATGCTCCTGCTTAGGTTTAATTTGCAGGTATAAGAGGAAAACAGAATCCAAAACTGGGGGATAAGGTCTGAGTGATTTTTCTTTAGAAAATCTAAACAATATTTAGTTTTTTTGCCCCAAACTTATTGCGGACGGAAAACCAAGGATCTCTAAATACAGGACCCACATGCATAAATTACAATGGTGACAACAGAACCATATTTTCCCAAATGATCAAGGATGAGGACAAACAACACACATTTCTTAGGATTAAAAAGCAGATGTGGTGTTCAGCATACCTCACATTATTTTTATCAATTCAAATAGTTTTAAACGCAATGCTGTGTGCTTTCTCAAAATTTAAAGCCAGACCATGAAAGCAAAGGTAATGTGTTGAATATTCCATAAACATCACTTTAAAATTAAAACTTTTTTATAATATACATATATAAAATGCAGTACACACATAAAATAATGCTTATAATGCAATGTGCTATGGAAGGTTAATAACTTATTAAACTTTATGATTTATTCTTAACATTTGTATAATATTTACTGTTATAAAATCTGTACTGATAAAAGTGAGTTTTGACTTTGTCGGGTTTTTTTCAACAGATCTTTTTATATGTACATTAGCAGCAAACATACTGTTTTGGTAACTGAGCAGAATGAATAAAATGCTTAGGGACTTCAAAATAGTTCACAGAGAAGCACGAGAATGGCCTTGATCATATTCACACAAAATAATTAAAAATAACTTTGTAATTAAAATGTAATAATACATATTTACAATACTTCTGTTTGAAATGGTTTTGGTATGTGCAGAGTGAAGTGGCTCACCACACGTCCCCAGCGAGAATGCACAATGACAGAGAGAGCCCTTTTCAAGCACTTAGTCCCTGGGGTGACCTTGAACTTCAAATGACAACCACATAAAACTGTGGCAACTGTTAAAAATAATGTCTATGCATAATCAAGGCTCATGGTTCACAATTATCCAGGTTTTTACAGCAAATAATTACAATGCAGTGTATGGTTGACGTTTACTAGCGATATTGGGGTGGAAAATGATGGCCCTCTTATGAACCCTGCTACACCAAAACCCCCAATAACTGTCATCAAAGCAGTGACTGACCGGCAGGTCATCTAGCCGTAAGATATTACTGTTCAGAATAACCCGCAAACACGCGGTGCACTTTTGGAATGAAACACGGTGATCTTACCTTGGTCAGAACTCCCACTTTGGAGTGAAACTTCCACCTGTCCAAGCAACTAATTTTAACTTTGAAGTGCAGGAGTTTGAGAAGTCACATACAGTATCTCTTAGCCTTTCTAAAGGTAGTGATTATCCACAAACTGCCGAACAGCGCAGCCACATACAGTGACTCCATGAAGTGAGTTGATGACTATATGCAACCACAGACAATAGTATTAGCACCCTGTACCCTAAATGAACTTAATAAAATAGAACTCCCTCTTACTAGGATAAGTGTTTAACAAACGTATAAAATGATGAATAACTGTAGTTGAATGGTCTTATAAACATTTCTGAATAGTTTTGTAAATATCATTCCTAACACACTTGCAACCTTAGCAAATACAGGATAGAACGGTGTTCTCTTGCACAAAGTTCTCTGTTGTTCATGCTTATGCATGAGCCTTTGAGGGTTTACAGAGAGATAGAGATACTGTAGGATATAAGAACATGAGATTATAATAGTTTTCCAAAAGGACTTTTACCATTGTTGCAATCACTGGGTCCATTTTATTCACTTGATTACAGAGTATCCAGTTCTTTCAAGGGTCTCATCCTGCTGTTTATTTTAATAACCAACACAAGGTTTGGGTTTCAATAACATTGGTGGGCAGCGTGTTCCAGACAGACACCTTATCATGCTTCTTATGCTGAGTCCTAGATGTGTTATCCCTTGATTTCCTCTTGTGACCCTTAATAAACTTGTAAAAACTCATTTTTTTCAGGTACCGAGACCCAATACATATGTCTGCAAAATGCTCCCTAAAATCCTCTACCATTTAAAAAAACATATAAAAAAGAATAAACTCAAATATTCAAGAGACCTTGCAATTTTCCTAACTTCAAAATGAGGTATACAGTATGCTCTATGGCTAAACATACCTTTACACCTAATACACAGGTGCAGAAGCTACTTACATGTAAATGGGCATTTAATGTCCAAAATAAAACCAGACGTATCCACCTACTGGCCCTGTCTAGTAGTAGTAGTACCTTCTGTAACTTGCAATGTCAAAATCAGAAACCTTGGAGCCATGCTATAAATATCTTTCAGAGGTACTTTGTCACTGTGCGAAAGAAGATGGTAGATTCCAGAGACTGTTTTGCCAGAGTAAAACACTTGAGCCTGTTGGAGGATAGAAGTTACTCGGATCTTATTGTGGGATTACAGTATGTGTGCAAAATAAGATACAAATTTCAGCCTGTAAAGAGTCATGGCCACTGTATTGAAATATAAAACACATTATTGAAAGTTTTCTATTTACACGTAAAAGATGTGTAGAAGCTTTAGTGTTGTCCAAATGATGGGAAAGAATGCTGGCATTTTCTTTCCTTATTTAAGAAAAATAACGTACAAAAAAAAAAAAAAAAGGACTTTCTCTCACATGGGCAACACACTCAGCCAAGTGCAATGGTGGCTTGTGCCACGGCCTTGGGGGACAGCTGGGGATGTTGTGAAGAAACAGAAACAGTTTTAAAAAAAAAGTTATAAATACACTTCTGCTGTGCAAAGATTTCACATGGCTTGACAGACTTCACTTTAGAAGTACTGTACACACACTTATCAAGTCCCCCCCTCCCCTCCAAATTGAACCCCGAACGCTCCCAAACAAACAACCATTAGTGAAAATTACTAAAATATAATTATCTGATTTGTTCATATTTAAAATTATTTACAGGTGTGCGGCGGGGGCTGTGCCCAGGGTCACGAGGAGTCAGTGCAGGGTGAAGGAGGGGGAGGGCACAGGTGGAAGTAGCTCCTCTCAGTGGAGGGCGAGGGGGGGCAGCTCTCCTCCGCTGACAGGTACTGGCTCCGGGGCGTGGGGGGGGGAGGGTAGGGGTCGGAGTCCGAGTTCAGGTCGATGTAGTATTTGTTGGTCTTCCAGCGGCTGGTGGTGTAGTCACTGTCGCACACGTCCGTGCTGCAGGGAGTCGTGGGTGGGGCTATGCCTCGCAGGAGATAGGGCCTGAGAACGAGTCAAGCCAACAAGAAGGAATCAAAGCCCGAGGACACAAGTATGGACACAGTCGAGCTGAAACTGGGGCTCCTGAGCGGCTCAAGCCGCTTCCCAGATTGCAGGCTACTGGGTCACGTCACTAATCAGCTGCCAAACGGAGAAGCACGCCTGGGAGAGCATCGCCAAGGTAGGATTATTATTAGCCAGCCTCTGGCTAAGAGGGCAGGCTGGGCCCTTTCAGCTTCCTGGCAAACAGTGGCTTGCCAGGAACCTGCAGGCCTGCAGTGACATCAGTGAGAGAGCTGCGGACCCCTCCAGTCAGTACAAACTCTCCTGTCAGGTGCGGTGGGGCAGTGTGTCAAGTGACCAACAGATCAGGAACAGAACAGGAACGGTAGAGGAAGACGGCAGCGTGTCGCCTACTCTTCTGGGCAGGAGAGGTAGCTGCTGGCGGATTTTAAAAAATAGATCGGCACTTCCAAATTTGAAAGACCGATAAAGTACACTTTCGTCATCTCTTTAAGATGCTCTATATAAAACTATGGCATACGACTTATAATAATTCAATTAATAAGGACGATGGCCTGCGATGGAATGGCAGCCCATCCAGGACGGACCCTACCTTGTGCCCGTTGCTTGCCAGGATAGGCCCTGGCTACTCCACGGCCCTGAACAGTGGTCAGAAAAGAGAAGGATGGAAATTGATGGTTCTTACGTACCTGTAAGACCTTGTTGTGGAGGGGCTGTTGGAGGAGTAAAATATTTCTGTGTTGTACAGAGAGCGGTCGGTCGCTGGTGATGGAGGTGGATTCAAAATCTAAGAGATCAAACCAACAGACAAGAAAAGGCGTTTATATCTGTGGGTTGGCAGGGGATAAAAGCTTGTGGTCTGCGGTATGCAGATGTGTATACATCTGTACACTGCAAGATACTGTACATCACCAAAATCTGAACAGGAAACGCTGAGTCAAGAATGGGAGCTGGTTCTAATTCCCAACTTCTCTCTGCTTACACAGTCAACACAGGGTCCAGAGTGGTTGCACTTTTTAAAATAAAATCAGAAGCTTTTCTTCTTTTTGATTATATTATGCATATAGACGTGTAGAAAACTTTGCAGTTTTTGTTTAACAAAAACACAAAATATTGCAGTTTTACACATATCTTGCTGTAACACTTCGCTCATAAATAGGAAAACTGGCTTGGACCCATGGTTAAAAAGTTGCCATTTTAGCTTATTACCTCACTAAGGCAAGTGAATCTCTTAATCTGGTATTTTCGGGAAATCTTCTAACTCTTCCTTTAATGTAGAGGAGAACTCACATGCCTGCTTAATTTGTTGCTGTGTTTCAAAACTGTAATCTGAAATGTTTTTAGGATACCACAGAAATTGCAGTTTCCTCTGCACAGTCTGATTTCCTTATGTTTAAATGTAAGTCCAAAAAGACAGTTTTCTCAGATCAAAAGATAAAAGTAAGCTTTCCGTTTCCAGCAGAGATTTTGTTTCTAAGTTTTAATTTATTGAAAAAATAAAGAGGTGTTGACTTATTGGATAACCATGTGCCCCAACATTAGTCTTGGCTTTATCCAAACAGAAAGTTTAGAAATATAAAATGCTCCCAGTTCCAATTTGGCAACTTACCCGCTTCATAAATTTATAAGGGATTGTAAATCTTCAAAACAAATCAGCCTACTCTTCAACAGATGCAAATAGATGATAGATAAATGAGCAGCTTCACAGAAGCAAGCTACTGAATGTTTCCAAAATACCACACTGGAAAATGATAATGAGTCATTAAAGAATTCCCTCAAAGGAGTGACAAAATGGTGCTGGTATAATTTACCTGCATGGATTAGAGTACACCATTTTCTTTTTCTAACGCACCAATAACTGAATGATGTGATTGTAAACACATTTATTTGGGAGCACTATACTGTTGGCCTAATTTGCTCTGAAAAAAAAAACAAGGCACTACATCTTTAATATTATATAAAATGATGCGATTATAGGTTGTGAGTCCATCTGTGATAAGATGGGGAGAATAAAATTGAAACGAGTCACAAGCCGGCATATTCAAATCTTGAAGAAGCATCTCTCATGCATTTGCAAAGTCAAAACGTAACCCCAAACAGTAAAGATGCACTGCCTTTAAGATGCTTTCTTTTATGTCTTAACTTTGACACAAGAATGAAAATGTTTTAGGAACATACAATTATTTAAGTGCACCACTTAAAGTATGAACCCGGGCCCCTGATTCTCCCGATTGCCAGAACAGCACTTCTCTTCACGCCCCCTGTGTTGCGCTGTAGAAAGCCGTGAGGTACCTGAGGGTAGAAAGTCCCCTTCGTGCTGGCTGAGCTGCTGGAGGACGCCCCAGTCACGTGGTTCCTGTCATAGAGCGGAGCCCCGCTGCCACTGCTGCCCATCAGACTCATGGAGCTCCTCACGGACTTCCCGCAGGAGATTCCTGTGTGGGCAGTCACACACGGGCACACCGATGTCAGACGTTACACACACGCTGACGGTGGAGGGTTTACAGGAGAGAGGCAAAGCGCCTCGCTGTTGAGATCGTCCCAGCTCAGTGGCTTTAAGCATCTACTGTACACTGTGTTACCACTTCCATTCATTGGTGCCACCCACTAAGGTTGGCACCCTATTGTTTTAAATATACAACATACCCAGTTTCAGTTGTTTGCCCTTTGGGGTTGGCAGTTCATCAGTCAAGCAAACCCACATTAATCTGAGACAGCCCCTTGGGGCGTACCCACAATCTCATCTGATCTCCCTGTGACCATGCCAGTCATGAACCTTTAAAGCAGCAGTCAGATGGACACAGCTCCTCATGACTGCAGCCCCTTCTGCAGTGGGGCCAGGAGGGAGCAGTATGGCCGGGATCATGACTGGCATGATGTTTTGCAAGCTTTGCCCTATGAGTAGAAACTGTAAACCTTAAGTCCACGAGAAGCCTTGAACATGTTTCCCTCACATGACATCTGGCATAACAGATAATATACTGAAGGCATAATGATGACATAATAAACGACATACATTGAAGACAATTTGGAACATGGGTAACAGCTGTAACCTTCAGCAGCTTTCAGGCAGCAGAGGTGTGCAAAATCAAAGTACTGGCAGTACTGTGAGTTCAGTGCAAAAAAACAGTGGGGTGTAAGTATGAGGATTTGAGACACGTAGTTTAGGAGTCACCCTGGAAGATTTTAATCTGTGCTTCATGATTGAAGGACCCCAGTGTAATTTACAGACCAACTAAATCTTAAACAACATACATAGCATTTTCTTTTGAGAAAGAACATGTTGCCTTTTGAAAGCTAGATGAGACAGTATCTGAGGCAACGTTTTCCCTCGCTGATTTATCAGAACCCAGAATTAGCACTGGGTATTGCAAAGCATATGGAGTAAATTGTAACCTGGCGCAAAAGAAAAGGCTTTGAGATGTTTTCCTATCAGGCTTGGTAACAGATGTTTCAACATTCATCTCCTTCAATGCCTTAGCAGTTAAAAAAAAATGTGCAGGACAAATGCCAGACCCTTTGTTATCTGACTTCAAGTATTTCACAGAATTAACGACTCCAGTGTTTGAAGAAATGGATAAGAAAGTAGAGAGAAGGGAATACGTACAAAGGGAAAAGTTGTGCCTGTAGCTGCCGAGTCGAAGTTCTTACCAGTAAAAGTACCATGCTGCGAACTTCCCGGTGCGATGAAATTGAGGGGAACGTGGGGAGTCCCGCTGATGTACTCAGTTGGAAAAGCTCCATTGGGGCCCTTGTAGCGGCGACAGACCACGCGCTGGCACACGAAGTACATCCCTCCCATAACAAAGACTGAGAGAATGATCCCAATGACTGGTCCGATGGTGCTGCTGTGGGCCTGAAGATCGCTTGGCGGGGAGTTATACTCTGCCAAAATAGATTGAGATATAGTGAGTACAGAATCATACACTGAAGACTGAAAAGTTAGTAAGCACAAGAGAAAGCAGGGAACTCAGCCGTTTTAAAAATGCATAATGCATTGAACCACGACATCTTACAAAACTGACTCTCCTCTGTTTCCACTGCTTTCCAGATGGCACGAATGAAGAGCTGAGTAAGGGGGACTTCATTTTTAAAAAGGTCTCTGAAAGATGACATGCTTCCACTGAACATCGAATGTCTGCATTGTTGTCGCCTGTTCAGGTTAAAAGGATTTTAACCACATTGTAAGTTGGTTGTGTGCTTTAAAAATACACAACACCCCTGAAGTCACCTCTACAGTAAGTGACATTTCAAACAATCTGATCTCAGATTTTTGTGTTCTTTCTTACTTAGGGCAGAGCAGTAAGAAATCAAGATCGTGTTAAGTACAGAGAATATACAAGTGAGTGATCTCAGACTCATGATATCATCCCCACAACGGCTCGATGCTCAGTCCTCAAAGGCCCATAACTCACCACAGAATAGCTCGTCGGAGTCATCGCTGCAGTCCGAAAAGGAATCGCACTGCTGCTTCTTCAGAATGCACTGGTTGGTTCTACAGCGGAACTGGTTTGGACGGCAGATAGCTGCAAGGGGAGGTAGCCGAGAGTTTATTTATGGCACCTCATATACGTGTGTCACGTCCTTTTCGAACAAAAAAATACACACTTTCCACGAAAGGACGCACAGACCGCAACTGGACAGGAAGTCGCCCTAGTCTCGGGCACTGGCGGGCAGAGAGAGAGAGGAGAAAGAGCGGGCAGGCGGGCGGGCGGTAGGGCGTACTGTCGCAGTCCTGCTCGTCGGAGCTGTCCGCGCAGTCCGCCTCTCCGTTGCAGCGTAGCCGGGCGTCGATGCACTGGCCCTTTTCGCACTGGAACTGGAAGGCGGAGCAGACGGGGCAGTCCTCCTCGTCACTGTTGTCGTCGCACTCGGCGAAGCCGTCGCAGCGCCAGTCCATAGGGATGCAGTCGATCTCGCCCGTCGCGCAGGTGAACTGCTCCGGCGAACAGGTGGGCGGCTCTGCCAGGCACACGGGATCAGAACATACGTTCATCAGTGTGCAATGTCCATTAAAGACCAAAAACAAACAAACAGGGGAGTCAAATGCCAATTTCATATGCAAAAGAATATGAATATTTATGTTTCCCTGTGATGGACAAACGTCCCATCCAGGGTGTACCCTGCCTTTGCCCATTGCTTGCCAAGGTTGGCTCAGGCTCCCTCGCGATCCTGAACTGATGGATGGAAATTATGATGGGATAGAAAACAGATGGAGGGATATTTTCATATCCTTCAAGGGTACAAAAGAAGGACAGTATGTGTGAGGCGCACTGGAGAAAGGTGTGATTAAAATGTGCATGGATCCCAAGGTGAAGGAATAGGTGTAAAGGCGAGGTGTCTGCCATCGAATCGAAAGGGACCCATTCCACTTTGAAAATTGACATTCTAAAATGTAATTCGTGATGGAACCCATCATCAATAAATCAAGTCCAACAGAATCATCACAAGCAAATAAGAGTCATTAAAAATAAGAATAACATTTACCAACATTCAATACAGAAAGCTTCTTTTCACAGCTGTTTACTCTGCCCTCAAATTACAGTGCAGGATGGTCAGTTTCCCAGCCCACTAGTGGGCTGGTCTTGCCCACTTCCTGTAACAAGGTGTGCCCTGTCCACGTGACCATTCAACACATGTTCATTGACGCGAACGTCCAGGAGAAGGAGAGCCTCTGTTTAAGATGGTTGTACTGAGCGTTTCTGTTTCTTGGTAATAATATTTCAAAACATGCCATATTTTTCTGTGATTTCAAGGATACCTTCCAGTCAGCAACTTTTGTGTTTTGACCTTTAATATACCACCACAAGACTTTTGTTGTTGACCACAACGTAGTGAAGAAATACTTATAATCTGTTGAAGCTTCATTTCTATTTAGGTATTTTTCTTCTTGGTGTACAAGAAGAAGAAAAAAACAGAATATTCTGGAAAATAACATTTAAACATTTGTATCTCCCTTTAGTCTAATATCCCTAGAATTCAGTCAAAAAGTACTATATTTGAGAACATATCATTGTGCTTTATATCAGGAGAGTTTTTCATTGATAAAAACTGAAAAGTGGGGGTCACAGCTATACTGTACTTTCTGGTGATTTGTTTACAGGGCCTCCCCCTGGAGTTTGGTAGGGCACACAGCGCAGTATTTGGTCCTGTATATACATGTAATACAATTTAATCCTGTGTATATTACCTTCCAGTGCACTTGTGCGGCTTTGTTGTCTGTAGACACAAGCAGTTTCCCAAGTAACATCTATATGCAAATTGCTTATCTACATATCTCCCTAACATGTGGTAACAATGGACGTAACCCAGCCATGAGGCCCTCAGAGTCTCACACCCAAATAAAGAGTCAGGATTTCATTTGAAACATGTCATATGGTTTTGAGGAACTAAATCAAGCATGTGTACACATTTCTTATAAGTGTTATCATTTGTGTTGTTTATTTAAATAAGTAAACCACAATCTCTCAGACTCCCCTGAAACAAAAGACACATTATTTTCCACAAGAGGGAGCTGAAACATTTGCAGCTATCTGTGTTAGAGTCCCTCCACAGTAACAGTGCTTGTTCCTTGGTTACAAGTGCCAAAGCAGATTTAACCCTTGAATGTGCCCCCACAAAGCTAAATGATAAATAAATGAAAGATAATAAAAATTCCTGATAATGAATAGCATGTTGATAAAGACAAGAACATATAGTAAGTAGGAGCTTATTATATTAAAATAAGCATAATGATTTGTGATGCGTTTTAAGGGCATTCACGTGTCTGCTTGACTGGGTGTGTTGAAATTTGCAGGGCTGACAGCTGAGAGAGTACAGACTTTCTGGACCCAAGACCTTATTGGAAGGTTGAGGGGGCGGCAAATTTTATCCAAGAATTGTCTCGGGGAAGTAAGCTCATTACAGCATTTTAAAACTAGGAGTTCAAAATCGTTGCCCTAAAACTTTGCAGGGGGATCTCTGCGTACCTCCACAGGTGAGCAGGTTCTGCAGCAGGACAAGGTGGACTGGACAGGAGCAGCGAGGAGTCCCATCTCCCTTAGCGATGCAGATGTGAGAGCAGCCTCCGTTGTCACGGGAACAAGGGTGTGATGCTGGAGGAAGCACCAACAATTAGCATTTAGCGGCAGATTCTCCCCCGGGGAGAGACACAAACATAACAGAGACCTAGATGAAACAGCCTCTGCAGGTGTCTCTCAATTTGTAAGGCGGAAAAAAGACAAGAGCGAGAACCTACCAAACTCTGTGGCGTCCATGTCTTCCACAGCGTGGATGCTGGTGAGGTGGAAGATCCTGCCCTGGATTCGTGTCCTCTTCTCCCCAGTGAGCTTGTCCACTCGCTCAATCATCTGCTGCTGCCGGTCAATCCAGTACAGGTGCTCTCCAAGCACAGTCAGCCCCATGGGCTGCAGAATGTTGGAGTCCTGCAGGGTGATGCGGTTTGCTCCTGTTTTAAAGAGCAACAGGAGATGCATATAAGCAAGTTGCAATTGCACATTATACTTAACACGGGCATAGCTCTAGATCACTTGTAGAGGAAGGTACAACTACAAAATTGGAGCGAAGAAGCACATGCAAATTTTGTAATAAAAAATGCTTCCCCTTTTATTCAGTGGAAGTGTCTACGCTGGAGGAAAAAAGAAATGGCACTGGAATGCTTCCTTATGTCATTACGAGCAAAATCCCCTTAATTGGAGAAGCCTTTTGGTAAAACTTTCTGAAGAAGTCTGTATTGGGCCTCAACATTTCATAATTTCACATTCTTTCCAGTTATATCACAATCTGAGAAGCAGTCTGTGCATGTGCAGCACATGGTTCTCTTTCCTTGTTTCTGTTTAAATTGATCTGCCACAATATCAGCTTTGATCTTAAGGCTAGAAAATGTTGTTCAAAGCTGCCTTTTGCAACTGAAGTAAAAATGGGAAGGTCCTCATTTATCCAGGGGCCATAAAACAAGCTAGTCATACCAGTGGTTACTTTATCACACTTTCTGCAACTCACTGATTGTGATATGATAATTACACTTCTATTAATCATTATAACCTGTAACCTTCTGAAGGATTTCTCTGTGTGCCAATTGGTCTATGTTGTCAGAGAAGATAAGGAGGCCCTTTGGGATGGCCCAGAAGAAGACTGACACTTCCTCAGAGCCTGAGTGTAAAGATCATGTTCCCTGTCCACATTTTTTTTCCTTGCTATATGCCTCCACAAATGTTTATGTGTTGTACAGTTAGCTTTGATGAAGTCACTTCATTTTTCAAGGTTCTCCCAGCAGTCAAGTCCAAGGTGCACAAAGAACCTTTTCCTCGGCAGAGATTTAGAGAGATTTCTTATTTACAGGAAATGCTAGAGATGAAATGTCTATGTACTGTAGGTCTCAGGGACAACTGGCAAGCCGGATCTCTTCAATATCACCATTGTTTTAGGAATCTCCGATGACGCTAAATTATTTGCAAATGACGTGTCACCTGATTTACAGCAGGAAAAGGCAACTGTAAAACAAAAATGAAAGTCAACTATGATCTGCTGATTGATCAGTGGACTGTATTTAAGGTGTGCTCATCAGGCTGAAGACATCAAACCTTTGTACTGCATCTGGAGTATACCTAGTTGTCTGGCACCTGCCAAATTACAATAAAGATGAAATGACAGCCTCTTTTGAAGTCCCCTGTAATCATTTCATCCCCACCTAAAACTGTCTTCTCAAGCAGACGTAGTTCCCTCTTGTCTACACAGACAAACCCTCCTACATATATCACTTCAATCAACACTGGGTGCCCTAGCAAAGTATCTGTGATGCATTACTTATCAGTGCAATCGTAAGAAGTACCCAAAATTACAAAGCCTCCTGGTCTCTAGGCTGCACAATTTCGAAGAAAAAAAAAACCCCATCAAGCTTAGTTACAATTGTTGACATATTTTAACTCATATAGCTTTGGTCATGAATCAGCTCGGGGATAAAGAAGATCAAATCACATATCGCTTCCACTGAAACCTGGGAAGAGTAAGAAACACTTGGATTTTGCCATGTTTCTGGAATTGGATCATAAAGTTGCAGGTACTACAACTGCAGGCAGTCCTTCACTGACAGCAGAGTGGACGGAGTGTGCTTTGATGGAGCAAATTCTGAAAGTGCGATCCAATCTTCAGATCTTAACTCTCAACAGAGATTATGTCCTCTTTGATTTTGTCAGGTGTTTTTATGTATGTGGATATAAAAATCCATATTTTAAAACAATTGTAACAGTGGTCAGCTGTGTTAAGTACGTAGCGTGTCTGTTCAACATCACAGTGTTATGCAAACATTTAATCTATTAAGAAGTGTAAAGGTATTTGTTTTTTGGTGTCTACTGATATAAAACATACCTCTACAACATCAAACTTTAATTTATAGAGAACCTTTCATACCAAGAATCTCAAACGATTGTATTGTACAAAAGAATATTCTTAGATGCCACCTCATACAGAGTACAGTCACATGATATAACCAATGTATTATAACTTACAGTCTTTGGCACAGAAGGCTTACTTGGTATTTTACAAATAGAGGAAAGGGAGCAGTAGATAACAGTTTACTGGAAAGAATTAATGGAAAAGTAAGGCATGTCAGTTCTGCTAGCAGCTCTGGGTCCCTGGACCTGCAGAGATGCAGTATCCTCGCAAGACATTCAAGAAACTTCAAAAGATCAAGTTTCTGTGACTAGATCAAAGACGGCGATTTCTTTGGTAAAGGCCAGATATCTTCCATGTTATGGATGCATTATCTCAGGGCACTTTAGCCCAACTTTCATCATGAATGTTCAAGGGAGCTAATCAGATGGAGAAAAGGAAAAGGGTAGGGCAGAAAAAGACTAATTACCAAGCCAGGGCTATGTCATCCCACCACAACACTTTCACAGCCACAAATCTGACTACTGCTCTTCACATCCATTTGGCTCCAGGGCCAGTATATTCTGTATAAAAGCTTCTTCAATGTGAAAGTAGAACAATTCAAATTACACTATTAGAAAACTCTCAAGTCCAAAACCCCACTTACACTTTATTTTTTAAAGAAAAGTCAAACTTCTATCCTGTCATACCCTCCAATACTGTACATTCTGAAGTGGACAGAAAGGGGAAAGGTCTTCATCAGTTAGATCTTGGAAAGGTTTTTAAAAAAAAACATAGTTTTTACTTTTCAGGATTCTTGTCAAAACAACCCACACGCTCCTCAGCGGTCCTGTGCCACAGCCCCACTGTGTTAACCCATGCACTCACCAGACAGGTCGCTGCTCTCAATGCGTTTCAGATCAGCGTCCACCCAGAAGAGCTTCCCCAGCTTGTTGTCAACGGCCAGGGCGACGGGTCGGATCAGTCCGGTGGTGAAGAGGCCCTCGCGCTCAGTGCCGTCCAGGGAAGCACGCTCGATTTTTGCGGACCTCTCCTGCATGTTGGTGAAGTACATGTACCTGGGGGTCCACAGTACGGCAATTGTTAAGACCAAGAAAATTGCACTGGACCAAAACGTAGCCCTTGATTTCAGTGTAATTGCTTTCTGCTCTGTAAAATAAAGGAGGCAAGATTTTGGAGAGAAGCACAGTGGCGCTGTGGTTGACCGTGCTGCCTCGCAGGGCTTCCTGGGGCACTGTCTGGGTGGAGTTTGTATGATCTCCCTCGTATCCATTTGGGTTTCCTGCGGGTATTCTGATTTCCTCCAACAGTCCAAAGATGGCCCAAAGGAAATAAAGAGGATGTAACCTTTGATATTGACGTTCTCATGGAGAGATGGGATTGACTACAAATGAAAATGACAAAGGGCCTGCAGCCAGGCAGCTTGCTCAGATTGTCATGGCTGGTAAACGCAGGGTTACTGAAACATTCAGCTGTGCGTCTCGAGAAACAACTGCAGGACTGCACGTGCTCATTAAGTAGAGGTGTTTTTCAGTTTGTTTTGATAGATGTCACATTAATCTTACGATGCGCAGCTGGTGAGCTCCAAAAAGAGCAGCTGGTTTTGTGGTATTTGCGAGTTTAAAAATAAGAAAAAACCTGCAATCATCTGCTTGCAATTTAGCGCTGCCCCTTTATAAACATCATAATCAACGAGTCAAGGCTGTATTTTATTTTCCTTCAATATCTGACGCAAAGTCCCCACAAATTAGACAAAGGATTTTGGCTATTAAAAAAGCTAGAAAAACTGTCTTTCCAATTAGAAAACATATCCTTACTACAGAAAAAAAAAACATCAGCTAACAAATTCACCCTGACATCTATGCTTCTTCTTTTTTCAAGTTCTCTTTGAGGACATTTATGTTCTCTTTATCCTACACTATAACCCTTCATTTTAATCAACAAATCTCCATTCACTAAGCTTTAGTAGTGTATATATATATAGTGATACACATACTCAAGGGAATTCCACACACCCTGCCTGGATTTAAGTAAATGAAAAAATAAGCACTTCTCAATGAGATACATGTCTTACTTCAAAGGCACACTCTCCGAAGCAAGTAGGAAAACAGCATGTTCGCAATTGCGTTACTGTATCTGAAAAACACACCACCTTCGTCGTAATTGCATCTGCTTCTCCTGCCTGCCTTGTGAATGCTTTGTTTTGTTTTATAGTACACACTTGCTTGTTCATTTCTCCTTTGCCTCCGATATTATGCCAAAGGTCAATGGCTACCACACCCAAGCATATCCAGGAATGCTATAAATAGGGAACTTGTGCTAACCGTGATGGCAGTGACACTAACAATGGGCAGGCAATTACAGAGCAGACAACCAAACCCCTGACCACACTCAACCACATGGAAAAAAAATCATATGTCCATCTGTTGAACACATGGATATGGAAACTGCTCAAGCGGATTTCAGAATATTCTAGTGCTTACACAGGGAGTGGTTCATTTACCTCTGAAACACACTAAACAGTATCTCCTGTGTCAAAAAGTAAATACAGTACCACATCACAAATGACCAATCATAAGCCAATTACTCTTCTTAAAAGTGCCACATTAAGTAAAGTTACCCGTTTTAAAAATAAAAACGTACAAATAAATATTCACCGCACAATCAAATCCGCAGATGTCCTCCTCTAACAGCACACTGCACAACATCTCCCTCCCTCGTTTGTCATCCATTTTTCCTCTTCTTGAGAGTCCTCCATCACTCAGGACTGTCACTCTTCATGCTCTTTATAACGCTTCTTCATTGTGAATTTAATTTGAGTGAAGCTACTATACTTGAAGGATTATATCTGGGCGGTTCCATTCTTTATCCACAGGTACATTTGTCTTCCTCTTACTTTGCAAACATTTCGCTGTCTGCTACAGATGACTACCAAATAAATGATGATGCTGGATCCAACCGTGCAACTTCACTCAATGCAGGAGTAACTGTATTATCATCTTCTGAAGTATATCCAGGCCCCAAACTCCAAGTTGATTTCAGACTCAGCTGCCAGCTCCACTGAGAAGATGTAACACAGTATAACAAATGCCCATGGCAGCCTTACCCTCTCTCTGCGTTGACCACAATAGCGCGAGGCCGGTCCTGCTCGCCTCTCAGCACCACGCCAATAGATTTGCCATCAAGCCGGTGAACGTTGATGGTGTTGGTGGCCTCGCACGTCCAGTACACCGTCCGGCTGAACACATCGATGCTGAGGTCATGAGGCTGCTTGTCGGGGTTCTGAAGGTGGCCGGAGGAAGACACCACCACAAAAGCCTAGAAGAAGCAGAAGGACAGAGGAGCTGTATGAAAATGGAAGGACGCTGATGAAAACCATATTTTTATAAACTGCCGTCTGAGAAGAAAACCCCTGGGGGTCGCCTTGCTGTTGCTGGCCATTTCTTCAACTCAGATTAGTTCTTGAAAGATTTTGCATAAGCACTTTGATCGTTTTCTGCTAGTAGGTGAAGATTGTGGTGAGATGTACTGTATATCAGTAACAGAGGCACTCTTAGTTTATTATCCAATGTAAAGTCCTCATGTCACAATCGCTTGTTATCCCTGAGTGTTGTTTTCCTAATTGGTCAAATGTAACCAAATACATAACAAAGGGAGAGAGAGTTGAGCAGATCCTTCACTCCACAGGGTGATCTAGCTCAAATTATAAAAAAAAAACTTTTCCACTGTTGTTAAGTTAACAACAATTAAAGTAATATAAAAGATATAATTATATCCACCCTTTTTTCTAACCATTTCACCCCATTCCGGTGAATTTCAGCAAGCAAATGGACACAAGGCACAGCAGGGCAAACACACACACATACTCACACCAGAGGCAATTTGCCCAGAGACCAGCATGTCTGTGGACTGTGGAAGGAAACTGGAGCAAGCAGAGGAAACACATACAAACACAGGGTGAACACATACACTCTACACAGATAGCATCCTCAGTCAGGAATTGAACCCAGGGCCCCACAGCTGCAAAGCAGCGCTGCTAACCACTGTCCTAGCATGCTGCCCAAGAAGCAATACCCTAGTCCAACTTTAGCATGTAATAAATGCTGTGATTATATTTCAGTGGCTACCTGTGAGCCATCATCCATTGCTCTCTTGATGTTTTGTCGTCCATCCACCCAGTAAATGAGCTTGTCCACAGGGTCGTAGCTGATAGCTCGGACGTTCCTCAGCACGTGAATGGGCAGGATGATGTCCGGGCTCTGCTCTCCCAGCACCATCCTACTGATAGCGGCTTTCTGACTGAACAGGAGGAAGCTAGAAGGAGCTGCAAAATGTTGGGGAGCATTAATTGAGGAAGTCAACATGTCTAAAACAAAATGATATAAATGACTGTACTATTGTTTCCGAGACCCAGAACAGCGTACTGGGATGGATTAACTGGATTTAAATCTTTTTAGCCAGGAACAGAAATTATTAGAGGGGGATTTTATTCAGGTTTGCAAATCCTGAAGACAGGTGACTGCGGCAATACAAGGGAACATCTTCAGGACAAGCAAACAAGACTCGGGGGATGCAAATTCAAATTCAGTTTAGTTACAGTCAGGACAGAGATATATTTGTCCCACAGAACATCTGTGTGATTCCAGGTGTGTAGTAAATGCTTTGATGACATTTAAGTGGCTACCTAATCACTCATCCATAAACTCTAGATACCTGTTGTTGAATTAGACTATTAAGGTATTAGTAATCTTTGCAGCAAAGATGGTTCATACTATAATTGCTTCATCTAATTTATAATTAGACCTTTCTAAATGTACTCAAATTATCTAACAGTGAACTCTTAGAAACTAATCATCCAGTCACTAAACAGCTGTGGATTGGGGATCCTATGAGGCAGTAAAGACCACATTCAGAAAACTGGCAAGTATTAGATATCCTGTAATCTGAACAGTAATAAAAAGTCATCGGTTTTCCATTTATTCGTGTAGAAATGCCCTGATTATATCTCAGGGAGGTTTTGAGAGAAAAGTGTGCTGCACTACTTATTTCAATATTTGATTACTATTTGCATTGCATACTATTTGCATTGTAATTAGGGGTTCATTATAATATAGATTTTAGTATCATGAAAGACCATGTAACCTAAATCCTGAATACAAATTCTATGCTCCATACATGTTCATCATAAACTACTGCAGGTGTCTTTGGACCCAATAAGTCTCCCATATCTGCCTTTATAAAAGGCCAAACCTTCATATCCAACATTTTCATTTGGATTTAATCAAAGACTTGTATATTTCTTTTTTACTTGTTTTGAGAGAAAGAGAACTTCTTTTGATGATACAAACTGTAATCCTCTTATAATACTCAATCAAAGAGCATTACAGAGTAAAGACAGGTATGCATTAGGGCAGAAAAGGGCCTTAATCCTCAGCCAAAAAAAAGTCCTTGAGCAATCCCCAATATTAAATGCTTTGCTTATGTTCAATACATATGAAGCGCAGATCCAAAAATCAGCGGTTTCTGAGTTCTCCACCCCTGTGTTCCATTTGCCTAGTGCTCGATGTGGCCAGGAGCCAGAAGGCCTGGATTTGATATAGCCAGTCCACCTAGACATGGCTGGAATGCAGATTGTTATGAAACGCAGTGACTCACAGACTTTTAGACAAAACATGCTGTGCATTGCTTCTCAACAACAGAAAACTATGAGGATAGCAGTCTCAGGGAAACATTAAATTAGAAAGTGTTCGGCAATACACATTCATGGTCAGGGTTTAAATCACCAGTCCTCCTCCTTCCTCTATCTTCATTGAAATGATATTTGTATATTCACTTTCAGCTCTTCTAGGCATGCCATTTCCACCTCACAGCAGCTTTGCATTAACCAGTTTCTCCAGCATCTTAATTTCCCCTATGGCAGCATCATAATGGCAGCTGAAAGAAACAGGTTTGGGCCCTGAGGTGGCACTCGGAAGGAGTGATCTGACTGGCTCTAGTAACCAGTTTTAGTTTGGGGTTATGAAGAAGCATTTTGAAAAGGTTAGAGCCCTGTTTGATGTGGTATTTTTAATCTGTTTGTAAATTTACACACACATTGAATGGTTTATCTAAATACACTGTACTGCAAAATTATTGTTGAACATTTTGCATTTTTAGTTTTAATAAAGTTTGATCTAAATGTTCTTACAAGACCAGTTTTGTTTCCTTAGATGATTTTAAAATGTTCCAATATTATGTTTAACTTAGTATTTAACGTGGTACTACTTTATGTACAGTTTCCACTCTGGACTTAACAAAAGGCAAAAAGCGGAAAAGCAGATGAAGTAAGTCTCTGGAATAGTATCTTCACAAGCTTTCTGAGAGTGCCTTGAAGATACCTGAGCATTTTATGAGGAAAAGGTAACCCTCCCCAGAGTGGCACTAGGTACATCAATTTTGGAAGCTGCAAAACGTTTTCTTTTTAGATACTACTAGTAATTTCATTCTTAAATCCCATTTTTCACTTAACAGCCAGATGAGCAATTCTCAAAACTGTAAGCAGGGAGAAGGGTGGTAAGATTCACCAGGGAAGTGAGCAGATCACTCCTTCCGAGAGCCACCTCAGGGCCCAAACCTGTTTCTTTCAGCTGCCATGATGATGCTGCCATAGGGGAAATTAAGATGCTGGAGAAACTGGTTAATGCAAAGCTGCTGTGAGGTGGAAATGACATGCCTAGAAGAGCTGAAAGTGAATATACAAATATCATTTCAATGGTACATACTAATGTACCCTTAGTAATAGTCAGACAAAACGTAGAACAGGTAAATGCGAGACACAAAGTGGAAACAGACATCTAGGCAGAAGAATAAGAGAAACTGGGGAAAAAGAAAAACTTACAGCTACAGTTTTTGCCATTGGCATCCAGAGTGTAATGGGAAGCACATCTACACTTATATCCCTCAGGTACGGCCAAACAGAGGTGGGCACACTGCCCGTTATTCTGCACACATTCATTCCAGCCATCCTGGCGCGAGGAGTGGAACACTAAAATATCCATAACGTATTCCAGATGGCCCTGGATCTCGGTCCGGTTCTGCCCGTTACTCTTGTCCGCTCTCTGGATGCTCTGCAGGGTCCAGTCAGTCCAGTAGATGAAGTCACGGTACTGGGTCAGCCCGAACGGGTGGGACAGATCATCTGCTATGATTTCTCTTTCCTGCCCTGTGTGAATCCAAGAGAAAGCACACTGCAGTATTCCCATGGTCACTGACATTATGATCAGCCCCTTAGAAACACAGAATCTAAATGCCAAATACATTTATCGCTCTTATGACTTAAGCAGACTTATTTTAAGGACGCAGAAAGGAGTTTGAGAGGCATGAACCACCTCATCTCTCCCTGTAGAGGCAAAGGGCTTATTTCAAGTCTATCAAGGTTTTTTTTTGCTCTGCCTCATCCTTAACACTACAGCACATTACTCTTTAAAATTTTCCCTATTCCAGCTTGGGAAAAAATGAAACACTGTGTGCTTTCTGAAGCAGACCCCCCTTTCTAACAATGTTAAATTTGCAGCACAGAATAGTGTATAGAGCTCATAACCCATTATGAGAAGACTGCGGGTTCAAGTCTCAGCTGCTGACATTGCTTTGGTATGCTTGAATAACTTGCTCCAGTCCTCTCAGCTGTATAAACAGGTACCAGCATTGTATCTTGGCTTGTACTAAAGGTTTATTTAATACTGCGGAAATAGGCACTGGCTTAAATGAATAGAAACTGTGAAAAAAAACAATGATTTTTTTTGTTATATTTGAATGTTGCTGCATAATGGTTTCATGATCCCTTTATAACTGCTACACAATACATTATAATCTCATGCATAATGCATTATAAGACATTATAATCCCATATGTAATGCTTTATAGGAACATTCTCAAATGATATAATGTGCATAAGAGGTCATGTCTTTCATTTTAGCATCTCCTCATACCAAGAACTATAAAATATGCTAAAACAAATGTCATGACCTCTTACACACACGTTATTTCATTTGTGCATGTCCCTTCAAAGCATGATGAATGTCATTATACTGTAGTATCTTGTGTAGCAGTTATGAAAGGATTATGAAGCTCTTAAGCAAAAGCATTCAAATGAAGCCTCACAAGTGTTTTTCGGCTGTTTTCCTAAGCAGAAACAAGGTGAACCTGTGAAATTTCCGTTGATACTGTTTTGCCAGTGAAGGGGTGACTGAAGACAAGAGATGGGTTGGGAACTTAGGAGGAGATCTTACCAAGCATGTTTGAGGACTCAATCATGCAGGTGTCCAGGTCTGTCCAGTAGAGCCTCTGATCCACATAGTCGATTGTGAGACCGTTGCCTCGGCCTAGTTTATCCACCAGAGTAACAATGTTGGTTCCATCCATGTGTGCTCTCACTATTCGTGGTTTCCCGCCCCATTCTGTCCAGTACATGTAGCTTAAAAAGAGAAAAGATATTATAAGTAGTTCAGGTGGGTGGCTGCGTCACCATGCGTAGGCTGCAAAGGAACAAGTAATAGGTTTATTCCATGCTGAAAGGAGAAGCAAGAAAACAAGTAGACTTAGACTTAAAATATATTATGATTACTGAGTAAAACGCCTGCTAATAATAACCCAATCGAAAGGACAAGACAAACCAAAAGCTCTGACTTACAGAAATCAGTGTTTACTGAAAGCTACTGTTGTTTTTTTCATTTAAGTTGTCACAAGAGTTTGCAACCTCTAAGTCTGAACAACACATTAATGTGAATTCTAGTCTCAAACACAATTAAATATCCCTTGAATAACAAACTTTCCGATAAGCGATTCAAAGATTGTCCAAGACATTACTTAATCTCAGTCTTACAATGACACACAATTCAATTACATGTTCACACAAGAAATTTAAAATACAAGGAACATGAATGTTAAAGTGATTCAGCAGTGAGGTCATTGTTCCATAGTTCTTTAAAATGTCTTTATTTAGTCATGACATCAAAATAGTCTACCTTTAGTCTCTGTAGATGAGATTGAGAAGGTTGCAAAGTCAACAAAAAACAGATGCACAAACACAAAAATACCAGGAAAAGTAAAGCTTGAAGCCCAAAATTAAATGAAAACTTTTTTTTTCAAATACAAGACTAAATGTTTTTTTTTAATGAGCAAATTATATTTGTACTTAAGCACCTGCCAGGACGCAAGCTTTAAAAATGTGACAAAAAAGGTCTTTATATAGTTTATAAAAATGAGATTTTAGCTTTTTTTGTTGAAATATTACTTTAATTGTTGTTAACTTAACAACAGTGAAAAAGTTTTTTTTTCTAATTTGAGCTAGATCACCCTGTGGAGTGAAGGATCTGCTCAACTCTCTCTCCCTTTGTTATGCATTTGGTTACATTTGACCAATTAGGAAAACAACATTCAGGGATAACAAGCGATTGTGACATGAGGACTTTACATTGGATAATAAACTAAGAGTGCCTCTATTACTGATATACAGTACATATCACCACAATCTTCACCCACTGGCAGAAAACGATCAAAGTGCTTATGCAAAATCTTTCAAGAACTAATCTGAGTTGAAGAAATGGCCAGCAACAGCAAGGCGACCCCCAGGGGTTTTCTTCTCAGACGGCAGTGGTTTAAGCCTCTTACCCTTTGGCAGGGTCGAGCGCTAGGGAGCGGGGGTTGTCCAGGTCTTTACACACCAAGACCTGGCGGTACTGTCCATCCAGGCGCGCCACTTCAATCCGGTTCGTCCCGGTATCGGCCCAGTACAGGTTTTTCCCCATCCAGTCTACTGCCATGCCCTCCGGATAGTCCAGCCCAAACTCGATGATGTGCTCCACGGAGCTGCCGTTCATGAAGGCTCGGCTTATGGTCTGCGCAGAGAGACAGAGAGACTCAGTGACGAACAAGCTTGGAAACCGAACATTCGGTACAGAAGAGACACTGCAGGGGCTGTACAGAGTTTGTACAGTATGTTCTTCCCATGTTTGCATGGGCTTCCTCCGGATGCTCTGGTTTTGTTCCACAGTCCAAAGACATACTGGCAGGTGAACTGGCTTCTGGGGAAATTGGCCCTGGTGTGAATGTGTGTGTCCGTGTCTGCATGTGGCGTGCAATGGATGGTGTCCAGAAAAGAATTAGAGACCTGGAAATTCATACAGAATTATTTTTCTGAATAAACCATTGTTTTTCCTAAGTATACTGCATGTCTTTCCCAAAACTGTCAGATACGACAAATACTTAACAGGGCTCAGATGCAGAACAATAGCTTTTATAGAAATGGGTTCAGAAAGTACTTTATAATTCTGCTAAATTGTTCCTCTCTAAATACCTATGGAACATTGTAAATATTCTACACTTCACGGACATCTTAGTTTAGTTTCATTTTTAGTTGGAGTTTGCTTAATCAACACCTTTCTCAAATCAAAACATAAATCAATATACACTTCAACCATTTGGACCCAAAGCAAGCATCCACCTTATTTTTATTTTACTTTCTGTAGCTACAAGATAACAGAGGCCAATTACCTTCATACTGACATCAGTCCAGTAGATTCTATTGTCAGAGACGTCAAAGTCCAAGGCAGAAGCCTCCTTCACCCCTGTCAGAGGAATTGCCACGTCGTTATTAGTGGTACCCAGAGATATCCTGCGTATGTCCGCCCGGGTGGTGAAGAGTAGGAAGGCTTCTGGCACAATGCAAGTTTTCATGTCATTCAGTAGCTCCAAGCCCATGGGACAGGCACACCTCAGGCCCTGAGGCCTATAGAAACACAGGTGGCTGCAGCCTCCATTGTTTTCTGTGCATGAATTAGTTCCTGTGGAAGAAAGGAAGAGCTTGTGTTGTGCTTCATTATAATCTCATTAATCGGGAAAACAATGAAAACTGAAATCCAGAGGTCAAAGGAGACTTTTGGCTAGCCGGTGTCTGAGTGCTGATCACTTCTTCCTTCCCCTCCCAATTTAAAATTGACGATGTAAGCTTTTTGTGAGGAATATTTGATATTTGCCGATAAGATTAAAGTCGACCGTACCAAACGCCTCGGTCACTCTGGTTGCCTTCAAGCCCATGAGATCTGGCAGCTGGTCGATGATGATCTCCCGGGTGGCTTTGGTCTTGTGCACTCGCTCGATGCTCCTCCTTTGCCAGTCTGTCCAGTAGATATAATCGCCCAGCAGTGTGAAGCCAAAAATGTGGGGAAGCTTGTCTTCCAGCAGGGTTTTCCTCTCTGTCCCATCAATGTTGATGACCTGTGGCAAGGAAGGAACAAGACAGTATTACCCAACTACCGTATCCTTGGGCCCTCAGCGACATGTTGAAAACACAGTTTGACGAAAGGAAATGACAAGAGCTTCCGTAAACTGACAGGGTTGTCTTATAGACATTTTTTTTTTGTTTCCTTTGCAGGAAGAACGAACTACAGCCCGGCATATGAAAGAAGAGCACAGTCTTTGAAGTACACACAAAAGCCCAGCAAGAGTGGTCCACTGACATCAACAGGCTCTTGAGATAAAAAACTGTACAACTTAAATAAATCAGCAGCACTGCTTTTGGTCTTCTTATTTCGCAAATTTTGTGTAAGAACCACAAGAAAAGAAGAGCTACAAATACCCATCTGAACTTCTTTCATAGAACTCCGCAAATCCTCAAATGTTTCCCGACACCCTGAAACAACTTTTCTTTATAAAGTTAACTAATTTTAAAAAAAGTTCTTATTTTTATACTTTTATATATTGCAGTGTTTTCTATGGAATGATATCAGCTCATATTAATTATTTTAATATAAAAAGATATAAGCTAAATACATTTCTCACAAACTGCTGAACGTGACAGCACATTGCTCAGGTCACTGGGTCTGTACAGGTTTTACAAAGTAATACCTTAAATACGAATATCTCTGCCTCCTTTCTATATACAGAAAAGTTTCTTCTTCAGATGATGAGAGAGACAGTAACAGAACACAGGTCTATTCAAAACAGAAGCCAGAATGACACTCAAGCTTCTGTAAATGCATTGATAGTAAGGAAGAGCTGCCATCAAATCCTCATCTTTTGGATACACATTCACAGAATATGACTTTATCTTACTACTGGAGCAAATTATATTTGTACTTGAGCATGTGGCAGGACACCGTTGAGTTTATCTTACCACTGGATTTCAGGTAAACACAGTATAAGAACAGTCAATGATGGCACAGCACGAGCTTCTGTATTGTTACAGATCTTACAGATTGTTACAGATCTTTCTTAAAAAACTTTTTTAACTAAAGAATTCTGTGTTATCTGATTACAGATATGTTTTACATTTCTAACAATAGTTAGCAAGTGTCTCCAAGCCTTCCCTGATGTACCATACAGTGGCTTGCAACCCAGTCTGACTGAAACCTGAAAGCGGAAGGCAACAATATGATTTTGTGTTCCACCAGCTTCATTGTTAAAGCTTGATTTTTTTCAAGCTACAGAATCCCGTCTAAAAAGGATTCCAAAAGCTACCTGACAAAAAAAGTAGAAAATATTTACATCTCCATTGGAAAAACATTCTACATATCATGCAGAAATTTACCCCCCATAGGAAGTGTTTTACAAAGACAAGCTGAGGAATAACTGTTCACATTGTGAGGAGCACTTCATGTTTTGTTTTTCTATGATAATTTAGTAGTTGGCAGTTTATATTCCAAATTAACACAAATTGGTTTCTCTCACTATGGAACACACACTTACAGTCTACTGATAATTAAAAATATTGTAACGCAACGGGGGCTCAGGCGGACGCCCTTGCCGCATCTGGTCGGCCCAAAGTATAGGTGGCTCGAACCCGGGACTTCCGCGTCTCTCTGCAGCGACCTAGCCCCGTGAGCTAAAGAGAGATCTCTCTACAGCCCAGTAGCTGTGGTCCTGCTATCACAGGGAAGGGCGCTGACGTCACCCGCTCTGGTACGCCGGCTCTTACACAGTGCCTGTCGGCCATAAGCGTTACAATATTATATGATTATGCCCTCTCACCCCCAGTATCAATTTAGAGTGTTTTTTCATTATATATACATGTACTGTACATTGGTCTTTATAAACTGAATGTTGTGTTAAGAAATTATGAGAGGTATAACTTTTTCACTATATTTTGGTCCTGTAATTTGTTCTTTATTCTGTTAAACTGGGGAATAACATGAGTTTCCAATAGGTGAAAGGCTTTTTGAGTGCTGAATTTCTCTGAGACTGAAGCTCGGTTTTTCACCTAGGTTATATGGCGAGTTCCTTTTCACATTCAGCTTTGATATCCTTTCTTTGACAGTATCTTGATGGTGAAATGGTTTGAAATATAGTCTGGCAAAAAAAAAAAGCATCAGGTACGATGCACAACACACAAGACACAAAAAGTAAGGCTTTTTTTCAATTTCAAACACGTTTTGCAATTTCTAGCAGTTTCTAACAAGAATTTGAACTGCAGTTCAATCCATTATCAAGATAGCCATTTTATTAAAATAAACACATTTAGGCTCTGCTGCTTTTATATTGTAAAGAACCAGGTCTCAGAGGCACTGAGTGAAATGAAAAACTCCAGTTGAAAAGTTCATTCTGCCACATCTGGAGTGGCACCTCACTTGAGGCAACAGGGCCTGGCTTTCCTTCAGTGCAAACAACTGGAATTTTTCCAGTCATACAAACCTGCCCCGGCGGAAATTTACCTTTTTTTCAACAGCACGGACCTTTAATAAATCATACCTTCCATGCTTAAGAAAAGCACACAGTCTTGACACCCTCAAAACCCCAAATACTGCTAATAAACCAGGACTGTAGGTTTAGAGCAAGGCTGTATCTGATTCCCCAGACATTCAGGAATTAAAAGTCTCCTGCACACAGTAGGACTTTATGAAGAACACGTCTGCTGTTCTACTTCTGGCCAGTATGCAAACATGAAGAATCAGCTTTTGACATTCATTAATGTGGTTATCTCGATTAAAACAGTGAAAATAATCGACACAATTCCACATCCTGTTGTGGAATGAGGAAGATGAAGTTATAATGGCCTGCAGAAGTTCTCAAGCATTCCTGTAGAAATCTTTCAGAAAACCAATTTCTTGTCTGCAGTTCTGCTCACAAACAGCAAGCAATTCAGATGAAGACCTGGCCATCTATGTTTTAATGATTCTACATATTTTTCAAAAAATAAAGCAACTTTTAGGTATAATTTTAATTTATCAAGAAATACCCGATGGGTTAAATTAATACATCTAACTGAAGCATACAAAAATTGAGCAAAAAGAATTGACATGACCCTTTATGAATAACGCATATTAGAATTGTATCTATTGCTTCTTATTAAGCAGCTCTTCAACTAAGAACTTCCTCTTCAATCTCTGTTCCCCTCTTAGGCTTTTCCTGTACTTTTCCTGAGTGGTGAACTTGTACACAATGTTGGTCATGTTCCACTTGGCTCCGCTTTGAGATTGTTAGCTCAACTGGACTTGATTTATTTCAATAACGCAGCTTCTCGATTTCCTAAAACTGGCAGAGCTGCCAATTAAAGGGGAAAACGACTCTCTTCTCACTCACAGAGAATTCCAAGATGGCAGAGACCGCCACATTCATAAGTGTGTCATTGTCCTCAAACATTTTGTTAATTCATTTAAAAACAAAAAAAACAAGAAATACAAAAAATTGGATTAACTAAAAAATGAAGGTAGCTAAACAAGTTGTGAAAATAGAGAAAGTACCTGACCACAGAGTCACAATTTTGAAATTAGCGGAACAAACCTGTTCTTAGGTTTGCTAGGTTGACCGGTGTCAGGCTTTAATCTTAAAAGGGGGGTGGGGTAAAAAAAGGGGCACATTTAATACTTTTACCATTTCCAGCCAAGCCTAGAAATTCAGCCTCAGCACTAGAATGAGCTCTTCTGTGAACCTGATTCACAAAGCTCCATGAACTAATACAGTATGTAGGCTTCTGCAAGGCTTCCATTATTAGTACAGTAAATGAACACCATCCTTTTCCCTTTTAGTTTTTAATCTGAAACCTAAATAATATAACCGAGCAGCATATTATAATGTCACAAATCTCACAGTTTAACGGTAATCTGATGTGATCACAGACTGAGAGGCCCTTTATCAGGTCACGGGCTTGTTTTGGGGCCTAGAGACATATTTGGCCCATGTTTATCTGCAATAATAAACTCCCACAAATCTGAACAATTTTAAAACCCCTTCAACTGGAACTGTCACATCGTGATAAAACCATTTTTTTCTCAGATTTAACTCAACCCCTTCCAAGTCACTTTGTTGGTGTTCAAATTCAGTAAACAAGCACATTTTCTCAGGAGGAAGGAGCCTGTGGTAATAGTTTTCATAAGAGTTAGAAAAATAATGTTTTGTTTTCTTTTAAATTGATATTTGACTGCTTCTAGTGAAGGACGAGTTTGGAAGTTTGGAATGCTATAATGTCCTTGAAAACTATTAATGTCTTTCTGGAATTTCAGTTATAGTGATGAAGTGTGTGTGTGTGTGGTAAGAGACGAGTACATGGAAGAAAGTTAACCACTAATTTATTTTCAAAATTCAAATTCCTGCTACTTTTCTCTATCTGGCCAAAAGCCATAGCTCTGGAATAAAAACTGTCTTTCATCACTGTTACAGGAACATTTAGCATGATAGAGTTTTGGATTGAAAACATAATGGCTATACCATTTTTTTAAAAAAAGTGAAAGTGACCGTACTTTCACCGTAAATAATATGGTACTCCAATGACATGATGTGTACACCTAAGAAATACGGAACTGGAGTGGGAAAAGCTGCTATTGTGTGCGGCCATTGTTCTTTTATTTCCTTTAGAGCTATGTGATTTTATTATTATTAGAATTCTCATTTGATTAAATGCCTTTGAACATCTGTTTCCTCTTACAGCTCAATCCTGACCAGAATAAGTGAACTTGTTTCTGTTGTGACTGAGGTTTTCATCACGTTGGCATTGTCTGGGGCATTTTATTGTCTTTGCATACCACCAAAATATATTAATTTTTACTGTGATTATTACTTTTTTCTTGCCTGGATAGAAAAGGGTGATTTTGAAAATGCTTTATCTAACTACATTGTCGTGTTACATTCACTGTCTTCATCTCACCCAGGTAGAGCTGGAGGTCCCTGTGTGGCACCACGTTCTTTGGATTTGACAGACCCAGAATTTATTTATCCAAGCAGTGTAAAGAATCAAGTGTGCAGCTGCTCAATGCTCTGCCACTTTCCTACAGAGCAGAGAATTT